GAGGGACTGTGGATTGTGGATTGGCCTTGCGGTGACCATGGTGCTTGCTCCGCGGGAGATCCATGTGCAAGTACGTAGAGTAAGTCGCCCGAAGATATTCCACAATTAATTATCGTTTCCAAGAGAATGGGTAGTAGATCGACAATGTGCAACAGGGAATGGGACAAGACCTTGTGTCACATCTCCCACGAGGTGTCCACAGCCTTACAGATGATCGTACACGCGGGTAGTGACTGTTTTGATCCCCCGTATCAGTCGTCGTCTCAAGTTGATGACTCGCTAACCACATAGCTACAGTATTGCAAAGTGTGACATGTCTGCAAGCTGTATTTGTTTTTTTGCTTGAACTGCCGTGATAGGTCATATCCACTTAACACTGGCATCCTCTTTCTGTCCATCTACCAGACCAAAAGAGAAACTAGAATCGACCGAATTTGGCTCAAAGACGATATGACAGCTGACACAAGACGAGCCTTAGCTGAGTTTGGTCACGGAGTAAATCATAGTGTCATGTAAAGACGGTGAAGGCAAGATGCAACGGTTTCCTGACTCGAAGAGAAGCGAGACGAGGTAGTCCCTTGTTGGCATCCGCCGTTGCAGTACCATCGTGAGTGGGTGACGGAGAGATGGAGAATGGAGTGATACCTCCTGGCTGCTGTATTGCCGCCATCGGGACGCCAAGAGGCCGCGAGATGAGACGCAGCAATCAGAGTATCAGTGGACGATCTCAGGGGGAGCAAGAGAGAGTGGGAGAACAGGAAAAGTGAGTGGGAGAGAGGAATCAAGGTTGGCAAGGTCTGTCCCGGCAGTTGTGTACAAGCTGGCCCATGCATGCAGCGTAGCGAGTACGATGATGTTTTTGGTGATGATGAGGACGAGAACGATGACGACTATACTGTAACGTGCAGTGCAGTACAGTACAGTAGACTAGGTCGTCTCCAGTACATGCATTGCATTGGAAGGGATAGATCTGGTTGGTGATGGAGTTGCGTGTGTGTGTGAGGTGACAGAAGTTAGGTTACGAGTAGATCCGGCGGACCAATATCGGCAAAGTTAACATCAGACGATGACAAGTCCTTCGTACCTGCTCTCCTGCCTTCTCCCCTCACGTTCCTTCCCCTTCTCCTCCTCCTTCTCTTTACCCTTCCTTCCTAAGTCTGAGACATAAAATTAGTTGGCCGATGAGATTGGACGTACCTTCCACGATGCGACTCGATATAATACGATAGATAACAAGCCAAGGTGCTAGGAGGTAGGGATGCCCCGTCGATATCACTGTCATCTGAACTATAAGGCGAAAGATCATCTGTAGTAATTACGGTAGAACAGTACCTCAAAGCTTGGATGAAGATTTATCAGTGCAAGTAGTAATCATTCGGAAGACTCGGCCAACTTGTGATCTTCTGACTAGATACAACAACAAAAGAGCCCATCTTTAATCAAAGCAAAGTCCATAAAAAACCAAGCATGGATATCATGAGTTTGTTGTTGTTGTGGTCTGGTGTTGTTGAACAAGCTTGATCCTGATAGACCATGTGTTTAGGTCCAATGTCATCGCTTCTCTACCCGATTTAGGATTGGACTGGCGTGGATTGGATTGGAAATCTGGACTAAGTTAGCATCGAGGCACAGAGGTACAAAGTACGTTACGCTACGGCAGTCAGTGGGAGGACATGGAGGGGGTGTGGCCCAGCGGCGCGGGGCGGGGATCACCCAGCGAGTTCAGGGATCATGATCACCCTCTTCACACCCTTCCAGGTTGTTCACCCACTCTGGTTTAGCGTGAAGGCGCTAAAGTCCAGCACCCTTGGAATCTCTAGAAGCGCCCTCGGAGCCGGGGCTAGGACTGGGGCTGGGGGGAGTGCAGTTATTGTCAAACGTCTGGGCGGTAATCCTCACTTTTGGGACGGGATGCGTGTGTGGTCCTGATCCAAGCTTACAGTTGATTATTGTAACATGTCTAAATCAATCGAATCGACGATAGAAATACCCTGATAATACCTTGTGCTACCCTACAATACCGACAGCGTCTTACGTACCCTTCAAGTATTCGTTCCGTTGTTCGTAAATAATAGATCTCATCCTTCCCTTCCACAGCTTCGGTGCTCTTCAGACAAGCATCACCCTGGGAGAGGACCATGTTCTTTCATCATTCCTTCAATTGATCCAACGTCTTTCTTTCCTTCTTTGCCCCCTGCGCCCGTTGCAATTCAACCGTCGCAGTTCGACTCGAAAAGCTCCCCACTCCCTTCCCGTTGTAGACAGGGAGAGAACGTGGCTCCTCGATGAATATCTCCGTCGTACTATCGACAACACTTCTCATGGGAACCTTGAGTTGACACACTGTAGAGTCAAAGCGTAGAAGCATAATAGAAGAATACCAAGTTTCTAACCATTTTCCCTTTTTTGCATGTTTATGTAATTACGGGTTTGCCGTGTTATTAATGTGCACTGAGTGTATAAGTTTGTCCTGTGACACGTGCATTGACGCGTGCGCGTACACGGGACACTTCAAGTCAGAAAAGCTCGGATTGAGGCTATCGTCAGATGAGATCAGATCAGGTCGGGTCAGTTGAGTCGTGTCAGCCCAACCCGACTGGTCACGTCGGTTCAGCCTCCTCCGTCCCATCCCAGCTCGTAAACAAGAAAGAAAAAAAGTCTATTCTGACATTGGCTAGTCCAGTACTAATATCCATCGTCCACTCAAAGATCCCACGATCCCTTCACTAAGGTCTGTGCCGTTACAAGGCTACTCAGTCACTGTAGCGTTAGGTAGCGTAGCGTTGACATTCTGTCAGCTAACAGATCTGCGCTTTCCTTTGTTAGGAATCCTCCTCGTGGCCCCTTACCCACGCCAGCCCAGTTCAGTTTAAAAGTGCCGTCCAGTAGGTATTATTTCTTCCGACGGATGTTATGGTGGATGGATTGGATGCTAGGTCTAGGTCTGGCTAGTCAATCAGCGCCAACATCAGCCAGAAAGCCCAAATGTCTCAGGCGCAATCCCTTAACTTCGGCGATAATAATTAACAAAGAAAGATCTATTAGATCTATCATTAATAATTGTACGACTCCTGTCCTATATCACCTCGCTTACGTTCATCACTGCAAATCCTTTCTCTTTCTCATGTCATGCAGCCATGTAATTTAATATGAGCAGTTGCTCAAAATAATAATATGATCTATCTCCAGTACGTACCATCCACTATGCAGGTGCCCTGTCAACGATCCAACCAGTCGATCATTTGAGCCCTTGTCCATGTCCATGTCCATGTCGCGGATGTCAAAATGGATGGATGTCAAAGTCAAATGTCAATCCTCTCCTATCCTATCCTATCCCAGGACACAGACCAAAAAAGACACGAGGCAGGCGGAGTAACAACCCGAACCGGTCTGCCCAGTCTTGACATGAGCATGAGTAACACAACCCCAGGTTTACCCCTACCGCCGCATTCCATTTTGGGCGACTTGCTACTCTTCTGGTCAGGCTCATGTTCCGCCAACACTCTTTCGTCGACAAAGGGACCCAATCTCTCGGGGCACTTTTTTTGTTTTTAATTCCTTCGTAATCGGACCTTGTGCTAGCCAGACTAGACTGTGCCGCCCTGCTGGGATCCTCCTGTCCCTCAACGGTATCCGTCAACTACTGTAGTGTACTGTACTGCACATAAGGTTGCATTGCAATGATATGATAAACAGATAAAACAACACACGCGAGTCAACGACGTCACTTCGCTCGACAATATGGGTCCCCTTTTGAATGAGTGAGACATGATCCGTTCATGCGTCAAAGACCCTTACTGCCCTGCCGCCTGTCTGCTTGAGCCTTGCCTACCGCCGCAGATGCCGATGCAAGTGCAAATGCGAATGCAGATGCAGTGCACACTAGACTTTGTTGTATTGAAGATAAATCTTGTCTATTGATGCAGTTGTTGCTCGGTTCTGGTTGTGGTCCTAGTTCCAGTCAAAGAGTCGCTAAAGATGGAGGCGTCCTGGTCAACGCTTCAGCGGTCAACATAACTATAGTAACTGCTGACACGACACTTTGCATTCTTCTCGTGGGGTCCGAGTCTGTGTCCTACCAACGGCTTCTGTATGTATTCGGAAGTTGATTTGACTCAATAGACCAACATCCATAACCAACATACCTGCCTACCTAGCCAACTTAAATAACCAAAATTACCAACAAGCACAAGCACAGGCAAATTGAACCCCCGCATTCAAGGTTGCCATCCTCTTCTCTATTTTGCCGTCCCATCTTGAGCCTGTACCCTTCAGCCGGTGTTATTACCGCAAAATACCACTCAATGTCCATGCTATATAGTCTACATGTCCCCGTCTCGGCCATCTCCTCCGCCTGCCATTGGTCAATATACGCTAATATCAGGAAGATCGGTAAAGCATTTGCCCGAGCTAATTTACTGCGCTGTAGCAGGTTACATGCATCCGGATCGGCTTGTGAATCACGTTTTGTGGGAGCAAAGACTGTTGTAATGTTTGGATATTCGCGGCTTCGAGGCCTGCATTGTATTGAATTGTGGTTTCTTTAGGCGTTTTCGCCTCTGGCTATCTGCCTCGACTCAAAATAGTCGATCCATCCTCTTTCCTCGAGGAAAATAAAATAATACTAAACGCCGTGCAAGATGCTTCGCTAGATTCTCAAGCCGGTTTCCACCTCTGCGCCTTATAAAATGTCCACAGCTTCTCCCAAAAAATAATGACAAGTTCCGCCGATAAGTAGCAGTAGTAAAAACATGATACACCGTACTTCCAGAAATACAAACTATCGCCATGGAGGAAAGTGGATATCCCTTCCCTCCCACTTTTCTCCAATTATCCGCGACGCCAAGCCAGTAAAGTCCTTTATACACAGGCCTACAGTGTTCCCATGACACTTTGCAGACCAGATTCATTCAGGTCGGGTCGGAAAAGCGCCCGCTGAGCTTTTCTTCAGATTCGTCCCTCTTCGTTTAACCATCTCGTCGTGTGGAGATTAAAACCCCTCATCCTCGAATCACCGATCCGTTGAACTCGAAGCTGTGGCAGCCTCTCTCGTGACGCTTCATGTTGCTACGTACACTGAAAGCCTTACCGCAACCGGCATGTGGGCACTTGAAAGGCTTCTCTCCGGTGTGGGAGTGGCTGTGGATCCTGAGACTGCTGGGTCGGCTGAAGGCCTTGTTGCAAGTCGGGCAGATATATCGATCCTGGCTTTGCGGGAAAGCGGCAGCACCAGTTGGGTTAAGGTAGTGGTGATGTTGCCATGGGTTGGAGCCTGATGGAGCAGGCGCTGGCATGGTTACTGGAGGAGGGTATGCTTGAGGAAGAGGGCGCTGGTAGTATGGGTTGAGCTCAGGAGGCTGAGCGGCGGAAGTAGGTGCCTGAGCCGGAGGGTAATAAGCGCCTACTGGCGGAGGGTTGGCGTAAGTCGCGGGATGAGGCTGGTGAGTATAAGGAGCTGGGGCGGGAGGCGTTGCTCGAGGGATAGTTGGCACTGGTGCTTGACGTTGAGCATCGGCTTCTAATGGAGGGGTGGTCTCGTAGTAGTATGCCCTTGGAGTGGTGCCTTGGTATGGCTGGCTGGAGTGTTTTCTGGGAGGAGAGCTGTAACTTTCGAATGAAGTATCTGTGCTCATAGGTGGTGTTGGGGGAAGTCCACGATGCGATGACCTGGCCCATTCTGATCCACCTCGGCTGTGTGAAGGGGCAACTGTTTGATCGTAAGTCAACTATGCGTGTGATAATTTGATAATATAACTAACCTTCAAATCGAGGAGAGTGTTGTCTTGAAGTGGGCGATGACTCGCTAGTAGGTGAGCCGGCATCGGCCAAACCCAAAAGGTTGGAGATGGAAGGCAGAGAGCACTTTTGTTCCTCCATTGGGGGCGAGGGAGGTGAATACAAATTGTGTCGGGTTTCTTGTTGTGTGTATTGGTTAGGCATATAAGATGCAGTTGCGGAACGCATTGGCAAATTGTCTCGGGATTATTAAGACTTTGCTTGTAGACGTAATCGAAGCTGTTGAGTCGGCGGTGACCAGTTGATTAAGACAAGTAGAGTGTCGATCTGGTAAAGGCCGTTGATATTAAAATGTTGTGATGGAAAAGGCACGTATGGGAATTAATGTAAGCCTGTTGATGTTTTCAAAGTCGTGTTCGATATGAAGAGTTGTATAAGATGCTCCTGCAAATGTGAAATAGTCGGGGGCTTGGGAACTTAAGTAAGTCTTTGGTGTGGGAAAGGAACCTGTCAAAGGGTGGAGGAGACCCGTCTATCAGATCTGAGGACCGTAGACTTGTTTTCATGCGCATACGCCCCCTCCAAAAGGGCCTTTCGAGCGCAGCTGTCACAAAATTGAGAGTGGAGCCTAGCCGGTGCATTCGAATCCTGGGATTGAAGGGAATCGTTGGCAACGGAACAGGGTCGCAAAGGGGACGATAAACAAGGGCAGGGACTGAAAGATACTGACGGGAGGTTCCCTGATGCCGCTCGATGGGTCTAACCTGTTGAGTTTGTGTCGAGCAACTGTTCCGGCAGTCATGTACAGTATCCACTCATAGAGGAAATGCTGTGACGACTCTCATGGTGATCTCGAGCAGGGGAGGGGCGGCTTGCAAGTCGACGTCGGATTCATGGGGGGAGTGTCAGAAACTCAACCGCGCATCTGCGTGTGGGTGTGAGTGAGATCCACGAGCAAGTGTGTGTGCGAGAAGGCTTGGCCATGCGCCAGGATAATCGTGGATCGCCCCGTGGTCAAACGGTCGATAGATTGGTACGTACCCGGATTGGGGAGGAGGTACGTACCTGCCGTCTCGCTGTGAACCTTCATCCCTGTTGTCTCGACATGGCTTTCGTGGGGTCTCATTTGCCTGTGTCGATGCCATCGAAGACAATTACATGTTCCGTAACTATTCTCTCCCCTGGCGCCTAACGACCGTGCCCTTTCCGCTCCAAAATCTCTCTACCCTTCTCATCTCAATGGATCGTGCATTAAGTTCGCCGAACAAGGCGGTAGTGTTTGTGCGTCGCGACCTTAGCCTCAACTCACGCAAAAGTCATTTTCCGGCGCCGGGACTCCCACGCGCCCGGCCGAGATAGGGCGTCCTCCTAAACCTCGGCCAAGTGTGCCATCCCGGGCGCCGCGCTGCAGCGACTCCCGGGCACCGTTTCCCTATTCGGTGTCAGAACCGTTCTTAGTGCTCAACTCTCGTTCCATCCTGGTTTCGTCTGTGGCCAGCCTGCGTATACAGTAGAAGGTGCAGATGCTTCCAATCGCTTACCCCAGAGCTTGTCCAACACCCGACCAAATTGATTGGCAGACACTCAGCGCTTCTTCATATATAGTATTTGGCTGGTATTCGGATTTCTTGCGTGTTGATGATGGAATCGGCAAATATTGAAATTTCGAGGCAATATCTGGCAACCGGCCCTATGAGATCGTTTTATTTCTGCGACTTGCTGGCTGACCGCTCAATCATCAAGTACCGTACCCTCATTCCTACGCTCCCTTGCCTCTGAGTGTCAGAAGAATTGACTCCGGGGAGCATAAGAGACGAAATAACTTCGTTATTTTAGGTCAGTTTAGACCGGCACTTGGGTTGCTTTATTTCTGTAGCCTGAGCCTAGAGGACAATTCTACAGACATCCACCTGCCTTGGTTCATACTCGGGGCCGTTTCAAATCGCGCCGAATGGCCCCTGATCCAATCATCAATTGCCGCTTTCAGTGATCCCGACGATTTGGTGCGAGAATCCTCAACGGTGGAGGAATCTCCTCGTTGCTACGTTGTTGAAACGCCGACAATCCAATTCTTTGATCGTTATGAATTCTCCACGGTTCGTAAAGCAAGCACAGTTGGCTGGCGCAACAATGGCGTGCCGGCACTGAATTAAGGTGGTGGTATTGGTGCGATTGGCGTTTGGCGTTTGGGCAGCAGCCACGTTTCCAGTGACCTTTTCGTTTTCACCTCTGTCGTCACTGGTAAGCAGGCTAATTTGGATGATCGTCGTTTTAGCGGGCGCCTCCCCTTCCTCGCTTACACTGGCGGGATTGCTTGGCGTAGGGTTCAGGAGGTGTGGGTGTGTACTGTAGTTGCTAGCGATCGACCAAGCTTCTTCATGAGGAGGGAACAGGGGATGAAGCCAAGCGTTCAGTGCCCTGCCCTTACCCTGCCCTGTCCGGTTGGCTTCTCCAGGCAGTTGGTTCACAGCGACAACCAAGATTCCCGGTTCGCGAGTCATGAGTATCGCTGCTGGTGCATGTAACCTTCAGATCCCTGGCCATAGAGTCAGGCCTTCGAAAGTGTTTCGTCTGAAATCCAGAGTGACACCAACAACTTGAACCCGCCGGTTCGAGGAACATTTATCCAGCTTGATTAATTGGTGGTGAGTACAGAGTAAACTTGGCAAATGCTGCTGAGACAAAACAGGACAAACCGTCCAAAACAGCGCGTGTCAAACTTTAAGCGACAACACGTGCCAAGTCCCTTTCGTTGCTTTTGCCATGCGATTAATAGCCACGCTGCTGCAAGCCACGGCTGGGTCGAGTCATAATTGTATGATGCAGTATTGCCCGAAAAAGGGCTTTCGTCAATTTGCCCACAGCTTTGGCACAACCGTCTTGTTCTCGGCAGAATAGCGCCGCCTTACTTAGAATGCTGCTGATGGTGGTGTAGCCATTCGCCTAGATATTGTGATGGTTTGTTGTTCCCAGATGCTAGGCTTCCATAATAAAGTGGCCTAACTGCTAGTTTAAGGTGGCATAAAGTGACCAAATTATTTCGTCCCTCATACCTCTAGGGGCCGATTCTTCTAACACCCTGAGGATAGCTTTCTTGGCTGTTGGAATTAGCATCTTTTGGGTTCCATTGATCCAAACGACGTCATCGTCAATTCCTGCACTGCTGGATCTTCATTACCTTTTCCGGACCATATGCCAATGCCACGCATCTCCAAAACCACGGCAGTTGCGAGACACAGTCGGCTCAGCCGTCGGTGGTCTGTGGGATATGGTATTGCTGGTGATCAATGGGGCATCATATGCCATCGATGAGTTCCAGCTATGATTCCTGCGTTAATAGAAAGTTACGGAGTGACTGAAGCGCCTCGAACCTGAGCATTGATCTCAAGATCTCTCCACTTGTAGACGTTTAAGTCTCTGTGTTCTCGACAGGCCATCGAGATGGCGGAGTTTAATTCGAGATTCGGGGGACGCGATGTTATGAACGTGCGAGAATCTCAACCAAGATCTAGCGGAGGGGTTTGCGCCGATGTCAAGTGCTGACCATATGGTCTATACAGACACTGGCGGTGATAGTTGCATGGCGCTGCCTTATCGCATGACATATTGCGATTCGAGATAGAGCAAAGACACGGGCTGGCCGGGCTTAGTATTCGGGTCGTATACTATCAGGGCACGTCCATAGTTAGTGTCGTCTGGTATTCAAGCATCAGCTGGGGAAATAATGTGAATCGGTCCACCTGAATCTCATGTTTGATAAAAGTCTATAGGCGGTCTGCCAACCAACCTCAATCTCCAACAGCAAAGGTCCATAATGTCCATCAAGGGCGCATTCGGCATTTGTTTTGGGAGTCTAGGAAGCTATCACTTGATGGTCAGTAATGAACAAATTGGCGCATTAGTCTAAGCGCACAGAGAACACCGATTACGTATGTACCGAAATTAGCTGGGTACCAGCCGACCGGCAAGCATAGCGGGATGATGATGCTGGTGGGATCTGGGTCACTGATTGAGTTCTGATTGGTGAAGAAAGGCCATCTCACTCGCCAGGATCCTTTCCAGAACTTCTTAATAACAGAACAAGGTTTTGGCTTGAGGAGAATCCGTCGATCGGTACATCCAGCCTCGTGCAAGGCTCATCGAGGTAGTGTTGAGCAGTTCCTATGGTATAGGGTGGTCATTTGAAAAAGGCGAAAGAGAACAAACGGTCTCGTGGTGACAGACAGATAGTAGATCGCTGGTGTCGGGCAGTAGTCTGTTGCATCATTCGTAAGCCAAGATCGAGGGAAGCACCTGCGTACCCGAAGTACCTGTAATTCAGTTTGAGATTGGATGAATCTGCTCATTGCACCTTCTTTCTGTGCATTGCATGTATCGGGTTGTGGAAGGTGCGCAGAGTACAGACGGCATTGAATCATGGGAATGCATGCATGACAGAGCTCTTTCCCATCATCAACACCACAACCAAAAGGAGATGCGTGCAGAAATGCCGCTCGACTGCGGAGGCAGGCACTGACCACTCGACACCCACACCTCGCCTACCATTTTGGGACACGCCATGTCTCGCTCGAAAATTAAGCGAACTTACGCCCTGAAACGCTGGCCTAGGTAGAGGGGAACGGAGCGAGCCCCTACTGTATTACAGTAATGCTCCTGTAGTGCAGCGTTCTGTCTTAGTTTACGGACAATATTGACCCCTCTAACCCCCCAACTCGGATTGATGCAAAATGAGATTTGGATCACTTTTATGTTATTAGTCAGGCCTTACGACATCGAAGACGATCGTCCATGCTTTTTTCGGCTCTATTGGGACCTGCTCAGCTACCTAAACCTAAAACATGATGGGATGCTCCTTGGTAAAGCGATTCTAAGTCAATACAACACGCAGTTTGGGAGACGGCAAGATACTAACACGGACCCCGAAACAGCCTCACAGATTGGATCTCTACCAGTATGCTGCCTGAACTCGTTCGCAGCTTCAGTCACGTCCGCTGGATATCAGGTACTTCCTTGTTTGACAACCGCCTCTCCCGCTCAACCAGTTCGGACGAAATACGCCCTCCAGCCACTATCGGGATCGCTGCAAGCACCTTCTAGGCATTTCTATCGCAGCCTCGATGTTTATCGACGACGCATGTACTGTACATAACGAGGCATCATATCGCATGCGCATCTACGAATATACCCATGAACTCGTCTGCATCAACAACCCTGACGGATATCTCCGGGTTGTAATTGGCCAGTGCCTTCAAACGATCAACCTGACATCTTGTTTGGGAAAAGAATACCCAAGCACCAACCGTCCCACGAGGATTTTCCAGTGATCTTCAGAGACGGCGGCGATCAGCAGGGGCTACCCTTGCCTAGCTATCCCAAGGCGCCGGCCACGCGAGATGGATTTATACTCGATTCGGCGGCACCACACCTCTCACACCCCTCCTCCGCTCTGCCTCCACTCGTCATGATGGCCTGATTTTAATCTCTTGCGTATCTACTAAACTTGTCAAGGGTGTAAGTTCCGCCTCTGGTACTTGCTCCTAGCCTGCCCAAAGAGACGCGGGCGCGTTATTGGGGTTGAGGCTTATTCACGAGACTAAAGTCACTAACAACCAACTGTGAACCGCTTTAGCGTTCTGCTTCCACGTTCGGCTGGGCTTCTGGCTTGTGAAATGGCTGCGCTAGCACGACTGCCGAGGTTGATCAGTGACTAACGGACCGACAATGCCAGACCCCTTCAAACTCAAAGCACCTGTCATTATATGGCCATCATGGCAGGGTACCTATTCTACCTGGGGCTATTGTTTGCATACACAGAGCGTTAAGTCAGCAGAAGCGAAGCACTGCACGCACAGGAGTACATACCACGCCTCTTGTCCGCATCCTCCGATTCAACAGTGCATCAACACCATCATCGCCGGGCTTCATCCACTTTACTAACTCCATTATGGCGAGCAGAATCCCGGTTCGAGGATAGATTCATTTCCTGAACACGGCTTCTTCCGTTCTGGTCTTTCTTCCAGATTTGAGGCTACAGTTTGTTCTCTTACCATCTGCCAGCTTTCGATCCCTGGCCCGAGAGTCTGGCGCCCCTAAACCTGGCAACCGTTATCACTCCCCACACGACGATGAGATTGCCCTTTTGGGTAACTCTGGTCCGTGTTAGGGAAACTTGATCGACTTCATCCCATGTTATAAAGCGCAACATAAGCATTTATTGTCAAGGGTCTCCATGGCCGGAACTTCCCGTCGTAACTTTGTTATTGTTCTTCCTCAAATCATTTCATTACTCAAGGATCGCCGGGACGTCAGACCCTTAACCCAGCTTCGCCGACTCAGGATCTGATCTGATGAGGAAGGGCCTTGGATTAGTCGTCGTGGGCTCTGACATGTTTTCATGAAGAACATGTCAAGGTTCTTACTGTCAACTTCAAGAAAATGACCGAACAGGGACACTGCATTAGGCTCTCCTCAACTGGCTCATTTGAGAATAGTTTCCTCGAACCGGTTCCAGTTATCGCCCTTGCCGCCAATCCCCAAATGCTCAAACTCGGGCCGTTGAGCTTACCATAGCATCACTAGTGGGCGTGCGACATTCTGTGATTCCCTTTGCAGCAGGATCAGGATTAGGATCAGGATCAGGGGGTACATCCTGAGAAACGTTTTTGGAAAGCCAGTGACCTTTCACGTCATATTGTACGCCGAGAGCCTTGCTCCAAACATCCTAAGTAATGATTCAGATGAACGTCTCCAGCTTTGAAACGATAACTGACGTCCCAGTTTCCAAATGACAACACTACATGGGCGTGGCGGGGACCAGAGGAGTTAATAAACCTGAGTGCACTGCCAAAATCCAAGGATTCCCCTATAGCAATGAGGATCAAGAACCGTGGAGCCCGATGAGTTGCCAAGCACATATCCTCCTTCTGAAGTGGGATATTACATGCTGATGCTACACGGAGACACTGCTGGTGGCTGTGACGAATGTCATGTGTCGTTTTTTATTAACTTGAGCCTGACGGCTAAATAGGATTACGGCCCGGGGCTGTCATAGAGGGCGAAGATCGCGTGGGGATGTATGATCTTGATGCCAACCCTTTCTTTCGAGAGATGCACACTGGATCGTCTTCGCGCAAGAGGATGTCCCACTGGAGCTTTAGATGATCTCTTGATGTGCCATTATGGCGGAGACACGTTGATCTTACAGTACTAGGCTAACAGACAGGGCAGGCCAAACAGGAGGGAGGGCAGGGACGATCGGGGACGGGGAACATTCAGATGTTCAGCACTATCACATTTCAGATGTCTCCTTGCTGACACCCATTGATTCGAGGGAGACGTGGCCAGAACCGACAACTTCTCAGACCTTTGAGGATGACTGGCAAGACCTGCAGGCCGCACCTTTTGCCCGTAACAACAGCCACTCACCGGTCTAAGCATAGCCGCATACCTGCGAATTATATGCGTATCGTTGTCATAAGCTATAGGGGTAGCTTCAAGCTCCCCGTGTTTTTTTTAAGCGCCTCAAGGATACCCTTTGCTAAAGGGTAAAGGCTCTGTAACCCTGCCTGAGTACAAACCCACCTGTTGACTTGGATCCTGGTGTTTCAAAACCCACCGACTGATGTAGTATCGACCACGGTTTTCGGGAATTTGGTTACTTATTAAAGTTTCCAAACAATATTTGTTTGAAATTACAGATGCCAGGCCCTGGTGTGAGGTCCTGGACATTGAACGGATATCGGACCTGTGACCCGACAATTTCTGCTGCAATACGATGCCCGTAACGACAGCCTGACTGTATCCGTATGTACAGTAAGTTTTTGCGGTTATCCCAACTCGACAAGGGAGGACGGTGTTTACCTGTGATTGCCACGGTCCGTCAACGGGTATGTTCCGGAGCCGTTGAGCGAGTCCCCCTTGCTTCGTTAGTACTGGGATTTTCTCCATGTGGCTTCCCATGCAGTCACTATCAACCAGAGACATTTACACGAAAAAAACATGGTCTTGAGACAATGCAATCTCGACCACAGCAATTGAGGCTTGTTGCTAGTTAGCCAGCCACCTCATGGCAGGGCGTGGCAAAAATTCTGTGGAGTGCCATCAAAATGACGACTCTAGAGGAATGTGGTGATGGAGCGGGTGTAACTTCTTGATACAGTATGTACATACATACATGCTTAGCGCCGACTACTATTCATAGCCGTCGATCATCACATTTACGTCTCAGACACATTCCAAAGGCACGATCGAATCCGTACATAAGCACCAAGCGACGCGAGGAGAGAACAAGCCACAAGGTCTCATCACAATGGCAAATTGATGGAGAAAACCCATGTTCAAGCCAAAGGGTAAGCGACGATGTTTGCTTTTGTCGGGTGTGTCGCTTCCTGTTGATTCATATCCGATCGCCGGCCCCCATCGTACGACCATCTCGCATTGCTTTTTGCCGGTCTGTCGTTGTCAGCATGGAGTCCAAAGATACATACATGTCACGAATTGGACAACGAAAGAACGAAAAAGGGAAAACGCAAAAGAAAGGAAAACCGATCCGCAACGCTCTGCGGGTCAAATGAAACGGTGCAGCCGCCCACACAGAGGACTAGTTACTGTACTCTATTCTACTCTAGCGAGATGCACGATATTGCTTTTTACCGCGCCTCGGGAGCCGTCTGTGCTGCTATGTAGTACACGGCACGCATTGACCCTTCTACATATACTTAACGTTTATGTGTGTGATACTTTCGCTGATGGGCCGGGCCTTGTGCCCTACCGATCGATAGTCCAGCTCTTATGCGTGGTGATGCTGCCTCGGCGGCCTGCATGTCTCAGATATCACATGGACCTGTAAGGGAGCAGAGAAAGAAGAGGCGGGGATGACCTAAACCGTTGGCTAGTCTACAGTACTAGTTGCGATGATTATTCCCCTTGAGACTCTTTATGTAGATCTTAAATGATGTGTAAGTTTTGAAGTTTTGAGAGGTGCTGTATTATAGCCCCCCATCTCTCACATATACCTACACTAATGCAGCTTGCAGCGAATGCGAGGTTGAAGACAGGCAAGGAACAGGAGTCGAGACTGTTAGTCTGACAGACAAAATGCAACGGCGCTGAGTCAAGACCCATCATTGACTTTAGTCTGGATCTTCGATGCGTGGGACGAGAAACAAATACTTTGATCAGTCAACATTCTACGTTCCTTCGTAGTTTCACCTAGACTCAAACTCGTTTATTACGAGCTGGGGCCAGAAACACGAGTGCTATATCAGGAACCCAGCTCGTGAACTAGCACAAAATCTTCCAGGTCTATCTCTGCCGGCTGCAACAATCCCCGTCAATACTAGTCAAACGTTCATAGCAAATAGTCTCAGTCTTGGCCCGTCGCTTACTGCTCAGTTTGACCGTCCAACCACACTCTGGGCTCTGGAATGGTACGGGGAGTGGATGTGCGTTCCGCGCGAGATGTCTAATGCAAGTTCGTGCGTGTTGAAGGGAACCTCTTCGTCATCGCTGTGACAAGAGCATGTAGAGCCGTCTGTAAGATCAGGGGTCACAGGACTTTGAAGGTTACCTTCGTGGGACTCCCCGGCTCTGTCGATGTTACCGTCCCAAATGCCTGGTTCTGAAACCTTCGAGCCCGTCGACGAGGAAGATGACTGTGAGGGGTGCTGGCGAGAGGTCGTAGAACGAAACAGAAATGTTCCTGAGTCTCTGGGCTCAGCAGGGGCGGTATGCTCCATCGGGTCGGGAGGTGTTGGGTAAGTGGTAAACACCACATCCCTCAACAGGCCAAGGAAGGTCGGGCGTTGAAGGAGTAGCGGCTCATATTCTAGGCCTCTAGCAATATCCCTCTCCCGACAGAGTCTCCGTGGGTGCGAACCGCATCTGGAACATTGTTTGCCTGTGAATGCGAGAGGAATGTTCACAGCTGCAGCCCGACGAGGGTCGACTTCTACTGACCTCTGTTTGCCGAATACAGGCCTTGTAAGGCACTTCAAGACCCAAGAGGCTGGACCAGCTGTTCGCCTTCCGTCAACACATGGCCAGCAAAGGCATACAGCATACGACTCCTGAAAGGCCTGCTCGTATACTAGAGATGTGTGATCGAGAAGTGCGGTCTCTTTCCTGGGAATGTGAGAGGGACTTGGGATGTTGAGCACTAGGCCCCCGAATGTGTCACTGCAGAACCGACGGTACTCCCTAGGCGCCAGTATGTGTGTTCTCCACACAAGATCGATGTCGAGATATGTGAAGCCTAAACGAGCTCCTTCCGGCTCTTCGATTGGCCCTAGACGCTGCGCTAGAGTCATGAGCCTCCTGTAGCGTTTGACAGAGGGTCCGAATCCGCGTTCATTGTCCAGAGAAGACGTGTGCATCCGATGCCAGGAGAATTGAAGAACTCGCTCCGCCAGATCAAACTGACGCTGCACAACTAAATGGAAATTATAGTGGAAATCCCATTCACCGTCCGCCGTTGTGATGGTATGTGATATCCGTTTACTGTAGAACAGGTCTATTACTTTTTGCGTCATGTCATCAGGGTCCTGTCGGTTGGCGACATAGTCGACCGCCATATTCATAAAGGCAAGAACGTCTGGCTCCTTGTAGACCTGATGAATCTTACTCATGCAATCCCATGAGGGGCGGAACTCTCCAGACTCGTCACTCTGGAGGGCAGTCGACTGCAGCCAAATCAGACACTGGTATGACAAAAACGAAGTTGACAACACTCACCAATGCATCGAGATTCCACCGAGAGAACACGAGTTTAGTCGCGTAGACAAAGACTGTCCACTCGACTGGATCTTGGAGAAACGTATGCCATACGAGAAGAACATCGAGTGGAGGAGTATGCGTGTCAAGACTGACACGACCTGAGAGCGATGCTTCAAACCATTGTATCATTCGACTAATGCTCGCATTGATGCAGCACGTCCATGCTGCTTCCTCGTCAACCTCATTTCTCACTGCCCATTCATTGACTTTGGACTTGATCCGAACGAAATGCTCCAAGAGATGGCAATGAAGGAACACATCTCTTGCTTTGACCGATAACTTGATGAGTGTTTGGGGAAGCTGCACTTTGTTTAGCTTGGTGCACGACGGGGAATACCACGAGAAAGATTGTTTAATACAATCTTGCAGTTGATTCCTGGAAAGGTTAACAGATGCATAACGCTACAGGACTACTTGTTTGACCTACTTCAGGGACATGCTACAGTGCTCCCGAGGGAATCATGCAATGTCTGGCCCAACGAGCTGGCTGACCAAGGGCAAGGGAATATGCCAGTGGTAAGAGAGGTAGATGTACCAATGGGTTGAGGAGAGATCGCCAAGGTAGTATAAACAGTATCCAGTGGTGATGATGTGATTGAGATACTGTGGCAATGGAAAAGAACTGATATTCTGCCCATTAGCAACTGTACTTGTTCGACACAGTATATTGTAAAGGGAGAAAGTCTCTCTCTTGATAGTTGGGGTGTTAAATGTACTTCAATTCCTGAGATTCAAGCCTCGTCGGTGATCCCAGCCATTCGCAAGGCTTCACTGGTATTGTCGTTCATGACGAGCACTGCTATCTAGCCGAGTGGTGCCTGATGGCCCTTGTGTGGAATTGGTAGAGAATTAACACTCGCCGACAGTGAAGGAGTAGCCCGCATACGTAACTAAGCACAAGAGAAAGGTCATAATGGCTAGAACATGAGACAAATGAGTGAGTATATCAAGTAATGGCGGCATTGCAGTTCTGTGTCGTCCCCTCGCGCGGAAGTATGGCCAATTGCACAGAGTTCAAGGTCAACTTAAACAAGCCACAGCTTGAGTCACAAGACCAATAAACCTACACTCCCCTTCTGAGTAGTGTATGGTAGGAAATGAGGTGTCAGACAGGGAACCAAGCCGGGACGATAAAGCAGTTTGCTAACGACGTCAACGGCTCTTTGTCTACTCGGCGATGCCGATGATATGACCAGCTCTCTGGGAATGTTATTTCATGATTAGACTGTTTATCCAATGACTTGTTCACAAAAGCCTGTATCTTCCCAAGAAAGAGCATGGCTTGAAGCCCTGTTGACAGAGTCGGGACTGCTAACGGGTTCAGTCTATATAGAGTTTGCGAAATAACTACCTAACACAGAAACCAGGCGCTTACAACAGGTATCCCTCGTTCAAAAAGAGATTGACTTATGAGGGATAACTGCAATAACCAATCAACTCTGGGTATCGAATAGTTGACCAAGAGTGGCCGTGTAGGCGACGACAGGTGCGAGGCCACCATATCTCTGCTTTACAAGAACAGCCGATACAATCAAGCCTTCACCATTGAGATCTAGTTCTAAGGCAGAATACTTAGGAGTTACATTACAGTCACTTGCGTATATGCTTTGAACTCAAACTCCACAGAAGCGGTGCAAAAGTGACATTGAACAAGAGATGCCATGTATGAAGAGCAGCTGATAGCCGATTCGGAAGAATGTGAGTAGGCCCGAAAACAATATATAATTAGAAAAATCTCCAACTCAACAGAAAGAGAGGCAAAAAGACAGCTTAGGCAAAAAGGAAATACATACAACACCGGGGATTCGCTGGTCGTCACCGACCCAACTACTAATCCAGCGCTTCGCAGCTTGACTATGGGAGAGCGGACGGGATCCCGTATTTTCTTCGAGCTTTGGTCGTATGTGCTTTACCAGCTTGTTCTTGTGGCTTATGTTTGGTTGAGAGAATGTTGTTGGTGAGGACTCAGAGCCTTGTCGTTCCTTGCCGAAACGAGACACCAACGGAACACAACAGCCTTGTCGTGATGAAAGCCAATCATAAATCAAAGAGGATGTACGAAGAGTGAATTGTTAGAGTTTTTGTATATTTATTGAGAGTAATGGCGAGTTCTTGATGACGCTTTGGACCTGTATGGGATTATAGGGGTTGCCCTTGATTGTCTTCCAGCCGTCAGTGAGTGAAGAGTTATCATAACCTTTATGGAACTAGTATAAGATATGCCAAGATATGTGATTACAAGAAAGAGAATATGAAAGTTACCAGAGACAGGATCAAGTCTAGTACTTACTTGTATGCTCCTTCGACGAGCACGACTCAGGGCAGGATGGTGAACTCAACAGTATAGTTGTGCCTCTTCTGTAGTTACTAAGACAAACAACAGGAGATATAACTAATGTATGCTATTTGTAAATTTGCGAGCGTTTTTACAATGTCTGAAGGTAGTACTCCAGTCTCTAAGTGAAGGCAATAGAGTTGTTCGTGGTAAGGGATGGTAGATACCCATAACTGCAACTTGATGACCCTTTGAGGATAACCACAATATGGAAAGAAACTGATTTATGTTCTTGAGATATATTGGAGAACTAAGAGAGTGTTTCAGGGTTATTGTGACTGTGTTGGCTTGCTTAGGGCTCAAGCTCATTCTAATATCCAAGCTTATACTTAGAATATGTTTACAATCCAAGTTCTGTCCTGTGTATATTAAAATACAAGTATGTTGGAGACTTTGGCTCTCTAGAAACATCACCACAATATGTAGTCGACGCTATGTGTGGAAAGATATCACCAACTAACAACTACTTGTCAAGTGAAAGTCGACGATGGACTCTTCCATAGCCAAGCTAGCCATCGATATCTTGCGCTCTATAGCACATGGTACGATATCAGATCTCTTTGAGATAAGGCTATTCTATAGACCCCTTTCTGAGCCATGGTAGTGACCTTCAAGCATAGAGACACTACATCACGTCAAAAGATCAAACTTCACGTTGATATCACATGCCGAGCCTAACCGGCGCTGCAGGTCTCAGAAGGTAAGACCAGGCCGTACTTTCAACCCCAGACTTGATGATAGTCCTTGACAGTCATGCAAAAATACGGCAATTCAGGCTTGTGAACAGAATTGAACATCATATGATGATAACTTCATCGTCACCTTGACACCTTCCTAACAAAGTGCACACACAGATTACCATTCTCTTGAAGAGTGTGCGCAGATTATTACATCACAGTTACAAACCAGAATTACAATAATCATTATAGGAAGGCTGAACTGACTGTTTTCAATTGCTCTATCTCATGTTCTTTGACGAGGAAGGTCAGATTGATTTGGATGCAGCCTTTGAGAAAAGAAGGAGGTAGGAATGATTCGCTGCAGGTCCTTCACTCTTGATCTGCCTTTCTGCAAGGAACTTAATCGAGCAGAATGACGTTGTAGTCTAAGGCATCCGTTTGCCTTACTTCTTAATTGGTTATCGTTATGCATGTACTACCTGCATGTTTTACTGTTCTGCGGCTCTTCAGTAAGACGTCTTACCCCTCCACTTGAATAAGGCGCCCGCATTCCAATTCAGCCGCACTGAATTGAGGGGTATTGCACAATTCAAAATACTCAGTGACTCGGAGCACGTTTCCCAATACCACCTCGTCTATGAGGGTTAATAATTGGTGTTGGTGTTACTCAAGGGTTCCCCTTTACAGCGTCGTCTTACATTGAGGTTGAAAGATCTGACTGCCTTATATAGCCGGATACCGATGCGATGCATTTGAACAAAACAGATTTCAGGGATGTATCAGCAATGAAACAAAACAGGGCATAAGCGCGAGGATCAACGCAGTCCCCCACAATCAGCAATTTGAAGCAGAGCCTCATTGTAGCGAACCATCATAAGAGGCAGCAACACCTGACATCTCCCCACCAACTCGCACACTTACACAAAGAGAAAATGCATTCTCATGAAATGCTGAGCTCACGATCTTACGCCAAAATCTCCTGTCATCATATGGTTTCAACAGGCTGAGACTCAGCAACCTCATTCGATATCCTGCTCTGACCGACGTCGCATACTAAGGCTGCTGGTTGTCTACTTCAGTATTGGAACTTATGTTTCCTATAGACCGTCTTTTTGCTTTTGCACATGAGAGCGACTCATGGCTTGCTTCAAGACAGCTGTTGAAAATGCATGGCTCGGACAGCGCATATTCCGTCTGCAAGCCACAGGTCATCCAGTTCCGGGACGACCCGCGTGACATAAGGATACAACATCGAGACCTGCAAAACATTGACATCCTGCATCCATCAAGGTGCTATGCGGGCGCCTTTTCATTGCAATACAGCTCGAGAAGGTTGAAGCGTATTACCTAAGGCATCAAGTCTCGGTTACAGTCCACTGATTGGATTCCTCATGTACGTTTCACTAACCCTACCCTAGATTTGATACCACAGAAGATATTTGGGTGGCCTCAAACTCTGGCAATGCAGTTGTTACTGTAGTCTTGTTGCAAAGGCAATGGGCACTTGAGGGCCTCAATGGCAATGTCATGGAGCAAGATGCACATCCATGCATGGATGTTTTGACTTCTGGCTAGGTAGCTTTACTGCTATTGCCCAGATACATCACATACCTAGCTTATCTTACCGCCAAAGCAAGAAAATAAGCGCGATTACCGTAAACAACCATCTGGTGGCTTTGACAACAGTTCGAACAGGGTATCTTTTTACGAGGATCAGATCGATTATGCAGATTCCACATCACCGCCTCGACCCCCAGCTGTAATTCACAATGGTAACGAGTCATTTTAACTTCAATTCGCTGATCAGTCACATGCTCACTCGCTACTGCAGGTTCATGGGTTTCCAGCGGGTATCGCAGCCTGTCCTGCCGGTCGCTAAGTTCATTAGTGGCTGCCTTTTTCAGGCGAGATTTGGCATCAACAAGGCAACTATATAACCTACCTACCTTCCATGTATGTTTGGGGGCACTTATATCATCCATGCCGAGTATTAGTCAACACAATTTTGTAATTAAAATCGATGTAAACAATTCGCGCGGAACTGTCGGAAGTCTTCAATCTCGGAATTGAGCCGTAGGCCTTGACGACCGGGTAAGCGGCTTTGTTGGTTCGGACCTGTGGACATTCGGCATCCGTAGACATTCAAAGTACCGGGTTCCGAGTCCTATGGGCAAGGCAACCGCAGGAGTTCTATAACATGTCACAGGCATCAACTGTCGTCTGGTAGAATTGTTCTAGAAGGCTTCTAGTAACCTTCTAGTAATCTTCTAGAAAATTTCCTACAATAGACATGGCTCCCAAGGCTGAGCTGATAGTCACATGCTCTAGTCAGTAATGTTTCACTGCTTCCCGAACACCAACGACACCCTTCACAGTCATACTCATCGACTATACTATACCCCTCGTGCAGGATCTTGTACGGCACAGTCAACCTAAGCTAGTACCTTCCGTTTTGGTATTGTTGTTCAAGAGATGAGCAAGCGAGGTCCGATTGTAATTACACACGATTTCACGTGCATTATCGTGATCCTCGGTGTCATCTCGCTAGGGTGGCCTAATTGTTGACGAGGTTGATGATCCTATCGTGCCACTTTGTCCGTAGCTAAGCCTCTTTGTTGAACAATATCACAAGCTTTTGACCTCCTTCCTTCTTCCACTCTTGTGGTTAATCGGCTTATGTCGGAGTTCTTCTCTGACAAACACGTATGCTCTCTCCCGAAACCATCTGATCATCATGCTCTCTCGACGTTGAGTAGATCCCAGGTCTTCTGATATCATGAAGATCAGTGAAGAGCCTCCCATTGGATACCCCGTACATTGCCAGCCACTGAGCCCATTGGGTTTTGAGGTGCACGCCTGGAGCCAATACTATCAACCGTTAGGCGTTGAGGGCCTCAAAGATTATACCTACGATTTGCAACTGCCGAATGTAACTGCAAGTCTGGTACTCGCCTAACATATCCTGAACAATACCTAGCGCAGACAATAAAGTTTCTCTTAATAAAGACCAGCATATTGACGTCTCGCTGAGAACAGAGAATAATTAATGCCAAGGGAAGCATTTGCTCACCAAAATGGCTAGCACCAGTCGCCCCTTGCAAAAGGAATAAGTTGGGCAGTATTGTTTCAAAGAACCTTGGCCATCACAGAATGCCTAAACTATGATGCCCAAACTGCCCAATAAAGACCACTTACACGTCCCAATCTATCTAAAACCAGACTTGACCAATGCCGTACAACCTGTCAAAAGCAATTAATGCATAAAGATGCTCAAACGTCATTTATTCTCCGATTCGTCACAAGACGCTAGACCAATGACGAGTTGACAACATCAAACAAGACTTTTTCTCGGCATCTTCCCCGCTTCCATAGAAGATGCGACACTTGGTTTGGTGTTTTTAACCATTATGACCATCTAATAAAAATCAAACATGTTTTATCTTCTGTGTTCAGACCTGGCCATTTTTTGGATACCCTTTACGACCAACAAGGCCTGAAAATGTGGCCAAGTCTCACATTTTTGGCCCCCAAGTGACCCGACAGTCCGGTACGCCTAATGCAGTGCGTGGATGCGGGGGCGGGAGACTCCACTTCCCGCTCTGTTTGACTGGAATTGAATGCCATTCTCAGCGCATTCATTGTAATTTTTAATGAGTGAATTACTTAGGTCTGTACTGCAAATATTGGTATCTATCCTCCCTGTCCTCCCCCTGGATACTTTTTATCCCCGCCATCGTTCTAAATAAACAACATTGAACACTCTCGTTTCTATCAGGACTCCCAACACCTGAGCATTCAACAGACAGCCACCCAGACAGACAAAGAGAAAGAAAAACACACAAAAGAAAAAGGACTATGTACAGACCCCGCCGGCTTAATAGACAGTCTGAGGCCGGAGAGGTTACAAGGAGGCATTGTACAAAAAGAGACAAGAATAATAATATGCAGTGACTGGGCAGCTCGTCTATGAACGCCTGTGCCGAACCGTATAACGTATCAATGTCGCGGAGATGCAAATTTCCTTCTCATTTGACCTACCTTTGAGAGTTTGCATGACCATCTGTGAAGTGGTGGCATGATGCTAATGTGATTTAGACTGATCCGTGATCATCGATCGGTGGGATAGTCCGTTCTGTCACCATGGTTGAAAATGTGTCGGTTCCCAATATTGAGCAGAGCTCTGTGATCTTTTCGCAAAGGATCTAGCTTCGATCCAAGAGCATATTGGTTTCAACAAAAAGAAGGTCTCATTGAAGCTCTGCGTATCAACACCCACCCGTTGTTGAATCAGAAGGGTATCAGAGTGTCGCGGGCATCCATGGAATACTCGCCCCGGTCGTCCGAAAAAATATTGCCAAAGTTGGAATAACCGGGAGGATACTCGAATGGCTTTTTCGACCACGAAACTTGCAGACGATAATGTATCCATGGTTCTGAATTTACATGTGCAAGCGCGGAAGTGCACGGGACAGACAAGAGCTCCTTCAACAGCTCGGACGCTACGCTGTCGTTGAAGTAGGCAAGCCTTGCAAAGGCTCTTATCCTAGTACCGTGGCGCGCATCTTGCACTGTGGTCGTTCAGAGAAGGTCCAAATGGCATCAAATAGAAATCTGTCTCACGCAGGGATGTTGTCCAGTTGAACGTCATATTTGTCTGGGACCGTAAACTTGCAGGTGTCCTCGTTCCAGATCAACCAGCTGCCTGAAGTAGCAATCTTGGAACCCAGAGATAGAATTCGATCCTTGCGCTTTTCCGACATGGATGGCAACTCAAAATACTTCTCGTCCTCGTCGATCTTGTCGTTCTGGAACCAGTCATTGGGGAAGTAGTCCTCGGAATGAAGCAAACCCCGCAAGGCAAAATCTTCTGGCAGCGGGCGTGGGTGTTGGTCCTCTTCCCATGGGTGGAACTGACTTTTTACCTCTTTTCCAGGCTCGCAAGAGCCTAGTAGTGAGTTAAGCATCAGAGAAGTAAGCTTCCAAGGATATTTCTCTTCCAAATGCGAGATAGCCGCTGGATATCGAGTCATGTAATTCATGAATACCATGATGGTATGCAAGAACGGCCAAGTATTGGTATCCCCCCATCGACGAAGTACAATCTCGATTGTGTCAATGGCAAAGGTCAAAGCAAGGTTAAAAGTCTCGTCCGGAGTGGCTTCGGGGATCGCGCTTCCATCCATGGGAACGTCAGTTTCCTCAGGCTTCTTAGATATGGCACGCATGAGAACATTAGACTCGGCACCATAGCCGAGAAGTGAACAAGTCATAGCAATGCCAGTGTGGTACCTGTGGATATTAGCATTAAATCGTTAAACTTGTCAATACCGACTAACCCTGCTTCCAACCATCTCTTGGTGGACCGAGCGATATGGCCGTCCAATCCATCATTGAAACTTTTCATAGACTCCGGAAGCTGTTCCTTAGACTTGCCAGAAAATAGAATGCCATGAGCGCGAACGAAAGAAGCATCAGTTTGAGAAAGACGGGTCGTGCTGCTGTTCAGAAGAGGATCAAACAACGTCATGATACTTTCCCGAGCGCTCGAAAACGGAATAGGGACACACAGCGATTTCGTATAGTAGTATAGCTGTTGAAGTGCATTGGGTCGCGCCAAGATAGCCAGATGATGGTAGAGTCTACCTGTTGTGGGGCTCTTGTCTGACGCTTTGCTATACCAATGGCGACTTACACCAGTCCATACCTCACGGTCACGAATGTCGTCATCCTCGATGGCCATGCGATATCGGCCAAGGTCACCGAGGCACTCAATCCATGTATCTTCGAAAGCAGGGACCGTTTCATACAGCAAGGCCATCATGCTGTATGCCAGGTACAAGAACGTAAGCATATGCTCGAGAGACGCTGGCAATCGATGTCTCAAGAGCTCAAGGAACGAATGAATGCCGTGTCGCCACATACGGGCAGGCATGGCATACTTAGAGGCCAACCTGCGCAATGCGGGACTGGCAGAAGGATGTTGACTGGCGAGAAAGAAGTCGTGATGTTCGTGAAGCAGTGTCCGGTGTAATGCAATTAATGCCTGCCATTGTTCATTGTTGAGCTTTGAGTTGGCATCGGTATTGGATGATTGCGCATTATCAACTTCGATGCATTTGGTCTCGACCATGACTAGCCCAGCATATATGCCCTTAACCTCTGCGACGAGTTGGTCTTGGGAGATTGGCCTTGTCTCCGGTTGGCGCATCATTCTGGGGGAAGACTCATCATCGCCGGTTGGAGGTTGAGAGGGACCTGTGGCAGGTTGAGAAGGCTCTGTGGGATGGGAAGGTCTCGTGGTAGGTTGAGGGGTTCTATTAGACTTGGAAGGAGGCCCTTGCCGGGGCGAGCTTAAAGAGACGGCACGCCCCTTGCCAATTGACTTTAACTGATTGTCTTCGGACCAGAGCTGTCGACCTGAAGTATTGTGGGGCCGTCGCTCGAACTCGCTCCGGGGGTCATTGCGGGCGCGGCTGCGGCTAACACCGGTCTGCGGGCTACTGGTGGCCGGAGGTGCAGGCGGAGGTGAGCAGCGCTTATCCCGGTGACTGTCAGACTCATCGGCCGTTGTCCCTGAAGGAGGTTGATCCTCTGTGGTTCCAATATTTGCGTCTGCCCGGCGTTTCTTACTACTGGAGTCTTGACTGTTGGGTCTATTGGAACTACTGAGAAGAGTAAAGAATAAGCGTGAGCAAATGCATACCAGTTGGATGGGAGATGAGCTCACCCTTTAACGTATTGTTCCGCTGCTTGCGGTGTTGGCCACTTATCACGGTGCTCAGGGTCGATTTGAGCGTGTTCGCGCCATGCTTCTATCGACTTGGATTCATTGCCACAAATATCGCAGATAAAGGACTGAGGCTCTGCTCGGTCCCTGTCTTTGTCCTTATCATGTCGATCTTGCGTTCTGAGATGACGAACCCATTTGTTTGTGATGTCCGCCATCCTTGGTTGTAACAAAGCATAGAGGCCGTCCCGGGACTGGTCGGCAAAGACTGAGTGAGGGGTGTGTATGAGAGGAAAATCACACGAGAATTAAGTCTGCAGCAGAAAAGAACAGACTCAGTCAGCCATTATTTTGATAGGGTTGATCAGTTGTCCAAAGCGCGAACGTGAATATGAAGTAGCAAAGCAAGCAAAGGCCCAAAATGCTAGTGGCTGGCTAAAGGGAAGGAAGGGAAAGATGGCAGGAAGTCTCGTTGCTAGCACTATCCACCACGAGTGTGCGTATTTTTTTATTTTTTTTGGTTGACGCGATGAGAGAGGGGCAGGTAGGAGCAGAGAAGGGGAGCTGGACCCCAACTGCCATATGGTTCGCAAACCAAAAGCATCAAGTGGGTGTGTGTAGGTGGACATGATGCTCCATGAGGTAGGTATCTGGATACCTTGCAAGATATGCGAAGTAAATTACTTACCGCTTTCAATCTGAGGCGTCTCAGAATGATGCTTGTCTTTGACAAAGCTTGATGCGATGAATTGATCGATAGTGGGACAGGGTTCGCCAGGCGGTTCGCCACAAGGCAACAGCAGTCGGTTGAGGCTCTGCGGCGATAACTTAGTGCCCCTCATCTTTGAAAACCCAGGCTTCTCGCCGTCATTTTCAGAGGAAAAACATACCAGGAAGAATAACTTCTTTTTGCTTATTATAATTAATGTTATAATCTTAACGATGTCATAATAATCTAAATGTATTGTTCAAATACGTCAGTGCCTTAGTGTGATATGGGAGTATCACACTACTTCGTGGTGATCAAGTAGTGTTTCTCAAATCCAACGACGAAGACACGGTAAGCGCCTTCGTCCGATCTCGAGGAAATGATTTGACAAGTGGGGGGAATTTTGTGTAATTGCTGATGCAATGAACACCAATGAAAGCGGCTAAGAAGGAAAGAATCAAGTGGGATCACTTGAGTTAGGATATTTCATTCTGGACATCAGGACATCATGACATTTTATGGAATTTAGCACTGAATTTGAGCGACCTAAGGCGAACAACTCTGACCTGGGATAGACTAGATATTGCAGTGTAATATGTGAACCCCGAACCCTAGTCGCCCAGGTTGTAAGCAGTGAGGCTGGGTGTCTTATTATATTATATATTGTTTGAGAAATGTGTAGTAAGACACCTAGGTATTGAGCGAGTTATGGCCATGGTGGTTGAAAATAGGTAATAGTAACTTCTGGTTCGCATTCGGTGTTACCGATTTCCCTTCGCCGCTTACTACTACATTGAATGGGTAGGGGCGGCATGGTACTCTTCTCATACTTTCACCTTTCATCTAACTCTGCTACCAAACAAAGCCTTCAACAAAGGGCAACGTCTCCTCTACGCAAGATTGTTCGTATTCAAGTGGCTGAGCTGAAAATCACAGCAAGTGACCGTATCCATGGTTGCGAGCAAACATGTCGCGTGAACATTTTCACGAACGGGATATTGGCAATTATTGGGGCTTCAACAAGCTGACCGCGACGACTAACAGCCAGTACTTGTGCATCTCATATCACCTGGAGATCCAACTCTAGGTACCAGGAAGAATGATATCCGGTGAACTCAGCCTCTCTCTGTCAGAAATGATCGAATGTCACTGGTTCTGTGCGAGCCCCTTTTCTTGGTGACTTGCCACCACCGGCTGGGCCAACCTCAATGGCGAAACACTCGTTCTTCAAAAAGGCCACTGAACGCCCAAAAGCCTGAGACTCATTTCACCAGCGCTTGTATGGATTCAAAATGAATGAACGGGACACCCGTGTTGGGCCAAAGGCCTTGACTGGATAGCCTGATGGAGACCCTCTGGAATCATGACCAACAGGTCCGACTCAGTTTCTTTTCAACACCGCTGCTAGGCTTCGATTGGCACTTGTCGAGATGGGGTCGAAGAAAATTTGCAGTTGTTGTGACTCTTCGATTAGGCTGCTGTCCAGGTAACCGTCATGATGAAGCCAGGCTGTTTGCCTCCAGTGGAGATGACAGGCAGAGAGAAGTGAGAGGACAATCGGCGGCCGAAAGGCTACAGCGACACGCAATCGAGACGGTGATTGAAATGAAAAATCGAGCGGACTTTGCGAACAGGAAGAAGGGGGCGAGGGGGCCTCTTTAAGGCCTTCCAGAGACATATTGGATGCCACTTCTATTTGCACAATCAGTTCAAAATGTCCTTGCTGTCTGGCACGAATGTGAAGAGTTTGTAAGAATCTCAAACTGATTGTTGAAGAGCGCCACCGAGAGCAGTTGGAAATACTGCCAACACATTGCTTACATTTATCGAGAGGTCTTGTAAGCCTTCAATAACTGACGGACGTTCCGCATATCCGGCCCCGCTTATTCGGTCGGCGGATCGGAGAAGTGGAGTCCCCGACAGATATGGACCCCTGAAAGTGCATAAGTGCGCTATTTCATTTCCTAGGCGTCGAGTGGTCATTGGCGGCTCGTCTGCCTAAAACCTTCTGGAACGAGGCACCTGAAGGCTGCCCGATTGCGGGCACCCGACCACTAATTTCCAAGCCTTGGTATGGACCTTAGTACCAAAGAACTTATGACAGGATCATCCCGTCGCATCGGGACCACACCCCTTTAGGCTTTAACACAAGACGACGCGATCAAGGCAGCCAGTGAAACGTCGTTGATGGGCAACTGTCACCCGGATATTGGATTGCAGAGATAGAATGACTGGCTCAGATCGAGACTTGATTGCTTGAATCGCATATTTCTTACGGGCAGCATAGTCCTAGACTGGACGCCAGAGTTCAGCCTCTTATGTATGGCATATGAGCAATTGAATCACGAATAAGATAATCTGTGTCAGATGGGTTTTCAGCTTCAAGCCCCTTGCAGTGTTGGTGGCCATGCCCAACTTATAACTGGAACGAGCCATGTTCAGCCTTCTTCTGCCTTGTCTTATAATGCCTATATTGAGGAATCCTTTCCGTGATGGCATGGTGATCCAATTCACGGCAAAACATATCGTCAATAAAGAACACATATTTGATCGTTTCATTGGACAACTCAGTAGCGCAGGTACACCCTCGAACAACAAACTTAGACGCCTCAGTCGCCTTGTCCCAAAGTTCGCAGCTTCATTAGAGCCGCAAACACAGAATGACATCCTGTGCCCCCATCAATTCTGTCTGTACTACCTTCAAGGCGAGCTTTGTTTCAAAGGTAAGAACGACAGAAGGACTCGTTCTTTTGAAAGTCATGGCTTTCATGTCTCATGACATACAACGTATCTTGTGTAATGCTTCAATACGTTGATTGAGTGGGACGAGGCAAGCATTAGTTGAGAGGAATGTGTAAGAATGTTCTCCGAGTAAAGTAACACATCGATTTCAAGCCATATAATCGACCAGATGACCTAGGTTGTGTTCGATGTTCAACATAAACGACCCATCTTGCGTGGCTAAATATGTATCTTTGCTGTAGTGCAACTTGATACATGGCAGTGCTGGTCATACCTTTTCCTACGCAACGACGCCATTTTACAGTACAGCATGCGAGCAATGCTCTCGGATATACTGGAAACCGGCCAGCCGGTCTGTTGCTGTAAATACAAATGAGGCTCCCTTATTTCACGGTTACACAAGAAGAAATCAGGCCATTTTTTTTTATATGCCTCGGGTGTTGGCATCAAGTTGCATATATATAGACACTATATCTGCGGTCATCACAATGTGTCACTTGGACGCTCAGTCTATCATTCGCAACAACTTCATCGAGAATCACGTCCTGTGCAACCGGGCTAGGATAGTTGCCGCCCTTGTATACTCTCAGCAATAAATTAACGGCCCCTTCTCTCTTTTCTCTCTCAACTCCTCACGTTCATCCATGTCTTTCACATCATTACTCTCGCACATAACAGCGGTGTAACGTCTTGTATACGCACTTCATACCGGATTATCCAACAAGGGTGAAGCTTTGACAGCCTGCACAACAAACTGCAGCACGTTGGCTTTGCATTTTGGTTAGAATTCCTTGTTGACGACATGTTTTCTCTGCACTTTCCCAGCCAGACATCTCAAACAATGTGGTTTTGAACCTGATCTTCAACCTCTCGCATCTATGGCCCATGCCCATCAGAAATCGCCTTGTATCAGTGTAAGGCAACGACATATTGCTGCTGTAAGGGCTATCTCCTGCAGATGCGTTGAAAGCGCATAAGGACAGCCGTTGAGCTGAGCCCTGAGAATCTGGTGGAATGACAAATCGTCTTCTCTCATCAGTTGTCGTAATTGAGATTCAGGGGAGGGCCTCTCAGCTCTGGGTGAGTGGTCATATATTTGCTTTTTTGATAGGTACGGCTCTGACGCCCCCAACTCACATCTTCACTACAAGAATGCATTCATTTGCCATCTTACGATCCTATATGAGATCTCATATAATCTCGAGACAACTGGTGCCAGGCGCCCGGTATCGGGCTCCCATTGATACCTTCTCTGGAGTTTGTCGCGAGTTAGTTGAGAGTCATAATAGCGGTCTACAGCACAAGGACCAACCCAACAATTTTGACCTCTCCAAACCTGGCTATGTTTGCAGCGAGAGCCAACAAGCGTCGAAAGGTCTGTTCATTCTGAGACAAACATCCCAGGCGCATCCTTAATGCTGCTGCCCGACTTGCATCCTACGGTTTTCTGCATTTCTTAACGGCAGGATGCATGCAAGTTGGGCCTACCAAGGAGACTTGAATGACGTTGATTGAGAAAGGCTCGGTCATCGGTATGGCCCATGATGCTGTTGCCTTGTTGGTGAGCAATCAAGACGAAAAGGTTGGTTGTATTCATTGCATCTTTACCCCATGTTGGTGGTCAACCGTTGCAGTCAAGTGTTCCTTCCTCAGAGGCTCAATGCGAACATCGACGGGCGCTCTCAAGGGTAAGCAAGCAGGCGCTTAGGCGGAGTGATGACGGCTGCATGGAAACAGTCTATCAGCAGTTCTATACATATGTTGCGATAGGACTCTACCCACCACAAACCTTGCAAGGCAACAAGAGGCAGAATAAGTGTGTCAGTTATGTTTGGTGTGGTTCACGCGACGCGACATCGCATTCCTCGAAACGGCTACGATTCTCATGGACGTTGTTGTTTTACCCAGGTCTCTATAAATGAAGCTGACGATTTGAGGCCTGAGGCCATCCAACAAATTACACCGAAATTACAAGTCAAGCGCAGCTGATCAAGATTGAAAGTGTATATTGGACAGTGGTGTCTTAAACTGCAGTTGGCGACGTATCGTTGAGTTCAAATTATTGGAGAAGTGGTAGGGCTTGAGCAACATGGTCGATGTCGATCTTCGCAAGCTAAACCCAGCTCTTTGTGATTACTTTGACTTGGCGCAAGCCAATTGGACCGCCTCACCAAAGATTCAGGGCTGGCTCTCGAGCCTTACTTCAATCCTGATCGTCGCCTGTTATCAGATAGGGACATCAAAAGGAAATGTTCTTATCGACAAGAGAGCCAATATTCGTGGGGTTCTGTGGGGGGCGTACTGCTGTCTGATGATCCCAGAAGCACGACTTATTCGAAGGAATCTTGTAGGAGCGAGATGGAGACGCCAAAGAGTTGGGAAATGTCAGTTCATGATCGTGCTTCCTGAAATGAATGCGTAGACGGGCAGTATGAGGTATAACAGGTGTTGATCTTGCAATACTCGTCAATTCGTGAAGCATATCAACAGATACCCCAGGCTGCTCCCTGAGGCACCATCCGATGTGATCATGTATCTCTAACATGTTTATCCCAGCTACAATCAATATACACTACTCGAACAGCACCTCTTTTCATGATCGGAAGGCCTCATACTTCTCAGCTGTGGTTCTCTTCTCCTCAACGCGGGCAAGAGTTTCCGCGTCGTATACATCCTCAAGAGACTTGCCGCCCTTGAAGATCTCCTTTTCATGTCTCGTCGCCTCCTCCTTGGTCATCAGCACAAGGTCCCTCAGCTTCACTGTTGAGCACTTCTGAGTATCCTTGCCCTCGCCCAAGGTCGTCATGCTGGGACCCCCAGGCTTCGCCCATCGGATAAGAACCAGCTTTGTAGGGATACCGCTGATAGCACTTCGGCCACGGTACAGCTCTTCTGAAAGGAAAGCCACGTCACCAGTAGTGATAGGTACTTTGAGGCCGACCGTATCGCCTTCAAAAGTCATACGTGCCAGCTTCTCCTCGTAGCTCTGTAGCGTCGCCAACATACCCTCGTACATCTTCTCACGTCCCTTAGCAGGGACGTAATCGAGGGGGTAGCCGGTAATGCTCAGGATGACGTGGTTGGCAACAGTAAGACCAAAGATAGCAGGCATTGTACCAAGAACAGGCAAAATTCGCACGCGGAAGTTGGGCATAGCTGCAAGGTCGCCGACAGAACCCTTCTGGAACTCCTCCTCGGGCAGAGGAAGCAGCTCAGCCTTACCAGCGCCTGAGGTTTCTGTGGAGTAGACAACGGGAATACCGCTTGTGATACCCTTGAGCTTGAGCTTTCTTCGAGTCGCACGCGAAAGACCATCGTCCTTGCTGGATCCGATATCGCCTACAATGATGCGGGTAGGATCCGACTTGCAACCAGCCCCCATGGCGCTGATGACAGGTAGGTTGTTCTTGTGGCAGTACTCGAGAAGCGAAACCTTAGTCTCAATATTGTCGATAGCATCGATAACAAAGTCAGGGGCACGTCCGTCCTCGCTCCAAGGTCGAAGCAGTCGTTCCGCAACGTTCTCGTTGAACTGCTCCTGTCGCAAATCGAACTTGACCCAGGGTGCAATGGCCATCAAGCGCCTTTCCAAGCACTGTACCTTAGGAATTCCGACATCTGCCAGAGTAGCAACCGCATGACGATTTAGCGAGCTCAAAGTCACTTGATCGAAGTCGATTAGTCGAATTTTTGATACACCAGAGCGGGCGAGAGCAGCAGTGCAATGAGAACCGACACCACCGCATCCGACGACAATAACGAAAGAGCTCCGAAGCTTGTCGAGACCCTCATCGGTCAGAAACACACGGTTTCGTGCTAGTTGCTCGAGAATAAGCTCTTCATCGAAGTCTCCCGCTTGTGCGCGACGAGCCATCGCTTGGTTCCTAGCATCTTCCTTATCCACTGGTGGTGCTGATGAGCCACCAAAGTTGTTCAACTGCAGCTAGTTAGTAACTTCACCACATCATTGACTCGGGAACAGTACAGGTTGAAGATTAGGGTCATTTGCAGGGATCGAGTTCTTGAGTTCATGTACTCTCTCTTCCCGCTCCAATGCTTGGTAACCTAGTATTAGAGATGCAGCTGTAGCTCCAGAGAAAACTGCTGTCGCAAACAATTGGAACCTAGGATTTGAGAGTATGTCCGAGGATAGGAAGGAGGACATTTTTAAGAGATTTGCAGAACAAAAAATGTTCTTTGTCCTTTCCAATTAAGAGATCTTGAAGTTGATGTGCTCATTCAACTTCCTCCGGTTTTTGCAAAACTCTTGGCACACAGAATATCTTAGTCAGCTTTTCAAGATTCCAATTGGCTCAATTTTCATATCGTTTAAGATCTTCATCATCCAACGACTCGATATAACTTTATCTTGGCGACATTCCCTTAATCAGCGACGACCGAAATCACGAACGACCGAGTGCAAGGGGAACACTGAATTAATTACACCTCCGGCGCCATGCGTCCTCGGCTTGTCGGTCGCCGTGTCCGGGTTGTCACGCCCCGAGTGCCAACTCTTCGAACCCGATCGCCTTGCCTCCTCCGAACTTTCACACACCATACTCAACTCACCACAAAATCACGACCGAATCTCCCTTTCCTCACGATACCAGTAACTTCCAACAGCGTTCGGTACTTCACCACTGAGCGACGAAAATGGCTCAAGCACGAAGCCAAGTTGGCAGTCCGATACATGGCTTCGTTCTGGGGTTTATTAGCATGTGTGGGCGTCATTTTGTTCTTCGTCAATGAAGAGAAGCTAGAACAGGAATATCCCACACCGCACGAATGGGGATGGATGACGAGGAAGTTCCTAAGGGATTCAAATAACAGCAATGCTCCGAAGAACGGCGAGGTCAATTGGCCCTGGTCTTTCGAATTGGCACGAGGATTGGTTTTGAGATTGGAGGACCCAAAGGTCGATGGCCAGGGCGTTACGAAACTTACGGATAGAGTTGATCCTGAAGCGGAGATTGCTGGGGAGTTCAATCCCTGCGATATTTCTGGCAAGAGCGAGGAATGGAGGAGAGGATATTTCGAGGCTATTATGCTTGCTGCCAAGGGCGCGGAACATGTCGATAACTGGGTGCGCGACCTTTCACGCAACATTATCTCACCTCCCGAATTTGTCATTGGGCCATCTAACCCCAGACCGGCGCCAATTCCCCCAGGACAACCCCACGCCCCCCGCGAAGAGGACTGCGAAGTCGCCTATCCTAGCGCCGATAACTTTTACATGAAGATCCTGGGCACAAAGGGTTTGATTTCACGACAGAAGCTCGAGGCGACACTTGAGTATGCCAGTTATATGGAGTTCAAGAAGCAGCCAGAAGGTGCTGAGGCTCTGTACAACATGGCCCTTGCCGAAGCTACTCAAGGGGTCGACATGTCAAACCCCCCTTACAACCCTAAGACATTTATTCTCAACGAGAAAGCTGGTCCGCCCTCTCAAAATGTTCTTGATGCCGTCACAGCTATGGCAAACTTTAAGGCGCGCAGCGGAAAGGTCGATGCCGCCCTCCCCGTCTATCTCTCCCTCCTCAAGGCCCGTCGCTACCTCTCTAATGAACCTCCCCCTGCTGCTCGCGTAGAGGCGAAATCCAGCTCAGTCTTTGACAAAGTGATTCGGAATTTCTCACAAGCTGACTACCCACCTCCTCCACCCGATGGCACCCAGCCCCCTTGGCGTAGCGCCCATGAGCGTTGTCAAGAAGCTTCTTTGAGCCTCTGGATTGGTGAAATCCTCTTCTCCTCATCATCAAAGGACGACGGACTGTCGTGGACACGCGACAGCGTGGATATTGCGGAAGAGCAGCTACGCAATATGGATCTTCTGTCGGCCGACAAGGCGGCTAAGAAGACCTGCCGTGAGTGCTTGAGCGCAGGTCTCAGCAACTGGGGCAAAATGGTCGCCAAGCTCGCCAAAGAGGAGGAGTTGCGCCAAGAAAAGGCCTCTACACAGTCCGGTGTCTTCTCTTTCTGGAGTAGCACTCCGGCAAGTGCCGAAGACCGATGGACCGCAGAAGACGCTGTGGTGAAGGAGCGTGTGCGCAGGACAAGAGAGCTCATTGAGGAACTGACACCAGCAGGACCAAACCTTGCCTCGCTGTTCAAAGCGTAAAAGAATGTAAAAAATGTAAAAACATGTATAATGCGGGTATATGCTAGGAGCTGCAAAAGATCTTGTTGTGTATCTTATTTGGCTATTGCTCAAGACTTGAGCCTGGATCTAGTCTTTTTTTAATGATCAAGATATCCCTTTTTCAACCCCGTATCATAAAGTAACTTGTGGTGCTGTCTACCTTTCCATCACAAATGAACCAGCTTTGCCTAGTGTTCGAAATTCTTGGCCAGATCTCAGATCTCGTCCTGTTCCTCATCAAAGTCTTCAGGAGGTGCCACGCCATGCTTCTCAAAGTACTTCCAACGTCTGAGCTGCTTGACTTCTTCCTTGATCCACTCGGGACTCACAGTGTCGACTTCGGGTCTGACCTCATCCGGAAGCTCGCTCCATTGCTCTTCCGTGATGTCAGTTGGGAGGCGCTCTGCAACAGGCATTTCCGGATTCACAAAATCGGGGTTCAAGGCAATTTCCTGCAAGTAGGCGAGCGCTGGCTCAAGAGCCTTGATGAGTGTCATCTCGACGTACTGGTGATCCCCGGAAGAGAAACAGGGACAGCCGTGGGGGACGATCATGAGTGATGGATTGCCGCCAGGCATAGCTAGGGGAGTATCAAGAAGGTCATCGGAGACAAGGTAACCGCGGGTACGCTGTAATAGTTAGCGCTTGATCAGCATGGAGGTGGTGGAAAGAGAACTACCTTGGCTAGGAAGTCTTGAAACTCAGCATTGACGAGTGAGTCTGCACGAAACGCAGTCCCCATGAAAAGCATACCGCCCAAATGATGGCCCCATTGAGCCCAGTTGTCGTTGTTCTCAAAGAACTGCAGGGCTGGCTCATAGCTTTGTCCAATGGCGATGATGTCAATCTTCGCATCCTCGTTCATGTCGAGAACTTTGTTGAAGACTGTGGCCATATGGGCAATGGGAGTTTCGCTTCCAGGAATCTCGTTCAGCTCCTTGCTGTACTTTCGGCCAGCATGTACCAGGCTTGGAAGAGGGATGTCCGCGGCGTCTTCTATGGTGATAGCGCGCTCTTCCTCGGGCCACCAGAATCTCTGGCCCATGTTGGCGAGGAGTACGCATGGAGGCTCATGGTCATCGGGGCCGGCACGCTGCTTGGCAAGTGCTTGCACAACAGAGATCATACTACCCTTGGTAATGCCATCAGGTCCATTGATAACACGACCAGCGATGACACCTAGGTCGTGAGTAGGTTGGCCGAAGATGATGACAATGCGTGCGGTTTTGGCGATGTTGGGGCTCAAGAAGATAGGGCACTGTTTCTTGTTGCCGGGCAAGAGTTGGACTTTCAGGAGACCTTCCTTCTCTAGCCGCTCGTGGATGATATCCTCCAATGCATCTGGATCTAGTCAGTAAAGATGATTTGATACACAGCGCGGCGTTACTGTACGATGAAAGTTGAACTTCTGGCGGTCGTTGACACGAGAGTTCTTGTTGGTGAAGAACTTGTAGTAGCAATCCGGGTTCTTGATTGAGCGGACCTCATCCTGGTCATTTACAAAATATCTGTCAATGATTAGAGGTGTATTTCGAAGTGACTCGAAGTAACAAACCCAAGGCCAGCGAGGTCCTTTGGAAAGGAGACATCCTTAGGAAGACTGGACCAGTGCCGGCGAAACATGATGAACAAGAAAATCGAGCGCTAGGGATTGAAGGCTTTGAATTGTAGGCAAGTCAGAATGAATATTTGTATGGATGATGAGGAGAAGGAAGAGATGGAGTGCAATTTCTCAGTGCCTACGATTTGGTGCCCTGAGAAATATTAGAAAGGGTCATGGCAGCTGCAGGCAGCCGACAGCGAGTACGCCAAACCTCCGACACTCGTAAAATTGTGCTCATGGTTTTGATCGTTTGTCTACCTAGGCAAACAGTAGATTTCAAAGATACGAAATACTGATAGAATAAAATGGCGATTTTTCTAGGTGCTCTCTCCCTCCTTGGTCGCAAGATGCCGCATCCCCAAACCTATGGTGTATCAAAGCGAATAACGACAATCAAGCTACATATTCTTCAGAGACCGATCGTACTTGAAAATCTGCTTCTTCTGTGCCCTGCCAAACAGTAGAGGCGAGATGTTCAACTCCAGTATTAAACACAATATAATGCCTACGTCTTACAGCAAACGCCATTCTTGATGCATGCAATTATCCTCAGATTTCCTAAACGCCATGCCAAACAAGCATTTCCAAACGAAAACAATGTCACAAACAATTCTCAGTCCAATCACTGGTTAGAGCTGGGATTATAGCGGCTGCGGAAAGCCTGGCTTATACTGAAGCGGCTTCCCGCTCCCCTATTCATATGACTCGCCAATGCTTCCTCCAATGCGGATTGGGTAACAGAAGCATCTGACCCTGTGTGATTAGCAACCTCGGTGGTAACGAGAGTATTCAAGGAACTTACCGTCAAGATCACTATAACTGCTACCCATGCTAGGGGTTCCGTCGCTGCCTTCGCGGGAGTAGCCCTTGTTCTTACTTCCTGGGCTACGTCCGGCCAATTCAGCAGTCCGACGTGGTGAGAGAGGTCCAGGTGTCCTCTGCTCAGCTGATTTATCAGGTTTGTCCGGCTTTTGTATCATGGCAGCAGAGCTAGCTGAAGAGTCGGATGTGTTGGATTGATGGATAGCAGGTTTTCCATGACTCCTGTGATGTCGCTTGCCGGAACTGCGACCGTCTCCCCTGAGAGTTGAGCCAAGGTCCTGAGCTGAGGTTTTGCTGGAAGGGGATGTATATGGTTGGAAAGCAGGTTCAGATTCATCATCCTCGTCGTCGTCGTATTGTCCACCTTCAGGCTGCTGGAATCGTGGGGGTCGGCGAATGATCCGAGACTGGGCAGGGACAGATTCATCATCAGATGATGTCGCCGAACTATCCTCCGCTGGGCCTGGTGACGGGCTTCGTTCTTCTGGTGAAGGCTCTGGCTGTGGTGCTTGGTCGGGAGATTTGGCGGGAACCGATGCAATGGGGAGAGATGAGAGGCGACGTCGTTCGCTAGTCCGCGATGCCAATCCAACACCTGGTCGTGGGGATGCCGGCGCTCCTGTCATATCACGCAAGACTGTGGTATTGGTTGATGTATTTCGTGTGACTAACGGTCGCATTGATGAATGAAGAGGTGTGCCAGTGCCGCTCCCAACATCAGCGCGCGGCATGGGTGAATCTCGTCGAAAGGATAAGGCGGAATGCGTTCGTTGATGGCCGGGGCCAGCGGACTCGCCGCTTGGTACGGGAGAGGGGCCTGAGCCACGAACAGCGGCGGTAGCTTTGCGAACTTGAGCGCGAACTTGCGATGCATGTCGTTCGGTAAGCCAGGCAACTTGCTGGAGAAGGAAGTCTACAGGTACTTCAAACCGATCGGCGCTGCATCTCAGTAAGTATCACCTGCACGATATCCTGCAACAGAAGATCGACACCTACATTTCGTCCCCTGGTTCAAGTCAGCTCCAATGAATTTGCGAGAATGGGGTGATTCTTACAGTCAATTTGTTTCTTTGCAGCTCCGGAAAGGATCTTCCATAAAGCCTCATCTTTGACAGGATCCCAGTTTACCTGTCATGCTTCGAGTTAGCCTCACCATGACTACTCGGATGCGCGCGCATGATAGCCTTTAAGATGACCGGATCTGGGGGAGCTTCTTACCGGTGGAGGGTCAACAAAGTCGCCCCGAGGCATGGGTACCCGTACAAAGACGGTATATGTCGGTTCGCTCATGATCCGTCGATGAATATTAAAGAGATTAATAGATGAAAAGGATGAAAGAAGTAAAGTAGGCAACCAAGACGAAGCTCTTGGTCCTAGAGAGCTGTTGCAAGGGTTCCGCGATCGGCTTATCGATAAGGTACTAGTTGCCGTTTTAGCGTGAGAAGTTGGAGGGGTGAGACAGCCAAGATATCCTGGTCCACTCAAGTCTAAGAGAATCGAAACCACCATCAAAGGCACTTCTCAATAACACAACATCAAAGGAACTATTATTTGGTCATACAATCTAAGAATAAGATAGTTATTTGAGGTATCCAATCAAATCTGTTGGTTCTTATCAGGGAGATTCGACATATGACAACAGTCATCCTTCTTGCAATATCTGATAACGGATGGTTAGTCTTGGTACAACAACTCAATGCCCTTACTCAATAATGTGCATAACCATCTAAAGGTACACATTCATTAGTTTCTAACTTCTGCCTTCTGAGGCGTCGGTTTTGCCTTGTGGAACAACCTCACTTATGCTTGTTTTGTTCTGGCATTCACTCGTATCATGTCATACATTTCTACCCGTCAGTGCTTGGTCAATTCCACTTGTACGCCCACTCAATAGCCGCGTTAGGATTCTTTTCGCAGGCCTAATATTACTTAGAAGTGATATCCCTGGCTCCTGAATGGGTACCTGCGTACAGAGTGTGACAGCTCCCGCTACGCCGAACAAGTTGCCGTTATGTTCCTTACACCAAAGCAAGTTCCTTGTCAACCAATACTTCATTCCTCCATGCTGGTCTCACAATCGCTTGACAAGTCGTCTCCATGGACACTGGCAGACTCTTCCCGCAGCATCGCTTTGTCCCATAAACTCTCCAATTTGTAGCACTTGATCATCACCCGCTTCTGCTCTTCAAGTCGTTTGCTAGCAGCTTCAAAGCCTCTCTCTCCATCTCGTAGTCTTGCCGCCTCCAATTCTTGTTTTTTCTCTTGGTGCCAAAGGCGAAGTCGATCAATTCGGTCTGTTGTGCGTAGACGTTTGGCGTGGTAGTGGAACTGAGCATCACGGGCTCTCAATATCTCGCTGCTGATGTTGACTCTCGCAACTAGTCTTCGAACGTCCTTGGTCATCTGGTTCCGGTTCGCTTTGAGTGCTTCATAGTCGTCTTCTGGTGGTTTTTGGATAAAGTTGACCAACTCGAGGATGATGTCGAGTTCATGGATAGCCATTCCATATGCCAAGCTAACTTGGGTTTCTGTTTCTTCGACGGTGGCCTGGTTCTCACCAGCCTTGACGACAGACGGATCGAAACTAGACATCTTGCAAATTATCAACAGGAAAGATGATTGAGTTCTTGAAGATTTTGTGAATAGGGTTTAGGATAGCAGTTGGCCCGAACGTTCCACAAGCATTCCATAGGGTTTACGGAGTATTCACTTACATTCGGTGATAGGTTACAAGTTTACAAACCCTGTCATGAATCAGTATTCTTTTTTGTCTTGTGTATTACTTATCTGTGTCTCCTGACATCGATATTGCTTTTATCACAGCTAATGATCGTCCAAGAAGACAATCTTCACCCACATCATGTAGAAGAGATACTTTTTTGCTCGATAAATCAGCGCAATTCATGTAAAGGTACCAATACCGTTTGTATAGATCATTTAACTTCTAACTACCTGCCTAGACATCATGGAATATGTTGTCTGTAGAACGTATGTTCCGAGTCTAGGGTAATTGACTTGCAGATAACTACCAGCAAATGCCGATCCTTGTTGCTACTATTGCAAGATAACTGGTAGGCATTAAACGCATCCACTGTTCGGCATTGCTGGAGAATTATGAAAACAATGTTAGCTGTAGTTAGGCCTTAGTGTCACCTAATAAAACCCCCTGGACCGAGGTGAAAGCGTGCCCGTCTGCACGACTCATGAACACGGCATTGCTGATACTTGACTCACGAAAGCCGATGCAAAGAGGATCCCGGCTTTTCCCAAAACGGAAACGATGGTGCCCCGCGACTGCCATGCCAGACCCCGCTGAATTGTCTTTGCCTCACCACTGTCCACTTGTGACTTGGCTTTCGATCCGTCTCCAGCCAAAAGTCGGGAAGCTTCGATTATTCATTCAAACTGCCCGTCTTTTCTTTTTTTGACCTTCCAACTGTAACCATCTATCTGCATGGATGCATCTCGCTTATCTCTCCCATACCGACCACAACACCATTACAACATCACATCACATCGAGCTATAGCTCTGTCCATATCCATTCTCGTAGGAGCTACATAGAGCTCTTACATCATCAGATACCTTATCGCTATTCGTACAATAAACCCAGCCCCTCTAGCCTCTAGCTACGGACAGCTGTAGCCCTCCCCACCACAGTCGTAGACCCGAGTCGCTTTTGCGCAGCTTGACGACTACAACAATCCAGTCACCAATACCAACGTCACCCACGGCACTCACCATGGTAGCTTCAGAGCTCACCGCGTCTGCTAGAGCCATGCGCTCCACGCCTGTAAGCGGCGATGAGTCCGGTTCGAGCTTACCAAAGCCCCTCTCGCCTTTGCAAAACCGTGCAGCCGCCAGTCGCAGCCCGTACATCCAGGAGCATGCTCAAGACTTGGTCGCATGGCAACTCTTAGACGATGAGGCAGTTGAACGTGCACGCAAAGAGAACAAACTCATTTTCCTCCATATCGGTTACAAAGCATGCCACTGTAAGTCGCGTGATCATCCTAGCATTGGCTTTGCTGTTTCAATGGCTGACTGTTCAAGTTTGTCGATTGATGTCAACTGAGACTTTCTCTAACCATGACTCGGCTTCTGTACTTAACGAGTCTTTTGTACCTGTCATAGTTGACCGCGAGGAGCGTCCCGATATAGAAGCCATCTATATCAACTATACTCAAGCCGTCCACAATGTTGGTGGGTGGCCTTTGAACGTGTTTCTTACACCCAACTTGGAACCGGTATTTGGTGGAACTTATTGGTTTGGGCCCGCAGGACGACGCCACAACAGTGATAATAACGAAGAGATCCTCGATTCGCTTACCATCTTCAAGAAACTCCGCGACATCTGGACTGATCAAGAATCGCGATGCCGGAAGGAGGCAACTGAGATTGTTGCTCAGCTCAAGGAATTTGCAGCTGAGGGTACTTTGGGTACAAGGAGTATCTCAGCACCATCAGCTATAGGTCCTGCTGGCTGGGGCGCACCAGCTCCTACCCACTCGAGTGATACTAAGGCGAAGAGCATAAGTGTCTCGGAGGAACTGGACCTGGACCAGCTGGAACAAGCCTACAGGAATATTGTTGGCACCTTCGATCCAGTTTACGGAGGATTTGGTTTGGCGCCCAAATTTCTAGTCCCGCCCAAGATGGCATTTTTGCTTGGACTCTTGACAGCCCCCGAGGCCGTTCAAGATGTTGTTGGAGAAGACGAATGCAAACATGCCACCAAAATTACCTTGTATACACTGCGACAAATCCGCGATGGGGCGCTGCACGATCATATTGGAGCGACTGGCTTCTCCCGCTGCTCAGTCACAGCGGACTGGAGCATCCCTAACTTTGAGAAGCTGGTGACGGATAATGCGCAATTGCTTTCCCTATATATAGACGCATGGAAGGCAAGCGGTGGGGGTGAGCAGGACGAGTTTTTGGACGTTGTTATGGAGCTTGTCGAATACTTTACCACGTCTCCGATTGCCCTTCCTGAGGGAGGATTTGCCTCAACTGAGGCAGCTGATTCTTATTACAGACAGGGCGACAAGGAAAAGCGGGAGGGCGCTTACTACGTCTGGACATGGCGCGAGTTCGAATCGGTACTGGATGACATTGATAGCCACATGAGCCCCGTGCTTGCGGCGTATTGGAACGTCAAGAAGGATGGAAATGTTGGCGAGGAACTCGACCCCAACGACGACTTTATTGATCAAAATATTCTTTGTGTCAAGAGTACCGTTGAGCAGCTTAGTAACCACTTCAGCACGCCCGCGGAAAAGATTCGAGAGTACATCGAGACAGGAAAAGCTGCCCTGAGGAAAAAGCGAGAACAAGAGCGTGTGCGTCCTGAAACAGATGACAAGATTGTTGCGGGATGGAACGGTCTTGTGATATCGGCACTCTGCAAGGCCGCATCTGCGTTGAAAACGTTGAAGCCAGAGCAAAGTTCAAAGTGTCGATCTACAGCAGAGCGGGCCGCTGCCTGCATCAAAGAGAAGCTTTGGGACGCCAATGAAAAGGTCCTTTACAGAATATGGTCTGGGGCAAGGGGGAACGCTGCTTTTGCAGATGACTACGCTTACTTTATCCAAGGCCTGCTGGACCTTTTCGAGTTGACAGAAAATCAGCAGTATCTCGAATTTGCTGATGTATTGCAACGTAAGACACACTAACCCCCTCATTCGTGTATCGTTCCGCTAATTCTTGCAGAAACCCAAATTTCCATGTTCTACGATATGGACGGTGCTTTCTTCACGACAAAGGCCAATAGCCCACATGTAATCCTCCGCCTGAAGGAAGGCATGGATACGTCGCTTCCATCAACGAATGCTGTCAGCGTTTCTAACCTTTTCCGTCTTGCAAGCTTATTGTCCGATGAGGATCTTGCTGTCAAGGCTCGTCAGACGATAAATGCGTTTGAAGTCGAGGTTGGGCAACATCCTTGGTTGTTCCCTGGCATGCTTGACAGCGTTGTTACTGCGAGGTTGGGCAGCCAGAAGCCATCAGTTAAGGTGACATACAAGCCGGCCAGGCTGACAACGTAAAATAGGCTAGTTGAGCAGAAACGGCTCGCACAAGCCGGGTCTTCAAGAAAGGGATGATGGATCATAAAGATGCAAGAGAATTGGAGAATTCTGGACTTTTGCACATAATTTAACAACCCTCCAAACCAAAAAGCTTGCTGCCACACACATGCACTTTACTTTGTAGAGTTCCAAATGAGCGTATTCGAAATGTGATCAAATTTGTCATTTCAGGGGTATCTATTCTACATCGGCCACCGCCCCTTCTCCCCATGGTCCATTACACTTATCGAGCACTTCAACTTATGCTGTGAACTAACTCGCGAACAAAGTATGGCTCAGCAGTATTTCTTTAGTCTGGTTATTTACGGATGGCTGACTTAAGAACGGGATGTATCTGCTGTGCCTTTGCGGTTCATCAAACCAGTAAAGAAGCTCTGCAGTTGCTCATTGTCAAAGTCCTTGGCCATATTTGCAGCAGGCGTTTGCGTTTCTGCTTCCTCCTCTTCGTTACTAGGCGAGGAGGAAAATGCATTGCGATCCTGTTTATGTCAGTTACTGCACGCATTGCATATTGATGGCGGGATCGGCTTACCTTAAGACGCTGTAGCATATCATCAGCGTCGACCTGGATACCGCCCATGTTGAACTGCACGGGCCCAATATGTTCACTGATGCTCTTCTCATCGCCATACTCAATATGACGGGCGCTGCGAGCGATCGCGTTGTCGGGAGCCTTCTCTGGGTGCTTGGCCTTAAAAGCCTCGAGAATCTTGAGTTGCTTCGCAAGGAAGTCTTGAGTCTCGTCGCTATTCACGTTGATCCACTTCTCGCCATGCATGGCATTTTCAACAACTGCCAGACCGCCGCTGTTGGGGTCACGGCACCAACCCTCATAGCGTGCGATCGCACTCTTTTGTTGTCGCCTCTCCAACTCTGCATCATCCACCTCGCATGCTTGGTCATCGTCGTTAAAGTGCATATCCTTGCGGGGGGTGTTGATGTCGTCGGACCATGAATTAGAAATCTGCTCAGCGTCAAATGATCCGCCAAGAACACGAATCTTGCCCCATGAGTCCCAGTTGGTAGGAACGACAATCTTGTCGCGATCGATAACATTGTGCTTGAGTGGGTGGCGCTTGAGAAGAGATGTAATCCCAAGAGTGGAATGAATAAGAGAGGGTAGCTGAGAGGGTGCGTTTTGTGAAGTGTAAATCAGAGAAGCACCATCTATAAAATGTTAGTAGTTTGACCATACGTAGTTAGTAGAGTAAACTGACGTCTCAATAACACTGTTCGCAAGTATTGCAAAACCGTATCAAAATCAGGTTCTTTCCAAGCCTGGTTCTTTTCGAGAAACTCCATTTTTTGTGCCTGCTTATATTAGTAACCTCCTCATCAGTCTGCTTAGTGGTTGGTGTCTTACGTTCTGGCACACTACACAGAGTGGTAGACCCAAAGGTTCCTCCCATTCTCCTGGTCCCAAAGGCAGTGAACTGTCTCCATCGCCACCAGTGGCTGTAGCTGATGGTGTGCCATCGAGATTTGTCGCCGCGCCTCCCCGACCCCTCTCCTTCCAGGTCGCCATAACCTCTTGCATAAGGTCGCGCTGATCACTGTCGACTCTCTTGAGAACCTCTTGTATCATTTGAACCCATGTCCATATTTGTCGCAACCACAAGTGAGGCTGTGACCAGTCCAGTAGGATAATGAGAGAGGTATTGGGGATCGTCTCTGGGGTAAGGAGGGGCGCAACTAAAGAAGCGAATTCGGTAGATGGTTGAGAAAGAAAGTAGAGCGAGACTCGTGCCAGGGTATCTAAATATGTCAGTACGGTGCTTGAAGCTATACTGAGCGTGTTTACAAACCATCCTGGTCGGCATCAAGGACATCGTAGTATGTATAGCCCAGCGCAAAGTTGTTGGCAATTGGTGGTATCTTAAGCCGATCCGTATTGCGCTTTGACTCGGAGTTGGACAGAGATTCAAGAAAGTCTCTTTGATGTTCGGGGGTACCGCCTGGATTCATAGGGTCGTGATCAGCTAATCGAGCTCGTTGACATTGCTGGCTCGTCTCTGCATACCTAGAACGATAAGGTTCTTCTCTGGTAGTCGCTTGCCACTTGCGACGGATTCTAGCATAGACGTCCAAAGATCCTTCTTTTGCTCGCCATCGCGACCTTCTGAATCACCTGAACCCGTTGTATACACCGATATTCTGTTGGCCATGGCTCCGGTGTTTAGCTCAACGAGCTCGCCGGGAGTCTGTTATAGGACGAATCTGTAATATTCAGATCATGGATCGGTTTCCGTCGGAACCAGGGTCTGGAATTGCTGAGTGAAGTGTCTCGGATCGAAGTTCTTGTAGATACGCGTTGGGTGTGGTCTTGATAATATTAAAGGAGGTTGACAGGGGATTAGAGTTGCCGTTGGTGCATCTTCCACTCTGCATACAGCAGCCCCGAAAGTGCAGGTGGAATTGGTGTTGACCTCGACAGTCGTTTATCTCAGCTGTATAATGTCAGATGCAGGTAAAAGGTCGTGTTTCAACGCCCTCGGTGGTTTGTGGTACGTAGATATCGTCGACCGCTGTCCTTCATCAAAAAGCCCGAACGTGGCCAGCTCGAGGTTGCCAGGTACCAATTCGTCCCCCATTGGCACTTGGTCAACAAGTTACCCCGTCCATTTAGCTCGGTCCGGAAATTGTCCCGCCAAGAACTGCGCGCTACAACTTTAGTGCACGGCCCCCCAGAGCTTCAGTGATGTTTCTACTGGTTCTGACGTTGAATGCGACTTCGAACATTAATTATTTTTGACCCTTCACAACGTTGCGCCGACAGCAACTGAAACCACACAATGAATCAAATACGCGCGATTCAGGCGCTGAACAAGAAGGAGATCGAGAATGGAATGTAAGTACACAATTTGGAATATTGAAATCAATCTTTGTACACTGCTAACACACGCGCTCAGCACTCCAGAAGCTTCATGGCATACCGACTACCGCGACACTGCCTACGTTTATTTCGGCGGTCTACCTTACGAAATGTCAGAAGGCGATGTTATTACGATTTTCTCACAATTCGGAGAACCTGTTTGGCTAAAACTGTCCCGTGATAAGGAGACGGGCAAGTCAAAAGGGTTTGGATGGCTAAAATATGAGGACCAGCGAAGCACCGACTTGGCAGTCGACAACCTTGGCGGAGCAGATATCGGTGGTCGCCTTGTTCGGGTCGACCATGCGCGATACAAGGCACGGGACGATGAGGACCCAGATGAGTTCAAGGTCGGCTGGGAAGACATGTTAAAGCGAGAAGGTCAAGTTTTGTCAGAAGATGAGAGCAGCGAAGAAGAAGTTCAGCGACCGATGCTGCCAGAAGAAAGGGAACTCGCACTTCTGATGCAAGAACACGACGACGACGATCCTATGAAGGGATTCTTGATCGAAGAGAAGAAGAAAGAAGTCGAAGAGGCACGGCGCAAGGCAGATAAAAAGGGTCGCAAAGACAAGCACAGACACCACAGGTCACATCGATCACGGCGGGATGGGGGCGATGAGGATAGGCACCACAGATCAAGACGACATGAGAGTCCCGCAGACAGGGAGGATCGCCACCGGGATAAAGATTCGCGTCGGCACAGAGACAATAATGATGATCGAGAGAAAAAACGTGATGGAGGCAGAGACAGAGACAGGCGGAGAGAGAGGACTGAAGACGGCGAGGATCGCGACCGTCATCGGGAGCGACGAAAAGACCGGGACCAAGAGCATCGCAGACATAGGGACGATCATGAGGAGTCGCGGCATAAGAGACGCAGAGACGAAGATCCCGATAGAAGGTCAAGACGACGAAGTCGGAGTCAATCACCAAGACGCCGCAGTGATTAAAGTAGAACACTATCTAATGCAATACGCTACACAAACCAAAACAATTCTAGTTATTCTGAACCATTCAAACGCCTGTTCCATTTGCCCAACATTAAAATTCATACTCCTTGCCGTCGTCAGCTTGCTCCGCGCATAGCGTTTATTGACTCATGTGTTGCCCAAATACCGTTTCCATCCTTCTCTTACGCAGTGTCGCTTTCCATCTGCACCTTCGACAATGACGAACTTCTCCCATCGCGCGTCATGTCCTGCACCTATGACCACCAGACTATCATCACCGATCCAACCAATTACACCCTTTGGTGGTCGGGATGTTCCCAAAACAGCACTTTCTGAGAATGGGATACCTCCTATCGCAGCTTCATCTCCAGCCTCGAAATGCGTCGAGCTGAAGGAGTACACATCGGAAAACATCCGAGGCATTAAGGGAATCTTGCTAAGTATGCCCCACTTCCCATCTCCAGAGTCAGTTGTTGAAGTGCCAAGCTGTTGACTTCGGTTCATCCCTGGCTTTCGTGGGTGAGGCACGTCAAACACGTGGAGGGTGGATTTATCGGAAGTACAGGCGAGCATAGTACCGCAGTGAGAGAAGGCAAGAGAAAATATCGTTGCAGGATCAATACCACGACGAAGCTCGGCAAGCTTTCCACAGCTGCTTGTAGAATAAACGCGGATGAGAGTACCCTTTTCGCTTGCACTCGCCAAAAGCTCCCCATCCGGACTCAAAGCAATTGCCTTCAGCGCAGAAGAATGAGCTGGAATGATGCTGACATTACCAGTCGACAACTCAACGAGTTGTATTTGTCCAGCAGTTCGGCCAGGAAAAGCGAGCTTCTTTGCTGAGAGACAGCATAATCCAGGGATGTTGTCGGCGGTTTCGTATATATGTAGCAAATCTGGAGGTTTGGTGAAGGAATAAAGCCGGACACTATTTTGCAACACAACGGCGACACGTTCCCTACCTAGTTGAACACCGCGTACTGCTGTGAGAGCCGTAATCTCTAGAGCAACTTTGCCTTTCAAATCATCCCAAATGATAGCCTGGAGAACGGTTAGCCATGGTCGTAGTAAGATCCAGTACTTAACGTACTTTGTTCATAGCAAACTTGGGCGATCTGCCACCACCGACCAGCGCCAGGTAATTGGTGGTGCCCATCATTTGAACAAGGCCGATGCCAGCATTGAAATCTGTAAAACTGTTAGAACAGTTCAAGAGGGTTCGATTGAATATAAATACCTCTTGTGGCTTTGAGAAGACCTGACTTGGTATGAAAGACTGGGACATGACGGTCATTAAAAGCTATGCACAATGATCGCAGGTCATGACTTACCACACATTCCAGAGTCAAGTCCAACAGCGAAGCAACTCGCGTCATTGTTGAAAGAGACAGATAAAACAGCTTCTGAGGGCGAAGCCTCAATCGGTGGCCGTGTGTTCATGGTGAGTGACTTGATGTGTAGAAGTACTGTAGCATGTATAGGTCAAGGCAGGTCGGCGTGAGAACTGGGAGGGGTAAGGCTAAGGACCTCAGTTGCTCACGTCCAAGCTCGGGATCAGATGAAACTTATGTAAGGAAGATAATTCGGATATAGTTATTGCAATAGAATAGCATTGCGAAGCTCGATAAACCCAGAAAAGCTTGACGGGCTGCCAATGTATCTGATGCCGCTTACAGATCCACCTGTTTGGTGAATGCAGCTGGTACCTGCGTAACCGATGGGCTTGTATATTATAGAAGATGGGGTTCGGAATATCAATACTGGGCTAAAGAATAATCGAGAATAAGAGAAGGGGTATTAAAGCAAGGCAAGAGAAAGGTTCCGTGTAGGCAGAGGAGTCATAGTGCCTTATTCAAAGTGTAAATATGTAAGAGAAAGATACTCTTGTTCTGGGCATCGAACTTACCGCGTCACGGTACCATGCAGCCACGAGATGCAGTCAGCCACTGATGGGTTCCTTCCACAGATGCTGTGGCTGGGCCAGAGTAACAATGAGAGCTATAGAGACGCTCACGTGATGAAACGAAACGACGAGCTTTGATTGCAAGCAAGCGCCACAACAAGGCTTTTGAGGGTCCGCTAAGTGGTCCCTTGAGCGGGAAGGCGGTCTGGCTTGACAGGGCGTCGGGGGCACGCAAAGTGTGGATTTTGTAGGGGTGCACCTGCCGTCCCCCTCTGGTAATAATGGACACTGGCTCTCTAGCTTAGGCACTTCCCCTGAATGCCAGAGCAGGAACGATTGGCCAGGTGTGAAATTGGCCATACCCCTTGAGCAACCAAGTCCAACACGACCCGTATCCTTCTCTCCTGGCTCCTAGCCTCCTTTAACATTTTCCCCTTGGTTCAGGTTCCCCAAGTTTCCACTTCAACCACCGCAAAACCATACTCGATTTGAGTCGTTGCTCAACCTTGGTGTTCTCGACCTATTCTTACCGTTGCCGCTCAGCTTCACCTCCAGTTCCAGCTCGTCACCCCCGAATCCGATCTTCAAAATGTCGTCCATGGGCGTATGTTCCACCTCCCTTCGACCCCGTTCGTTATGTTGGATGCTTTGGCCGATAAAGCTACCGTTTCCACATAGTTCACGGGATCAAAACTTTAACACGTCTATCGCATAATTGTTACAGCCCGCTGACACCTGCTCCCCAATAGAAGATGATCCGCCGAAAGAAGAATGTCAAGAAGGGTATTCAGTTTTGCCTGATGGTCTGCGGTGCTTCAGGCACTGGTACGTTACCCCACGGGAGATGCTGCAATTGCACACCTCCCTGCGATCCAACATGAACAACAAACTCATATTTGACAGGCCGTACTACTTTTGTCAACACACTTTGCGGAAAGAGTGTGCTCGAGCACAAGGAATCCGACGATGCTGGCAGCGCACACGTTGAGGATGGTGTCAAGATTAAGCCCATTACCGTTGGTAGGTGCAACGTCTTTTATTTGTTGCATACGCGTTACTGACTTGCGACCAGAGCTTGAGCTTGACGAGGAGGGTACCCGTATCTCTCTGACCATTGTCGACACCCCCGGCTTTGGTGACCAGATCGACAATGAAGCTAGCTTTTCAGAGATTGTTGGCTACCTCGAGAGACAATACGACGACATTCTCGCTGAGGAGTCCCGTATCAAGCGTAACCCTCGATTCAGAGACAACCGAGTGCATGCTATGCTCTACTTTATCACTCCCACTGGCCATGGGTATGTCTTGTTTTCCTCCATCTCCCAACCCCACTGACAATTATAGTCTCCGAGAACTCGATATCGAGCTCATGAAGCGACTCGCCCCCCGCGTTAACGTTATCCCCGTCATTGGCCGCGCCGATTCGCTCACCCCCGCTGAGCTTGCCGAATCTAAGAAGCTGGTTATGGAGGATATCGAGCACTACCGTATTCCTGTCTACAACTTCCCCTACGATATTGAGGAGGACGATGAGGATACCGTTGAGGAGAACGCCGAGCTCCGTGGCCTCATGCCTTTCGCCATTGTCGGATCTGAGGACGTTGTCGAGATCGGTGGCCGCAAGGTTCGCGCCCGCCACTACCCCTGGGGTGTTGTCGAGGTTGATAACCCTCGTCACTCCGATTTCCTCGCTATTCGATCTGCGCTCCTCCACAGCCACTTGGCTGATCTGAAGGAAATCACCCACGACTTCCTGTACGAGAACTACCGTACCGAGAAGCTGTCTAAGAGCGTCGAGGGTGCTTCTGGAAAGTGAGTTTAACCGCAACGTAGTGCAAATACAAATGCTGACCCCTTCTAGTGCCGATAGCTCAATGAACCCCGAAGATCTCGCCTCTCAGTCGGTCCGCCTCAAGGAGGAGCAACTCCGACGAGAGGAGGAGAAGCTGCGCGAGATCGAACTCAAGGTGCAGCGCGAGATCAACGAGAAGCGACAAGAGTTGCTGGCTCGCGAGTCGCAGCTTCGCGAAATCGAGGCCCGCATGCAACGAGAGGCTGCCTCCCAGAATGCTGGCACACCCGAGCCCAACGGTGGCGAGGAGCAGCTCAACTAAACCTCTCGCTTGACCCTCTAGGTCTTTTGCGGTTCTTCAAAATGCGACGTTGGACTATTGTCTATTACTGGCGTTGGTTTTCCTCTCCTATGACTCAAGAGAACGATGAGAATATTCCCCCTGCTGCTGAACAATTGAGTTGTTGATTTCTTTTTTTCATCGCCGCCCGGCCTCCTATTCTCGAAATGATGGAGATGCCGTGGAGGCATCTTTCAGTGGAAGCCTGATGGTGGGCGGCTCCCTGATTAGAAGCATTCTCAAGGGAGGAGAGTTTATCATGTATGCGGCTGTTGTAGGGACGCAGCTTACCGGGACTATCTTGGTGATGAAGACACCCGTGTGCTACGATACGATACATGCAGGTGACTGGCGGATAGGACTTGTTGTCGTGTCCTGGTGCCATCTTGTGGTCATATTAGACTTGTGTCGGGCATACACTGTTATCCGTTATTGGACGACACAACCTTGATTGTTTCTTTTTTCTAGTGGCCTTCTAATCCTGATATCAAATAAATTCAATATTTTTGTAATACCACTCACTGGTGTACCAATTCTTTTAAGCAATGTGTGATAATGTCAATTTCGAAGGATAGAGATCGTTTTCAAATTATTGCGAGCAATTGATGTTTTTGAGCTATTACTGAGGTCGAACCGACTAGGAGACAAATCTCCTTCGCGATGTATGTTCAAAAGACATTTAATCCTGCTCCAAGAACGCCTTGATAGGTCTGAATCACAACCTCGGCAAAAAGCAAATCAACATACCCATTGGACTAGACACAGTTCTCACAACACAATCTTTGCTAAACAGGGATAGAAAGAGAAATCGGGTGGCGTCTATTGGCCTTTCTTTGACTTTACGACTCGGCCAAACTCTTACACATCGCCAGCGCTTAGTTGTTAGACTGGCTGTTGAGAATGCGCAGAATGGCGAGGAAGAGGTTGATGATGTCGAGGTAAAGGCTAATGGCGGCAGCAATTTCCTCCTCGACATGGTGATGGCGCAAGACAAGCTGCGTGTCGACAAGGATGTAGCCACTGAAAATAAGAGCTGCGAGGCCGCCATAGATGAGTTCACCGGTGGAACTGTAGGGGAAGAACATCGCCATGAAGCCGAAAATGACGAGACCCCAGAGGGCGCCGAAGAGGTACGGCATCCACGAGGTGAAGTCATACTTGGTCTGGCAGGCGAAAAGAGTGAGGAAGACGAAGATTCCGGCAGTAAGAACGACAGCATTGAGTACGATAGACGTCTTGTAGAAGGACACTATAACGGAAATGGTGTAGGCTTCGGCAAGAGTAAAGAGTGAGAGGAAGAGAAGGTTGGTAGGGTACGACTTGCGCTTCCAGTAGGTGAGACCCATAAAGATCATGGAACCAAAGAGCTATGGTCGTGTTAGTGGTTCATGTTGCGGTTCAGAAGGTTCAATGAGAACATACCGAGGCCCAAACGACACCAGGATGGCCCTGGATCCAGTCCTTGTAGCCAGTGCTGAAGAATGTGAGGCTGCTCACTCCAGCGGTGGCAAGGAGCTGAACAGTGAGAATGGTGTAGACCTTGCGGACAAACTGGTTGCGGATATCGACAGTAGCCTCAGCTACGGAGCCACCAAACTATAGCAACTATCAGTTACTCATCGACTTTCGTGCGCATATCATCTATCCCTACCTTGAAATCATCAGGGAGATTATCCTCGCTATCGCGGGGCGCGCCGAAAAGACCTTGTGTCTCATCGCGAGATGCAGAGCCCTCGGCGTAGGCGGGGGGCGCGTGGGTGTAATCATCTGGGTCGCTTTGGGGCGCTGGTTGGTACTTGGTCTTTGAGGACATGATGGCGATAGATGCGCTCACAGGCAAGACGTTGTCAAGACGAGGATGGGTTGAGGATGCGCAGTCGTCGAAGAGGTTTCTGACAGCAAAAGGGTGGCCTCAAGGTTTAAGTGCTATTGTTGATGGAAAGTTCGGGACATTCATCGATGATGCGAGGCCCAAGGGATATGTTCAGGTCGGTCATGTGGGGGACCAAATGAGGAAAGCGTGGCGTTTTAGGCAGCGCAAGAACCAGTGGCGGTGCAAAGTATGGCGTCAGCTTGATGCAGCTCTACGGATGGCTTTCTCTTGACGCAATACGTCAAAGTTAGATCAACAGACATAGGTAGGTACGGACATTGAGGTTAACAATCACGCCCAGACGATGAATGAACTTGTCTATACCCATGCATAGAGCTGAACCCATCTGGTTGAAAATGACTGGTGCTTAAATTCAAGGCCATGATCATTAGCCTTATGCCGAGGGATCTTGGCACGATCAGCTTCTTGTGAGAGCGAGGTGCAACTTGAACCAAAACCCTTACATCCTTATTAGTGGACTGTATGAGCCATTTGATGCCGGGGTTAGTGAATGAGTTCAAGATGGTTTGCCTGCGTATATTCTGCACTTCTCCTATGAACTTTGCCAAACACTGCACTTGGAAGACAAACGGAGTATAACACAAATCGATGCCAGATTACCCTGGTATCCATATCATGATAAAGAAGCGGCATTGCGGGGCACGAGAATGTGATAAAGGCAAACTACTGCGCTTGATGGTGGAGCATTGCTCCGCGTGAGTCTAAACGTATGCGCAAGTCTCGCGTTACTGAAGCCGGCAAGTGGTATTGGGTTGCAGATCAGACCAGCACATGGGTTTATGTTATCTTGCCCAGTAATTGGTATCCATGGACTGGAACTCCAGATTCATGTTGCAACGATATGAGCTTGACGAGACATAAATCTCGACATCTGCGGAGAACCAAGAAGGCTATGCCTTGTCAGCGGCTAAATGAACTATTTTGGCTTTATTCTTTTGCTGAGAGGGGCTGTCCAGCTCGTTATAATAACTTGAAACAAATCCAACAGATCAAGTTGTCTCGTATTGAAAAGACGGTGGAGGAGACGGTTTCGATGGTGGATCTAGAAGTTGCTAGTACTGCATGCATTGTATCATATTGCATGTCAAAGACTATCAATCTATCCGTAAGTACTTCGGATTTAGAGAATTGTTGTTTGACAACATCCATATCAATTAAAACAAAACTTTAATTACCTAGTTTAAAATGTCTTAACAGAAGCGAAAAAGGTCCAAGCCAAATCATCTCGCCCAAGTCCAGCCCGTGCTTCCCTACCGAGGTTGCAGCAATCCATGAACGGAATTGACCAATCGATTGTACGAGAATCATCATCAGCCCAGTCCATGCTGGCTTGCAGCTCCATATAGCGGGGGAACACCTTAAAAAAAACAATCAAAGACAAAGACCTGATCCTGGACCATGCGGCGGCATTTCTCTTCCCTGGTCGCAGACATTTCTGCAGCGCTTTCATTAGCATGCTACCTACTAACTGTACCTATCATGTACATTGCTTTAACATTTGCCAATATCGAACGAGGATGACATCTTATAACCGGAATATCTTTCCTTCTTCACTTTTTCTTCAATTCATGTCAATGCGAAAACCAGGGGTTTCCGGGAACCAGCCGCCCCTCTACTACCCCCTTAGCTTGATCACCATTGGCAGAAAGAAAAGAAAAGGGGTAACGTAACTTGGCAATAGAGATCTACGGTGCAGTGTATTTCTGACGGTACACGCCGCAGATTAGGTACTGTACTTGGGCCTAGGGAGCGAGCTAAGCTAAAAGCTTAAGAGTGCCTGGGCTGTCAATAAGAAGAACAAGACAGAGAGGGGCAGTTGGAATAAGGGGACCTTGAAATGGACTCTTCCTATTGGCCTCTTCCCCCTTTAACCCGTCTCAACGAAATGGAAAAGCTTTGAGCAACGGTGGTTTGGCTGGACGACCCTTGCTTGGCCTTCCGCCTTTATCCCCTGGAGCTAGGGCCCTTCTATTTAGTCCAGTGCCATCTAGAATTTCGAAATTCAGGTTCCTTGGAACAAACCAGCCAGGTTGGTCTGTCACTTGTTAATGAATTGATTGAGTGCTAGAGTCGACTATATGTTTCTGCAGCACTGAAGGAGGGTGACATCCACACACCTTGTTCTTATTCGGAACAGGTGGTCTACTCTACCTTGCTGCAGCGACAGGGATTTCAGAGAAGCATGTAGTAGTAGTTGCCACCTGAAGAAATACCTAGGATGCTGCACATCCAATCTGATCTGAGATTGGTGATAAAACAAGACGAGATGGATATTCTTGTCATGGCGATTAAGGACCTGAAAAAGCAATTCCAGAGGTCAATTGATCTCCCATGAATAGAGCTGCTATTGGTGAAGCTCTAGAAAATATAGTATTCACATCTTTCACTGCGAATAGAGGATATATCCATCTTTCAATCAGCTTCGTTTGCTTCTCCTTTCGATCAACAAGAATTCACTGCCCGCCGCCAATGAAGCTCAGCTGCACCTCTTGATCGCTTGCTCACCGCCTTGAGTAATGCCCGCTGTGGGGCAATCCTCCCTCAACATACTGATGTACGTACCTAAAATACAGTGGACTGGACACCCTGGCACTGCACCCGACTACTCCCCGTAGAGAGCCCCCCCGCTACTGCACCAGTACAGCACGCTACCCCCTAAACCTTGGGCTACCGATCTCTTTTTAGAGCCAAATTCATTCATGGGGGTTCCTTCAAAATTCATCGGGATCCCATTTTCTTTCGCTGGCTACCCGATCCTTGGACCTTCTCCTACTTTTTCCTTTCTCATCCTCTCCTCTCCTACTTCTTCTCCTCTTCACGCATTGCTTCCGGCATCAGCTCTGTCCATTGTTTTGTTCAGTCTTGCTTGCTGAGGACCAGAGAAAGAGCCTGAGCTTTGGTAAACTCCAACGGCCTTTGCTCGACATCAATCATACCTTCAATACCTACCGCGCGACCCTCATAGCGAACCTAGCGACGGACAACGAAGCGTTGACTTTTGGACTTGCATCTCGATTTACCTTGCATCGCTATATCGTTTCGCCGGTCTTATACTTTTGCACGAACAAAAGTAAAAAGCAACACAAAACAAAACGCTTTTCTTCTATAAACCATACCCCTGATCTTCTTCTCTCTCCAAATTTTGCATCTTGTGTGTCTCCGACTCGCGGACCTAGCACAGGGACCCCTCCCTCCTTCCGCCCACACACTTGTTCAGCCACAGCAAACGCTCGCTAGCCAAGAAAGAAGAAAAGGACACGGCAGCCTTTTATACGAGCCCGAACGAAATCGCACGAAAAGAACTTCAATCTTGCTCGCTCAATCATGAGCAGCGATCCCGTCATGCAGGTCGAGGACAAGATTGTCCCCGGCCCTTCTGCCACCAGCGAGAAGCCGGTCGCAGAAGAGAGAATCATTCTCCAAGAAGCCACTGTCATTAGAACAACAGAAGACGAGCTCCATGCAGCCTCAAATGGTAGCGCGAGCGTCGCTACTTCACCTACTACTGGCGCTGCCCCGCGACCACGACTTAAGAAGGACAACAGCACGCCCAACATGAACGGACCCCTTTACATGCAGACCGCCGGTAACAAGACGGTGCTTGTCCGCCGACTTAAGCGCAAGGAGGAGAGCACCTGGAAGCATCTCTCGCGCTGGTTTGTTGAGAACCAAATCGGTACGTTTTTTTCTTAACCAGCCAGCCTCCCCCCTTTCTTGCCAATCCTGGGATTGCGAATAAATGCCGTGGGGTGGTCGAAGTGTCAGGACAGGGCAAGGGTGTCAGGTCAGGTCGATTCTGGACCTAGCCTGATTAAAAGACATTTCGGGAATGGTTGTCGCACTTGAAGCGGCACCCCGCGTGGCACTGCATCCCTACCAGTCCGGCTTTCAGGGTCCTGCTACGCTACCAGATAGCGGCGCTTCTTGACAGGCTGATCGCATGGCGAGGTGCATCCGAGTGTGTGCACCGATCTGATCATCTTATTTTGTTCGGATGAACTCGAGCTGACGCGGTACCTCTATTTTAGGTCTTTCTTTCAACCTCCTCGCTCTCATCTTCCTCGCCCAGACTTTCATCCCCAAAGCGCGCGACTACACCCAAAAGTTCTTCCACCTCAGCTACCACAACTCTCAATCCGGCCAGTACCGTATCGGCTTCGACGATGCCTACTTTATTACCTTTTGCATCATCCTTTTCACAGGCCTCCGTGCCGCCACCATGGAATACGTCCTTGCGCCCATCGGTAGATGGCAAGGCATCGACAACCGCAAGAACTTGACTCGCTTCAGCGAGCAGGCTTGGCTCATGGTCTACTATACCGTTTTCTGGCCTTGGGGAATGGTAAGCTTGGATTTAGCTACGTAGGAAGAATCATACACTGACACCGATACAGTACATTTACTGCACCTCTCCTCACTACATGAACATGGAGAACCTGTGGACCGACTGGCCCAACCGCGAGCTCGATGGAATCATGAAGGCCTACCTCCTGTGCCAGTGGGCTTTCTGGCTCCAGCAGATGATTGTCATTAACATTGAAGAGCGCCGCAAGGATCATTGGCAGATGTTCACTCACCACATCGTCACCACCGCTCTTATCTTTGCTTGCTACGCCTACCACCATTCTCGCGTTGGAAACTTCATCCTCGTTATCATGGATGTTGTTGACCTCTTCCTTCCTGTAAGTCACTCTAATATGCCAAAATCGATGGCCTGACTAACAGAACACAGCTTGCCAAGTGTTTGAAGTATTGCGGTTACTCCAAGATTTGCGACGTCATGTTCGGTCTGTTTGTTCTTTCTTGGTTCTTTGCCCGCCACGTCTTGTACATCGCGGTCTGCTGGTCCATTTACGCCGACACTCCCCGAGTCATGCCTACAGGCTGCTTCAAGGGAAACAACGACAACATGGTTGGCCCTCTCGACCCTCCAGCTGGCTGGAGCTATCTCGTTGAACCATTCATCAACCCCGAGGGTCTTGTATGCTACAACGAGACTGTCAAGTGGAGCTTCCTCGCTCCTCTTCTCTTCCTCCAGGCTATCACTATCGGCTGGTTCACTATGATTGTCCGCGTCATCATCAAGGTGCTCAAGGGAGGCGACGCTGAGGATGTCCGAAGCGACGACGAAGGTGGCGAGGAGGAAGAAGAGGAAGAGGAATTCATCTACGAAGAGGCTCAACCCTTGGAAGAGGAAGTTGGTGTCGAGGCCCTCGACCTCCGTAACTGGGAGCGCCGATCAGGTGTCAAGAAGCAAGCCAGCAGTTCTGGAGTCAGCCTACCCGGCCACAGCGATCGCAAGGAGTTGCTGGGCCGTATTGGCTGCGAGAAGCAGGTCGACTAAACGAAGAAATGAGTTGGGAGTTTAACGGCATTCCACATCACATATTCCTCGTTCCACACCCCGAGGATGCTCGCATTTTGAACCCTTTCCGCGACTTTTTCTTGTTATTTTGGGCTTGCATTTGGAGGGGATGTTTTCCCCTGGTCTTTTTTTCTTGTCGCAACGACCTGGCTGGTAGAGAATGATCGGTGAACGATCGAGGCCGGAGACCTCACGGCTTTTGCATTGGAGAATTCCGCTGAAGATAGACGGCCGCCACTAGAGATGACGATTGCTTCTTTTGCAACGAAGACAGAAAAAAAAGTTCTTTTTTTTTGGTGATGATTTAAAGGGCTTTGAATGGGAATTACTTTGATCATCTATTTGTCTGCTTGGATGCCCGGCAGACGAAAGATAGCCCTATAGTTATGCGAATGATACCTCGATTAATGCTGGCAATACAATTTGTTAAACTATCTCGGTTCTTGTTACTGTAGTGATCACATGTGACTTCAAAGTTTAGAATAAGTTCATTTAGCATTGTGGCGAATCAAATAACGCTCAGTTCGAGATAAATCCAAAGTCATTAATTAACAAACGCTATGTATCACCACTATGCCTTGCCCTCATCTCCTAAGATATCCTTTGCGTACTCCTTCAACTTGAACTTCTGCACCTTTCCGCTGGGCGTCTTGGGATACTCGTCGATCCAGAAAACGTACTTGGGCACGAGATGCTTGGATAGCTTCGTCGCAACCCACTGCCTCAACCCGTCTCTCGTCAGGGTACCGGCCTCATCAGCCCCCGCTCTATCTAAAGGCACGTCTTCCATGTGATCCAGCGGCGTCCATCCTCGCGCAGGGATGATAAAAGCAGCAACTGCTTCGCCGTATCGCTCGTCGGGAACACCTATCACGCTGGCTTCTCGAACACCTTCATGGGTAAGCAGGCAGTCTTCTACTTCCAGCGGATGAATGTTCTCTCCACCTCGGATGATGAGGTCTTTGATTCGGCCTGTGATTTGCACGTAGCCTTGCTCGTCCATCTCTGCTTCGTCACCAGAGTACATCCATATTGTTCCATCTTTGGGATCGGGTACGCGGACCTCATTTGTGCGGACTTCATCACCGTAGTAGCCCTCCATGACGAGGTACCCTGCTGCTGCCAGTTCGCCTCGCTCTCCGATGGGGATAATCCTGCTATGATCTAAGGGGTCCACGATCTTGAGTCCTGTATGAGGCATGACTTTGCCAATGGATGAGGTACGCTTCTCGATTGGATCTGAAGGACTGGTCATGCAGCTCACAGGCGCTGTCTCGGTCATGCCGTAGCAGATAACGAGATCCTCAAGACCGAGACGTTTATGTAAAGTACTCATGAGGGATGGCGGTACGCTACTACCCGCGACGATTCCTTTGCGTAGATGTTTAGGGTCGTGGGGAACAACGTCTCCTCGGTCGAGAGCTTCGAGAATAGCAACCAGCATAGTGTTCACGCCATAGAGACCAGTTGCTTCATGATCAACGACCATGCGTGCAGTAGCTTCAGGGTCGAAAGCTGGACTAGGGAAGAGAATACTCGCGCCTGTAGTAGCAGTCGCCATATATCCCAAAACACAGCCGAAGCAATGGAACAGCGGAGGAGGCACCACGATCCGATCGTCTGCATGAAGACCCATCCGATGCGCTATCAGAGCACCATTGTTGAGAATGGCACGATGTGAAAGCATGGCCGCCTTGGGAAGTGAGGTAGTTCCTGACGTGAACTGGATATTGATAACATCGCTTGGTGATAGAGGAGAATCTGGTTTCACTGTCTGTACAGAGCCGTCGGCTAACGAAGAATATGGGGTATAGGCTCGGCACGCTTTGAGGTTGAACTTGACATTCGGATGGCTTGCGAGATTGTCGAAGACCACAACGTTACGCAAAGAGGGGACAGCCTCGCTCTGGATCTTGGACGCCGTAACATCCCCCACCACGCTCTGAAGAAGATGTTCGTTACTTCTTCCCCGCCCAGGCTTATACGCCAGGTCCGTCACGGCACCTATAATAAGCGTCTCAACAGCCAAGTGCTTAAGCGCCGCTATCACCTGGCGCTCATTAAATCCTGGATTCAGCGGTACGAGTATAGCGCCGAGCTTGAAGCACGCATATGTCAGAGCAGCGAACTCAGGTCCGTTGCCGAGAGAGATAGCAACGCGGTGGCCTTTGCGGACGCCCAGTGAGGCGAGTGAGTGGGCGAGGCCATTTGATAGAGAGTCCAGGGCGTAGTATGTTAGTGTGGACTCGTGAGAGTGAGGGGTTGGGGAGCGGGCGATGACAGCCTCGCGGTCGCCGTGAGCTGAGACGACTGAGGCAAAATGTTCTGGGATGGTTCCATTGTAAAGAGGCGGCTGGAATGTGTTAGTTTGTGAGAGCTGATGAATCTTATGAGGTTGACGTACTTCTTTAGGACCCCATCGAATACTGAGGTTAGATGAGGATAGCCGTCTGAGCTGACATGTTCTGAAGGATGTCCTTGTTGTTAAATGTGTCTTTCTCAAGCTTTGTCGTATCACGGTCTGCATTGTGAACTGAGCCACTACCTTGTCGAGAAAACTGATGAAGGTGAATAAGATGTGTTAAAGGAGGTGAATGTGGTTTATGAATCTGAATCAGGAGCAATCGATCCGATTACGATGCCGGTCAAGCAACAAGGATATATGCAAAGGCGTCTGTGCTATAAGTGGTTCTGAAGATGGACCAACAGTTGAAACATACTGCAGTCCAGTACCATGATAGATAGATAAATACCTTATGATGTATCCTCGGCTATCATCGCAACGACCTTCCCTCCTTGATTTCGCTCCCAGAATCGCTCCTTCTTGTTAGCTGTTGCTCTCCACAGCGGCAGCGGGAGGCCGAACCCCTCAGCGGCTCTGCTTTGTCCAATCGCAGCTGACAGCTACTGTCCAGAACCTGGGGAAATATGGGGGCGGCTTGGATATCCTTGGATGCCGTGTTTTTTGGCTTCAGCTTTTAGCGTTGAATTGGTTGATCTAGTTGAAGCTTCAAACCCGCGGAACGCACTTCGGTTATATTTAAGCCGAATTTAATCAATGCTTTGATGGTCGATCACGGTAATTATATACATTCACCCGTTACTAATTCCGTTCATTTGTCGCTAATCTGGTCATAGCTCCTACAATACAGTTCTCCATATTACAGTCTCTTATATCAATGCCTGGAGATCGAAGGCTATGCTCCGTACAAGTACTTGTGATGTTACAGATTGCTCTAATGAAGCCGATGTAAGTTGATATTGGTTGGGTGGGTTATGGAGGTTGTGGTCTGCAAGGCCGACGTTTAGTCTGTTTGCTTTCGTCACCCTATGCTTGAAGCATAGCTATCATCAACCAGTCAATGCTTCCGACTTAGCTTCACAGAATACAGTGTCTCAAGAGATTTGGCAATTGTATCTGACAAATTTCGTCGTATGATTGTAAATTTGTCTCTTAATTATCGGCGCAGAGAAACTCGTCTTCCGCACACTATAACGCGGCCTTCACAGTAGGCACTGTCGTCACGAAACAAGATCAGATCCAAGCGAGTCTATACCAGAGCGCAGAAAAAACAACAGTGACTTCCATGCGATGCCTTGCACACAAAAACAGAGTCTAGTACCGTTCCCCTCGAACTTTTATATTTCTTCCATCGCAATGCAACTGCCAGAGTACAGCAGACCTAGGCTAGGAACCACCATCATGCGGATACCAGCCCCAGAATCAGACGGACACAAATCGTGTCATTAGAAAAAAGTAAAGAAAAACGGCTCAAATATACATGTAGGAGAAGTAAATCTTTAAAGTCGTTGCCAAAACATTAGGTATCATGGGTTATGTTTGTAGTTATCGTTGGGTCTTGCAATATGGTGTTATTGCTGAGGTTGCTGCTGGGCTGGCTGTTGCTGTTGCTGTTGCTGTTGCTCCTGCTGCTGAGCCGGTGGCTGCTGTTGTTGTTGCTGAGCTGGCTGCTGTTGGGCTGGCTGCTGTTGCTCCTGCTGCAAGGGTGCCTGTTGTCCTTCTTCCTGCTGCTGCTCGCCCATATGACGCTCGCTCTCGGGCTTCCATGTTCCTGCGGAGTGTCAGTTTCAGTCGATTCCCAACTCAAAGCTCGAATAATCCTTACCTTCAAAGTCATGCTTGACGAAAGCCATGGGGTCATCGGGCTCCTTTGAGCCCATCTGTCCCACTCCAGGTGAGAAGCTTGTGATGGGCAACACAACCACATCGCCCACTCGCTTACTTGTCTCCATGCCAGTAAAGTTCTTGTAGTCAATTGCTCCCTTGCTTTGCGACATATCGAAGAATCGTGCGTCATTGAAGTAGTCAATGATGGCATCTGTCCATACAGCCGGGCCTGTGAACTCAACAACGTTACGGTCAAGGAACTTATCTAGACTGCCCTTGCGCTTTTCGTCCAATGTCTTTCGAGTGATTCGGGTAATGATGTCGCGGAGCACTGGGTGTCCAGGCTTGGCTTGAATCGTCCATTGGCAGAACTGGATACGGCGACTGTACCACTGAGCCCAATCAGGGCGATCAGGATCTGCCTCAATACCAATGACCAAACCGATGGTGTCGCGAGCAATTTGGTCGGGCAACCACCTGACAGAGCTCTGGATAGCATAAGTATCAATGTCAGAGTAGATGCCACCGCGCGCGAACAGAATAAGATAGCGGAAGAAGTCAGCCTTCAGGACGGGCATGGGGAGGCTTCGGTAGGCCTCAACGACCTCAGGAACGGTAGCGTAAAGCAGGCGAATCAGATTGATAGCAACGTCGTCAGTGACGACCTCATGGACGAAGTTGGGGTGCTCTTCTCTCCAGGAAGCATGGTGGTCCTTGAATTGGAAATCGCCCTGATCGGGGCTCTGCTTCCAGGTTTGCCAGATGTAGGCGGGAAACTTGGAGGTAACGTCGTAAGGATAAGCGTATTCGAGCTTCTCATAGGTCGTCATTCCCGACATGTCGATGCGAGGCCGCGTGCGACGCTCCTTGATCTCCATCTCCTTTTGTTCTTCGGGCGGTGGTGACACGGCTTCGTTCGAGGCAGGGGCGTCATTCTTGGTTGTATCGGCGGTAGCGGCAGCATTCTGAGCAGCTGGAACGACAGGTGTCGAGGAGTGAGACCGTGTCATAAGAAAGAATACGGCTAGTATAAAAACCGCTGCCACGATGGCGCGGCGAGAGTTGAGCATGGCGACGGCTGCTCTTGGAATTCGACTGTGGTCTTGCCAGGTATGTTCGAAGTCGCTGTCTTTTTTGGAAATTCGTTGATAAGGAGCGAGGTGTCCAGGATAAGGGACAGGGGTAGGAAGCGAAAGTCGTGAAACGAAAGGAGTAAGCTATAGCAGCATAGAGAAAGTGAACGTGGCCAGACAAGAACTGGAGTGAAGAAGAGAAGAAGTAAATGGCAACAGCCAGATAGTCTATGCGACAGAGTTGCAGAGAAGCAGAAAAAGATGTGCTCGAGAATTTCCCTGCTGTCAAATTGAGGCGGGCGAGGGATGAATTAGAATCCCCAATGCGCAGGGGTACCGTAGTTGGAGACGGTGGAGCTGAGCGCAGGGCAGCAATCAGGAACTTGGGAGTTTAGTGCTCTTTGTGCTGTAGAATAGTGCACGTTGCAGCGAATAGATTTTAAGTTAAGGACTGTAGATGGACCCTGGAACAAGATGAGGTCGCGGCGCAATCCAATTATTTTGGGTATGCTACTGTAGCTGCGCAGCAAGCTCACCAACGGCGCTGTCGCAAAGCGGAGCTGCCGAGATGCTGGATATCGATTCGGCCAATAAGCGAAAAGATGCAAGATGACAGACCGTTATCTTGGGATCCGTATCTTTAGGTGCTGTAGTTTACTATCCGTAGGTAGTCTAGGCTCGTGGTGTAGTATTCGAATGTGGTAGGTGAGTACAGTAGCAGCAGCAGTAGTAGTTAGGGTGATGATGTTGAATAAAGAGGCAGAGAAGATATCCGTACCCAGGTAATTTATCTGAGAAACGGGTCTGGTCTCGCCTCCACGCACTCAATTACGTGGAACGTGGAGAGACCCTGACTGGACAATCACTTTCGGCGCTGACCTGAGGAAAGCACGGAGAATGGACGGATACACGGCCGGTACTGTATCATGGGGAAGGACTGGACGACAAACCTGCAGATTCGAGAAGGTAACTAACAATGAAAGTGACAGGAATGTCCCGCTCTCCTGCGCCCAATTGCCAAGTATACTCGATGTCGAACTACCCCTGAAACGAGATGATACTTTCATCTCACCAGTCAGTCAGTTTCCGCGGTCTGTAAGGAGTCAGCAGGTGGAAAGAGCCGCTCCTTTTCTTAGAACGCACGCTGTAACGTACAAGCCGCAGTTTTAGTGCGCGGTAGGTAGTCGGATCTTGAACGCCTCTAAACTAATACGGACTTTTTAGCCTTCAACGGGTATGACAGCACCTAATTAAGAAGATGAAATCGCCGAGGAAAAAGGGAGACTGGGCAAATTACTGAATTTTTACCAATTTGTCTGTCCACCAAGCTAAACTTCAGACTCAGCATGAATTGACATGACAGTGCACAGCCAACTCATTTGACTCGAGTCAAGTTACGGTATATCTCGATCAAAACATACCTGCTCACTGACGCACAGAGGAACCAAAATGGTGTGATAGGCTTACCTGCAACTCAGATCCAGACTATCCAAAATTACACTTTAAGCCCAGCAGGGTGCGCAAGCTGCTCTCTCAACGACGTGCATCTCTTCTGGATCACAATTCGTCTCACATGGCTGATCTCGAAATATCTGGTCGACCAGTCAGGAAATAAAGTGGCAGAACAAGCATTCGAACAAGCCTTTTCTAGCGTTGCGTCGAAGAACCCGAAACAGGCGCCGAGCAGGGGTTTCGAGGCCAAACATTGGCGGATCTTCTCTGTTACAGCATCTCTCGAAACGTGCCTGTTGCAAATAATGGATACCAGCTTGCGTGTCGGCGATCAAAGGAGTGCACGATCATCTGTAAAGAGCGGAGCACGTTGTAAGGGGGATCCTGGCACCCCTGATTTTGTCGTCATGAGAGGAAAAGGGAAGTTTTTGGCTTCTGACATGACATGGGCGTACTGGTGGCAGTTCTCGAACTTGTGTAGCAGCGGATATGGCAGCGACTCGCGAATTGGTTTGTGTTTCGCAGAGATATCCAAGCAAACAATCTACAGTCCTCGCCTCTCGGTCTCAAGTGCCGAGTTGTTTGGGTTCCATTGCTGACGGGGTATCGGCACTTAACAATTTCGATATGGGTGTGTTGCGTGTTATTGACTATTCTTGCTAGGATGTTGAAGAGGCGTCATCCAAAATCTGTGATGTGAGGTCGTAGTTGATGTGAAAGCATAAGAGTAAAGAGTAAGTCATGTTCAAGTGAACTGGTCGGCGCTGTCGAGTCATTGCCAAGTCTTGTTGTCATCAAAAGGGAATTCTTCATCTGGAGCATTTGTGACAAGTCTTTTGATAACCCGATTAAATGGTTCCGAAGTGCTGTTGGTTCTGCATTATGGACTGCTGACATATCAACCTACAGTAGTATCCAAACGGCAATTGATGAGAAATCTCACTGGCCAATTCGGAATTGCCCATCTCAGTTAATTCCATGCCCTGTCTAATGCTGCAAATCCTTCAGAAGCAGCTGTCAGCAAGAATCCATCGTGATTTCGAAAGACTAATAATAACATTTGCTGACGAAGCACAAGAGTGGTTGATGCTTTTCAGCAAATTCCTGCATACGGAGATAAGAATCAATCATGCGTAGAAGCAATCCGAACAAAGCTTCCTCAGCCAGCTTGAGAGTATTTGAGGTCGTAGTCAGGACTTAAGGGCTGTGTGCATATACAGCTCTGCGAAGCTGAAAGTTCCGAGGAATTCGGAATTCAGAACCGCGAACCGAGAGGGCATACGCTAATGTCACTCGCTCTGACTACTGGTATCATGGCATTACATAGGGCGCGCGCGCGGGTCGGACTACTTTCTTGCGCTGCCTTAGTCAACTTCGCTTATAATCTATCGTGTTTACTAGAGCGCCATGTCTCCTGGAAAGTCCGCGGATTCTTATCTAATCGAAACGTTCTTGAATGGATAGCTGTCAAGCTGATGGAGGGGAAGCCCTTTTTCTTGGCACACCAAAGTAATCATGATGAGCCCAACCAGCCATGACAACCCGGCCCCCGCATCTTGTGCAGTGCCGAAGGAAGCTGTTGTAGCACTCGAGAAGCTCTGATGTGCATAATGTAAACAACGTGGACAAGAATGTAAACAACAAGCTGGTGTTGTGTACCATGAGTGTAGATCATCTCATCTCATCTCACGCGAGTTGGAGGCTGTCTGCTGTCTGTACTGTAGTCTGCAACAGCTCATGATGACGGGACTGGGGCATCTGCATCATGCCCATTCTTAATTCCACTTCGGGTAGTAAAACGCGATTGAATTAACGTTGGCCCACGGTTCAATTTGTCAGCCCCGTTCTACCTCCGATACTACGGAAGCGGACTTTGTCAACAGCCACAGCAGATACCTATCTAAATCAACTTCCAAGGAATAGACATTGGGAAATCAATCTTGATTGGCAACACCAAAGTAAGCCAGTTCAGAGCTGTAGAATGTTTTAATAATGCCCTCTGAACCTGAAGCTAACAAGCTCAAGCTTGCCACACCTCCGGGTTCTCGGGCTGCTGTAGATTGTCCGAGGCTGCCGATAGTCTGTACGGATACAGCGCTGTAGTGGAAAAAGCCCCGCTCGCTGGCGGACTTAAGCCCTGTAAAGTCCCAGCGAATACATAATCAAAGACAACCTGGAACCTGCCTCAGCTCAGACTGCCACTATTTGTAAGGGACTTGACAGTAGGAAATTCCGATCAGGTATGGAATATGAAATGTTTCCGATTATGGATCGACTCGTGATATCAAGATCTGATCTGAGTGTCGATAGTACTGTAGAAAAGAATAACTGTTGTAGTGCACTAACTGTAAATCGAACAATCGTCCGCTCGGTCGGGTCTTGTCATTAACAAGAATCTCGAATCTCCACTGGGATCGGCGATTACCCACCTTCTCATGTCCTTTGTCCGGGGGGCGCGCCCTCTAAAGCCGCGGATATAATCAAAGAATTGATCTGTAATTGGGTTCTTGGCAGAGGTCGGGTCGAGTCGAGTCAGCCACACTTCCATGCTACGAGTCCTTAGCGTACAGTGACTTGGCTGGCTGTCTGTACAGTAAGTACAATCTCCAGGGTCTAAAGCCGTGCCACGGCTTCGGGAGATTTGCAAGCATGACAAGACTGCCCACGCCCTTGTTGGATTGTAGCTGTACCTGACTGAGATGGATGTATCCGTACAGTAATTGTATCCATCTGGCGCGCGCCTTATACACCCCAGCTGTACTCTGTACTGTAGACTACTTGGATCTCGTTACCCGACTCGTCTTGACTCGGTTGATTTAAATACCTTACCCTCCATCCTACCTCGTCCCATCCTCTCTCCCAATTTGTCTCTTTTTCTATTTATCATCTATTTATCACATCTAGGGTCAAATCATCAATATTCAACAGAAAAAGAAAAAGAAAGTTGACGAGTTATTAATATTCATCATTAATAAACTTTTGCCTTCGGGGTTCGGGAACTGCGCACGACACGACAACGACCGAACTGGACTCCATCACAAACCGCTTACACAAGCCAAGCAAAGAGGAGCCGACGGGGGCACCATTTATTAGTCGCCGCCTCCCGCCAACAACCCGATCAATAAATAAACAACCACGACCACCTGATTGACTACTTCTTCAATTCAATTTGATCTGAGACTCATATACACTCAAATTGATCGACCAGAATATTCAGATGATATCATAAGATCCATCACCAATACTCTCAACTTACGAATAGCGATACAAGACAGCCCGAGTGCGTCTACTCAAATCAAATACATCACATATAAATAAATATACCGAAAATGGCCACCGAAACCGATACTCTATCCTTTTCACTACCGACGAGCACTGCGCCCACCGACCTCTCTGAGTCAACATGCATGCCTCACTCTACGCCCTTCCTCCAACAGCCTTCACCCTCGGCATATCCACATAATATTCCCGCCGAGTGGGATACTAGAATACCACCATTACAAACACCAGCGACACATGCCCAACAATTCTGCGGCGAGAACTCAGGAAATGGAAACGGCTGTTTCAACGATGGAGGTCTTTTATACAAGGTTCAGGCTGAGCGCGAGTGTCGAGAGGGACCTGGCAAGTAAGTATAGCATTTGCCAATTGCACCAATTGTTGGTAGATGGTGAGTTGCTGACTATAATTTGGTTGCTTATAGAACCGTCGAAGAGGCTTGCCAACGCTCTCTCAACCACTTTCCTTGTCCAGGACTCGCCTTTCCGATGCCGGCTCTTGATTTCGACTTTCGAATTGCTGTTCGGTTAAACCAGGAGGCTGTCCATGTTGATTCAGGCAACACCAAAGAAATCACTACCGTTGCAGCCGGAGTTTGGTCCGGATCATTTGGCCACGGCCGCGTCATTGTACGTACTCATTTTCCTTTAACCCCCCGAACTTGATAGATCCTGCGCTTTTTACCAATTCATGGCTGACTGAGGAGGATATTACGTGTGGCTTATAGGCAGGTGGTTATGATCTTGGTCAGGCACGAGGTTTTAGGCCCATGAGGCTCGTTGAGGGCGCTTTTGTCGTCCAAACAAGTGACGAACAGCCCGCATTGTAAGTCTCTCATCTTCATGAGAAATTGTGACAGGACGAATATTGACTAGCTCGCCAGACTCGAAATGCGCACACGTGGTTCCCTCTCGGGGCCTGCGGATGTTCTCGACACTTTATTAAGCCCCAAGACACCAAAGGATATCGACCCACGTCGCTACGGCTTCCGCATGTTTGCGACTTTCAAGACTTCCGACAAACGCTACGCCGAGATTGTCAACTGTGGATTATGGGTGGCCAGTGGTGCCTGGCGTGGCGAGCACTTGGTTATCGAGTAAGTCATTGACTCACAGTTCACATGGACACCAACATAGCTAATCATGACACGCAGTGCCTACCGTGTTACATAAAAGTCTCCATACAGGCAAAAGGACAGGACTCTCCGGGATGAATTATCTAGCATCGCATAGGGGATCATGACTGGATAGCGGATCCTCCGGCGCAGCACAGGGCACAGGAGTTGGGATTTTTAATCATCCGCGTCAAGTTTTGACCGGCACGTGGAAAGGAATGAATAGGACTGGATGATGATGCATTGAGAGGCGTAGAAAGTTTGTGTTTTGATCATCTCTTCTTTCACTCTTGGGTATAGCGGAACCAAATCCTCTGCCTATTTAAAACCATATATTTTTTAGCGTCAAGCTTCGCAAAACAATAATACCACACGATTACAAGAGCCCACAATCTTGACCTTGTCCATTGCCCAGCTTGAATGCATTAACTGGATAAAGGAATATAGATCGCTGGATTATCAAGCAGACTCCATCCATCTTCTCCTTGGCGGCTATTTTGGGTCAAATGTTCGATGCATAATTCCAAACCAATCGCGCCAAACTCCTATCACCCATTGGGACTTTGACTATATGTCAGACGGCCTCTGATTTGATTGATTCATAATCACCGTCTCGCAAAGCTGACCCAGATCATCCGGATCGGCGGTTGTCCAAAAGGTTCTTCTTTAACTCCTTGGCCGACTCAGTTTTAGATCTCGATACTGTCAGATTTGATCATGTTCCAGTGGAGCATGCTGCATCTCCGTGACTTCCGACTCGGACGCCGTGGAGTTTGTATTCTTTTCCCGTTCTAGATAGAGTGTCAGCAAGAGCACAATGCCAGTAAGGCAGGGATTCGCATATGCAAGGTGACTGACCTTGTAGATCGGATGCGACACGCTCATGCTGTCGTGCACCTACATCCTTATCGCCGTACCTGCGGACCTATCTCACTTGAGCTTAATCCGCACCTCCAAGCACCCGAGTTTCCTCAAGCGAGTCTCGTCCTCCTCGTCCCCCTCAGCCACTACATCGTCCACCGTACCAACGGTGCCTGTTTTGATCTCAACCTCACAGTCACCCTCCTGCTCAAACCACCCTGCAACTGCAAGGGTCTTCTCAATAGCCTTTCCGGTACCCATGACTGTCACAACAGCGCTCTCCACAGCTCCGTCGGCAGTCTTCTTAAGATTCTCCACGCGTGAGTGCAGAGACGCGTACTTGGGTGCCGCGTCTGTAGTCTTTAGTGAGGCATCTAGTTGTTTACGAGCGCGCTTGACAGCGGCCATAAACGGTGTTTTTGAAGACACGTAGATGATGCGGGACTTGGACGATGCTGGAGGCTGGCGCCTGGTCAAGGGGCGCTTTTCGACACGGGAGCCTGCAGAACTGTTAGTCCTATTGTATGTCACACGTCATGAGAATCATACCTTCTGAGATGGATGGTAGCTTGTTTAGTTTGCCATACACCTTTCTTGAGCCTGTTGAAGCCTCATTCGGAGACATCGTGTTGGTTTATTGTGAGATATGGTTGCCTGAAATGAGTAATAGCTAGCTCTGTGAATGTTGAAAAGAGCTTAGGCGATCTCGAAGTCGGTTATTTGAGGACAGATATGCTTCAATAGTCCTGGAATATTGAGGCTTTCGGTTTATAATGATGAATCGGTTCCGTGGTATTTTAGCGTGTTTTGAGCAATAGCTGATGTGATGGTTACAAGAAAGAAATCTCATGAAGGAGAAAGTTTCTTGAGATAGGCTCACCCCACTACCACAAGAGTTCACTCTTCGCACCCAAAGAGCACAGGCAAGAGATGAATCTTAGTCTTCCAGAGTGCACAATAGATGAGAATAGAATAGATTTATCTTGATCTCCGAAAGAATTCCTTGAGCTCTTTTCTAAGATCTGAATCTCAGATTCATCTCAAGATTCTAGGGAAGTTCATGAACGCCACATGTGGCGCAGTTACATGCACCCTTAATTCTCTAGCGCATCAACGGCCCACTACAGTAAGACGTCACCTCCAGGCGCAAAGCTCACCTGCGCTGAATCCCTTTCGGGCTATTCCTCCAACTCCAACTCGTCCATACCTTCGACATCACTCCACCAGACAAGATCAGCCTTGATGGCTGCCTACACCACTCACTGCGCAGGATACAATTGCTAGGCGACCGTTCACCATGTCCATTGCAATCTGGCCTCCCATCTCGCCCGAGGAGCTCAGGCTTAAAGCCTCCGAAACCCAGGTACATCGCAATCCGAGCCAAACCAAGGAATTGAAACACGGAACATCATGCTGATCTACTTTGATAAGGCGCGCGAGTTGGATTGGATCGTCAAAGAAACGCTCGAGCTGTGTCGCGATCTCAAACATGGCCTCGAGGATTGTTATGCGCTCCTCGCGCCTATCGATCCGGGTAGCACTCTCGTCATGAGCACGCCGCGCAACGAAAAGGTCAAGGGGACACTCACGCGCGTCGGCACTCGCATCGTAAAAGGCGTAAGTCTATCCATTGAGATCATGCTCCCACCCGCATGATGCGCCGGCCTCGTTTGGTATGCTAACGCTTTGTGATCGTAGAGTATCCATCTTCAACTTCGAACGATACCACCACAGACGCTGTCGCTATCGCATAACGATGCCATTCATATCCAGGGTCTTGATGCTCTGCACAATCATCTTAATCAATCCATTGACTTACTCGCCATAACTTTGTCCAAGCCGCAGGACGCTCGCTCTCTCTCCTCTACTCTGAGCATTCTCGCTGATTCCATCAACGACTCTTCGGCTCTCCTCAAAGGCCCTCCCCTAACAGAGTCCGATCCCGCTTGGCAGATGTGCTCATCTCCACCATATCACTTTACTCCTCCACTTGGACCAAATCTCAGCTTCTACCTCGGCCTGCAAGAAAGCTGTATAATCCTCTGGCTGCGTGCTCTCGAGCCCGTCCATGCCCATGTTCATTTTGGTACCAAACTTGGCCTAGCATTCGGTACTGTCCGTCGTTTGGAGCATGACGAGATGGACACTGTATTCCGCTACAACACACAGGGGTCTGATACTGGTAGCTCGAAGCGGGGCAGTGCCCGCCATACCCCGGAACCAGGATCATCGGCTGCAGGCGTGGATAGCAATGATATTCAGGAAGTCTATGTCCGGGAAAAGGTGCGTGTCGAGAGTGCAGATCCGAGTCTCATATCCATTCAGTCCAAGCTTAGTTACCTGAGTCACATGCTTGGCCAAGCACGAAGGAACATTGCTGAGGTCCTGAACGTGGATTCGTAGCAGTGAGGGGAATGGCCATGTGAGCAGCTCTGCATGTAAATTGATTGGATACCCTGGCGTTGTTGTGAGAGCGACTCTTAATGCTTATTCTTAACTTTGTTTATTTGGAAACTTCATGGGCGTTTTACGGGCAATAGCATTCGGATCATCAACCTTGGAAGTGATTCCTGTGTATTGAATTGTAGAAATAGAGAATACGTTTGTACATGCATCCATAATCCACATTTCCTCGCTCCTCCGCTGAAAACGCAACGAATTACCAATTTGACAGAAATGAACTATGCAGTAAACATGTAAAAGCACGACGTCTAATCTCGTGCAGGAGGTGCGTTCCAATATGTCGGGTTCAGGTGGGTAAACAACGCGCCATTAACCAGATATTTCCATCAAGACAATGCTGACATGACTGTTGAACATTTATCGAACAGGAGACCAAGGCATAGGGACAAGAATCCTTGACTTCATGCTCTGAATAAGAGGCACGGTCTTGTGTACAGTGTCGCTCCAGCCCTCAACCTGCCAGCTCTGCTCGCGGCGACCGCGGCGCTCCTCCAGGTTTGCGAATTGCCACAGATGGTGGACAGTGTTAAGGTCACCAATTTGGACAAACCAAGCACCGACACCTTCCATGACCTCACGGCGAGCCTTGAGGCCTCGTCGCCAGTGTGTCTCCCACTCGAGCAGGTTACCAGGGTGCAATGTGTAGGAGCGCAGTTCAAAGATGCCGCCCAGGGATCGTGGAGGTGTTGTTGGCCAGAAAGAGAACTCTTGCATAAGCGAAATGTTCTTGGAGTTGATCAGGCCCTTTAACTTGTTGTCGAACTCAGAGAATTCAGGGTGGTGGGTGATGTTGTGTCGAGATTGGTGGTAACCCTCGTACTTTTGGTATTCCCAAATGTGGACTGTTGCGATGGTCAGCAACAAAAAGGCTTAGTGAGATGAGCTTATACATACCGAAAGTATCGCAGTCGCCAACCTCTGTCCTCCAACTTCCGACCAAATTCACCTTGTTCTCTGGGGCATTCGCCATCTTAGGATACCACTTACCGACAAGCTCGACATATTCATCAACCTTGTCGGGCTTGACTTCGTGAAGAACAATCGAGTGGACGTACTTGCCACGGGCAAGGACCTGACTGAAGCTTGCTTCGAGTTGGGCGTCGAGTTCGCGACCCTCCTTGGTGCCGTAAATGAGGTTGGTCAAAGGACCTGCCTTGCGGGATGGCTCGGGCTCCTTGGCCTCTTCGGTTCGTCCTACAGGATCATTCTGTGAGCCTTCGGCGGACTTTTCGAACGGAACGTTAGCTGGCTGCGGGTGGGAGGGTAACGCACTGGCTTCTCGCTTCTTCTGTGCTTCTACCAAGTGCTCGCGAAATTCCTTCTGCTTCTGACTAAACTTGTCGACCTCTGCGTGTGTAGGGTTGACATCTCCAAGGGAAGGTGTGCGACCGTTGAGAACAGCAGTCGAGCTCAGAGCTCGCACACCTGCGCGCGGGGTGACGGCAGCAGCGCGTGCGAACTGACGACTGAGCATTTTCGGTGGTGGGAGATGGGTTGGAATTGAGGAATGAAGGTGTAAAGTCTCTTTATTCTGACGAGGCGCAATGCGTGTCTAATAAAGCTGACCCGGGCGCGGGGAGAATGCGGGCGATCTTTCAGGGAGCAACAACGTCGGAGATCAACGTTTGGAGTCGTGTGAGAGACAGGGGAGATGCTGAAACAAGGAATAACACCGAGGGTTTAGACGAGAAAGTATAGTAAAGCGGAAGCAGAAGGTCAGATGCGGCACAATTGGTGGCAATCAAAAGCTGGTGCTTGGTGCGGGCAGAGCACAGCAGAAGCGGGAAGGCAGGCGTTTAAGCGCAAAGGTGGTATCGAAACAGTCTTGGGTTGAGATTGCCCTGGCAAAATGAGGAGGGCGAAGCAGAAGGACGATTGGGCAACCGAGAGTTGGAGGGACGGAACGGCTTTTCGGTTGCACGCCCAGGAATGTATAATTGACTTCACCCCGCACTTTTTGGGTGAGCTTTTCGGTCGAATTGTTTATGACGAGTACTGACTCTATGAGTACGACAATAACAAGGGCAAAATAGGCTGATTTGATGAGGAAAACAAGAGGGATATGGCAAGAAGGTTCAACAGTACGTACACTACCTTCTTAAAGCTGGAGCTCCAGGAGCTATCTGATGATGTCACCCCAGATTAGGCATCACGTGTAAAAGCTTAGCGCGCCATAGAATGCGGGGTTCGGTTGGGCCTGCTGTTCCTCAGCTCTGGCAGGAGTACGTACCTTCTTACTCAGCCAACCTCAAAAATACTCGCCTTGAAATTTAGGCACATAGAAAACGTTCCGGGCTCGGCTTCGGCAGAACCCGCTCGGAGCTTTGTTGGGTCTGTCGTTCGGAAAAAGGCTCGTTCTGTAGCAATCTCAATCTCAAAGCACCCGTTGCCGACGTCCAAGTCCATCAAACCGAACCATCCTCCCGCGATACCCACGAAATCCGTCATCATGTCTTGGCTCGGTGTTCAACCCCTCAAGAAGTTCAACGCTCCCTTCTGTACGTTCAATTGCGACTCTGCCGCCTGCGCCGTCGCGAATCTGTCCCGCTGACTCCTCCCCACAGTGAAGCCTTACTGGCCTTTCTTCGCCGCCGGTATGTCTAATCGCGCAGCTCGACCGACGAATTCGCTCTCCCCTCGAGCCTTCCCCCGCGCTCCCGATCTCGATTGATGCGTCGATGATATCTGGACAGCAGTTAACTCAGGATGCAGGTGTTGTCATTGCCTACGGTGTCAACTCCGCCCAGAACGCCATGATGAACTGTACGATCCCTATCAAATGAGTATCCAGAACGACGATTGACCAGATATAACAGCCGCCGAGTTCAAGAACGACCCCCGCAACCCCAACGCCAAGTCCGGTGGTCACTAAGATATTGGAAATGGAAAATGGGATTTCGTCTAAGCCAGCAAGCATAATCGATCCGCTCGACCGCGAGGCTAGGGTTCACGAGATGGAATTGTATCATAGAATCGCAAAAGGGGCTTAATTGACCTACACAACGATCTGTACGACTTGCCCACGGGTGCAGTTGACAACCACGAATGCGCTCAAAAATCCGGATGTTCGAACGTGCTGGGAGCCAGGATTCAGTCTGGTTATGTGATATGTGAAACCTCTTGACTCACTCCGAAATCTACCATCATGCTCCGTGGTTTATTTCTATTTTTGTGCAAGGAAGATCAACTAAGGCCCAATACTCACCGCGACATACTAGCTGTTAAGCTCTTGTGGACGTAGCGGTCCATCATCATGGCCACATGATTTATTTTGTCCTGCTCCTCTGTGATTGATGTAGTTTCCGTCAAGGTTGTTTTTATCCATTACATAGATAAGTTGGCTCGCTTTATATAACAAAGTTTAATCCGTCTGAACGTCATGCATGCGGTGACATCAGTGGTATGAAATCGGGATTAAAAGCATGTTATAACATTTCTTCATGAATAACACATGCTACAGAACAAGTGAACATCATAAACAAGCCTGGACCATGCCTATTTAAAGTCGAATGTTGATGCGGTGGGGATGAAGTGTAGTCGTGTTCAAGCAACGGCCCGACGCCCTTAGCAAGATCTCTGTCCTGACAAATCATTGTTGACGCTTCACTCAAACTCACTCCACGTCGTCGACTCATACGGCCAACAACCATACAACAATACCGATATAAGTCCGCCTCACTTCGCTACATTCTGTCTTTTTCCTTATAGATGCGTCTTCTCATCGGCATCTTTTCTGCTACTAGACCAATTGCCATTCCCACTGCTACCAGAAGAACCTCATCTTTCAGATTCCCTTCATTTTCATACAGGGTTTGCTTATCTACAATGACTGCTGCACCAGCATCAAAGCCTAACGGCAATGGAGGAAAGAAGGAGGTCAAGATTCTTATGCTTCACGGTAAGTTAAGGACTCATCTATGAGAGATGCAGCATTACATAGCCTTAATGCATGTCATTCGTCATTCTTCAGACTAGCTCATAAACATCTCAAAACTCACTCACTGACATTCACCAGGCTACACACAATCAGGTGCTCTCTTCCGGGCCAAGACCCGCGCTCTAGAGAAGACTATCGTCAAGCTCCTTAACCCTATCTCACTTCTCCCCGTCTTTCTCTACGCTACGGGTCCCAGCCGGCTCAGCCCGGAAGACATCCCCGGCTATCAACCTCCTGAGGAACCACAGCCCGAGGACTACCAGCCTGACACTTGGGCTTGGTGGCGCAAAGATGAAGCTTCAGGCAACTACCGCCTGTTAGATGAGGGAATGGCTACCGTTGCAGAGGCTATCCGAGAGTCGGAGGGTATCGATGCGGTTTGCGGCTTTAGTCAAGGTGGTGCTATGGCTGCTCTTGTTGCCGCTGCGTTGGAGCCAGAGCGCGCTCTGCCAGAAGGCAAGGAAGGAGACTGGGCGAGAGGGTTGAGAGAGGCAAACTCTGGAAGCCCGCTCAAGTTCGCTGTGTGTTACTCGGGCTTCTGGGCGACTCCCGACTCACTGCAATTCTGCTTTGAGCCTAAGATCAAGACTCCTACGCTTCATTTTCTAGGTAGTCTCGACACAGTGGTTGATGAAAACCGAAGTCGTGCACTGACAGATCGCTGTGAAGAGCCTCTCGTGCTTGTCCATCCCGGCGGTCATCACGTACCCGTCAACAAACAGTGGGCAGCACCATTGGCGGGGTTCATCAAGGAGCATGGCCAAGATAAGGAGTTCAAGTCGGAGCTGTAAGTCTGAGCTGGTAGAACGATACGCATAGATTACAACACACGAATAAAAAGATAGACTCAATAGACCGAATGCCATGTCACATATCCTCATCCTGAGGACTATCTAACCTGTATAATACAGAACACCCATACCGTCATGATGATGAACCGCTCTATCCATTACTCCAAACCCTTATTTGGCAGGTTGAATCCGTGCCATCATCTCTTCCTTGGTGATAAGATGATCGATTCTCTCTAAGAGTCCCAGAAGGCTCTTCATGTTGTGACTCCACTCATTGAGAACATCGTCAGCATCTCGAGGCTTGGCGAAGCTAACAATTCTTGCAGGTCGGTCAATCTTGGCATAAACGGTCTTGGAGGTTACAAGCTCGCTGATGTACTTCTCGGTCTCGTCCTCGGTAAGATCCAATAGTTGAGTAAGACGGCTCATCTGGATGCGAGTGTAGTACTTTGCGATGACTCGCACGTTGTGTTCGATCACTCGCTTTCGGAGATCTTGCCATCGCTGGTGTGCCTTGTCGTCCGAAGACTGACCGGCCTGCACGTCAAAGACATCGGTACTGCAGAGGTGGGGTCCAAATCTCTTAGAAATCTCTGGCCATCGCATCAGCTCGTGCACGGTAAAGAGTCGCAGAAGCTCGGCTTCCGCTGGGACTTCTGAGTTGCGGCTGTCTTTGTGAATTCGGTGGAGGAGATCGTGCTGTTCGTTGTCATAGGGAGCCAGGATGACAAAGTAAATAATGCGTTGAAGGACCTACGGTGGGCGTTAGTAAACTTAATCGGCGCTTCAGAAGCGATTCACCTACCGGGCGAAGCTTAGCAGAGTCCTCCTCAACGGCTTCTGTGTCCAACACCTGGCGGTAGTGCTTGCAGACTTCGAGGTACTTCTCCTCGTGCTTGGCAAGAATGATTTGCTGCTCATAGTATCGCAGCTTCAGATCGGTTGTGTCGTCCTCTTTCTCTTCGGGCACCTCCTCGCCACGGGCCTTCTTCTTCTCTCGCTCCTTTTGCTCCTTCTCGAGCTGCTCAGCTGTCTTCTTAGGCTTGCGTGAGAGGTAACGGGTGCTGATCTTGCGGCCAAGAATGGCAGCCTGTGTCCAATCCTCACTCTCAATGCATAGCTCAACCTGTGCTAGAATAAACTCGGTCTTTTCCCTTCGGTCCATTGATCCAAAAGTTTCAACTTGCAACTCGCAAAGAATCTCAGTAGCAGACTTGAGATCACCCTGCTTCTTCTTGATGTCGGAAAGGATCTTGGTAACACGAGCTCGCTCAACTTCGACAAAGATCTTGCCCTCTGTTACTGTTCGTAGAGTTTCGATGACGGAGAGCTTGGTCTGGAGGTCGGGGGTGTCGTCGAGGAAGCCCATGACAGTCTGAACCATCTTGGTGATGGCCTGCTTGAGCTGGCTGTGCTTCTTGGACATGACCAAGGTCTGGTCATTCAAGAGACTCCAGTCACCCGCATTTTTACATAGTGTGACGATTGCGACCAGTACTCGTGATGTCGACGCAAGATCGGAGGCCTAGTACTGGATTAGCGGAGAAGAGGGTCGAGAGCGCGAGGGCGTACTTGTCGGGTTTGCTTCTCAAGAGCAGCAAGCTTCTCAATGGCGCCTTGAAGGTTGTTTGACTAGATATACTATCAGTCAAAGCTCAACTTCGCAATTAGGAGCTCAGCAACCTACCGCAGCCAGCTTCTCAGCTTCGGGAAGCTGCTGGTCGACCTCCTTCGAGAAGTCCTTCTCTGGCTTCAAAACTCCGTCAGACATTATGGCTATTCTCGCGTTTTTATTCCCTCGGGATACGTGTTTGTTGGTAATATCCGGTGTTGAGGAAGTCGGGTTCGAGAATTGGTGGTATGTAGTGTTGATGCTATGGGGTGTGTTATTTAGTCCAAGCTGGTCGATTCAGTGACGAGGCTCACGCAAGAGGCTCCTGCCTGCCTTCCTCAGGTCCCCACCAAGGCCAGCATCGCTCAAGCTGGAATTTAGTGGGACCGGCTCCGAGACCTTCGTCATCCAACTTCATGATCACATGACCTCGAATGATAACTTCGATTCAATGGACTGCAATACGGGCACTTAACGGTAGTGTTTAAATAGCTTCTACGTGAATGAACTTGCCGATTCACCATGTCTTTCCATGTCTGTCTCATGTTACTACTGTATATGCGTAACTAACAAGATGTTGAAGGAATACATGATTCAACTCATAAACGGGCTTGAACATACAGGGTAGTTAGACTCAAAACGCGACGATACATCAACATTGGATAATATGATATAATTCCAGTGAAGATATTTATTATTAGATTTGTGCCTATGCAGGGTCAAATGAATCTCGAGCATTAAATATACCAATGTGCTTCTGGAATTTTAACAGACTGGCAAATATCTCTTATGTGTCAGTTTCGCTACCAGGGGGCCCCCTTCACACAAAAATTGGCCTCGTAGGTTTCATGTTATTCTGAGTGTAATTCAGCTGAAAAAACAGCCCCTGTTCGTCTTTCCAAATAGCTTGAAATTTTGAACGGTAGCCGGATGGCTACTTGAGTATTGAATCAAACGCACGAGTGTTGTCTACTTACTAGTGCTTGAGTATGTGCCTCAAATGAAGTGTCACAATATAGTACATCTGGCAGACTAATAAGCCATGAGCTTTTGTGTTTCTTGAATTGATTGACACCATTTGTAGCTAACCAGTTTTTGAAATTTCCACAACTCACATAGTTCTACCGTCCTATATGGGAAAAGGAGGCGTCTTGGTAGGTAGCTAAGATGATCCAACACTCGTAGACATTGTTTTGCTGAGACTTGAGTACGATATTTCAAACTAGGTGCTGAAATTTAGTCGTCAAAGAGCCAGTTCATTATTCAATATGGTATTTGACCCATTCGGCTACCTGACCAGTTCTCTGTTCCAACGACTTGAAGTTTTGATGCAGAGAAAAGGAAACCTGTCCAAGTCATGATATACTTAAGAGTGTCTCCGCAGTCTGAGAGAAGCAGATACAGGGCTATAAGTATGGAGAGGATCATCTGGTGACCACTCGGCCTGGATAAAGATTGGAAACTTAAGCTCTCCATCCTCATCGACGACAGGAGGCTGTCATGAAAGTACCGATTATGACCATTAAAACTTAGTATACACAATACTACAATATTGTTACATGGACTGACATCAGCTGTTGTTTGATAGAATAACGGTTCTTCCCTTAACATACTGACATTTAAACCCTATAGAAGCTTTTAGATGTCATAACCATCACTTCCTGATCAATCATTTCATGGCATCAACCAGACCTAGGAAACTAAGCTCTATTATAAGCAAAGCGTATATATACCGACAGTAGGTGTCCGGAGAAATGATGGAGCCTTAGCTGGCCGCTTTGCCCCAAGGTATTAGGTCTGATAAATGCGAGTATGTCTGGTGGAGGTCGCTTGAAAACCTGATTTTGAAGGGACACAAACACGCGCATCAAGCCTATTGGGCAGAGAACAGTGACACTAAGACAGGCTTTGGAGTCTTGCAATGGGATGCTGATTTTGTCTATATAGTTCTCGGCACGACAAGAGTCAAAAAGCTCAAAACTTAGCAAAGATCTCACAATCCTTGGTAAAGAAGACAGTGGGGAATTATATCTGTCAGAAGACTCAAGAGATAGAGAAATCGATAGATTGCAGTAAGCAAACCCAGTTTTTAGGAGAATGGGGACATCGCAACCAGTCAAGGGCACGCCTCTGCGAATGAAGGAAGCTCCATGAGAGCGCACCGCCAAGTTACCATGGTAGCAACACCTTTATGTAACTCTGTATGATTTTGGTACCAAGAAAAGCGACCAGACGTTCCTTTGCTAGTTCTAAGTCGAAAAACATAGACTTTGGGTTTGCATTACAACCACCCACCAGATAGGATAGCTGAATATCTTGTCATCGAATCGTTGCCATGCATGGATATAGGGTAGAGTAAATATTGGATAATGACAGCTGGTTCACGAAACAACGATCATGATATCAGCCGACTTTCGAAATCAGGACTACTGAATAGGACAGTGATTGATGGAAAGGTCTGGTATGCTTTCTGTGCTCGTGTATCTCGTTGTTCTCCATTGGAAGACACACAGATATTTGTGGTCCTCAAAAAGCCCGTCTGTGTTCTCATTCTGGATACTTTAGAATTCTCTTCCGAGAACGTTTGAAGATGCAATTCAAACATCAGGCAAGACGTGTCAGTTTTGAGGTGTCCTCGAATTTCATGTGAAATGTAAGCCTTTCAGTACGAGTTTCAATTGCTCCAGTTCATAGAGTATCTGAAAATGTTGGCATGACAACTCGATCAAGTCACATTGAATTCAAAGTCTGATATCATCCTGCGCTTCAGACACAAATTGATAATTCGAATTGCAAGTTAAAAGAAAAGAGGTATTGACGATGGAATGAGGTTGAAGTTATTATCGGACGAAGTTCGGCAGCCAAGCTGAAGACCAATTAAGCGACTGGCCCGTGCGTCAATCGTCACTTGGCCGTTGTTTATTAACTTTCGCGCTCCGCATCGACAGGTCGAATCAAAACAATCAAGTAGACACTTGCGACAACGACGATACATAATAACTTCCTGTCGGATATTACCACGCGACATCAAACTTAAAGGAAGAGAATTGGGCTTGAATATTAACACTCTGTTGGATCACTTGTCTCAAAGTGTACCCCGCGACAACAACACCAGAACACCCCACGATCAATCATCATGGCTGCTACCCACCTATCGACATACTCCGACTGCGTCTCCTCACTACGCACATCTCTCAAATTCCTCGAATCATCCGTTGAAACACTCGACAATGGCGTCTCTGACTTCCCTCGTCTAGTCAACGTCCTAAAGACAGTCCGCGTAAGTCTTAGCTACCTCATGTCTCGATCCTTCCGCTCACATAGCTCAGCACTACGAACTTATCCCCCAACCCACACTCACAGCAGCCGAAACATCCCTCCGCGACGAAATAGGTCCTTATATCGCTCTGCTACTCGCCCGCGCAGACTCCCAAATCGAGCGCCAGGAACGCCGTATCGAGACCCTCAAAGCCCGCGCGGAGCTGCAACAGGGCCGTCTACAGCGCCCAGATGAGAACTACGACGAATACGGTAGCAAGTCTAAGAAGCAGAAAACCGGCAGTCGTAGGCTCACAACAGAGGAGAAGCTCCGCGCGCGAGCGGTTCGTCAGCGCAAGGAAGCTCTGCGGTACGGTGTGGAACGATTGGAGCTCGAGGTGCTACAGAAGGAGAGAGAGCTCAGGAAGAGGTTGGAAGGATGATGAATCATAAAGGTCAGCCGAGATGGAAAGCAACCCCAACCAAGATTCATCTTGGCAGAGATTGGATTCATGCGGCTCAAAGATCTTCTTTGGTGGAGGCGACGCATCATATCCGAGACATAAAAGCCGCATGGCATTGATCGACGCGCAATCTAAATGCGATCGGCACCGGATATGTACCCGCTCCATTGACATTTGAAGATGTCGATCCCGATAGCGACAAGCTATAATCGGAGTTCGCAAACCGGAGCATTGTGCGCTGAGTTTGGGACGATAAACGCAGATTTCCAATGGATGGATCAATGTGCACAAGAGCTGTACCTGTCTAGTCTCAGATAGGCTAGTTGAGGATCTGTTGCAATACCCCGTTTTTACTCCCACGAATCTGCCACGCGTTCCTGAGTAAAACTTAAACTCCTCAAGCGAAAGACCCAGTGGTCCCCGCCAAGTGTAGATCCTAAATTTAGCCCCAAGTTACAATTGATCAACACAGCAAGATTCAATTTGCATTCCAATAATCATCGTGTTTACTAGGTCGAAGAGGGTGCTTTGACACCCTCTCGTTATAGCTATAGCTCGCTTGGTACTCTTCATATATGCACTTGGCCACCGGATCTGCGAACAAGGTAAAACCTCTTCCATACAGAGCGGAGCCTGCCTGCTGCTCTACAAATACCACTCCTTGTACTACCCGTAGCCGGTGTGGGCTCGCAACCGTACTAGCCCATTGACTCGACGCTGCCAGCGGTCATGTCGTTCCTTCGCCAGGAGGCGGTAGGCAAGCTTTGGACCAATCCACGTCTCGTGAAATTTTCGAGGATGATAGAGAAAACGATGAATAATAAGTGAAGACAGTAGAAAAGAAGACATTCAAAGTGAGAAAGAAATGCCGGTAGCAGGCGTCGTGGTCCGGTTTATAAGACAAGGGGGTTTTTCGTCCCAAATATACTCCATCCAACATATTTCCTATCCCAGTGCTGAAACCAAATCGCCGAGTCGTGACTCTAAAAACGTTAAAATGCGACAAACAATGAACGAGCAGCCCGTACGTGGGTCTGACGGTGTTCGACGGACGTAATCTCGCGTCTCATCAAACGGGTATCCCAGGGAATCCATGCATGGATCGTTGCTCATAACAGGATGAGGTAATTGCTGGGCGCAATACCCGTCTCACCGCTTTCTTTGCGTGCCTGCCACCATCTTCCGCTGACATCCGACACCTCCAAAATTTCGTGTTTGGAGAATGAGATCTCGTTGGCATCGTCAGGGTTGGCCTCGTAACTGTAAATAGCCTTGGCCCGGTAAGGGTATTCGGTAGGTGGCACGACCGCGGTATCGTTGCCTGGCGAGTGACCTGGCTTTGATTGCGGTGGTTGTTGTTGCATGACAGAGTTGGTGTAGCTTTGGGGAACGGCAGAGCCGCGTGCTCCAGAGATACCGCCAACGGGCGAGGGGTTCTCGAAACCGTTGAGCTGGGCGGAAGTGTACATTTGGGGAGGCTGAACAGAGTTGGAAGTCTCGGGCCGACCGCCATAAGCGTTCATCGTAGATCGGTGAATGGTGGTGGATTCTTTGGCGAGAGCGAATGAGTCAAGGAAAGCTCGGGGAGTTGAAGAAGGGCTGGATCCGAAGTAGAAAGTCCATTGGACCTGCAGGCTGTTAGTCGGGCACTTGTCCAAGCTCAAGCGCAACTTACTATAACGACAGCGAGCAAAATGAAGCCAGCAGCGGCAGCTTCGCGTGCACCGCGGTTGGAATAAACCAACGAATTAACACCAGACGAAACCAAGACGATTCCTGCAGAGAGATAACCGGTGACAGCAACGTGATATGTGTGGACAACGTCACTTGCGATTACAACAAAGACGCCGACAATCAGGCACAGGCTGTACATACAGCTCCACCAGGCCAGCGTTGGGAAAGGGTCGTCCTTGGCAAGCGTGGAGTCGTTGTTTTGCTCTATCCTGCCAAAAATACAGGCAATAAAGGTCATGAACCAGGCAAGCTAGAGAAAGAGATTAGTACACAGGGCGCGACGAGGCACTAGGAAGAGACGCACCGAGGCGATAGATAGAGTGGCTAGAGCAAAGGGGTCGCCAAGAATATTGCTCATTTGAATGCCCTTGCGCTGGCCGTACATTCTTGAGTTGTCCATCTTCTGAAGCGAGGGAGAGTCGAGGGAGTACGATTGCATAAGAATGATACCGGCCCGAATGGCGATGAAGGCTGAGTGTGAGAGGGAGGAGAAGGCGCTTCTCTTTCGTTGGAGCGATCGATTGTCAATCAGTCAAGGCGAATATTCGATTGCTACCGGAGCATTCGGCGGAAGAAATGCGATGTGATGTAAAAAGGAAGAGGCTGTGTTCGAGGCGAGCCGTTTCGGTGCGTTGTGGTACAAAGCCAAGCGAATCAGTGTCGATCGTCTGTATGAATTCGGTAGGCGACGGTCGCAGAAAGTCGAGTAGAGCCGATGGATGAGAAATAATGTGTAATAATAGAATCAAGTTAAGGAAGAGAAAAAGAGTGGAATAACCCAAGACCGCGGATGAGATAATAGATGATTATCTTAAGGTAAGCGGTTCGGTTCAGTGGGAAGGAAGAAAAGAAGGAGAGAGGGTGGATGGAAATGATTGAATTGAACTGAACGGTTTGAAATGGGAAGAGAATGGACAGATTGGATGGGCGAAATGCAATGGCCTGCGGGTGAGAAGGGGGAAAAACGCGGAGACAAGGGGCAACCCAGTCCAGTCCAGTCCCAGTCTAGGCTCTAGCCCAGTGAAAGACCAGGGCAGGGGGTTCTTGTCTACCAACGGGTACAGAAGGCTGCAAGATGCTTGATACAGTATCGCAGCTAGAGCGTGATGTGATGCAAGACTATTGAATGAGTTGTGAGGTTGAGAATGCTCGAGAAATAAGCGGTAACGATAATAACAAGCTGTGCAACTCGCGAGAAATGCGCGCGGTTGGTAATAAAAACAATACAACGCACTGCAGCACAGCCAGCCAGCACAACACAGCGCAACCAGTGAGTGGCTGTCGGGTTCAGTTCTCAGGGCTGAACAAAAGCCACCTCAGTCTTGTAGCGAATAGGAATAGGGCCAGATCCTTTCTGGTAACCAGACCAGTAAAAAATGTTACTGTGAGAAAAAAGGTAAGGTGGTAACGGAGCTTATGTGACGCGGTCACAAGCAAAGACGGGATGGACACGGAATCAGGGGAATTGAAGCACAGCCAAGACCTGATCCAGTAGCCAGGTAGGGTCTGTTCGTATTTGGTGATTGTGCAACAAAAAGAAACAAATATATCAGTCAATGATAATCCGTAAAGAGAAAAGAATGGTTGGTGTTGAGAAAGGAAGTACACAGTCGTGATAGAAGATGTGAGGAGTCAGTCAGTCGAGACTGGACGGTAACTCGAACTCAAGCTCAGGCTCAGGGCAACCGCCGGTCCAGGGAACAAGTGGAAGCTATGGGTCGGGAAATGAAAGGCGTCTACTGGCCCCGAATGCTCTGAGCAAATCAAATGACGCCCGGCGACCCCTGTACCTGTAAATTGTGGCGCTTCGTCTGTTCTTTTGGCGACTATCGATAAAATAGATTGGATTGAATTCAAAATAGGCTCGAAGGGGGTCCTCTCGTGGCCGTGACAGGGTGGATTTTGCGGATGTCTTTAAGAAGCCGAGTCCGGAATTGGATCAAAGTATTTGATGCTTTACAGTTGTTTCGTTTCGATCGTGATTTATTGGTATTGAGTGTTGGTAGCAGTGCTTTCTCAAGAGTGTAATGTAAGATGGTAGACTAAATGGGAACAGCGGGAGCTGTCTTGATGGATGGATGCCCTTCAACTTATCTACAGGTATCCAGGCATCCACAGGAATGATTGAAGCAGTGCAAGATACTGTCTTGGACGCCCAGCCTTGGTCCAGTGACACCCTCCCAACCTGCATCTCCAGCATTCAGAGAGAGGCGCCTTTGCCAGGAATTTTCCCTGACTCGCGATAGGATAACCAGATAATCAGCTGCAAGATCAAATAAATGATGAATCCATTTAACGTTGGCGGATGCCGGATGGATTCTCTTTAACCCCGTGCTGTTTGAGGTTTGACCAGGGTGGAACAAAGCTGATCTATTGGCTGGCTGCAAGGGCAAAAGAGGTGGTCTTGACTCCATCGCAGGAGTTTCATCGCTGCAATCCTGGCCGCCCAAGCACAGGACCACAGTTCCCCAATATTTTCCTTGATGTACGGATACGCATACCGTATTAACAAACAGACTCTTGCTCGGTCGCGTGCGCCTCTTGAAAAGATGTCAGACATTTTTCTTGACTATCGAGTGGCTGGTGTTTGACACAAATAAGCCGCTACTTCAAGACATGAACCGCCGCCTTCTCACTCTTCCTCTTGACTGCCATTCAGAGACCAACATGGTTATTCCCATCCGTTTTATATATGAGCCTGTTACTCTTAAAAGATCCGGTTTAGCTTACCGGTCCACGATTGCCTGCATAAGATCCCAGTGACGGCAGCTGATCGTTCACAACGGTTCCGTTAGATCGGCACTGCTTAATTCGGCCATGGATCCATGCGACAGCTAGTCTACAGAGGACATATTGTACAATCGCCTACTCTCTCACGTTGGCCAAGTCTTTTATGAGGTTATCATGATCTAGTCCTTCGTTGTGTCTTGGCCGCCAATGGATCTCAAACCGCAACTCTCTCATCCGTAGCAGATGGTGTAGTAACATACAAGTCTTGAACCCGACTTGTGACCGGCTGCCTCTTTACCCGCTTAGCTCTCACAGCCCTAGAAACACGTTTTCATCCCATGTTGCACACACTGTCTGTGCCTCTGCCTGAGCCTGTAACTATCGTGGAAAGGCAAAGGTCAATGTCACCACAGGGCTTTTCTTGAAACTGCCTCTGCCCCTGTCCTCCAAGCGGGTCCTTACCCCTGGAGCCGTCAAAACTCAACTGTAAATCGCAAAGCCATTTTAGCTCGATCTTTACGATGACCAAGGTACGTATCACTGATGACCTCGGTCAATTTGAATCGACGCGTGGCTTGTCTTTGTTCTCTTCGGATGAGATCGACTAGGTTGATCGTTATGGCTTTGAAGTTGACACTGACAGCGCAGCATTGCTTGTGGAGAATGCTCCATTCACTGAAAAAGCTTGGGCTGAGGCCTTGTTCAAACGGTCGTTGGTGCGCCGCTGATCATTTGGGTTCCTTGCCCACTGTGGCTGTTGCAGATTGAGGCTCATAGTGATGCAAGTGATGTTTTGCACCTTTTTAAGAGACAGGAACATGAAGGGCGAACTGCAGATATTCTGCAGCATGTTTGTAGTTCGTCTTTCATCATGTGAGTTTCCAACATGATGGCCCTCATGACATGACGTGAAACTGGACTATGCAGTTAGCGTCAGGTACGAGTCAACAACGGCGACTGAGCTTACTTGATCTGGACTCACATAGTACGAATGGTGATATTAATTGCACCATGGGAAACATTAATAAGTCTGTGTGTATACCATTTAGATTGAGAGCCGCAAAGTAGGTCATAGCTTGAATAGTGCGTTCTGCGTCGAAGTTTATAAACACTTCTGATACAGCTTTACATCGTTTCGGAATTTTGATATGACTACAATATCCAGCAACAAGATAGTCCTGTTGCAAGACCTCTGCACAAAGTGATCTATAGCGTATTGATATGAAGGCGAAAATATCGTGAAGTCAAGTTACTTATCTCTGGTTTGTCCTCCTAGTGTCCAGATCTATCTCCAGCTGCTGGTATACCCTGAGTTGATAACCAAGCCATGCATATCACTATTATTCAAGTGCAGGTAGAACTAGTAGTTTCATTCTCCATCTGAGTTGAGTACGGGTTGTATCTGGAGCCCCTGTGATTCAGGTTTCTTCACCGACGCAACCGAGACGCTGTTGAAACATGGATCAGATGATATCCGGGGTAACGAAGAGCTTGAGCCTTGAGATCATCATCTTGACAAGATCTGAAATCATAAGAGACGCATGCACGATAAAGTGATAAAGACTTGTTTCTGTCCGGGTTTCAAAATACAGGTGTGACTCTCGTTTTCTGGTGGAGGAAACGCATGCTGGATGAGGTTACGAGTTAGGGTGAAACCAAGTCGGCATCTCAAGTTCCGAAACCAACCTCATACATTTGCCATCGTGAGCTTTATGACGTTTGAATCTCTCAGCTTCAGTGTTATCACATGTCCCGCGGATATGGCCTGCCGATGCTTGTAGTAGATCAAAGCACGTCCTCCAGTGTGCTGAATTTGATCGATTTTGTGCAACTAGCTAAAATAGATTGAAGGTACCCGATCTTGCCAAGCTACATGCTGCAAGAAAGGAAAGAAAGCTGGAGAAGGGTCATCAAGAAACAAAGAAACCGCCACAAGGATGACTTCTCAGGAGATAAAAGATTGTACTCCCATCTAGCTATATGTGAAATCAAACGATAGATCACCGAATTTGTCTTGCAAGGAAGGGAGCTTAGGCATACTGAGCCATACAAGAGAAATTCTATGAAAAATTGTAGTGCTTAACTCGATTATGTGGGCATTCTCAACCTGGTAGTTGGGGAGAGGATTGAGCTAAGCCAGAGACGACAGCACATCTACAAAGAACAAGCACAAGCCACAGCGGAGAGACACGATTATTACTCATTGCAATTTCCTGGGCTATGGGATGGTTGACGAGAAATAATAAAGACACGGGTCGACACCAACTATCCAGTAGTCAGCTTGAGATGAATGAGCTTATCCTACCCAGAAAATGATAGAGCCGGACCGCAGGATATCAGAAGAATTGACCGTCATAAGCATAAAGGACGAAACAGTTTAGTCGTCTTACGATAATTTAGAAAAGCATTTAGGCTACTTTATTTTGGTAGCCTAAGCCTTAGTGGACATTTCTTCTCTTGTCAACCTAGCCAGACACCCACGAGCAATTTGGGACTGTCTTCAGAGTCTTTTATGCTGATGTTTCTCCTGGAAAATGTAGTTCTGTATATAATTCGCTACAAAAAAAAGTACTGGACTGCCTCCGGGTAGGCGACCCGCAGGGTGTCAGAAGATTTGACCGTCATAAGCATAAGAGACGAAATGCTTTGGCCATTTTATGCCAACTTAGAGAGGCATTTAGGCTACTTTATTTTGGTAGCCTAAGCCTTAGAGGACATCTCTTCTGTTACCTACCTAGGAGACCTCTGCCAAACAACGTTGATTCTAGGGTATCTTCAAATATGTCTTCATAACTCGTCTTCAGCCTCTTGCTCCCGCTCTGCTCTCCTCACCTGGCGCTCGACGACCTCGAAACGGGACTCTATATCCGCCATCGCTCTCGAATTGCTGAGGACTCCTGTCTCATACCATGCTCGCACGGCTGTCTCGCTTCGTTGTCGAAGGTCTGCTATCTCGGCAGCTTGTGCAATCTGCGTTGCCTCGATGGCCTTCATTCGACCCTGTAGAGCTACAAGAGCTGCACTCTCTGCTGGATCTGGGATCGGGCTGTCCTTGATAGCGGTAAGAGACGACAGAATGGCGGGGAATGCTGAAGCGGAGGCTAGAACAATGGATTGGATAGCATCAACGTCGAGTTGCGATGGAGGTTCTGATGGGTCGGGTGCATGAAAGAAATCAGGATGGGCGCGGTCTGTCAAAGACAAGTCAGCATGGATTCAGGCAATAAGCTTCAAAACAACATACAAATCTTCATGAGCTCATGATAAACACGGAAATCGTCCAAGAGCCGGGAGAAGCGCCGCTCTAGTTGGCCGATTTGATCGGTCGCTGATCGATCCTGAGCCAGCGCCGGCGTTTGGGGCTGGCCGTAGAGAAGGTGCTCAACACGAAGGAGTCGCGACTCCAACAGATCGAGTGTAGAGAGAGTGGTCTCGTCCATAGTGGTGGCCATCGTGACAGCGAGCGCGCGGCACAAGCGCGGGACCTCAAGGTAAGGTACGGTAAGTAAGGTACTGGTTTGAATGAAAGAGTGGATGCGGTCAAGGGCGAAAGTGGGGGGTCAGGAGGATGTCATGAAATTGTGAGACCTGCAGAATCATGATTAGGTATCTGCTGTGAAATAGGTACGTTACCTATTTTGGCATTACCAGTTCAAAGGGATCCGACAAAGTGGAACGGTAAAATAGAATCCGATTGCCAATATTTAGAATATGCTTTTCACGAACGTTTGGGTGGAATGCTACCCATCATGAGGACGTTTTGAAGAGCTGGAGGCCGACATGATGTTTGGTCGTCTAACCCCCTGGAAAGCCCTGAAGCTAGGTATTCCCCAGATCATGGCTTGTCTAGAAACCTTCCTGATTGGTCATATCATTCCCTTGGCGCACGACTATTGGCTACATGAGTTCGGCATTACGCTCCAAGAGCTCCCCATTGTTATTTCCAAGGATCGTGGCAGGAGTCTGTGTCAGGAATTCGTACTAATCCATCTCCTGACTGTTTCTTCTTCCTCCTGCATCTCTATCAACCACAACAGCCTCGTTGGCGCTTCGCTCGTGACCTGGGCTGTCGTGACCGGAGTGTTCAACCATTTGTCTATCTTCCAGGGGCCTTTGTGCCGTGGACGGTGCAAGTCCAAGCGCAAGCACTGATCGGATTGACTGACGCAATACGGTCTAGGCCTGCCGGCCTACCACCAACTTTCCGCCTTTCCGCCTCGTGCCTAGTCAGCAACTTATCGGACTTGAATCCCGAGGAACGCAGCGATAACGAACTTGCATATACCTGCATTCCGACTTGCGACATCAACACTATCAGTATTTTATCTACCTACAAAACAACCGCCGAAACCCATACAGTACACTTTATCCCTTGCGATCGCGCCGAACAATCGACGACCCTACATCTTTTCGCCGTTAATGACGAACTACTCAACAATATCTGATGGAAACGCTTCTGCAACAGGAAGTGCCGGCGACATGTCAAGGTGAGGAGACCCGCCGACACCGGCTATGATTATCATCGTTGCTCACAACAGACTTCCCAGACCTCGACGTCGCGGTCATAAGGATGGCGGCCATGGCGGCCAAGCCACCACGATCAGCAGTGTCGTAAATCTGCTAAACACAAGTATGTTGGACGTCAATTAACCGACTCGTATGGTGCTGATATAGGTTGTCAAGTTGTTGGAGCTGGCACCCTTGCCATGCCCTCCGTTATGTCCCACATGGGAATTATGCTCGGTGTCATCCTGATTGTATGGTCTGGATTAACTGCAGCTTTCGGCCTTTATCTTCAATCTCGATGCGCGCGATATCTCGAACGAGGAACGGCCTCTTTCTTTGCCCTATCGCAAATCACCTATCCCAACGCCGCGGTTATCTTCGATGCTGCAATTGCGATCAAGTGTTTTGGAGTTGGCGTATCATACATGATTATTATTGGGGACCTCATGCCTGGTGTAGTGTTGGGCTTTTTGAGCAATGCCAATAGCGCTCCGTATCTGGTTGATCGTAACTTTTGGATCACTGCGTTTATGCTCATTATTATCCCCCTCAGCTTCCTGCGGAGGTTGGACTCGCTAAAGTACACCAGCATTGTTGCCCTGGTTTCTATTGGATATCTTATTGTGTTGGTGATTTATCACTTCGCATCTGATAAACATGCCGATCCAGGAAGTATCAGAGTGATTCAATGGGGTGGAGCTGTCGAGACATTGAGCGCTCTACCCGTTGTGGTCTTTGCTTATACTTGCCACCAAAACGTATGTAAACCACAGTCGGTCGTCGAGCCCAGCTAACTTATGCAGATGTTCTCTATCCTGAACGAACTAAAGGACAACTCCCCTAGGAGTGTTGTTGGCGTTGTCGGTTCCAGCATTGGCTCTGCCGCCTCCATATACATTGTCGTGGCTATCACTGGATACCTTACTTTTGGAAATGCCGTTGTTGGCAACATTGTGTCTATGTGTAAGTATTTTCTCCTTTTGCCTGGAAATGATAGGACCCCCACTAACACGAATAGATCCTACTGGAGCTGCTTCAACAATTGGAAAGGCCGCCATTGTTGTCCTCGTCACGTTCTCGGTCCCGTTGCAAGTGCATCCTTGCCGAGCTTCATTAGATGCCGTCCTAAAATGGCGACCAAACCGCAACTCGTCAAACAATGGCCGAACTGCGGCGCCTCTCCTACCTACAGCTCCAGCTGGAGATCACGGGAGCACTGCCCCAATGTCCGACTTTCGTTTCGCAGTCATCACCACTTTTATCCTGACTTTTGCTTATATGACTGCTCTTTCAGTCACCAGTCTTGATCGTGTCCTGGCCTTTGTTGGCAGTACAGGATCGACTTCTATCAGCTTCATTCTTCCTGGCCTCTTCTACTACAAGATCAGTAACCCGGATAGCACCTACCATCAACGATTGGTCAAGGAAGATGACGATATCGATGGAGATTCTTCCACTTCTGATGTGGAAGACTCTGCTGCTCTGGCGCAGAGCACAACTAGCGTTCGCAGTGGTGTAAGCCTCGCTAGCAACGCAAGCACACACAGCAACCGAAACTCCTGGCGATGGCGCCGTAAGTGGCGATGGGACCTTGAACATATTGAACACCATCACCTACGCAGAATGGCACTTGGTCTCGCAATATATGGAGCCGTTGTCATGTCTGTGTGTCTTGCACTCAACATTTTCTTTATTGTCACTCATTAAACTGTATCATCTTTTTCTTACGGCCTTATCGGGATGACGTATGTTGGATAAAGGCGTTGTTAAGACGGGGGCATATGTTGGTTCTTCCTGTTTTCCGAGCGACTCATCTTCCATAGACTGCTTAAACGTGTTTAGACATGGTATTGGGTAGCGCTTCAATACAGTAGTTATTAATAGCGACAAATGACTTGACTCTAAATGGTTTGAGCCGTTGCAAACGTATATCGTACAGTCTCCTTTCGAGCGGAACGGGCACTCAATGCCTGTGAAGGATCCCCGTCATTTTTGGTGTTGATCCTGCTCTATAAATTGCTGATCATTCAAGATCGGGTGATGTCGAACCCCAAACCAACGCCCCGAAATGCCTTTTCATACATATCATACAGCTTTCCGGACCTTCTTAACGAATCTTGACCTCATTCTTGTTCAAAACACCCTTTGTCTCGTCTTGCTTGGGGCCGAACTGCTTCTTTGGCAGAATGCCCACCATGGAGAGTAACCTCCATGCTGTGTCCGTAGGCTGTGCACCAACACCAATCCAGTACCTCGCGCGTTGACTATCGAGCTTGATGTCCTTGTGAAGCTTTCCAGAAGTGTCGTAAGGGTCGGCCTTGGGGATCGGGTCGTATGTACCAATGACTTCGAGCGGGCGGGAGTTACGAGCCGTCCTGGGTGATGGTTAGTGGTGCGTTCAATCGGTGCACTGTATTGGCGGGCGAACGAACCGTGCGTGGGCAATGACGATGTTGTAAAAGGGCTGATTTCGACGCCCGAAGCGGGCGAGACGGATCTTGACAACCATGGCGGCGATATGGGGAACTTGACGACCACGATAATAGCAATCGGCTGGCAAATGCTAGTATCCTGAAGGTTGGAACAATTTCGAATCGGAATCGGGGTCTAGTTTCGCCGATGTGGCTGGTGTGCCGACAAGGGTGGAGTACGACGGGAATAGTGTGGCTCTCACATCTAGCTAGGGAAGCAGCAACCTGCTGAGTGATGTCAGTCCCCTGGACCTTGCAACATTACTCACTGACGACATATAGAAACCACTCGGCTTTCACGTCATCTGAACTCTTCCACTGATCCATCATCATTGAGATTTCGACGAGAGACGATCAAACTCTACATAAATAGAAAGATTCAAAAATACAAAATGGCGATTAAGGTAAGTGATGAGAGCATTCTCTAGATGTCGAGTACTAACTGTCCCAGACACTCGGAGCCAAAGCTGCTGCTGCTCTCGATCAGGAGCTTATGAGCACTGGTGCATTCTCACTTGACCAGCTCATGGAGCTCGCTGGTCTTGCTGTCTCTCAAGCTGGTGAGTTGTTTAGTAGCTAGGCTACGTCTTACATGTCACTTTTGAGCTCTCCTGTATCATTTCTGGCCGTTTAGCAAGGCCTATAACAGCCGCCACGGTGTTCGGTTTACTAACGTCACCAGTGTACCGTCTTCAGCCTCTCGAGAACGGCCGCAGAATTCTGGTTGCTTGTGGGCCAGGAAACAACGGTATGTCTCTCAGCAACTCATCGGTGCACATAACTAAGAAGCTTCAGGTGGTGACGGACTGGTGGCTGCCCGCCATCTCCGACAGTATGGCTATAGCCCGACCGTCTTCTACCCCAAAAGAAGTAAGAACGATCTCTACCAGGTAAGTTGGCGTCTTCATCTGGTTTTCACCATCATTTCACAATGGGCGGTATCGTGGACCGTCCTGTCTCGCAAAACGTCGCGATCTTGCAGTTGTACGCTTTATAGAATTCATTTGTCGTCTGTTCTTCTACCAGTTCTGCGGGAATCGTTAAATGGCAATAACTGGCGTATCGTGAAATTGGTGTATCCAGCCTTCCCTCATGTCTCGTCTCGTTTCCATGCCCGGAAGCCGAAAAGTCGCTGATCCTCTTACTAGCGACTCGCAAAACAACTTGAAGACCTCGATGTCCCATTCGTGGAGGATTTCTCTTCTGCGCTGAATTCGACAGATCATATTGTCGATGCGATCTTTGGTATGTTGTCCATGCTTTATAGTGACAGCGTCTGACCGTTGATCTAGGTTTTAGTTTTTCGGGAGAAGTTCGAGAGCCTTTTCCTGCAGTGATTCAAGCACTCCAAGACACCAAATTACCGGTCACATCAGTCGATGCTCCATCATCGTGGGATATCGAAGATGGGCCGCCCAAGTCTGGACTTGGTAGCTCCTTTATGCCTACTGCACTTATTAGCCTGACAGCACCAAAGCCACTAGTGAAGCACTTCAAAGGTCGACACTTTATTGGCGGACGGTACGCACCGGTACAATATGGTTGGCTCGAGGTAACTGACTCCCAAAATAGGTTTGTAACTCCATCCATCGCCAAGAAATTTGAATTCGAAGTCCCGGAGTACAAAGGTATTGATCAGGTCGTTGAGATTGAAGTTTCCGGGCAGAAGCTCTAAAAACGGTCGGATTGCTTGCGATTCGAAAACAGGGGGCTCCAATCACCATCCTCTGTCGATCTTTTGAATAGCAATCGTATCACATGATCCGACAGCCTCCCCTCAAACTATTTGGACAGACTGGACTTGGGCACTGTCCGTCTCGCATCATGTCTTTGAGGAATATGACGCCGTGGGGACATGCAAGCAATGGCGGACGAAAGAATTGACAAAATTCAACATAAATGAGATACTCTTTCCCGCAGACGTGGCATGCAGCCGAATGCTGCGTGCACATTTATTGTGAGCTCGAGCTTTGTCTTAAAGTTCGAATAGGTGATGATCGATGTCGTCGATTGAGAAAGGGTAGACCCGCACCAACGACATGGACAATGACGTTGAAGACTGGCGTATGGGTAAGGGGAAACAAAGACAAGCTGACGGTTCGCATAGGCGAAATATAGTAACGGTGAATGGATCAACAGTCGTCGCGAAACAGAAGCTCGTTCAAGGTAGCTGGATAGGGCTGATATAAAGAGTGTGGCGTCGAAACAGATGTGCTGTCTAACAGAGTACAGACGTAGTTGCCGGTTGCCACCGAGGCCCAGTGTGTCCAGCGAGTCCAGTATATCCAGGGGGCTTAGGGGGGTTACAGGGACCCAGCCGGAGCTTAAAAATTGCAAAGACGAGTCCACGTCAGGTTGGTTGTCTCGGCCCCAGGCGACGTTACCTGGAAGAGTCGTGGCAAAAGAGGGACATGACGACTCTCGGATGGTGCCGCACTGATGGTACAGGTACGAAATAGAAAAGGGAACAAAAGCATGCGACCACGAGGCATTTTGAAGAAAGCGATATTAAAATCCTGTGCGTCCGCCGAGCAGCAACTTTTGGTGGAAAACACTACTCTACTCTTACGCTTGTCTGATGAGAGAGTCAAGGAGCCGGAGCATTTGCTCCTCGACCCGCATGGTAGGCGGGGTCTGTAATGCGGCGCTTACAAAAACCGTACTGTACAGATGTATGCACCTCACCTGGGTCCGCTTTTTTCTATGCAGAGGTAACAAGTTCCTTCATGAACCAGACCGAAGGCTGCTGCTTTGCCTACCTTTCTAACGGTGTTTGGATCTCGACTTTCGTTTTCAGCGACGTTGTTAGCATTGGCATCTTGACATTGTCATTGACCCCGTTCGCTGATGTCAGCCGCCAGGTTCAACGGGGCCGCTCTTGTTAATCAGCCCTGAAAGAACGGACATGTCTCTCCGACTTGTCCGTCACACTTGCGCCATTGACTCAAGGCCTGACGGAACTTGGAACGAGGCTCCAAAAAAGTAAAAACTCGAGTGCTCGAGGGTCTCAATGATTCGGCAACTGTGGACTTGTCCTCGGAATCGGTGCGAGAACGTGGGACGGCGCCGCTGACTAGTGGTTATATATCGAAAGCTGGGCTTCGCAGTCTGGTACTGCCAACGGTTAGAGGATGCAGCGAAGTGCAAGAATTGATTTCGAATTGGGTTGACCTGAACTAAAAGATCCCGACGCTACAACCGTCAGGGTCCTCGTGGTGGCCCACGATCTCGGGACCCACGATCGTAAATGGAGCATTGTCGCGGTAGATCGAACGGCGTCCCGTCATGCCTCGAATCTGACTGGCTGACTATAGGCTAGTCCTCAAGTCAACGGAGCCAAATCACCCTCCAACTCAGCTCATACTACCCCAGCTGCACTGCACTAAAGCTAAGAAAATTTATCTCTTGCGGCACAGTGTACGGTTCATTAGTTGACGTGCTGTCTACAGTAAAATCCCCGTCAGATGAGCTGCGCCACAAGTCAGGTTGGGTCAGGTCAGGTAAGACAGGGTCGGGTATCACGACACGACTCTCCACGGTTCAAGGGACCAGGGATAAAGTTTCCGAATCTTCAATACGGCCACTAACTGCGTCCCTCTCCTCGGAATTCTGTGCACGGCCTTTGAGCATCTACCCCTGTCAAAGAGTGGCTTTTGGACGTGGGAGATTTTCAGTCAGCTTTTCAAGCCCCCGTACCGACATCCCGGTCGCGGAGTCGAGAATGAGGTCGAGAACGTCAAAGACAACCTGAACCTGCGGCTTTGTTACCCGATCATGACACCCACAGACTGCAGACAGATTGTTTCAAGATCGGGGAAGAACTATGGGATAAGATACACAGCCTTCGTGTCCTGAGGCGAGAACATTGCCGGCAATCGTGCTTTGCTTCGACAGTATTACCCCGGTTGGGTTCGGCAGTGGTGGGTGGGCAGCGTTTCTCCCAAGCTGTGGCGTAGCTTCGAGTGCGTCGTCCTCTTGAAGCCCTAGAAGAAGTCAATTGGGCCAGTATTGAGGCACGGTCGCAAGCTTGTGGAAGATAAAGCTGCATCTCGAAGATCTTGCGCTTTTTTGGCTCCTGATGCCGGCACACCCGTACATCTGAAAGTCCTGGGCCAGGGCCACTCTCAGCTGCCAGCAGGGATCATGTTATCAAACCGGATTAGAGAATACTGCGTTAGTGGCCAGCTTTCCCCCTTCCGCGGCTCAAGATTCGAAAACCAATGCCTCGCATACATAAATGGAATTTCTGTCTAGCTTGTGAATTGCACTTGCGACCATTTTACGGATACAACGCGGAGGACAGCAACGCTCAAGCAGACCCCTGCAATAGATCTCGAGATGAAACAATACCTGGTCATTGGGTTCTGCCCCAGATGCTCCGTATTCGAGCTAATGACTTGGATGTTGGCCCTTATTTACGATGACAGATGGAGACTGTTGGACATTTGGGTACCCGCAAACCAGAGAATGTATCGAGTGAGCGGTGAGAATGGCTATGGTACAATATTCTGGCAGCGGAGGGGTTCCCACTGATACCACTGGTCAATTATATGAGTCGTGTTGGATAATTAAGGCCGACCCCTGCTTGGTGTAGGGACACCACGCCGGCCTCAGCGGTCAAAGTTGAGTCGGAGAGGGTTTTCCGGGGTGGAGCAAAACGTTGATGGAAGGGGAACGCATCATTGCCCTAGCAGACGATGCCCAAGGATGCATATCAGCCATGGATGCGATATGCGAATTGCAAAGGGTATCATGGAGGCTTGAATAATTAGATCTCAGGGTCCTTCTCTCCAGGCGGAGTGTTTCCTCCTTGACAACCCACGAGCCCAATAACGACCGGAAAAACCGAACCGGAGGTGACTCCGGTTCTTAGGGGGCATTTGACTGGCGTGGCCCACTGAATTATTCACTGGCGAAAAAGCCACAGAGGCCTAAGTGTAGCGGTACTCATACTGTGTTTCACTGTTTAATTGTGTGAGTACCTTTCTCGTGTTCGTCAATTGCCTTAGTTGGCGATGATCCCGAGTTGCTTCATTGACGTCATAATTATCAACTGCCGCTTACCAGAACATTCTACACAGAAGAATGTTCTAGTACTTTACTGCAACATCACACTACATCGAACTGATCAAAGAATAAACTAGAAGATGCTTCAGAGTTTTTGTTGGCTCGAGGGTCGTTTAGACTCGGCCAATCTAGCTAAGTAGCTAATAGCGCATCGCCATAGCGACACGGCTTCGCTTCAGTTCGCAACCCGCCTGCCCACCTTCAACGGTTAACCATCCCAATCTGAGTATAGAGCCAGTCAGCTATACTTTACCTGCATGACTGCATGCATGACCAGTCCTCTTATAGGATGTAGGTACACGCAACGTCACTCGCCTCAGTCACCTTATTAAGTTGCCAAGACACGACATGGCATCCAATGCTACGACAGCTCTTGGACCCCACAGAGTCAGCCCTTCGATGCTAAGATCCGCGAAATTTCCAACCGCCAGTCTCGCCTAGGTATTCGTCAACCTCATCACAGACACCGAGGGCGGGTCCTTGACTGTTCTCGGAGCTATCTCTCCTTCTTTATCCAGATATTGATGAGTCAAGGTACTTATCGTCACGCTTCGAGTAGTGGGGGTTAGTCGTCTTGGGATCAGACGCTGTTGATATCAACCTCGTGGAAGGTTAGGCCCGTGTTGCGGACCATTGGGCAATGGATATCGTATCATCTGATGATATGCCTAGAGTGGATGCATCTCGGGCAATAGTCTAAGCTAGACACGTTGTAGGGCGAGAGCTCACTAGTCTGGCAGGGAGCTAGGAAGAGCACAACACATTGCGAGAAGAAGCATTGCGTGGCTGTTGGGGACAAGCATGTGGAATCATTTGGCTATGACCATAACTTGCGTACATTCACCCCATCTAGAACAAGAAGAAGACACTTGTCAGATTCTGAAAGGAGAGGCAGAAGCCTGCAGGGTTTGTCGAGGCAAGACACTGTCAGGCTACATCACGATAGTGACGAACAACTGCATTTGAAAAACACTCACCATGTATTGGTACACAGTGAGAGAGAGCACCAACAGAGCCTTGTTTGTGACTCACCGTCCTGTCGATAAGAATACGAAGAAGTCCGGGCGTACGTATGATTCAATTCTGCTCGATGATTATTTCCTCATGCAGTTGAAAGTGAGTATATCGGGATGTCCAGCCCCTGGGCTTGCTATTCATGGAGTAGACCTTCCAACGGACGGTTTGGTCCGCTTGGTAGAGTGTTGTTTAAGCATAATATCAAAGCGTCGAATGGCCGTACGCCCTGTGTTGGGTATCTGAAGGAAGTGTTCCTGGTAGCCTAGCGAGGTTGAAGATGCTTGACCGGTCAATGCGTTTGATTATTACACAGCTGTCTCAAACCTTGGTGGTGTAAGTGTCCGGGATAATCACCGAGGTGCAAGTACTTCAGCGAGTGAAAGATGTGAGAGATTGGTGCGATTACTTCTTTCTATCCCTGAGTTCTGAAGGGTAGACCCAGGCAGTACAAAGATTCGACCAGCGGATTATTGCGAGAAGATTGAATTTCAATATGACGATATGGCTAGTGTTGCGAGACTTTCCTCCTCACCCGCTCTGTCCCAGCGAATTCAAGATGATCGCATCAGCCATCAACAGTCTTCGCACGCCAAGAGGCCAATAGTTGGACCGGGCATCTGTTTGCCGCCTCGCAAAGGATAATGCTCCCACTGTTTGTATATTGTGGCTTCGAGGTCCTTAACAAAACTCTCGGAGCATGGAGAATGACTGTCAGCATTGCCTCTCTCCGCACCAATATCCACAGAAGAATCAACTTGGACAAATCTACGGCCTTGTCCGTAGAATACTGCAATGCCGTATCGATTCTCTTCTGATTTAGGTATAGTATGAGCATGGCCTTGGGATTTCTTGATGCTGTAATCGATTATCCAGACAGGGAAGGCATGCGTGTTGATAATGGCTTCGATAATCCTTTGCGCCATCTGAACGATTCCGGGGCCAGTTTCTCTCCAACGAGGATTGTACTCTATGGCCAAGTTCACAAATCCATCTTCTCCTTCTTGTCGTGATGCCAGAGCGTGATGTCGCAGGCCGTACCAGATGAAGTTCCACCGATCTGGTTGCAAAATAAAGAGGTCTCTGTATGGACGTATCGTAGTATAATGATCTTTTGAATCGCCATCTCTGAAGCAAAGCATCTCTGGCATCATTGAAAATGGTTGCGTGAGATGTGTGTTTCGTCGTACTGCTTGCCGTTGGTTCAACCGATAATGGTCCCGTATTATGATACTAGATTCTTTACAAGCCATCCAAAGGCCGCTATCGATCATATACGTCGACGGGTTCTGGGAAAACCACGAGATCTGGGCTTGTTGTCGTTTGGATCCGATTAAAGGAACATCGTCAACGGATTTCACCACCCAACTTGGTGCTGAAAGAATAAGACCGCATATTCTCACACCAGGGATCACTCCATTAGGAAGGTCCTCTGACGGTGTTCGAGATTCGTTGGAAGATATTGTGAAGTAATGCACCCCTGGTTGGTCGGAGCGGACTGCGAATTTCCAAATCCGATCTCGTAACTCAGGAGGGAGATCTAGAAAACGAAAGAAATGAGGCGACATTGTTAAAAGGACCAGATATATAGGAGGTAAGGTTGAATACAAAGATGCAATAGCTGTGGTACGAAAGACCAAAGACAAATGATGTCGAGGTGTTATGCTTCAGCAAGGGTCCAGAAAAGGTAAAAGAAATGAGCAAAATGGAACAAAATAGAGGAAATACCAGGCAGTGACTCATCACCATTTGAAGAATCTATCGAGTGGATCAATTTGGTAGTCAGTTTGTCAGTTTATGCAGTAGTGATGCAGAAGAAGAGGTAAAACATGTCATTATTTAGGCCGCGGATGGGGCATTATATGTGCAGGATCTTACATCATAGGCGAATGGAAGGAAGAGACCAATTTCTATGTCGGTAAAGAGAAGTCACGTTGAGACGGTCAAGATTGAACTAAACAAGTAATATCAATTTGTGTACATAAACACTCTGGCAATCTCGATAACAACTAACTAATTATACAAATTATACAGACATAGGAGGCAAATAAAGGTCAAGACCCCCTCAATCTTGTACGGAGAGGATCTGACTGTCGCTATACATAGGAGAGAAATCAGGTGCCAAAGCACTCGTGTTCTTGACAATGGAGTGCTTGACTGTCGGGAACATAGGAAAATAGAGGAGATAAGGGTTGGTTCCCTTTTAGTCTTAGACATCGAGCGCCTGACTGTGGTGGGTATACATAGAAAAGGTTTGAGGGATCGAGTTCCTCTTACTAGAGGGATTGACTGTCGATACACCTGGCACCATCGTTCCACGATGATACTGGACCTGCCGCAATGAACTTGGGCGTGCCGATGGTTGGCGCAATAGGGAACTTGAAGATCTGTCCACTGGAGTTCTCGGAACCGTAAAGACTGCCGTCTTGCGATGCGTAGGCGGCTCCCCAAAGGTTGTCACCGGCGACATTACCATATGCCTTAAGCGTCTGCCATGTGTATGTAGTTCGGCTAAATCGACACAGAGTAGATGTGTCGCCGTTGTCGTCATACATGACTGCGTACATGTAGTCGCCGCCTCCGGGGACAAATGCCCAATCGGCACAGTTAAGAGTGTTCTTAGCAGTACCGCTCAGAATAATCTTGCCATACGTCGCTGAGCCAGGCATAAGGTCGATGGCCCACCAAGCCTCACCCTGGTTAGAGATCCAGAAACGACCTTGGTTGTCAATGTCTCCCATGTTGATGGTGCGATCGTTGGTTCGAGCGGGTAACAGAGTCCAGCCACCATCACCACCGATACGGATAAGTTGGGTACCCGTGTCGTCCATGTGCATACCGTAAATGTAGTTGTCGAACTTGTTGTAACCGATACCATTGATCCAGCCACCAGGACCGACATTGCTCTTGATAAGAGTTGTCTTACCAGTGGTGATTTCGACACGGTACAGAGCCGTCTTCTGCATAAGGTAACCATAGACATCACAGTTGAACGCTACCGTGGCCTGAGGCGCCACGGTAGACGTACTGCTAGAGCGAGACGTGGTGGAAGAGGACGTGGAACGAGGAGCAGGTGTCGCGATAACCACGGTGCCGGCATCGCCGCTGGCACCGGGAGGGAAGTAAGTAGTGTAAGGAACGGAAATCGAGGTACCGCCGTTTGTAGTAACAGTTACAGGTGGTTTCTGAACGATGACTGTACCAGGATTACCTGGCGTGCCAGGTGGTACGTATGTAGTAGCGGTGGAAGCCAGCGTGGTAGGACCGGCTGTAGTGATCGTGACGTTGTAGGGAGTGGGGAATTGGACGAGAACTGTGTCTGGTTGACCCAGGTCTGTCACAATGCGAGTAGTTGTTGTAGGCGCAGTGATCGTGCCGACTGTCTGGGTAGTTGTCACGGTAGACTTGGTCGGCACCTGTACCATGACGGTTCCAGGAAGAACTTGAGTTACAAGTGAAAGAATGTTTGGAATCGTAACTGTGATGGTAATAGGCGCCGTGGTAGTGGGCGCCGCAATGGTGGTAGAAGAATCCAGGGCGATACACCTGGCACCATCGCCTTGCAAGTTGGCGATGGATCCTCCTGGGATAGCCGTAGGGTTGGCATTGCTTCCCAAAGTGAACTTCCATGTCTGACCGAGAAGGTTCTCTTGAGCATACAGAGTGCCACCAGGACCTGCCATGACAGCGCCCCAGACGAGGTTGAGCGCTGTGAGGACGAGGTTGGGATATGTCTGGTAGCGCTCCCAAACATGAGTTGTGCGTGACCATCGAACAATGTTGGTTCGCATGAGGCCATTCTCAATGATGGAGGCCTGGACCGCGTAAAGGTAATCACCTCCACCAGGAACATAGGCCCAATCACCAACACCAGATAGAATGTTTGTAGCAGATGTACCGCTGTTGATAAGCTTACCAAAATTGGCGGACTTAGGATTCAGGTCAATAGACCACCACTTGCCTCCGCTCTCAGACACCCAAAGGCGTCCCTGCTCATCGACATCACCCATATCAAGGGTAGTCGAAGGAACAGTAAGTGGCAATAGTTCGTAAGCACCGTTGGAAGCGATGCGGATCAGCTGAGATTTGGGAGTACCTGTGAGGACACCGAGGACACCACCAACAACACCTTGGTTGATGAAACCATAGATGTAGTAGTCGAGAGGGTTGAATCCGATACTGTTGATGGCTCCCGTGGTACCAGCCAAATTGAGGAGGACACCACCAGGGCCTACACCTGATTTGATAACAGTGCGGGCACCTGTTATGAGATTAACTCGAGTGAGAGTATTGCCGAGCAGGGTTGAGATGGTGTAAGCAGAGTTGCCATTAGCATCACAGTCAAAGGTTGGACCAAAGGAAGCTTGAGGCATCTTGCTGCTGGCGCTGGTACTGGTTGCCGGTGCAGGCGCTTGAACAGTGGAAGAGGAACTTGACACTGGTACCGGTGGTACGGCAACAGGCAAAGTAGAGGAAGGAAGACCAACTGTAGGTAGACTGGCAGAAGGCAAGCTAGCAGAAGGAAGACTGGCAGAAGGCAAGCTAGCAGAGGGTAGGCTGGCAGACGGTGCACTGACTCCCGATGCAGATGGAAGATTTGCAGAAGGCAAGCTGGCCGAAGGAAGACTGGCAGAAGGTAGTCCAGCCGAAGGAAGACTGGCCGAAGGCAAGCTAGCAGAAGGTACTCCAGCCGAAGGCAGACTGGCAGATGGTGCGCTGAGAGGTACCGATGCGCCAGTCAAAGGCGCAGAGGGTGCAGAGAGCTGAGGGTCGCTCAATGAGGAGGCGAACTTCACCCCAGGAAGGTCGATGGAGCTAGGAACAGTGGCCGATGGCAGACCAGCGGAAGGAAGACTAGTTGAAGGGCCACTGAGAGGTACTGATGGCGCAGGCTTCACACCAGGGACCTCAACAAGTACAGTTCCTGGATCACCTGGGGTACCAGCGGGAATGAAAGTTGTGGTAGCCTCGGTAATGGTAGCGACTGTCTGCGTTGTAGTCACGTTGGGGGGAAGTTGAACAAGTACTGTGTTCGGGTCACCTTGTTCACCGGCTGGCATGTATGTGGTTCTAGCGCGACTGATGGTACTGACCGTCTCGGTTGTAGTGATGGTGTAGTCGGGAGGAACCTCCACAAGGACTGTGTTTGCATCGCCTTGTTCACCGGCTGGCATGTATGTCGTTCTGGCGCGGCTGATAGTGCTGACAGTCTCGGTAGTGGTTATGGTATAGTCAACAGGAACCTGTACGAGTACAGTGTTTGGATCACCTTGTTCACCGGCAGGATTATATGTAGTCCTAACTCGGCTGATTGTGCTCACAGTCTCGGTAGTGGTTACATTGTAGTCGGCAGGGACCTCTACGAGTACTGTGTTCGGGTCACCCTGTTCGGCGGCAGGGTTATAAGTTGTCCTAGCACGGCTGATTGTGCTGACCGTTTGTGTTGTGGTTATCGTATAGTCGATAGGAACCTGTACAAGAACAGTGTTGGGGTCACCCTGAGTGGCAGCTGGGTTATAGGTAGTTCTGACCCGACTGATGGTGCTGACCGTCTCAGTTGTTGTGACATTGTAATCTGGAGGAACTTGGACGAGGATAGTGCCTGGATCACCCTGTTCACCGGCAGGGTTATAGGTTGTCCTTGCCCTACTGATCGTGCTGACGGTTGCGGTGGTAGTTACATTGTATTCCGGCGGAAGATCGACGAAAACGGTACCTGGATCTCCCACAGTCGCTGGGGTTGCAAAGCGTGTAGCAGGGCGTGTAATGGTAGGGACTGTTGACGATACTGTAACATTGACGCTTGGAGGAAGTTGTACGATAAATGTGCCAGGGTCACCCTGCTCACCAGCTGGGGCAAACGTAGTTGAAGCTCGGGTGATTGTTGCAACAGTAGTAGTACGGGTGACGTTATACTCCGGTGGGACATCAACATACACGGTACCAGGGTCTCCCGGACTGCCCGGTTGAGAATACCTAGTAGCAGGCCTGCTGATTGTCGAGACGGTTTGAGTTGTTGTGACATTAGTGTCCGGTGGCATCTGGACGAGAATCGTGCCAGCGTCACCTTGCTCACCGGCTGGAACAAAGGTAGTTGATGGTTTTGTCATTGTAGCCACGGTTGTGGTTCTTGTGACATTGTACTCAGGGGGCAAATCAACATAAACAGTACCAGGATCACCGACTTCACCCGGTTTCGAGTACCTCGTGACTGGTCTGGTGATTGTCTGTACAGTCTGGGTTGTCGTCACATTAGTATCCGGCGGCATCTGGATAATAACAGTGCCAGGGTCGCCTTGTTCCCCAGCAGGAGCAAAGGCTGTGGATTGTCTTGTGATGGTCGGGACTGTTGTTGTAATAGTGACATTGTACTGCGGTGGTAGGTCGACATAGATCGTGCCAGGGTCGCCGACCTCGCCTGGCTTCGAGTACCGTGTAACTGGCCGGCTCATAGTGCTAACTGTCTGTGTGGTAGTGACGTTGTACTCAGGTGGCATCTCGATAATGACAGTTCCTGGGTCTCCTTGAGTTGCACCTGGAGCGAATGTTGTGGATTGTCTTGTGATAGTTGGGACTGTTGTCGTAATAGTGACATTGAACTCCGGGGGCAAATCGAGGTAGACAGTACCAGGGTCACCAATCTCGGCAGGCGACGAGTAACGAGTAACTGGCCTGCTAATTGTCTGAACGGTCTGAGTTGTGGTGACATTGTACTCAGGAGGCATCTGTACGAGTACTGTGCCCGCGTCGCCGTCGGTAGCGGGGGATGCAAATGTTGTGCTTGGTCGAGTGATGGTGCTGACTGTTGTAGTGATCGTAACATTGTGGTTCGGAGGCACGTCGATGAAAACAGTACCCGGATCACCCTTTGTGGCTGCTGGGACAAAGCGAGTCGCTGGACGTGAGATAGTGGGAATAACCTCAACGATAGTTGTGTTAGTCTCAGGAGGTTCCTGCACGATGACAGTACCTGGATCGCCTTGGTTTGCAGGGGGTGCATAGGTGGTAGTGGCTCGAGTGATCGTGTTGATGACTTCGGTAGTTGTAACATTTCTCGCGGGAGGCAATGCGATGATAACAGTACCTGCATCGCCCTTCGTAGCTGGCGGAGAATAGAGTGTTTGAGCAGCCGTAATCGTACCGATCTCAGTTGTCCTGGTCACGTTCCTGTCAGGCGGGAGTCTGACAATGACGGTACCTGGGTCGCCACGGCTTCCTGGTGGTGAATAGGTAGTATAGGCCTGGGTCAACGTAGGGACCTCTTCCGTGGTAGTGACGTTTCGGTCTGGAGGTGTTCCAATAATGACTGTGCCTGGGTCACCCTTGTTAACGGGAGACATATAACTGGTATATGGCGAAGTTAGACTAGCAATCTCGGTGGTGACGGTCACATTGCGATCTGGGGGTAGTTCAATAACGATAGTTCCCGGGTCGCCCTGTGCACCAGGGGAGGAATATGTCGTATACGGAGCAGTGCGAGTAGGCACCTCAGTCGTAATGGTAACGTTCCTGTTTGGCGGCATCTCCACGATGACAGTTCCTGGGTCACCCTTGTTTGCAGGGGTCGCAAATGTAGTGTATGGCTTGGTGCGGCTTGCGACCTCAGTTGTGATCGTAGTGTTACTGTCTGGTGGCATTTCCACGATAACGGTGCCTGGATCGCCCTTGTTGGCAGGGGCCGCAAAAGTAGTGTAGGGCTTAGTGCGAATGGCTACTTCGGTTGTAACCGTAACATTACTGTCGGGTGGCATCTCCACGATAACAGTACCGGGATCGCCCTTATTCGCAGGAGCGGAGTAGGTTGTATAAGGCTTTGTACGACTGGCAACCTCGGTTGTGATCGTAACATTACTGTCTGGCGGCATCTCAATAACAACAGTACCAGGATCACCTCTGTTAGCTGGAGACGAGTATCTGGTATAAGGTGCAGTTCGGCTGGCCACTTCAGTTGTAACGGTTACGTTGCGGTTAGGGGGCAGTTCAACAATAACAGTACCAGGATCCCCCTTATTCGCAGGGGGAGAGTAAGTGGTGTAAGGAGCAGTTCGGCTTGCAACCTCAGTTGTAATCGTGACATTAGAATCAGGGGGCAATCCGATGAAAACTGTACCGGGATCGCCTTGCTTAGCAGGCGACGAGTAGCTTGTGTAAGGAGACGTGATGGTGCTGATAACCTCAGTAACAGTGACGTTACGCTCCGGGGGCACTTCAACAATGATTGTACCAGGACTTCCCTTATTCGCAGGGGCTGAAAAGGTAGTGTAGGGAGCAGTTCTATCGCTGACCGTCTTGGTAGTTGTGACGTTCGAGTCAGGGGGTAATTCGACGACGACAGTACCAGGATCCCCGCGATTGGCAGGGGGAGAATATGTCGTGTATGGAGCAGTACGAGTACTGACAATGGAAGTAACAGACACATTATGATCAGCCGGAACACCGATGAAGACAGTGCCAGGGTCACCAGCAGTAGCAGGCGGCGAGTAGCTTGTGTAAGGTGCTGTAACAGTATCGTCTTGTTTTGTAACTGTCACGTTTCGCTCACCAGGAACCCCTACGACAATGGTGCCAGGGTCGTTATCATTACCAGCTGGCATGTACGTTGTATATATCGCAGTGATAGTGCTGATTGTCTGTGTTGCAGTAACGTTGAAACGGGTCGCAGAACCAGGAGTTTCGATGATAACGGTGCCATTGGCTCCACTGCTCGCAGGAGGAATATACGAGGTGACAGGACCAGTCAGTGTACTTGGACCAGGTCGATAGACGGTGACGTTTTGACCAGGTGCATCGGTAACGGATGGGTTTGGCGAGGTTGATGCAGCCTTTTGGTTCGGCATTATGATGGCGACAGTTCCTGGGTCTCCCGGTGTAGCTGGTGGGTTATACCTTGTGACGGTTACAGAACCAGAATCTGTGGCCTCGCTGGTGACAGTGACATTGTATTCCGGAGTCTCAATCAACACAGTACCAGGATCACCGGCCTCACCAGGAGGTAGATAGGTCGTAACAGCAGCTGTAACCGATGAAGCGCCTCGGGTTGTGGTGACGTTGTATGGACCAATGGGCGTCTCAATAATGACAGTGCCCGGGTCTCCAGGGCTGCCAGGCGGCGAGTATATGGATACCAAAGACGTTACTGACTTAGGAGCCTGTCTTGTAATCGTGACGTTGTAATCGGGCGTCTCGATGATGATGGTACCCGGGTCACCAGGCTCACCTGGGGGTGAGTAAGTGGTGAAAGGTGCCGTAATGGTTGATGCGCCCCGAGTAGTGGTCACGTTGTAGGCATCGGCGGGTGTCTCGACAATAACTGTACCGGGATCGCCAACCTTTCCAGGGGGCGAGTAAGTTGTGAATGCCGTAGTTGCCGCCTTGGGTCCCTGTCTTGTAACTGTGACGTTGTAGTCAGGTGTTTCGACAATGACAGTTCCTGGATCGCCAGGCTCGCCTGGAGGTGAATAAGTGGTGAAAGGCGCCGTGATGGTTGATGCGCCCCGAGTGGTGGTCACATTGTAAGCGCCGATTGGTGTCTCGATAATGACGGTACCTGGATCGCCTGGCTTACCAGGTGGCATATATGTCGAACGCAAAGCGGTAACACTCTTGGGGGCTTCTGTTGTGATGGTGATATTGTAGTCAGGGGTCTCCACGATAACTGTTCCTGGGTCACCTGGGGAAGCAGGAGGCGAGTACGTTGTCATGGTTCGGGTAATTTCAGATGGACCAGCTCTGGTGATCGTGACGTTATGGTCAGGAACCTCAACGATGATGGTTCCTGGATCAGTAGAATGAGCGGGCGGAGAATAGGTAGTGAATGGAGTAGTAACGCCAGCGGGAGCAGCTCGGGTGATGGTGACATTGCCGTGTTGGGCCAAGTTCTGATCTAGATAAACACTGGTCTGTGAAAGAACAGTTCCTGGCTCAGTTCCACTAGGCGGAATGATAATGACATTAGTTTCCGCGCCAGTGGTACCAGCGTCGCTTCCAACATCGGACTTGAGGCCGGTTCGTGTGGAAGGATCTCCCGGAATAGTGACCGTTGCACCGATGGTGACATAAGTGTCCGTATCTGTGGCGCCCTGCGACGACGCATCAGACGTATCCAAAGGCGTGTAGATGATCTTCGTTCCAGCAGCTCCATCCGAGGGTGGGATAACTTGCGTGACATTCTCGGTGGCACCTGCAAACTTGGTGTTTGGCTCAATGATGGTGAAGTCATCGCGCGAATCACTAGGTGTAAGGGTGAGAGCGTCAGGGTTGCTTGAGACGGGCGACATTGGTGTCGTAGAACCACCCATGGAGTCATTTGCAGTAGGTACTGCTGAAACTGAGGCTGGGCCAGGTGTCGACACAGGCTCCGATTGAACAGCAGTGTCTGACTTGGGAGAAGCAGGCGTCTCAATAACGACGGTTCCTGGCTCTCCCGGATTGGCAGGTGGGATATAGCTCGTGATAGGAGTATCAATTGATCCAGGGCCGGTGTATGGTCTGAAAATGGTGACATTGGGGCTTCCAGAATTGGCCGGGATGGTAATGCCAGCAGGTTCGGTTGTTGCTTGTTTCTCGGTGGGGGCGCTCGAAGCTGCCTTCGTTGAGTCGGAGTCGGAGTCGGTTGCCTGAGTCTCAATAATCACTGTTCCGGGCTCTCCAGCAGCTGTGGGAGGAACATATCTTGTGACAGGCTCTGTGATCGAACCTGGTCCAGGATAAGGTCTGATGACGGTGACATTGGGGCTTTGCGAACTGGGGGGCAAAGTAATTTCTGCGTTGGCCGTGGTAGGAGCTGGTTCATCGGAGGTTTGGGTTTCGATGATAACAGTGCCAGGCTCGCCAGGTGCAGTGGGTGGGACATATCTGGTAAGAGGCTCTGTAATGGAGCCAGGTCCAGGATAGGGTCGAATAACCGTAGTGTTGGGACTGTTGGAACTCGGAGGAATAGTGACAGCTGGCTCATCGCTGGTCTTCTGGTCCTCAGACGTGGGCTTCTCTCCAGGAGTCGTGGCCACATCGGTAGGTGTCTCGATGATGATTGTTCCAGGCTCAGTGCCAGTTGGAGGAACATAGATCGTCGTTGCTTCCTTGCCTGGACCGCCTCTGATAACAGTAACATTAGGGCTGCCGGCATGGGCGGGAATGGTGACTCCTGCATCCGAGGTTGTTTCTGCAGATCGTGCAGGAGGGGTGTCTATTATGACGGTTCCTGGATCTCCAGCTTTACCTGGGGGTGAGTATGTGGTAAAGGCACTTGGGCCTTCACGCGTGATAGTTACATTTCGTTCATCCTGGCCCGCAGGACCAGGTGTCTCGATGTAAACAGTGCCCGGATCGCCGGATGACCCGGGAGGTTGGTATCTTGTGTACGGTGCTGTAAGACTACCAGGCCCTTGGGTCATGATGGTCACGTTCCTATCGCTTTGACCAGCTGGACCGGCAGGTCCTGGGGTCTCAATGATAACAGTGCCGGGGTCACCAGATGATCCAGGAGGCTGATATCTGGTTTGAGGAGCCGTAAGAGAGGCTGGGCCATCAGTCATAACGGTCACATTCCTTCCATCATCAGCACTCATTCCAGGTTCGGGGGCAACTGTCTGGATGAAAACAGTTCCAGTCTGCCCAGGTGTTTGCGGAGGAGCGTAGCTTGTGATAGGAGTTTTGACGCCGGGTGGTGCCAGAGTGTAGAAGGTAACGTTATTGCCAGCAGGTTCCGACAAGCTACCATCTGATCCTGAGCTAGTCTCATGAGATGCTGCGGGAGTCTCAATAATAACGGTTCCAGGCTGGCCCGGTGTGCTTGGTGGCTCGTACGAAGTAACAGGAGCGGTAATAACACCTGGTCCAGGATACTCGCGGACAATAGTAATGTTCGGACTACCATTACTGGGAGGAATTGTCACAGCAGCAGCTGAAGTTGGCTGGCTCTGAGGCTGGGCTTCTGTTGTCGGCTGCTCAACGGGAGTCTCGATAATGACGGTACCCGGCTCGCCTGCTGCAGTCGGGGGGACATAGTTGGTGACAGGGGCCGTAATCGCTCCAGGGCCTGGATAAGGTCTGATGACGGTCACATTACGACTCTCGTCCTGTGACGGGATAGTGATTGCGGGTGAGGAGGGCTCGGCATTGGTTGTAGGCTCGGGGGTGGGTGTCTCAACAATCACAGTTCCCGTACCAGCCACTGGAGCAATGGTTGTAACTGTGGTTGGCTCCGTGATTCGTCCCGTGCCAGTATACGGTCTGAAGATAGTTACATAGACATCGCTGGCAGTTTGAGGCGCAAGAGTCTCAATGATAACAGTTCCTGTTCCAGAAACTGGAGCAATTGTTGTAACCGTGACAGGTCCTGTGATCTGGTCGGTGCCTGTGTATGGCCTGTAGATGGTCACAAACACATCTTCAGGGGCAGCACTTGTTGGCGCAGCTTGAGTAGCTGGCTCGGGGGTCTCAATGATAACAGTGCCTGGTTGCCCTCCAGAGGGAGCAATGGTAGTGACAGTGACAGGTGCGGTTATCACATCAGCACCAGTATGAGGCCTGAAGATCGTGACGTACTTATCATCACCAGCAGGAAGCGTCACAGGGGAGTTACCAGAATCACTGCTGGCAGCGGTCTTGGGCACTGGAGTCTCAATAATGACGGTACCAGGTTGACCATTCGCAGGTGCAATGGTAGTCAACGTCACAGGCGCTGTGATCTCCGGTGTTCCTGTGTGGGGTTGGAAAACTGTCACGTAGTTGTCATCTCCGGCAGGAATGGTCATTGGAGGGTTTGCACCCTTATTGCCAGTTTGCAGTCCGGGGGTTTCGATAACAACTGTGCCAGGTTGGCCACCCTGGGGCTCAATTGTTGTAATTGTAATAGGAGCTGTGATCTGGTCCGTGCCTGTGTGAGGTTGATAGACTGTCACGTACGAGGCTTGAGGCGATAGAGTAGGCTCAGGCATAGCTGTAACAGGTGGCTCAGAACTAGGCGTCTCGATAATGACAGTTCCGGGTTGATCACCCTTGGGCTCAATTGTTGTAACGATGACCGGGGCTGTGATTTGGTCGACGCCCGTGTGAGGTCGATAAACCGTAACATAAGAAGGCTGTGCTGCAGGACCTGAAGTCACAGGTGGCTCAGAGCCAGGAGTCTCAATGATGACAGTTCCAGGTGTATCACCTTGAGGAGGAATTGTCGTAACCGTGACGGGCTCAGTGATTCTATCAGGTCCAGCATGGGGCTGGTAGATTGTCACATAAGAAGGTTCGGCACCTGCACCTGTTGTTATAGCAGGCTCAGATCCTGGTGTCTCGATGATGACAGTACCGGGTTGGTCGCCTTGAGGTGCTACAGTTGTGACTGTAACTGACTCGGTGATCCTATCAGGTCCAGCATGGGGCTGGTAGATTGTCACATAAGAAGGTTCGGCACCTGCACCTGTTGTTATAGCAGGCTCAGATCCTGGCGTCTCGATAATAACAGTACCGGGTTGATCGCCCTGGGGAGGAACTGTCGTAACCGTGATGGGCGCAGTAATTCTGTCAGGGCCAGAATGCGGCTGATATACCGTGACGTAGGTCGGCAGAGAGGCGGGATCTGGAACCTGAAGGGCCGATCCGGGGGTTTCAATGATCACAGTTCCAGGCTGGTTACCTTGAGGTGCCACGGTAGTAACTGTAACAGGTGCAGTGATACTATCTGGGCCAGAATGGGGACGATAAGAAGTGGTGTAAGTCGCTTGAGCACCACTGGTAGAAATGACCCGAACGCCGGGAGTGTCGAAAACGATAGTGCCTGGCTGGTCGCCTTGTGGTTCGATCGTAGTTCTTGCTCGAGGCTCAGTCATGTCATCCGTGCCAGTGTATTCTTCATAGACTGATGTATATGAGGGAGCTGGGGGTGTTGTAGTGACAGGGGGCTCTGATCCAGGAGTCTCTACAATCACAGTACCAGGCTGGTCACCAGTGGGAGCGATGGTCGACACTGTGACTGGAGCGGTGATTCTGTCGGGTCCTGTGTGAGGGCGGTACACGGTCGCGAAAGGAGCCTGTGCCTGGACAACAACCGTTCCTGGCTGGTCACCTTGGGGAAGGATAGTGGTAGCAGTGATAGGTGCGGTGATCTGATTAACGCCAGTGTAAGGAACTGTAGTAGTGACGTAAGAAGGAGGTGTTCCAATAACCATAGTACCGGGCTGGTCTCCTTGAGGAAGGATAGTGGTGATCGGCGTTGGGCCAGAGATTGAATCTGCTCCGGTGTATAGCGTGGTAACCGTGACATAAGATCCAAGAGTTCCTACAACAACAGTTCCAGGCTGATTTCCCTGGGGAGGGATCGTAGTCAGAGGGACTGGGCCTGTGATAACACCAGTACCGGTATACAAAGTCGAAATGGTCGCATAAGCACCTTGGGTTTCGACAATGATAGTACCAGGCTGATCGCCTTGAGGGGGGATAGTTGTCACGGTAGTTGGCTCAGTCAGCATCTCCGTTCCAGTGTAAAGATTTGTGATCGTAACGTAAGAGGGCGCTGGTGGTGTAGTAGTCACTGCGGGACCTGCGCCGGGTGTTTCGACGATGATTGTACCGGGCTGGTCTCCAGATGGAGCAATTGTTGAGACTGTCACTGGACCTGTAATCTGGTCTGGTCCAGTGTGGGGGCGATAAACAGTCACGAACGGAGCCTGGGTTTCATAAATGACTGTTCCAGGCTGTCCACCTTGAGGGGAGACAGTAGTGACAATGGGTGTTGTAATCTGATCGCTGCCGGTGTAGGGTCTCGTGACCGTAACATACGAAGGAGTGGTGGCAGCCGTGTCGAGAGGCGCTTGCCCGGGGGTCTCGACGATCACTGTACCGGGTTGGTCGCCCTGAGGAGGAACAGTAGTTGTGATCGGTTCATTGATCGTTTCTGTGCCAGTGTAAAGTCTAGTGATGGTTACGTACGAAGCAGGGGGAGGGGCAGACGTCACGGGAGGCGCTTGCTGTCCCGGAGTCTCAATGATAACTGTACCAGGTTGGCCGTTAGCAGGCTCAATAGTCGTGATGGTGACAGGTTCGGTGATTCTGTCTGTGCCCGTATGGGGTTGATAGACCGTGACATAAGAGGCAGCGGGGCCAGCAGATGTTGTCATTGGTGGTAGGTCCTGGTCCGGTGTCTCAATTATCACAGTTCCAGGCTGACCACCGCTGGGCTCAACGGTAGTTATGGTGATTGGAGCCGTGATCTTATCAGGGCCAGTATGCGGACGATAGACCGTGACATAGGTAGGAGTTGCTTGAGGAGCAGAACCGGTAGCTGAATCTGCGGGAACGGGAGTCGAAGCAGGCTCAGATGCGACAGGGGTCTCAATGATAACGGTGCCAGGCTGGCCGTTGGCTGGGGGAATAGTCGTAAGAACGACAGGTCCAGTGATGATATCAGTTCCAGTGTGTGGTTGGAAAACGGTCACATAAGACTCATCGGGTCCAGGAGGTAGAGTAACGGTAGGGTTGGGACCAGGCGTCTCTGGATCCGGAGTCTCGATTATTACTGTTCCCGGTTGGCCACCTGCAGGTGTAATAGTGGTGACTGTGACCGGGGCAGTAATAACGTCCGTGCCAGTGTGAGGTCGGTACACAGTGGTGTACTGTTCACCTGGTGCGGGATCGACAGTAACTGGAGGAATGACAACCTTACCCCCAGTTTCAAGTCCAGGCGTCTGGATGATGACTGTGCCTGGATTGCCGTTCGAAGGCTCGACAGTTGTGACTGTGATAGGTTGATCGATCTTACCAGGTCCAGGATAAGGTTGATAAACTGTGACATAAGTAGCACCTGGACCAGCCGGGGCAGTGCTGGCAGCATCATTGCCTGGAGTTGCAGGCATAGGAGTCTCGATAATGATAGTCCCGGGCTGGCCATTTGTTCCCTCAATGGTGCTGGTCAGAGGGGCTGTAATGGTCTCAGTGCCTGTGTAAGGTCTGTATACCGTTACGTACGAGCTATCGGGGCCAGGAGGAACTGTGGTAGTAGCACCAGTATCCGGAGTCGTAGGCACAGGAGTCTCAATGATGACAGTTCCGGGCTGACCATTCGTGCCCTCAATGGTACTGGTGACAGGCGTTGTAATAGTCTCAGTACCGGTGTATGGTCTGTAGACTGTTATGTACGAGGCACCGGGGCTGGGAGGGACAGTCGAAGGCGGTCCCAAAGCTTTGTCGGATGAAGTTGGAGTCTGAGCCATCGGCCCGGGCGTCTCGATGATGATAGTTCCTGGTTGACTGTTGACACCTTCAATAGTAGTCACTGTCACCGGGGCCGTGATAGAATCTGCGCCTGTATGAGGTCTATACACCGTTACATAAGAGTTATTCGGGCCAGGTGGGATGGTGACTGGTGCTCCGGTGCTCTGCTCCGTCGTGGAAGGGGCCTGAGCAGCAGGTGTTTCAATGATAATGGTTCCCGGCTGGCCGTTCTCACCCTGTATGGTGGTCACAGTAACCGGAGCCGTGATAACATCAGCTCCTGTATGAGGTCTGTAGACTGTCACATAGGAGTTCTCAGGGCTAGGAGGGATAGTCACAGGCGCATTATCACCAGCTTGGGTTGAAGTAGTGGCCTGGTCAGCGAGTGTCTCGACAACAATCGTTCCGGGCTGTCCATTCGCAGGAGGAATGCTGGAGACAGTGACGGGTCCAGTGTAGGCACCTGTACCGGTGTAAGGCTTGAAGATCGTGACGTAGCCATCATTACCTTGAGCTGAAGTGATAGCCGGTGCAGGAGCAGAGCTTGTCTCATCTGCAGTGGCTTGGGGGGCGGGTGTCTCAATGATAACCGTACCAGGCTGTCCCGAAGTACCAGCAACGGTGCCAACGGTGCGAGGAGCAGTGATAGTTCCAGGCCCGGGGAAGGGTCTATATACCGTCACATACCCACCGTTATCGGCAGGAATAGTGACGGCAGAAGCACTGGTTGTCCGCGCCTCAGTAGATGATGCCGAGGATGCAGGAGCAGGAGTTTGGATAATAACTGTGCCAGGTTGGTCATTGGTTGGCGCAATGGTAGAAACGGTGACAGGCTCAGTTATGGTGCCTGGTCCGGGATATGGTTGGTAAACTGTGACATATCCATCTTGGCCTTGAGGAATGGTAACTGGTGGGCTGTCTGTGCTAGCTGGCTGGGACTCAGGTCCTGGAGTCTCAATGATCACAGTACCCGGCTGTCCTCCCGAAGGTGCAATGGTAGTGACAGTAATGGGTGCAGTGAGTGGGGTGCCAGTGTGTGGCCTATACACAGTGACATAGCTGTTATCATCCGCTGGAATAGTGACAGGAGGCGAAGAAGTAGTCGGTGCAAATTTAGTGTTAACCTCGAGAGTAGGCGTCTCAATAACAATTGTTCCTGGTTGATCTCCAGAGGCTGTGACAGAAGTGATTGTGATAGGCTTATCAATGTTGCCTGGGCCTGGGTATGGCTTATAGACCGTGACGTACGGGTTGTTGCTACCAGTGGGCACTGTAACAGGGCCTGACTGGGTGTCCGTGGGAGCGTCAGGGTTGGGGGTCTCGATGATAACGGTTCCAGGCTGCCCAGAAGCAGGAGATTGAGTGTAGGTCACTGGAGTTGAGATCTTCCCTGGGCCAGGGTAAGGCCTGAATATGGTAACGTACGAACCAGTCGGCTCTGGGGGTATAGTAACGGGCGGAACAGAGTCACCACTTGTGGGAGTTGAAGTAGGTTCGTTTGTGGGTTGCGTCTCAATAAAGACGGTGCCAGGCTGGCCGTTCGCCGGAGCTTGTGTCAAGGTAATTGGTGCAGTAATAGTACCAGGACCTGGGTATGGTCGGTAAACCGTGACATAAGTATCAGCATTAGAGCTGGCTGGCGCAGGAGTCTGAATGAGAACGGTCCCCGGCTGCCCAGCAGATGGTAGCTTTGTGATGGTAATGGGGGCTGTGATAACACCTGGCCCAGGGAATGGCGTGTACATGGTGATATAGTTGTCTGTGGTCAACGCAGGGGACTGAGACTGAGCTGGAGTTTGAGCACCCGGTGTCGTGATGAAAACAGTGCCTGGGTTACCACCCGCGGGTGCCTGCGTACTAGTGATAGGCGCAGTAATCACACCAGTGCCTGTATATGGAAGGAAGACTGTCACATAATCGCCAGAACGTTGTGCACTGGTAGAGGCACCCTGCTCAGAAGTCAAAGGCGCAGGCGTTGTGATGTAGACAGTACCAGGCTGGCCATTTGCAGGTAATTGAGTGCTAGTGATTGGGGCCGTGATGACTCCTGGGCCTGGGAAAGGCAGGAATACGGTGACGTAGCCATCTGTACCAGCAGAAGTACTTGTAACGCCATTTTGCTGATTTGATGTGTCCAAAGCCGCGGGAGTAGTAACGAAGACGGTACCGGGCTGGCCGTTGGCAGGCGCCTGTGTACTAGTAATTGGTGCGGTGATGACTCCAGTACCAGTGTAAGGCATAAAGACCGTCACGTACCCATCTACACCCGATGTGGTGCTAGTCTGAGCATTTGCCTGCTTAGGAGTCGAAAACGCCGGTGCAGGAGTAGTAACAAAGACAGTACCAGGCTGGCCGTTGGCAGGTGCCTGGGTACTGGTAATCGGTGCAGTAATAACTCCAGTACCAGTGTAAGGCATGAATACCGTCACGTACCCATCCCCACCTGATGAAGTGCTTGTCTGAGCATTTGCCTGCTTGGGAGTGGAAAAGGCTGGCACAGGAGTGGTGATAAAGACAGTACCAGGCATGCCACCAGAAGGCGGCTGCGTGCTGGTGATGGGCGCAGTGATCTCGCCCGGTCCCGGATAAGGGATGAAAACTGTCACATAACCATCTGTACCCGACGTAGTACTTGGCAGGTTCTGCTGGGGTGTGGTTTGGGCAACAGGCACTGGGGTAGTGATGAACACAGTTCCTGGGTTTCCACCCGATGGTGCCTGTGTACGTGTGTAGGGCTGAGTGATAACGCCAGGGCCGGTATAAGGAAGATAGACGGTCACATAACCATCAGCGCCTTGAGTGGTGCTTGGCTCAGGCAGAGGAGTGGTGGTTGCTGGCAGAGGCGCAGGAGTAGTAATAAACACAGTTCCAGCGTTGCCACCTGAAGGAGCCTGGGTTCTTGTGTAGGGCTGAGTGATCACGCCAGGGCCGGGGAATGGAAGGAACACTGTTACATAGCCGTCTGTTCCCTGTGTCGTACTGGGCTGAGGTAAAGGTGTTGTCGTGGGATTTTCCGAAACAGGAGTCTGAACAACAACTGTACCAGGTCGGTCACCAGAAGGAGCAACCTCTGTGATGGTGATGGGAGTAGTGATGATTCCGGGGCCAGGGAACGGCTTGAATACTGTAACGTAGTTGTCGTTGCCAGTAACCGTTGTTTCCGGGGCGCTTGTCGTTGGGACGAACTTGACTGGTGGCGGGGTCTCAATGTAGACAGTTCCAGGTCCTGTTCCGGATGCAATCACCGTAGTGGTAAAGATAGCAGTGATCACGCCAGTACCGGTATACTGCTCCGTCACTGTAACAAAGCCATCTGGTCCTGTAACTTGAGATGAGGTAGGTTGCACCTTCACCGGTGGAGGAGTCTCAATTACGACAACGGTTGTTGGCTGACCACCCGGAGCGGTCGAAACAACAGTCTTTGTAACTGTAGTACTAACGTCTACACCTGGGGTGTAGATGGTTGCAGTACCTCCAGGTCCAGTGGCGGTAACAGTGATTGGGCCTTGTGTCTCGATTATAACAGTTCCTGGTTGGCCGTTGGAACCACTAATAGTTGTGACTGTAATAGGCTCGGTAATCGGTTCGCCCGTGTGCGGTCGGTAGACCGTTGTGTATCCACCAGGAGTATCGGGCTGGACAGTTACTGTCGCACCTGGAGCAGTCTGAGTGACAGTCTGGGCCGGTGGGGCTGGAGTCTCAATAATGATGGTTCCAGGCTGACCGTTCGACGGGGACTGCGTAATGGTGATAGGCACAGTAATTGGATCTCCAGTGTGAGGTCGATAGATTGTCACATAAGGGTTGTTCTTGCTGGGAGGAATGGTAATCTGTTGACCACCTGGCTCCGCTGAAGTGACTGCGTTCTGGCCCTTGGGGGTCTCGAAGGGCGTTTCCACGATGATCGTTCCAGGTTGACCGCCACTAGGAGGGACAGTGATTGTGATAGGCTTGTTGATGGGGCTGCCAGAGTGAGGTCTGTAAACAGTCACATAAGGGCTGTCACCACCAGCGGGAATAGTGATGGGTCCACTACCGGGGGCGGAGGTGGTGGGAGCAGGTGTCTCAATAATGATTGTGCCTGGCTGGCCATTCTGTCCTGGTTGGGTGAGGGTAATAGGGACATAGATGGGATCACCACTATGAGGACGGAACACGGTGACATACTGGCCACCAGGGGCGTTGGTAATGGTAAAAGGGTCATCAGAACCTCGAGTAGTTTGACCACCAGAGCCAACAGGAGTCTCGATGATGACCGTTCCTGGTTGACCATTGCTGGGAGGAATCGTGATTGTGGTGGGCACGTTGACCGCGTTTGTTCCAGTAGGGCCCCTAATGACTGTGATGAAGGAACCATCTGCACCAGCAGGGATGGTAATCTCACCACCACCAGGTTGGGGAGCAGGAGTCTCAATGACAATCGTGCCTGGCTGGCCGTTGCTGGGGGGGATTGTAATGGTCGTGGGTGCTGTGATAATCCCCGTGCCAGAAGGCGGTCTGACAATGGTGACATAGCCACTGCCAGGATCGGACGGAAGAGTAATAACTGACTGTCCAACACGGACGGCCGGTGTCTCAATAATGACCGTTCCGGGGTTTGTACCAGTTGGTGGGATAGTGTAAGTCACGGGCTCAGTGATCTCATCAGATCCAGCATGAGGTCGTAGAATAGTAGAGTAGGGGCTATCACCACTGGGTGGGATAACCTGGGGCTGGTTCTCGGGCGAGTTACCACCCTGGCTACCACTGCCACCGGTCGGGCTCGAGGAGCCACCAGGTGTTTCAATGATAATGGTTCCATCTTGAGTTCCTGATGTAGGAACAAGGCGAGTGATGGGTGTTGAGATCGGAACAGCGCCGGTGTATTCCCTGACGATGGTGGTGTAGTGGCTGTCGCCACTGGGAGGAATCGTAAGGGCACCGCCAGGGATCTGGTTGCCTGGCGGAACTTGGACGATAACTGTGCCCTGATCACCTCCGGCACCAGCAACAGTTGTAACTCGGGCCTCGGTGATATACTCAGTTCCGGTGTAGGTCTGAATAACCAAAACGTTGGATGTGCTGCCACCAGCATTGCCGCCGACACCTCCAGCACCACCGCTAACGCCTGCGCCGGCACCAGGAGTGCTTGGTGGCACGTCTTCCCATGGTGTTTGAATGACAACTGTGGCCGAAGCACCTCCAGCCGCAGGAATTGTCCTTGTGGCTTCACCGGTAATACCAACACCGCTTGGCAAAGCTGAGATAACTGTCGCTGTCGGGTGGTCGTTCGAAGGTGGAATAGTCAAGGCACCGGCTTGGCCCGATGAGAAAGACGAATAAGCGGAACCAGGCACGTCGACGATGATAGTGCCAGGCTTGGTTCCTGTGGGCTCAGCAATTGTGATTTCTTGGTTCGTGGTAGCGTCGGCGCCACCAGTATAAGCTTGAATAATTCTCTCGTAGGGGTCGTCGCTCGTGGGCGCAATCGTAATCCTTGGGTGTGGAAGAAGCGTGACAGGGAAGAGTTGTCCTCCAGGACGTGTGTATGTCTCGACTATAGCTTCGCCACCGACCATATGAGTGACGGTGGCTGCATCGATTAGACTCGCATCGAATAATCCTTGGCCTTGGTTCCCTTGATTTCCTTGATCTCCAGCGTTTACAGTATCACCGGTATCACCAGCACCTCCAGCTTCTCCCGACAGTGTGGTCACTGCGTGCTGAATGAGAGACTCTGCAAAACCAGTTGCAATACGCATCGCTGCATCTTCAATTCCATCTTGGGCCTTAACGGCGAGAATGAGTGTAGAGGCTAGCAGCCCTCGTGACAACCACATGGTGCAAGTTGTCGCCAAAGACGTAGCTAGCAAGTTAGTTTGGTGTTGAAGAAAATCCGTATGGGGCTTTCAAACTTCATTCCCGAGGTGCCATGATCGTTTATAAGAACTTCAGAGATGGGCACGATCACCTAGCATGGCCATATCGTGTGGCTTCATCCTCCACTCCCACCGGCCTGTCTGTTTTCGTCGCTATTAGAGTTGCCATGGTTCACAGGTGCGCTATCTCCACGATAGGCTGTTCTCGCCCACACGACCGCATTCTCTAAGGGCACTCCCGAAAACGCTCCAGACAAGCCAGGAATGTCATCATGAAGCTGGGGACTCATGTTGCTCGCGGAGGCTTTTCGTGACGATCTCTGCCAGCTTGCTTGTGTGGAGAGTCAGGTCCGAAGAATGTCGCCCTGTATGGGACCTGCATGCAATGAGTCGTGATTGGGCCATGTCTTAGAGATCTTGGATCTAATCGATTTAGAGCTATTGACTGGAACGCGCCGGACCGATCGGGACAGAGATCCTAGGCTAGGCGTAGATCGCGGGCCTGGGGGATGCCCCGGTCTTTTTGCGTTTGTCTTGGGTGAGATCGGCTACAGCAAGGCGCAAGCGCCACATGCGCCACACATCATCCACCTCACTAAGGCCTCGTGGGGAGCTGTCGATGGTCCAGGCACCGCGTGCGTTTATTCGCGATCTGGACTAAGCACTTCCACGTTAGTTTATTAGAGTTGCCTTTTCTTTTACAGTTTGCATTTGGGCCTGAATGCCAAGCCCCTTCACTCTAACCTTTTGCGGCTGTTTTATATCATTCTCAATCAGATTACTTACTTTCATTCGATAGACAGCGTCATAAAACGGAGTTTATCAATATGATAGAAGTAAGTGATTGGTTGATATCCGGGTCAGGCACAATCTTGAGAAAACTGTAACGCGACACTTACCAGAAAAGGCTATCAGATGAATTCCTTACCATTGACATCGAGCACGTTGGTTCCATCACAATACCTACCTCTACTGAGAATCACCGATCCCAGTATGCCTTCATTTCCCCAGACCATCGTTGATGGATGACGTCCAGGATTGACGATCGCACCCATGCTGGACTCTGAAAGTTGGGTCCAAGGAACGTGATCGTCAGGTTAACCGCTTGAATCCGGTGTGCTTGTCAAAGACATTTGCGTTCTAGCATCTTTGTTCCTCTGGTTTATGGCTGAGTCACATAGGATTGTTTCATTTCCCATAATAGTCTTGTTCAACATCTCGATCACACCCCTTGTCTCGGTCATGGATTATATCCGATCCAGGCTTACTGTATTCTCGAGTGGCACATCTCGCCCGTTGACAATGACATTATTCATATGTGGCAACTAGCTTATTACAAATTGACTCCACGGAATTGCCAGGTACTGTAGCTGTCGTATCGTTGTGCAAACCTTATCGAGCCCGAAAATCAATTCATCTACAAGGCTCTCTTGCAGCTGTCCAGGCTATCATACCCACCGCAGTCCAGGCACGCGGGAGACTTCTGGGTCTCGACCTACCTCTCTCAATGGGGCGCCATCAGTCGGTTATCGGGTAGACTGTTATTTGATAGAAACTTAACGCCTCAATGGGAGCTTCATTGCACCCGCTTGACACCCGCTCTGTAGCTTAACTCTATTTCCTTGTTTCGGTCAAGGTTCCCTTTTTACTGTTCTCAATACTTGCGGCGACCTTTGTCTGTGCCATCAAAGATCTCAGTTACATTCAAGGAAGATTTGTGTTTCGTCTGGCTGCAAAAATCAAACATCATCTGAAGCTGCCCCGATCACTCCAGACAGATAAACGAAACCTGCATGTCAAACTATTTAGTCTAAAATAAATATTACTCCCCTCAAGGACGTTTTAGAAAACGTGCTGGGAATTACTTTCTGGTGCAACTATCACTATAGTTTCAGTAACACCTAAAGGTTAAATATCTATCTCTACTGTCGATCGGATGCAATTACTAGATCGGACCTTACCCAACATAAAAGTACACCAAGTACACGTAAAGACAAAAATAAAGATGCGACGCAGGCCTGATTCGAACAGACGCCTCCGAAGAGAATAGATTTCTAGTCTATCGCATTAGACCACTCTGCCACTGCGCCTTTTTGCTTAGTCACATGCTCATGATACCGAGTTATGTTCCGACTACATCAGTTGTGGGAGCAGTGCTATCTTTACGTTCAAAGTAAAACAATAATCGGCTCTTTCATAATAGTACTTATATACTCTAGGATATTCTCTTTGTTAATTCTTTCGATTACTATTTAAGTCATATGCCTATACATACACGTTATAGTTTACTATATATTATAAAATTCTACTTATATACATTCTATAGGGTAGATAGAGTCAGAAGTGAAAGATATTCATGACATTTTAATTCCGCTTGCATAATCTGTAATTACCGAGCGGTAATGTTTTGCCTCAATTGACTTAGCCATCCTTTCTCTAGCAACGGTTTGTTTGCCTTTGTAGCGCCTTTTGCGCTGGGTCTAGGCCCTCAAAAGCCAAAAGCGTTACCCAGCCACACGAAATAGCCGTGAGACATGCAGTGGGTGAATGTTTCAGATGATCCGGAGTAATCTGAGCACACAGGGAAGTCTAGATCGTATAGATCTTCGTTGGCCTATAGTTATATACATGACGTCTGTTTTGAGAATGAGCCCTGGCAACGAGTTACATCGCAGCTGACTCGCAGCAGGATTGCAATTGACTGAAGACGGAATAAATCTAGATGGACATATCTTACATCTTATCTTGCCTGGAACTGGAAATTGATTATATCATCATCAATTATTACAATGATCGAGGTTGATGAAAACAATCGTGTTTCACTCTAGGTATGGCTTTAAACATGTCTGTATGTAAAAAAGCAACTTTGGGGGAATAATCTCGTTGAAAGGCAATGCGTACCTACCCATAACTAGAAAGCGACACGCATCGGATTCCAGACACTTGCATTACCATATATTGATATTATTGCGCTGTAATGTATTCTTATTCAATCTCAAGATCCTTGTGTCGATGGCTTCTGTTTCGTTGCTTTCGGACTGCATGTAGGCTGCACATAGGGTAGCTAAGGAGTATGTCCCATTGTAGCAATTTGCATGAACAGAGTAAAGTTAAAACATATGTATAGGTCTTGATTGGGCAGTTTGAATACGCTTTAAATGTGTTGTCTTAGTAGAGTAGGACAGGTATAATTTGCAACACCGTATTCACTCCCAAAAGATCCATGGATCCATCTTGCTCTCCCGTCATTCAAGGCGGGACAGCAGCTGCAATATGCCCCGCGGACCCCGCCATTGCCCCGCGATGATGGATAATTGATGGCACGTGCTTTGTGGTTGTAGTAAACTGCATAGACTTCGGCCGACGTACATGAAAGTTGGAAAGCTGCCTTCAAGCAGAAGATGATGAATAAAAGTCGCGATAAAGAACTAGAAATGAATAACTTACAAGAATACTGGCAAAGATCATTTCCTGCACTGGACCACTGTTAGCTTCGCAGCGGAGTAACGTTGCCCCGCATCCGGACATCCTGCCGCCTTTATCGGAACCCCGCCAATTTTTTTTTTTCTTCCCACTACAGGACGTTGGCGTACAAGCGTCAAGGCGTATCTTGCTTTGAACCCCCAATTCCATTCATCATGCACCACGTTCTGGTCGGTGAGTCGTGCTACACGGCTTCTGAAATTCAGAAGCTCGTGCAGCGTATCAACGATCAGAGTCCCGTCAAGGTTGCCAAGCTCACGGGCTCCTGGCAATACTACCTCGATCTCGAGACAGAAGATGCCGCCGTTCTCGGCAGCATCAAGAAGATTCTCGAGGCCATTGAGGAGCCCGCAAACGCTTCGTCAGCCAGCAGCAACGATAAGGCCATCGATATCTACGTCAGTCCCCGAAACGTTTCACCATGGAGCTCCAAGGCAACCAGCATTGCACTGGTCTGTGACCTCAAGACCGTTAACCGCATCGAGCGAGGTCGAGTCATCCATATCGAATTTGAAGATTCTTTCAAGGGAGAGGAGGACCTTGTCTTCCGCGACGTTCTTCATGATCGCATGACAGAGTTCTTCAGCCTTTCGCCCCCCGTCCTCGATACCATGTTCGCTCATGGCACCCGAAACCCACTTGTTGTGGTTGACATCTTCTCAGACGAACGAGGCCCACTGGCCGCACTCCAAGACCATAACAAGCAGGCTGGACTTGGCCTTGACCAGCCTAACATGGAGTACCTGGTCAAGCAGTACACTGCGCTTGGTCGATCTCCTGTATGACTCACAAGTCCGACTTTGAAAATCAAATACTGATTTCAGTAGAACGACGTCGAGCTGTTTATGTTTGCTCAGGTCAACTCCGAGCACTGCAGACATCACGTCTTTAATGCCTCGTGGACTATTGACGGCGTTACCCAGGAGAACAGTCTGTTCGGTATGATTAAGAACACTCATAAATCAAACCCCGAATATGTCATCAGTGCCTACTCGGATAACGCTGCTGTGTAAGTCTTATATCACAGTGCATGCTGGGCGAAGGGGTAAACATAGTTACTGACTATTTATAGCCTATCTGGTGATGAGGGTAACTACTGGGCTCCAGACTATTCTACCGGAAGCTGGAAGCTTACTCGCGAGGTTGTTCAGCCTCTCATCAAGGTTGAAACCCATAACCACCCAACAGCCATCTCCCCCTTCCCGGGTGCTGCAACTGGTAGCGGTGGTGAGATTCGTGATGAAGGTGCTGTTGGACGAGGTTCTTCCCCCAAGGCTGGACTTGCTGGTTTCTGGGTCTCTGATCTCCTGATTCCTGGCAACAAGAGGCCTTGGGAACTGGACATTGGACGCCCCTCTCACTACGCTTCCAGTCTCGACATCATGCTCGAAGCCCCCATTGGCTCTGCCCGCTTCAACAACGAATTCGGTCGCCCTGCATTGACTGGCACTTTCAGGACTCTGCTCACTAACGAGCCTGGATCTGACGCCACTGAGTTCAGGGGATACCACAAGCCTATTATGATCGCTGGTGGTATCGGCAGTGTTCGTCCTCAACATGCTCTCAAGGAAGAGAGCCATGTCGAGGAGGGTGCTCATGTCATCGTTCTTGGTGGCCCTGCCATGTTGATTGGTCTTGGTGGTGGCGCTGCGTCTTCAAATGCCGGCAGCGAGGCCACGGCGGACCTCGACTTTGACAGCGTTCAGCGTGGTAACCCTGAGATGGAACGTCGTGCCCAGATGGTGATCAACACCTGCGTTGCTCTTGGGCCAGAAAGCCCCATTGCTTTCATCCATGATGTTGGTGCTGGTGGTCTGTCCAACGCTCTCCCTGAGCTTGTTAAGGATGCCGGTTTTGGTGGCAACTTCGAGCTTCGACAAGTTGAGAGTGCTGACAACTCCATGTCTCCTCTCCAGATTTGGTGCAACGAGGCACAGGAGCGATATGTTCTTCTCGTGAACAGGGACGGCCTCAACCGCTTTACAAGCATCTGCCGACGAGAGCGATGTGGTTTCTCTGTTGTCGGAAATGCTGTCACTAAGGACGAGAGTGGGGTTTCCAGGCTTGTCCTGACAGATCGGGAACCCACAGTTCAGCCTCCCACTGACCCCATCAATCTTCCCATGGATGTTCTTTTCCCTCCTGGACGACGAATCTCCAAGGACGTTCAGCGCGTCCAGAAGAACCTCCGACCTTTCGATGCCGTCAAGAGTCTCAGCGAGCAGTGTGGCAGCTCTGACATCGGTGAGATGGTCACCAAAGCCACTGAACTGGTCTTCAACCTTCCTTCAGTCGGATCGAAGAACTTCCTTATCACCATCGGTGACCGTACCGTCGGCGGTCTCTCCGTTCGTGATCAGCTTGTCGGTCCTTGGCAGACTCCTGTTGCTGATGTTGCTGTCACCCTCACCAGCTTCAGTCTCGATGATAAGAAGCGACGAGGTGAAGCCATGGCCATGGGCGAGAAGCCTAACCTTGCTCTTATCTCGGCTGCTGCCTCCGCTCGCATGGCCGTTGTTGAGAGTCTGATGAACCTTGGTGCTGCCGATATCAAGCCCGGTCCTGTCAATGGAGATCTCAAGCGCGTCAAGCTTTCCGCCAACTGGATGGCCGCTGTTGGTCACCCTGGAGAGGGCGCTGCTCTTTATGAAGCTGTCCAGGCTATCGGTATGGAGCTTTGCCCACAGCTTGGTGTTTCTATTCCTGTCGGTAAGGACTCTTTGTCGATGAAGGCCTCCTGGAAGGATAAGGAGACCTCTGATTCCCACACCGTCACTGCCCCTGTGTCACTGGTCATCTCGGCCTTCAGCTTGGTTGAGGATGTTCGCAGCACTTGGACACCTCAGCTTCGCCGTGTCGAGGAGGTTGGTGAGACTGTGCTTGTCTTTGTCGATCTTGCTCAGGGCTTCCGTGCTATGGGTGGCTCTGCTCTTGCCCAGACTCTTGGCCAGATTGGAGACGAGTCTCCTGATGTCCGCGACGTCCAGATCATCCGTGACTACTTTGACGCTCTGTGGCAACTTCACCAAGAGAACATCGTTCTTGCCTACCACGACCGATCCGACGGTGGTCTGCTCACTACTGTCGCTGAGATGATGTTTGCTGGCCGAGTCGGCGCTGATATCTCACTGGATGACCTTGCTGAGTCTGAGGACAAGGTGCTCGATGCCCTGTTCAACGAGGAGTTGGGTGCTGTTTTCCAGATCCGCCGAGGTGAAGAGACCAGATTCAAGAGATGCTTCGCCACATGTGGTCCTCCTCACGGTCTGATCAAGACTATCGGTTACGTCCGCCCCACCAGCAAGCAGTCGCTTTTGGTCAAGTACAGATCCAAGACGATTGTCGACCTGGAGCGCGCCAAGATCCAGCAGTGGTGGACCAGCACTTCTTACGAGATGCAGAAGCTGCGAGACAACCCCGACTGTGCCAACTCCGAGCTCGAGGCCATTCAGGACAACAAGGATCCTGGTCTGCATTACAAGCTGAAGTTTGACCCTGCTGATGTCAGCCTGCCAGCTATGACCAGCCTCAAGAGCCTTGTCAAGAAGCCTAGGGTTGCCATTCTCCGAGAGCAAGGTGTCAACGGTCACGCTGAGATGGCTTTCGCTTTCCGAGCTGCTGGCTTCGATGCAGTTGATGTTCACATGTCTGATATCCTTGGCGGTCTTTCTTTGGAGGGATTCCGAGGTCTTGCTGCCTGCGGTGGTTTCTCCTACGGTGATGTTCTTGGTGCCGGCAACGGCTGGGCCCAGTCCATCTTGATGCACGATGGTGCTCGCAAGACCTTCGAGGCTTTCTTCAACCGTCCTGATACCTTCTCATTCGGTGTATGCAACGGTTGTCAGATGTTGACCCGACTCAAGGAGCTTATTCCTGGAGCCGACCACTGGCCAACATTCGTTGAGAACGCTAGCACACAATTCGAGGGCCGATACTCTATGGTCACCATTGAAGACAAGTCCGAGAACTCTGTCTTCTTCAACGGCTTGAACGGCTCTTCGTTCCCCATTGTCGTCTCCCACGGTGAGGGCCGAGCTGAATTCTCCTCTGGCAGTGACCTGTCTTCTATCAATGACTCCGGTCTTATTCCCCTCCGCTACATCGACAACTACGGTTCCGTTACTGAGAGATACCCCTTCAACCCCAACGGTAGCCCTCAGGGTATCGCTGGTGTGAAGAGCAGGGACGGCCGCGTCGTTGCTATGATGCCTCACCCCGAGCGAACCATCATGGCTGATGTTGGTTCGTGGAAGCCAGAGGGCCAGTTGGCCGAATGGGGTCAATTCGGCCCTTGGTTCCAACTGTTCTTGAATGCTCGCAAGTGGGTTGCTTAGATCTAAAAACAGAATTGCATTACGGTGTTTCGGTATTGGGAATGTTTTATGGTTATGGATGAATGGGATTATGAGGTTGGGACGTAGAAGGTCAATTAAACTATAGAAAATGCATGATATCACTGGTTGGTTACCCTAACCTGGAGAAAACAATATGATTACTTGTTAATAATTCGTTCCAGATATTATTGTGCGGTTCGTGGGATGCTATTGCCAAAGTTGGGAGGCTCAGACATGTCTCTGGATGGTTGCGGGAGATAAGATCCAACCTGTGTGCAATATTTCCATTATAGGAGTCCACATGTCAACACCGTAACTGTTATCCGGGATAGAAACAACAGCGGATCATTTATAACCTCAAGTTCATTAACTACAGTCTACCCAGCTGGGAATGGTTGAAAGAGTCATCAACTGTTTGCCCAGGAAGCATTTACCAAGATACAGACCCTCCAAAGATGGCTTCCATACCTAAGTAGCAGTTATGTCTATTCCTTAACAGCCAACGAATACTTTCATTATTCCCAGCTTCGTAGATCTATTGGATCAGAATCTATGCCTGGATCTTGATCGGGCGTAGATCTTGGCTTTGCCCTGTTCCTTGACCTGCTTGGCCACCGTTTGCATTTCTAACCGCCTCGTCTACCTACAATTCGTTCCAGTACAATATCTTTTGCCCCAGATTTTGATCTCACTGGTTTAGAACCAGGGAGCCTTAGATTGGTCGCTTCATGTATTAACAATATGCAAGTCATTGTGTTCGAACGCCCAAGTGCTTAACCTTCCATTGTATAATAACTAACACACAAACAGAAACCCAATGTTTGACATGGTCCAATTCCATTGACACCCAATCTGACTCATCTTTCCCTTGATCGTTTGTTTCTGGTGTCTCCTTCCACAGAACGGGAGGAAACGCGCAGGGCAAGCGCTGGAACCCCTCCTTCCTAATATGTCGACGCCTATCAAATCGGGCGAACCACTGACTGTAATCACTTCCATCCATCATCATACCTGATCAGCTTCTTACCCAAGACTTCACCATTCTGAAAGCCCATTTTTTTATCCCTTGATGCAAACTTCTAACATATTTTCTCTCAATCTCCGGGCCCAATTGATCTTACCAAAGATGGATTTTCGCGTGCTGAACGAATTACCGGGCGAAGTATCACATGGGGGTTGAAAATGCGCATGGTTCGCTTGAAAGGTCGCCTTTTTCAACCTTCCACTGCCAATCATGATGGCATCTGCGCAGCCTTATTTGATACAAAGATACCCTCGCGATGTGTTACCAACGTTTGTGCAATTCGATTGCCTGGCCTCTTAATCTGGTCCCCTGCGCCTCGCAACTCATTTCCTTATTCTTTCCTGATTGTTAAGACATCACCAACCTTTCGCCACCAGTCTTTAATCTAAAACTTGTCAAAGCCAACATCCATCATCTTTGTTCCTCTTGAGGCGGGGTGATACTAAAAGCGCCTCTCATCACCCTGCAACATTATTGGGAGAGGCCTCAAGCCCGACCAGGGATCACCATGGATTCATTTCCAGGTCAGGGTTTGAATGAGGAGGGTGGCTCTCAGAATATTGACGGCCCTGACGATATCATCCTCGGCGACTATAATCAATGGCAACAGACTGACCTTACTCCCTGGGAGTTGAAGGAGGTCGAGCTCGACCTAGAGCGCGAAAACAACTTGACGGTTCGGCAATGGCTCCAGGGACAAGGCAACTCCCGGCCTGACGAAAACACATACATCGCCTCGCAATCGTCGTCTCAACGCAAACGTGAGACCCAGAAACTTCTCGGTCATATAGATAACGTGCTGGGAGGCAACAAGTCGTTATCCGCTCATGCAGCAAAGTCTTCCACCAACACGACGGCTCTGGCTTCTCGAAACCCTACCAGATTAAACATTGATACCACTTCGACCAACCAGCTGTCATCGGCAAAGTCTGCGTTTTCAGCGCAACCTCTCTCATTCTCCGATCGAGGGACAACAACATACTGTGGCAATGGCTATCATAGCGGATGGGATTCGGGAACATCGGTCTCTCAAAGCCGCTCAGCTTTTCCAATCACATCATATGGATATCAGACTCGCGGACGCCAGAGCCAAGTTTTAGATCCATCTCTTCCGCAATCAAATTGGTCGGTCACAGGTACGGATACATCCACTGGTTCGAAGAAACCACCCAAACGTCAGAGCAGCCGATCCGCCGATGATGAGACAAGCAGCAAACGTACGTTTTCAAGGCGAAATGTGCCCAGAGTCAACGCCCTGTCTTGCCAACGTCCTTCGTCATCGACATCTGGCCCTGCCCGAATGAGTTCCTCAGACAAAAACCCTTTGCTACAGACATCAATCGAGGCTATGCTAGGGCCCCATCACCAACTTGGTAATAACACATCATCGTCCAGTTCTGAGGGTACCAGTTTGCAAACAACACAATTTGATGGGCCACTATCTGATCATGCACACAAAGGGCTCTCGCATGATGATTTCAACGATGTATGCGAGATCTGTCCTTTTTGGCTTTTTAGTCCTGTCCAGTTCTCAAATATCGAGAGACCAGCTTGCTCTAACCGCAAGGAAGAAATGTCCCATATCATTACACATCTTACTGATCATCACGGCCTTGTCCGTGGAATCGATCCGAAGAATGCATCTCGCAAATACTTGGCAAGCTGTCAAACTTACAACCCGTCTATCAAGGCAAAAGGAAATTGTCCGAAATGCAGTTCATTACACCAGTGGAAAGACTCAGGCCCGGTAGACCCTAATCACAATGGTGTTGTGCTTTGCATGCGTTGCTGGTCTAAATTTGATAAAGATGGAATGCAAGACCACCTGTCCGGACCACTATGCCCCTACAAAGCAGAACAACCAAAGCCAAAGAAAATGTGCATATTATATACTACTTTTTGTTCCAACGACAAGCCACCCAGCCAGCCTCCCAGGGACATGCAGCCACCCAAGGCAAATCATCGAACTGCAGCAAGGAAACATAGTCGCCGCAATGTAAGACAGCAAGCGAGTTCTCGCGTGAATCGCCGCCCTGCTCCAACAGAAGCCTCTCAACCTCTTCAGTCACCTCATTCACGACCGCCTTCCAGTCATAGCCAACCTTTCTCCCTCCATGAACGAAAAAGGGGTACGCCCAGTTCTCGTGAATCTCACGAATCGGAAAAAAGACAGCCGGTTTCTGAGAACTCATCCACACGTCGACCAAACCATCATCCGATCCCGTTGGCATACCCAGATACTGTACCAGGATATACTGTCGGCAACTACGAAACGTTTCAGAGACACAAGCAGCAAAGTGCAAATAGATCTACACACTCGTCCACAACTCATCTAATTTCCTTCGAAAACATTGAGAACATTAAATTAGAGGGTTCAATGTTCGATAACGGATTCCAGTACCCAACACAGTTACAAGTACCAAACACAACGCGCTCACCTGGTCAATACCAGAACTGGCAACAACAGTTTCTCCAAGTTCCACAAACATTGCCCCAGTCCTTCTTGCAAACGTTAGGTCAAACTTCACGTCGCGGTGTTCGAGACAACTCATTTGATCAGTTCTCACTGCAATCTTTGTCGCAGCCTCAGCATCCCCAACTTCCATCCAGCCAGTATTCCATACTAGACTCTCTTCCTGGGAAAACCCAGCAACAATCGCCGGCTAGCGCGAATCTCTCTGCCTACAACAATGAGAGCTCACACCTCCTCCATCACCCAAAGACTCCCCAGTTACAACTCCAAGTACCAGCAATGGACGATTTCGACGCAACTATATCATTATCCGGCGGGTTGTCACATGTGCAATCCAGTCCCTCCAGGGTGCCATCTACTGCAGGAGAGTCTATGGACCTTCTGCAGTCACCCAATATTGAAGGATCAATGTGGTTGTTTAATGAAAACTTTGACTATGATAACAGCTTGGACTGGCTGAATATGGGAACAATTGGATCACACCCACAGCTTCAAGAGTCTATTGAAGTAGGCGACCCTCCGACTATCCAATCCCAGCAACGCGTTGAAGACCTAAACCCAAACAGCGGCTTGCTTACTGTACAACAAGCTGCTGTGGAAAAGGATTCGGCGTACCACTCAGATACCTTCCATGATATGGAATGGGATGATGAGAAAGAGATATTCTCCTGAATATCCCTATGTTCTAGCATCTCTCTCTCTCTCTCTTTTTCTTTCAAAAGTCGGCGCTATCGTGGGTTATTTACATTGGCATACTTGAAAATATTTTGGTTTAGACACTTGCGTTCTTCTTATGATGATGGTTTGTTGGTTGTAAGGTGTCTTTTCCATTATAGTATACCATTCTTATTGCATGCCTGTCTGTTTATCATGCTGAGACAGGAGTATCATTATTAAAACGACTTATGATCCTTTCACGTCGCGCGATATACATAGTTGCACACGCAAATCACATTCAGTTATTATTATATTTGTCCCATCTCATGCCGAAGCGTATCATACAACCTCGTTTTATAGGTTTATTTTAATCGTTAAATGCAAACGACAGTATGGCTCACGCGAGTTTCTCGAACTTGTTGGTTTTTGGTCCATTTCATGCTGAAAATTTATATCGGACCTCTTAGTCCCGGGTATCAATCTCTAGGTCCAGCTGCACGCCGTTTGAGATACCATAATCTCCAAGAGTAATATGATCCTTGAACGGCCTCTCACTCTGTCTCTTCAAAATAATCTGGCCAGGGTCACGACCAATTCGCGCAGCAACCATGAGCTTCAACTGGCCCACAGTATCCGATTCTAAACAGGGCACAGCAGCCTTCGTGCCCAGGCGGTCATTGACGTTGACGATGATCATCTCTTCGCCTCCCTGGGCAACGGCAGGTTTGGGTTTCTCTTCTTTCTTTTCCTTTCTCTCTCTCCGTTGATCTCTATCCCCATCCCGAGGCCTATCTCGTCCACCACGATCACCATCACGGTCATCTCGGCGATAATTGCGATCCCTGCCCCCGTCGCGATCCCGATGTCGCTGCGGCGACCGTCTGCGGAAGTCGCGGTTTCGGTCGTTATCCCGGCGGTCTCCTTTGAATCTAAAGCCACCTGCGCCTCGGGGCTTTGGCACTGGCGATCTTGATCGTTCTCTGGGTCTGCGTGGAGGAGAATCTCTTCGGTCGCGGTTCTGGTTGCGATCGCGGGACCAGCTGCGATCTCTGCGCTGGCGACGCTCGCTGTTTTCGCGGAACGAGTCTTCGCGACCTTTTCGGTCGTCTCTGTCTCTGGGAGCGGGTGATTTTGAGCGAGCTCGGGGCTCTGCAGGTGGTGAGTCTGTCATGACTGTGATGGGCTTGCGGCGGCGATGATGTGATTATAGAGAGCCTTCTTATTATGTAGGATTGCGAATTATGTGTTGCGCTTTGCCCGCCGCGAATGGTTCGATACTGTTTCGGCTGCGGAAAGAAAGCGTTGAGCTGGAGTTGATGATTTTGATGGTTGAAGAAACTGCCTAAAAGAGGCTGGAGCTCATCGCGACGTCACGAGCAAGCTTGAGTGGACGCGGTTGATTCTCCACTTTTTAGGCATGCTTCCATGATACTCATGCCATCAGCAACAGCTTTAATAGTATGTTCTCAGTATCCGTAAAGTATTTGAATCTCACTACATGTGGAAAGCGAGTATAATCTGTCATAGTTCAAGCAAAACTACTTTGAATATATTGCGGAGGTAATATTTGGAAGGAAAGTGTGTTGAATGCTTCTAAGCGCATCATCTCGCGATGGTTCTAGGGTAAGTCTCTTGTCAACCTTATCATCACTTCAGCCATTGTATCAGAGAGTTCTTCTGGAAACTCTCTGGCCTCGATATATCCAGTCTGAGTGGCATTTGTCTACTCCAGCTAAATCCTCAGCTGCAGATAGTGTAGTCTGCCACAGAGGTTGAGCTCGCTCACCCCATCACCACAGTAGTGATCAGATTCTGGTAAGCCGCAAGATAGAGACGAAATAGTTTGGTCATATATGCCAGTAGACAAGCACTTAAACTACATTTTCTTGATAGCCTAAGCTTTAGAGGACAATTCTTTTGTTGCCCACCTGAGTCACTTGAGTATATGAGGTCAACTTTGCTTTGTTGACATCGTGCATGGCGGGTGCAAAGCTATAAGTTGGAGGCTAAAGTGTATACATACAGATAGAGAACAGTTGGGGTGGAACCGATTGCTGCAAGTGTTAAAGCTGACAGCTCACTGGGACACATCAACGTCATGACATGTAAGGCAACCTCGTATCGGCAGCAGATGCAAACACACACAAGCTCTCGCTCGGACTCGATGCAAGCTGTTTGCACTTGGTTGTAATAACTCAACAAATAAGGCTTGCGGTCTGACATCACAGTGTTCTGCTGAACCCTCGTTCTTAACCATGTTTCTTAATCGACCAGCTTTGTTTGCCGACAGTTTTGAAATAGTTTGGTTTGGTTTCTGGTTTCTGGTTGCGTTGCTACGGAGAAACCTAACCTTGACGTCAACTAAGTTAAACTGTCTTGTCTTCCATGGACGGATGTCTTGGGTGAAAACCGCCCTTGCAGGGCTGAGCAGCAGAACCAGGTTCAGGGATCAAGGTCCTACTCACTAGCGGTGGCAGGCCACGGAAAGCTGCCGCTTCGAGGAGACACACGCGACCCACCAGTAATATCCAACAAAACCTCGTGGAGGACGACAGAGAAGCGCTATGCCAATAAGGCATTGGATCCTATTACGTTGGCGTTGCACAGCGCGGCCACGTCAATTCTGCCTGACGAAAGAAAAGACTGGCCAGCGTTGAGAATGGCTGGACCAAAGAGAAGCCAGCACAGTACAGTGAGCGGTGTGACGGCCAAAATAGAAACAAAGAACACGGCAGATCAAAAATAGGTACTATAGGTAGAGATAAAGCCATTGAAGAATAAACACAAAGTTATGCACAGCAATTAGAGTGCGTACAGTAGCACGAATGCGGTTGATTAACAGAGCAAATCCGGGGCGGGTAGCCGATCACTCAGTGACAGCCAGACCCAGACCAGGTCATGCTTTATTCCATAGCCGACGGGGCTTAATTATTCCATGTCCACCAGGAGAATGGATGTCATTTTACCATCGACAAGGTCTCTTTCAAAAACCGTTGAGTTTGACCAGGATTGGCGAGTTTCAGCTTGACCGAGACGAAGCGAATAATTGAAAGAAGAAAGGAAAGAAGAAAGAGAATAAAAAACAAAGCACAAAGTATGAATAGGCCTTGCATTGAGTTTGTTGAGTGTAAGAGTCCACTGCGCGTAATACTGTAGGTGCCCGGTGCCTCACCAGCTCACCTACAGCCTGTATCACGCTGACTGCCTGAAGGCTTCTGACTCAATGATTCTGCTCTGGAAGTAATTACGGAAAACTTCCAAAAGAAAATAAACTCATTTAACTTTTCTCCCTACATTAGCGTCATAATAAGGCTTTTGCCGCTACAAAGGAAGGTTGACAACAATGATCGACGCTGTTAATTGATCTTTTGTTCAACTGGGCGCCTTCTTGTCTCTCCAAGCTTGTGAAGGGAGGAGGGGAGGAGACACCAGCTGGACCAATTAAGGTAAAGCGCCAGGCACAAGCGATGCAGGAACCACTTCCGAGAAAGCGGGTGTGCCTGGCTCCTTCCTTTTTGTTTTTGATGGGTGACCAATCGACTTGGGCTCGGGCAACTGCACCGGTGAGGGAAATTATGCAAATTTTATTTTTGCCCTTCTTATGAAATGGGCATAGCACGCACCGACGAGTCACGGCAGAGAGAGTCATTCAGTCATTCACTTGATGACATTGGCCAGAGACAACTCAGACGACCTTTGATTTGACAATGCTTTGTTCTACTTTACCGGCTTCTCAACCGGCTCATGCCTCATGGCCATGAGTAGCGGCAAGCAGCGCCACTTATGAGGTAGACTCGTTATTAATTGGTTTCTGCTACTGCCTGCTACTGAGCACAAGCTAAGACAGCGTCTTTTTCTCTCTCTATTCTCTTTTAATTCCCTCATCTCCCAGTCACTTGTTAGTGGGCTGCAGAATGAAATCATCGCCACCGGTCAAGACCTTCTGTCAGCTCGTCTCTTTACTGGCAGCCAACAGGAACAATGCAGAGTTTTTTCCTGTCCGTTCATCCTTGGGTTGCTCCATCGCGAACTAGGGACAGGAAACCAGGGTTCAAAGATCCCGGGTGAAACCGTCTTTGTGCGTCCAGAGTCTCAAATATCGATTCTGGTGCACAAAGAGATCCAGGGAGAGAACGTGCGACAACAAGGGACTGGATAAAGGGTCTGGTATAGACATGGCCCAAGCCCAGGTTTCAGCACTTTGTTATTGACAGGCCTGGTTCGGTCGGACTGCCAGAAGCTGTCAAGAGAAGCGCTGTAATTTCCCTCGAGGAGCATGACAGGCCAGTAGTAGCCATGTCTAGGTCACGAGTACTTGGCACACAACCAAGGGATAGGGGCTTGGTCGTGTTACCAGTACTAGTTTAATGGGCTCGGGCCTAGTCCGCCCCTCCCATCCCACCATCACCAAACGTCTTTTCCGCTTGGTCTGCCAGCGCCTTGGCCCCAGACGAAGGGTGTGGTAGCCTGTGGATTCTGGTTTTTAATGTTATGCACCATGAAGCTGTGCTGTGTTGTTTCCCGTCTGTGTGTTGTTTGCAAATTGCTTTTCCCTCGCCGTTGTAGTATTTCATATGGATCCTCCCCCCCGAATTTGACAGGCCACCCTTCTACGCTTCGAAACAACTTCTTCTCGGTCCACAGACTTCGTTGGCAGAGTCTATCGCTCGTACATTTCTTCCGCTGAATACATATCTTGAGCTTCTCGCTGTCTGGATACAAAGCATCTTATTGTTTTTGTTCCCAACCCAACTCACTTACACTCACTTGCAACAATATTCTGAGCTAGCTTTGAAAGCACTCACTCACTTATACACAACCAAACTTCATACAACAACCAAACCGACATCATGCACTTCTCCAAGTTCATCCTGGCTGTTCTGCCTGCCCTCGCTCTTGCTGATGAGACCACCACTCAGACGTCTACCGCCGTCGTGACCAAGACCTACTACCTCTCTTCGGTCCGCACTATCACCGCCACTGGTGAGAGCACTACTGCTGTCGAGACCTCGGCCGAGATCTTCTCCACTGCTGTCGTTGAGGAGAAGACCACCTTCTTGCCTGTTCACCACAACAACACCACTCCCGCTGTGTCCACCCCCAAGGCCACTGGTACTGCTGGTACCACTGGTGGCTCATCTGAGCCTTCCAAGATCCCCGAGAACGCTGGAGCTGCCGTCGCTGTTGGCAAGTTCGCCATGGTGGGTGTTGCTGGTATGGTCGCCGCTGCTCTTCTGTAAGCGCGCGTTGTATGGAAAGAGTATCCCTTCAAGGATCTCACGACTGTCGACTCATGTCGACACCACCAAATGTCTTCCATTGCTTGTCCATTTACCCCTTATACCCTGGCCACCAGCGCGGCCTACTTCTTCATGATGAAACGCCACGATACCACTTGCAGGATGACACTTGTCGCCTGCTTCACACTTGATGAGTCTTGGGACTCTGCCTTCACAGAAGCTTGACTGCTTCTTACGCTTCATCGCGCCCGTCTTTGTCAACACACACGGGCATTCAAAACTTGCCGTTTCTTTCTTCTTTAGCAGCATGCACCCTGGCGCGTTGATTGCGCCATGCACATCTTACCCCGAGTTGTTGGTATCATTGGGTAGTCATTGTAACCATAATGACGTTGAGACCACCCTCTTTATCGCCCTTAACAACTGGCGTATGCTGCTAGCAGAAACCCCCTTTACCATTATTTTTCACTCAACATCTCTTCACTCAACTCTGCTGCCGCAAAGAGAGTCGATGACCAAAGAGACGGGGACGACGTCGGCGACGCGGAAACAATACATGTTCACTTCAGTAACTCTGCTTCTTGGACGAACTGGTTTTACTATACTTCTCTTTTGGCGATACCCCTTTTTACGACGGCGCAGGTGATCCGAGGTACTAGTAGCCTATGTGCTTTGACCTCTGGAGGACGGTTTGCAGCTTGGAGTATGGCTTTGATTTGATTCGGATAGGGGTTGTGATACGATTTGCACGAAAAAAGGAGGATTGGTGATTTTTTAAGTGTCTGATGAGAACAGACTCACGATTATGAGATGAGCCACGATGGATGGCTAGTAGATAGTATCGAGAGCAATAGACTTTGTCACGCTCAATGACTTTTGGACTTGAAAAGAAGTGAATGTAATGGGCGTCTCCAGCAAAGACTAGGCCCCGATTGCCGGGAAACTGGTTCCTCGGAATGGAACTCAACGTCCGATGACTAACGGGAACAAGTCGTCAGAGGACCCTTGTTATTCGCGTGTAAGTGAAAGAAAAAAGACCGGAGTATAAAATATCCTGTTACATAGAATATCTTCTATAATAATGTCACTATAAGACAATGAATAGATAGATCGATAACCGGAGATACAGGCTTTTGGATGGCACTACTCATAGTAACTTATTATTCTTTCACATTGTATTATTGTGATACCTGTATAAGAGCAATTTTCTTATTCTTCTGTCCCCGCATCGTTCCGTTGGAGAAAAGTTGATGGAGCTGAATAAGGATAATGCGCGGGTCCCTCATTGGCCAAGATATCGGGCGGCGGCCGGGAGTGTGCGGGTCACATCGGCCTTTGCCCCCGAATTTGCGATTTTGAGTTCCATTTCCATTTGAAGCTGCCGCCAGCTTTTACTCAACGTTGAGTCTGCTCCTCCATATCCACACGACCCCTCCGATATACTTCATTCTCTCTTTCTTGTTTCTTCTTGGAGGGAAAGGAGTCTTTCTTCTTTATACAGTTATCATGGCATCTCTTGCTCCCTCGCTCAAGCGGGCGCATGCCCCTCTTCGCAAAGCGCTGAGCGCAACTCCTACCCTTCGAGCATTCGCCACTGTACCTCCGACCGGCAGCGAGCCCGCCAAACCTCAACGAAAGAGTTATTTCAAGGATACGACAGTATCCGACTTCTCCGATTTCCTTGCTACTTCGTCTCCCGCTCAACCACTGTCACCAGCAGAGGCCTATTCTCTCAAGACCGCCGAGGTCGGCCCCGAAGGCAAGAAGCGAACGATCACACGACTGCCCGAATGGCTCAAGACACCAATTCCCGCCGGCAACGACAACTTCAAGAGTATCAAGAAGGATCTGAGAGGATTGGGACTGCACACCGTCTGCGAGGAGGCTCGATGTCCCAACATTTCTGAGTGTTGGGGTGGTTCAGATAAGAACGCTGCAACAGCTACTATTATGCTGATGGGAGATACATGCACTCGAGGATGCCGTTTCTGCAGTGTAAAGACAAACCGAAACCCTGCTGCATTGGATCCTCACGAGCCTGAGAACACCGCAGAGGCCTTGGCCAGGTGGGGCCTGGGTTATGTTGTCTTGACCAGCGTCGACCGTGATGATTTGGCAGACGGTGGCGCGCACCATTTTGCCGAGACGATCCGCAGAATTAAGCAGAAGAAGCCTTCATTGCTCGTCGAGGCTTTGACTGGTGACTTCCGTGGAGATTTGGATATGGTCAAGGTTGTCGCTGAGAGTGGACTTGATGTGTATGCGCACAACGTTGAGACCGTTGAGGACCTTACTCCTTACGTGCGAGACCGACGAGCTACCTTCCGACAAAGTTTGGCTGTTTTGAAGCACGTCAAGGATGTTATGGGCAAGGATGGTCCCATCACCAAGACCAGTCTGATGCTTGGTCTTGGTGAGCAGGAGCGTGAAATTATGTCTGCGCTTGAGGGTAAGAACTTTACTTCAGTGATGCTACGAACCTAACTAACACTTTTTCAGAACTCCGAAAGGCAGATGTTGATGTTGTCACATTCGGTCAGTACATGCGACCAACCAAGCGTCACCTCAAGGTAGAGAAGTATGTGACTCCCGATGAGTTTGAGATGTGGCGCAAGCGTGCTCTGGATATGGGTTTCCTGTACTGCGCCAGTGGTCCTCTTGTGCGTTCCTCGTACAAGGCTGGTGAGGCCTTCATTGAGAACGTTCTCCGTAAGCGCTCTGGCGAGAAGGCTATGGCGAGTGGAAACCTAGGTCAGACCGTTGCCCTCGATTCAACTCAATCTTCGATCTAAACTTAGATCATTGTACTCCTACATTCACCTCAAACCATACTACAACTATATAATCATGGGCTATGACCGTATCGGATGGCGTTTTGGGATAGGGTCAGATATTCAACTAGAAAAGCATGGTCTTCAACAAGACTGCCGCGACATTATCGCATGGTCAAATACAATCACTTACCTCTAGAGGGTTGTACATCAATCATCTTCAAATCAATATGATGGTCATTTTTTAATAAAATTCTCCTCAGTACTTCTGCGTGATGTAACTGAATCACGACATATACATATGATGAATTCAAGGTTGGACACTGCATCGCGGGGTCGAGGGGTTTGCATGTATATATGTATTGTTCAGGGGTACTTTGCGACGCTCTCATTCAGTCACTGCTTTAACCTCGTTCCACCACCGAAGGTTACTTGATAAGACAATGAGTGAGTTTTGATTCGATAGGCAGGGGAGATGGGATGAAATTTCCATGTCGTGTTATTGATGACGCACCTGCCAGTCACGATGAGGAAGGTGCAGCTGTGAGCCTCAACTTTTAGGTAAAGAGCAGCAATACATAAAGAACAGGACATTCCTTCCGACCTTTCACCAAAGTGCCGAGCTCTTGACCTGCGTGACTGCCAAACTTCACTCTTCACTAAAAAATACTTTAAAGAAGAGATTGCATCTTAGACTTAAACTTTTCATCAACCGAGCCCTCACATCAAGTCTGTGCTATGAGGCTCGAAGCCCTCCTTCTCCTCGCTATTGCGAGTATCGTCAGATGCAAGTACTGGCTCGAGGAGATTGAACACCGTGGCACTTCTCCCTATTACCCCGACGCTCAATATCGCGTGTTTCGGAACGTCAAGGACTACGGCGCTGTTGGTGACGGAAGTAAGATGCTTCATGTCCTATTGCCATCTTCGCAGCTAACGGATTAGTCACTGATGATACAAATGCGATCAATGCTGCAATCAGCGCAGGCACTCGATGTATCCCCGGTGTCTGCAGAGGAAGCACCATTTCGCCAGCGACTGTGTATATTCCTTCCGGGTGAGTGCCTGAGAAGCAACTATACATGCCATGTGCTAATACAATCAGAACGTACCTCATAAGAGATTCTATTATTGACCTGTACTATACTCAAATCATTGGTGACCCTACCAACCGTCCTGTGATCAAAGCCTCCTCGTCATTTAACAACCAAAGCTTTGCACTGATCGACTCAAACCCCTATCTGTCCAGCGGAACTCTCTCATACAATTCAACCAATGTTTTCTTCCGCCAGCTTCGCAACATAGTCCTGGACACAAGTGCGCTACCCCCTCAGTTCCCAGCCATCGGAATCCATTGGCCATCTTCGCAAGCAACGTCCATTTCAAATTGCGAATTCAGACTGTCGACTGTTCCGGGAAACAGACACACTGGTCTTTTCATTGAGGAGGGATCCGGCGGTCTCCTCAATGACCTGTACTTCTATGGCGGCGGCAATGCCACTGTTCTCGGAAATCAGCAGTTCACAGCACGCAATATATGGTTCGTCGGGGCTGATGTCGCGATATGGATGCCTTGGGACTGGGGATGGACTTTCAAAAGTGTCGTGTTCAAAAACTGCCGAGTTGGTATAAATATGGATCCTGCATCGTATAGCGTTGGATCTATTACGATGCTTGACAGTTGGTTCGAAAACATTGATATCGCCATTGCTACAACACGCAACCGCTCACAGGCTATAAGTGGCGCAGCGTCTTTGGCTTTCGAGAACGTCAAGTTTCAGAATGTGAAAAGTGTCCTGCTAGACACCGAAGGCGTCGATCATGCACGTTCAGCCCTGGAACCAGGGAAAGATTCTGTTTTCATCATGGTAAGTCTACCATCTAGAATTGTAAAAACTACTAACAGACTCAGGGACACTATGCTAACTCGAAGGGCAACTTCGATGCAACCGCATTCTACCCTGTCCCATTACCTCGGAGTGAAATCCTTCTCGATCGTAATATCTACTACGAGCGGTCTAAACCACAGTATGAAAATGTTCCGAGCAAAGACTTCATTTCAGCCAAGGCTAGCGGAGCATACGGAGATGCAGCACATGACGATACACAAGTACTTAACAATCTGTTCAAGTACACAGCAGAGAGTAACCTCGTTGCATATCTTGACGCTGGATACTACATGGTTACGGATACCGTCTATATCCCTCCGAATGCTAAGATAGTTGGTGAAGCTCTGGCATCAATCATCATGGGCACGGGGAAGAAGTTCGGGGACATCAACAATCCTCGCCCAATTGTTCAAGTTGGTCACCCGGGAGAGGTTGGTCAGATTGAATGGTCAGATACTCTTGTCTCAACCAGGGGAGCAGCAGCAGGTGCCGTTCTTATCGAGTACAATCTATTCAGCCCCGGAAGTCCATCGGGTATGTGGGATGTGCACACCCGGATAGGTGGCTTTGCAGGAACATATCTCCAAGTTCCTGAATGCCCTGCTATAAAAGATACCAACGTCATAAACCCACGGTGTCTGGCGGCTTATATAAGCTTTCACGTAACAGCATATGCTGGGGGACTGTTTACAGAAAACTGCTGGTTCTGGGTTGCAGATCATGATCTCGAGAATCAGAAGTATGAGCGGGTTTCTCTATTTGCAGGCCGAGGTGTGCTTGTGGAAGCACAGAGGGGTCGCATTTGGCTCAGTGCTACTGGTTCAGAGCACCACGTTTTGTACCAGTATCAGTTCGTCAACACCAAGGATGTGTATATTGGCCATGCACAGACCGAACAAGCGTACTTTCAACCACTGCCGCCGGCCCAGTACCCATTCCCAGCTGTGTCCGCTCTCCATGACCCGGATTTTGAGAAGGACTGCAAGGCAAATAGTGATCCAAGATGCAACATGGGTTGGGCAATGAGGATCATCGACTCGAGCAATATCGCCACCTATGGCGCAGGGCTATATTCATTCTTTACCAACTACAACGATACGTGCGCCAGTAATACATCACCATTGTTTTGCCAGGAAAGGAGTTTAAGTATACGAGGTCGCAGCACCGGTTTAAAGATCTTAGGATTGAGCACAGTGGGCACCAGAATCATGGTGGAGCGTGATGGGGTAGATTTGGCTCAGGCGGTTGAGAACAACAGCACATTTGCAGACACTTTGGCTTTGTATGTATCATGAACGGTTGATATACTAACTCTAATGTAAGGCACGGGAGGAGGTAAGCTCAAGCAGGGGTATCAATTGCTATACCAATCACCTAATTAGAATCCCAAATACCTCGCAATGAAGTTAAAGCAATAAACACAGCCTCATCTGTTCTGATGGTTCGGCTACCCTGGTTTGGCAAAACATTGATCCAGTGATCAAATAGCTCTTTTGTCTTGGGGCCCTGGATGTCCATCTTGCTAAGCTCTTCATCATTCATCGCCGCAAACTCGAGACCACGGGGACCACCAAAGACAATAAGAAGATGGTTGAAGTTGACTCTTTTGCTTGGTGGGAATGCCTTTGAAGCTGGAACACCACGCTCAGAAGTACCAATGCTAACGTCATAACCATTCTCGTAGGGACTCTCGGTGAAGACTTTGGATAGAGAGTTGGCCTTTCTAACAGTGTAACCCCAGTAGTAACCACCCTCAGTTCTTGGTGCAGCAGGGTGAACAGGCTCGGGGTATTGGTTTTCATCCTCGGAAAACTTGAGTGTTATCCTTGTCTTAGGCGGGATCTCGGCTTCAATCTCGACAGGAGCGTCAAGGCCACATTCGACAAGGGTACCGGATCCTGTACTCGTCTGACCAGCAACAGTAACTCCCTCGGCGTAAGGGAGATAGTCCCTGGGGTTCGGGTGATGCGGCATGTCGAGACTGGGCAGCATGGCAGTGAGTCGCAAGTTGGGGTGGAGAGGGAAAAGAGTCTTGCGCATGAACGGAGGTGCCTCAAGGAAGGACAGAATATGCGAAAGAAAGTGGCATGGGTCGGTGTCGCCTGTGTAGCTGTTTGGGTCTGTGTGACGAGGTCTGGTAGCAGGAGGTGAATCGTCAAAGACTACGACTTCGTCGACAGAGAAGACAGCGAGGGCACGAGCAATTCGCGCGGGCTGGGTCATTCGCTGGTCGGCAGTAGCAAGGCTGGGGTTTGTTAGTAGTGAGAATATCACTGCGATTCAATTACACACTTTGAGAGAATACTGCTGGGAATTGCGACAGAGAGAGTCCATGGTCGACCTCCTTCAGTGGGGTTGAAAGTCGCAGAAGGCTTGAAGGATGTTGTATCCTGGCCACCACCATTGTGGTTGGTCTTTCTCTTCTGGTAGTTGTTAGAATGGTACTTAAGAATAGTAGTAATTCGATTGACTAACCTTGGAATTGCGCTCGTGGTAAGACATTTTGATGTTAATAAGATCGAATAATCTGATATCATGTATGGAAGTTACCTGCCTAGCTCTGAACAAAAAGTTCAGAAAGTGGAATTGATTGTCCGGCAGAATCATTCCGCCTTTGTCACCGCCTACCTATTGCAGCTGATATCTACATGCCACTCCGGCGCTTGGTCAGCGTCACGGCCAACAGCAGTATGCGACAGATGTGGCCTTTCATCCTCAAATAAACGAATCCAACAATAACGATATCGCAACCATGAGCGGCCCTATTAGCATCGGCTCCGAGTCCGAATGGAGCAGCCTCCTCGCAGGCACTAATGTGGTTATCGCAGATTGTATGTGCACAGGACCCCACGGCTACCGTCATTCACTAACACCGTGTAGTCTACGCCGACTGGTGCGGCCCTTGCAAGGCGATTGCGCCCACTTTCGAAGCTCTCGCCAAAGAACACTCAGCCCCGAAGAAGGTTGCTTTCGCCAAGGTCAACGTCGATAGCCAGTCCGGTATTGCGCGAGCCCAGAGCGTTTCCGCCATGCCGACCTTCAAGATCTTCCACAACGGCACTTGCATCGAGACTATCAAGGGCGCCAACCCTCCTGCCCTGACAGCGGCAATCAAGAATGCTGTCAAGCTCGGAGGTCCTGCTACTGGCGATGTGTTTAAGACTCCTGGCAGAACACTAGGCGGTGATTCGCGATCGGCTCCGTTGTCGAAGCAGTGGAATGTGAAGGGTATCTTTGATGCTTTAATAACGTTCTTTGGACTATACTTTGTTTCTTTGTTTTCGGTATGCCATATGAGAGACTTTTGAACTATGCAGTTAACTAACGTTGTCAGTTTGATCCCTACAAATCGGCAGAGAACAGCCCATTCAACATCCACCGAAAGCCAGCACCGAGAAGCACTGGTGGCCCCAGCCAAGGGGCTGGAGGTGCTAGAGCTCCTCCACGATCTTCTTTTAAGACATTGGCAGATCTGGGTGGCGATTAAGCAGGCTTCGAGGCAGCAGGAAGCTTGACTGAGCTTAAGCAAAAAAATAGTCGAGTCACTTTCCACAGACTAGCTCTCATTAAGCTACATTCTTTTTGCGTCTTATGCTCAGATCTCAAGCTTTCTGCTACTATCTAGGCGGGACAGACAGGTAATGGCGTTTCTGGGGTTCTGGGATCTCTTCGGGCATAACTGTCCGATTATACTATACTAGCGGAGTAATTTTATAACCATGTTTCGATTAGTTCCATTTCTATGATCTGATACAATCCTCCGTTCGCCTTCTCATTGTCATAAGCTGGACTTGAACTCAGTGCAATTGCCACTTTAAGTCACGTGGGGACGCGTTCGGACAAAAACGTCCTGATGAAGCTCGACAATTTTCTATCTCCATAGGTACCTCAAATTTGTACAATAGCGAAAATGTTGTCGGCCAGAGGAATTCGAAATGCTTGTCCGAGATGCAATACTTCTTCTTTAACAGTATCTTCACGCTTTTACTCTTCTTCCACTCCTTTACTTCGTTTACGACGGAATTCTCCCTTCCTCAAGGCACAGTCCAATAGAAACGCAGCAATTACACAGGCATTTTCGACTTCGAGATGTTTGCGACAAGAATCTCAATCGGAAACACCAGCGTCACCAGAGGAGATTGAACAAATTGTTCGAGATGCCAAGCAAAGATTTCGAGATACTCTACCTAAAGGGTATTTAAATGACGAAGAATATGCCGTTTACGAACGACTGTACGGAGCGCCATTGCGTGAGACGAGACCTGAAGATGTTGGTATTCCAGAGCATGCCGATATGGGACCTGAAGCTCCCCGACCGGATAACGAGGGTATTCTTCTGCGACAGCTTGAGGGGGGCGAATTCGAAGAAATTACTTACGAGATCCCACCCAATGAAAACATGGAAGAGATGGACGAGACGATACCCGAAGCTGGTTTGGAAGACCTGAAAATGGAACAATTAGCACATCAGGCCCCGGGTTATGTCGATTTGGTCGCCAGGAGTCAACGAGAGTACGATGCGCTGCAGAAGCTTGCAGAGGACTTCAAGATCACACAAAAGCAGCAACAGGAGGCAGAGGATGAGGCTGCCGCCGCCGAAGAACTTGCCATGGAGGAACAAGAGAACGAACAACCATACTGGCCAGAGGAGTACGAGCATGGCGAACGACCAACTGGCGAGGCTGGCCGATTTCACCCGTTGTCCATCGAGGGTCGCTTCTATGATAGTCCTGTCGAAATTTCTTTGCCACGGGATGAATTGATTATGCCAATTCGTGACCTTTTGCAACGAACACATCTCGATCACGTCAAGAGTGCTGCGGAAAGTGCCTTCGGTGGTCCTGGTCTTCCTCTATCCCCCGCGACACCCGAAGCCAAGAGGAACGGAAATATGCATGGTGTTGGTCTTCCAGCAGACCAGCGACACATGACTGAGATTGAGGGCGATGCCTTCCTTGCGGGGTTCTTGCCACCGGCCTACGCTTCTGTCATGGCCACTCTACGAGAGGTCCGTAAGCGAGTTGGAACTGAGTGGCTCCAATCCAAGCTTAAGGATGGAAGTGGAATTAGTGTCCTTGATGCTGGATCTGGTGGCGCAGGCTTGGTCGCATGGGATGAGATTGTGCGAGCAGAATGGGATCTGCTCAAGGAGAAAGGCGAAGTTGAGGGCGACAAGATCCCAGGCAAGCGAACAGTCGTTATCGGCTCTGATCGACTACGACACCGCACCAAAGCATTCCTTGAAAACACAACTTTCCTTCCCAGACTTCCTGATTACGAACATTCAGGAGAGATGAAGGGTGAGCGTCTTGATGCCGGAGACAAGCCACAGGCTCGAAAGAGCTACGATGTTATTATCGCCTCGCATCTTTTCCTGAAAGAAGAACAGGACCACTACCGACAAGCCGTTCTCAACAACCTTTGGACCCTACTAAACAAGGACGGTGGCGTCTTGATTGTGCTGGAGAAGGCTCACCCACGAGGATTTGAAGCTGTGGCTCACGTTCGCGACACAGTCATTAAGCAATTCCTCCTTCCTCAGTCTGGAGAGCCTGAGCTTCTCCCTGAAGATTTCAACCCTGCTTTCGAACGTGAAAAGGAACCTGGATACATTGTCGCTCCCTGTACCAACCAGGGCTTATGCCCCATGTATCAGACACCTGGAAAGAGTGTCGGTCGCAAGGACTACTGCCATTTCAGTCAGCGCTTCGTTCGTCCCATGTTCTACACTCGAATGCTTGGAAACAGCTCAAACAACCAGGGCGAGGTTGAGTTTAGCTACGTCGCAATCAGACGCGGTATTCCCAAGGAAAGGACCGTGACCGGAAAGGAGGCGACAAAGCAGGCTTTCGAGGGATACGAGAACTCGGACGAGAAGCCCGACATGCAGAGTCTTCCGCGAGCGATCATGCCTCCCCTGAAGCGAAAGGGCCATGTCACGCTTGACCTTTGCACACCGGAGGGCAAGCTTGAGCGATGGACGGTGCCTAAGAGTTTCAGCAAGCTGGCATATCACGATGCTCGTAAGTCACGATGGGGCGATCTTTGGGCTTTAGGAGCCAAGACTCGAGTGCAGCGAACCGTCCGTGCTGGTAAGGGTCCCGACGATGGTGGTAAGCGAGCTGGACAGGGCAAAAAGCCAAGAAAGGTCGAGATTACCATGGGTCCTGGCGGTATCAGCGCCAGCGAGAAGAATGCACCTCGCGAGCGTCGTGGCAGGAACAAGCTGGATAAGAAGGGTCGTCTGCTCCAGGAGATTATGGAGGCGGAAGAAGAGGAGGAGAGGATGATTGCCAAGCAGATGGATGAGGAAGTTGAAGCTGAGTTGGCGGACGAGTCTGACAGAGGAGGCCGACCTTGAGGATCGGATGTATTATTGATGTAAAATAGATATTGTACAAAGGATGATGACGGGCCGGACATGACATGACATGAAGGCGTTGGACATGACGATATATCTCAACACCGAACAATAAATGATTTTGACGCAATTGGATTGTATAGACTGTGTGAACAATGCTTGCAACTGTCACAGCATAGAGAATGGGCTTCAGATCATTCTGTTACGGCTCTGCCAGCTTCTTGGATACTATCAGAGACCGTCTGTCTCAACAATAAGAGCCACGCCCGGTTAGCTCAATCGGTAGAGCGTGAGACTCTTACGAGTACGCGATCTCAAGGTTGCGGGTTCGACCCCCGCATCGGGCTGTTCCTATAAGTACGATTGCAATCATCGTGGCATTTCTTTTTTTGCATTTTCATTAATGAATGAGAGAAGCTGTCGTGAGTTTGTGTGGCCCTATGGTAATCATAAGCTGATTCTTTTGCTGGGTTGAATCACGAATTGGAGTGTGAAAATTGGCTACAGTAGGCGGTTGATAACATGAATGGACATGGATAGTCAGGCCATTTCCGTCCTTCATAGGAAAATCTATTATAAAAATGATTAATCGACCTTGTATCACAGTATCATACATGTTCAAAGATATAAGACCGTGGCAAACCAGGTTTTATTGCTCATCATGACACCGAATGAACCATCAGACGAGAACTCATCATGACTACTGTTAGTGGTGGCCAGGGTACCTGGTAGCTATGTGCTCAACATCACGTGTTCAAACATCAGATGGTTTTCTGGAATTTCGCATCTCCGCTCCAAGAACCACCACCACGGAATTCCATGCTTCAGATCATCTTATCGCTGCACAGCAATAACGTGCTCTATCGCAGTTCTGACATCTCCGCTTGCGGCCCGCGGAAGTCGGCGATTGCGTTATCGGAAGATACTTTTGGTCTCCCCCGACAGACCGATAAAGAGAAATGGCGTGAGTTTAGGCCAATCATAGAACTGCTATTTGGAGTATGGAGTATGGAGGGGGAGGGGCAATGGGGTAACTTTTTTTTCCATCACCCCATGAGGGAAAGAGCAAGGGTGGGACGTAAGTAGTGCGGGAAAGGGTCTAGACATGGTAGGGTAGCTCATTTATAAGTCGGCCGAATCTCGCAATGGCGACATTGTCGTCGACTTTTCGGTTGAGTCAAATACTGTTTCCTTTCCTTTATTCTGTATAAGCAGATTCAAGTTATCAATCATGGATTCAACAATACCGACCTCGCTTCTTACAGCGCTCAACTGTAGAGGCAACATCCACCTCGTTATTGGTACAAACCCACTCGCTGCGACTCGATGCGGCCAATCTCTGGGTTCTGGCGCACAGCCAATTCTTATTGCCCCCGAGGGTGCTGAGCTTCATTACGCTCTACAGAAGAAGATAGACGACGGAAGTGTTCAATGGCACAAGAAACAGTTTGAAGATTCCGATCTGCTATCACTTGGTCGCGAGGAGGTTGATGGGGTAGTGGATGCTGTCTTTGTCACTTCGGCAGCACGAGACACTCAAAGTAAGTTACTGAGAATTGAATTTTCGAGCAATCAACTAACAGATTAGCAATTCATATCTCTGCTCTGTGCAAACGCAATCGAATCCCCATAAACGTCGTTGACGCTCCTCAACTTTGCACATTCTCCCTCCTTTCGACACATAGCGATGGCCCTCTCCAGATCGGCGTTACCACGAACGGTCGAGGTTGTAAGCTGGCCTCTCGAATTCGCCGTGATATCGCCGCATCACTCCCCGTAGATCTCGGCGCTGCCTGTACACGACTCGGAGACGTTCGCCGTCGCATCCACACCGAAGACGCCCTTGTGGCTGAAGACGACCCCGCCTCCCCCGACGACTCTTTCGACCAGGACGCCCACTTCAACCGCCTTATTACAGAAGAAGATGCTAAGAACCGAAGAGTGAGATGGCTCAGTCAAGTCTGCGAATACTGGCCTCTTAAGCGCCTGGCTGCTATCACAGACGACGATGTAGAGACAGTTCTCAAGTCATACCCCGGGAACGGTCCCGATATCAAGCGTGACCCTGGCACTCCCGAGAAACGTGTTGGTACAATTATCCTGGCCGGTAGTGGACCTGGACATCCCGATCTTCTTACACAGGCTACACACAAGGCTATCAAGTCTGCGGATCTTATTCTTGCCGATAAGCTTGTACCTTCTGGTGTCTTGGATCTTATTCCCCGTCGTACTCCCGTTCAAATTGCTCGCAAGTTCCCTGGAAACGCCGATCGTGCTCAGGAAGAGCTTCTCGAAATGGCGCTTGCTGGAGTTCAAGAGGGCAAGACTGTTCTGCGCCTCAAGCAAGGAGATCCTTATGTGTATGGACGTGGTGGTGAGGAGGTTGCCTACTTCCGCCAGCACGGCTATGGCGATAGAGTGTCTGTTCTCCCTGGTGTCACCAGTGCTCTGAGCGCCCCCCTGTTTGCTGCAATCCCTCCTACACAGCGCGATGTTGCCGACCAAATCCTCATCTGCACTGGTACAGGAAAGAAGGGTAAGGCACCTTCACCACCTGAGTATGTGCCAAGCCGAACAGTGGTTTTCCTTATGGCTTTGCACCGTATTAACGGTCTGATCCGCGAACTAACCACACATATCGAGCTTGAGCCATTGGCCACTCAAGTCTCTCCTGCAACTGGCGAGAGCAAGCGAGTTCTGTGGCCGCGCAACACACCTTGTGCTGTCATCGAGCGTGCCAGCTGCCCTGATCAACGAGTTATCCGAACAACCCTCGAACATGTTGCTGAGGCCATCGAGACAGAGGGCAGCCGCCCACCAGGTCTCTTGGTAGTAGGTCGATCCTGTGAAACCCTCTTCACTCCTGAGAAGGGGCGAGCCTGGGTGACAGAGGAGGGATTTAGAGGAATGGAAATAGAGGACTTCACAGTCGGACTAGAGGCATTGCAAGCATGAGCTTACAACATTTGACTTGGAACTTTATTTGGGAGTTTTGGTTTGGGTAGACATAGCGACTATGCATGATTGGAGTTGGGCTAGATTTGCAAACATTTGACCATATAAATCGAGAATTTTAACATACCTATGCCTGTTACAAACTTGCTATCGTTCTTGACCACATTTTATCTGAGTACCAGGGTTCCCCAAACTTTCCTCTTACTAATGCCACCACTGACGAACTTATAAGCCAAGAACAAAAAACATGCTCAATACCAAGACGGCCCATGCTCAGAGGATCTTACGATTTATCAAAAATGCAAAAAGATAGTTGATAGGCACTGAGAGACTTATTTTGCTCCCGCCAGGGCTTGAACCTGAGACCTTCGCATCACTGAATATTCAGATTGAAGTATTAGTACGACGCTCTAACCAACTGAGCTACGGAAGCCGATCAACTGTTGTTGAGAACCATGAGCCAAAATTGACACCAGGAGCCCTTTGCAGAAAATTGTCCGCTCATGAGCGGCCAATGCAATAAGTCAACCACCTCCCATAGATGCGTGTTAATCGATAGATATGGATTTGAGTATCATTCGAGTTGGCGAAAATCGCAAAGCATCTTAACAGAGAACTATCAATTCTTGATCGTATCCTGGTATATTCCCAAATTCGTTTTCCAACTGTACGTTCACCCCCGAAACCTCTGGTGAACACACTCGTTGTTCTGGCAGTAGCTTGCCTTAGGTCTCTCACGATGTTCGCATACGTGTCGCGTCTGGCTGTTCAGAATGCTCGTCCCCTTGCCTCATGGTTCCAGTGCTTTCTATGCTTGGCCTTCCGAGCATGATAAGCTCGCTATACTTATGCTCGCCTAGCAAGCATCTCATGTAGTCGCGCCTCATCCAGGAGACATTGTGCTCGACTTGTTGAAGCCCTTGGTTCCATACCCGCAGTGCTCTGTCGTAGTTCGTTCCAAGTTTCGTCACCACCAATGTATGCGGCGATCTGACTTTGAGAGTCTGGAGTGAATAGACCGGATCCCTCAATTGAGCCTCGACATGGCGTCGCCAGCGCTTCTCGGCCGGGAAGCGCCACTCTTTTTCGTTTGGATCTTCAAGAAAGTAATTCAACTCCCGGCATGCACTGCAGTTAGGTCCGCTCAAGCACGCGACTTTTTCGTGAGCCCACCCAGTAAGTTGGACTGGCCGAGTCATGATAGGTCGGTGGTGAACATCTCGCAGCGCAACCTCGAAGAAATCTTGAACAGGAGGTACTGGAGGCACGCTGTATGATTCCAGAGCCATGACAAGAGGCTCGAGGAAGTTCGTTCGGAGGTAATGAGGAGTAACCGAGGACCAAGTCTGCCTTTCCTCAACGAATCTCTTGCAGCTTTGTTCCAGCAATCCTAGGGCTTCCTGTCCAGCGCCATTAATGTAGCTTTCTTCCAGAAACTGGACGAATTTTTTGCAAGGACCCCAGTAGTTATCCGGATGGCTTGTGAGCTCCCACAAGCTATAGCCGTCGTGACGTGACTCCGAGATGAGGTCGTTGCCGCATAGGATTAGCTATCCTCCATGTTCGATGATACGTTTGTAAAGCTCTTTGGAATTCTTGAAAACTGTAAATCGTCCCCTCGAAATATTGCGTATGAATTCCCAAAGAAGATATCGATCACACCGTGGTACAATCGTTGGGAGAAAGCTAATAAACTGGGTTAGTCAATTACCCTTACACCATTATCACTTGAGGCTGTCCACGGTTATCTTACCTCTGTAAAACCCACTCATTGTCCGCATTGCGTGATCTAAGAATACCAACAAGATAGGCTTGATCCGAAAGGGTCCATTGAGACTGTGTTTCCAGCTTTCTATCGCAAATAGGATCTGCCCATGCTTTGAAACTTCCAAGCAGGGGCTGATGTTCTGTAGAAGACTTGAAAGCAGCACAAAAGGCATCAAACTCCGTAGCTATGTTGTCGGCCTGTTCAAGATCCTGTAGCCTAAAGTGGGTGTCAGCATGAAAGGTGCCTAGCGAGCGGTGCTAAACTTAACTTACCAGTAATTCCAGTCAATGACTTGTTCCTGGCCATCATAGTTCGTTCTGAGATAGCTTGCGAGTTGCTCACTGATTACTCTTCTATACACGAAGAAAGGAAACTCGTTGATTTGTCTCGGCCGAGAACCTAGGGGTGCATAGGTGGCTCTGATGCAAGTACGGAAAAGTGCTATATCGTTGAGTTCCAATGCCCATTTCGATATGAGGCCGACAGTTGGTGCTGCAGGTTTTACGCTAGAGCCCAAGAGACCACCTATGAAGGCTGTGGCAGCCTGAATCGTGTATGGGTCGTTCTTGCTATTGGAAAGATCCTGAAACACCATTTCAGCCAAATTGTCGTTTTCGGCTTTTGGGCCTGAATGGGCGAAGCTGCTGTTTCTCGAAAGATACTTCCGCAGCCTATCTTTTGGCACAAGCATAACGACTGTCTTGTGATAGCGGAATGTAGGAGCCATGTTCTCATTGCCGGTATATTCGCCCTCATCTTCACTATCCGGATTCTCTTCGTCGATACTGTACCCCAGGATCTCATCGGCATCGATAGTCACGCCCGAGGCAACTCGGTGTCCAGTGGGAGTATATAGTGATTTCAATGTTATATCATATTCTTGCTCCTCATCGTCGTAACCACCATACCCATCCTCCCCTGTGTGAACATGAGTCGTATGCCCTAACATGAGATAGAATCCAGCCTCGGAACAGATCTTGTTTAGGGAGTAAGCAACAGCCCGATCACGGCCTTTTAGGTTTGCCAGGCATAAGCTTGTCTCAGTGTAGAGATGATCCAAGGGGTACATTATCCTGTCAGAATGAGATGATCGTGGTTTCCACTTGGTCAACTGATACTTTAGTCGCTCGGTTTTCTCCAAGACGGTGGAAGCGGAAAGACAGACATCTGCGACAACAAAGAGCTTGTATGTAAGAACGAGGCGATGACCAGCTGTTAGCTTTGTGACTTCGTGGGTCACATCCGAGAACCAGGAAATTGATGTAAGGTCAAACTTGGAAGTAGGAGCAGTCGAAAAGCGGTTGACTTGCGAGCCAAATGATAGCACTACATCGCCACCTTCATGCTGAGATGGAAGACAGACGATGAGCGTTCCAATCATGCCCTTTTCTTTTTCTGAATCCTTGTGCGGCTTGAAGAACGAGCCAGACTCATAAAGAAGAAGCTTATACGGGTTGGCAACAACCTTTCCTAAGCCCAGCCCTTCAGCCGTACTCTGGAGCATCGCGTCAAAGAATTTGGCCCATTCAGGGTTCTTCAGGTCGAATTTGGATGCGTCAAGCTCCCATGTGTCGCGTACCGATGTATCCACGATGGTCTTGTCACCGTGGCCAAAGGGCGCCTGGCGGCATGCGGCCTTGATGATTTGCGCATCATCTTCTTTAAGTGGTAGAGGAATAAGATTATCGCCCTCGATTTTAAGACCCGGGTTCGGAAATGCGGAATAGTGGTTAAATGTTGCGATATTGCCCGTCGATTCAATTGAGTTGAGCGTCTGCAACAACTTACGGTTTTTGTTCGATCACAAGAGCAGCAGGGTGCTCGGATACGATAACATCATCGTCATCTTCATCATCGCTGATCTCTACCACTGCCGACGGGGGATAGAATATTGTTTTGTGTTGGTTTCTGCAGTCCGTATATAAGTTTTTTTCTTTTCTTTTATCTGCCTGTTGACGTCGTGTCTCTACTATAAGGCTGAAGGGAGTGGGGTCGCGACTTGAGGCAGTCGCGTCTCTGTTTATAGGTACGGAGGTGCCCCTGCCGATCATGACGAAAGAGAAAAGAAAAAAGAACAAGCGATATTACATGGAAGGTTCAACAATGACGATGCCTTCCTGTAAAGTATTAGATCAATGATACCAGTCAAGAGTTTGCTCCCATCTTCTTTACATATTAGGTACCTAGGTAGGTAGTTAAATACTGAGTATCTTGATTAGGTAGGTATTATTTAGATTCACTTGGCTGTATCATGCGCTTCTATTATTTACAAGTAACAATTTTCGTACACCACCTACCATTTTGCAAGATAATTGCCGAGATCCTTCTTATTCATCAATAGCGATTCTGAAACACTAAACAATTCAACGCACTTCTAATCGTCGATGACGATAACTTCTTGTTTGATCGCGGGCCCAGTCCCAATTTCGGATGCTTGAAAAGATGTACAAGGCCTCTTGTTGGGCTGTATCTCACCTTCGGGCGCTGGTCTTATACCAGCCATGCTAGGAGGATTTGCAGACGGGGTTACGCCCTCTAGAAGAATGATTTCACGGTAACGCTGATCTCCGAGAAACTCTTTCATCCAGTCTCCCTCAAGAGGCTGCACCGCGTCCTTCAACTGTCGAAACATTTGCTGCCACCATTTTAAAACTGACGGCTGAGCCTTTTTCTTCGTGTGTGAGGGTGAGACACCTGCCTCGACCAGGTTCCTGTTTTATGTCGATGCTCATGGAGCTGTCCTTTCTAAGCGCATGCTCGATATGAGTCCTCCGCTTACCAGGTGCTGTAAACTTCCACACGAGCTGGGCGGGAGAGGTTAGAAACTGGTTCATGTCTACGCAATCAGCGCAGACATCACAGCCACGCGGGCTGAACTCCCACTCCCCCCTGGTGTGTGCCGGTTGAGTCAGATCATATTTGATGACGATACGCACTAACAATTCGAGAACGTTTCCTAAAGCTGGCACTGGTTTTAACCAACCGCTTTGAAACATCCGGATGACTGGAGCTAGGGTGTAAGTGATAATTTCGGCCTGGTTCTGAACAAGAATCCATGTAGACTGTTCCTCGAGCAGCCCATCAAAGGTTTCTTCTATCATCCTGTTCAACTCATCAGAGGCACCAACGCTACAACAACGCTCGATAAACTCCAAGAATTCTTCTCCTTTGCGCTTGTTACCATAGTTTCTTTGGTTCGATTCGCAATATGGCCCTCGTGGTTGAAAGGCGAGTGGCGAAAGCCTTAGTCGGGCACCGCTGTTTTTAATTATGCTTTGAAACATTTCCTTGACATTGGCGAATGTTGGCCTGTGTATCCGTTCATAAATGCTTTCCAGGAGTCTGCGCAGAAAACAATTTTTTACTGGGCTTTGGTCTCGAGTGGCAACTCTGGGAAGGAACCTGGGGAGTTTAAGATCAGCCAAAGAGAGCAGTGTGTCGCAGTAAAGAGACTTACCTGTTTACGACCCAGTCTGGCCTGCTCGATCGTTCTTCAATAAGCCCCAAGACGAGATTCAGATCTTCAGAGGCCCAGGCGGGTTGAGATTCTGTCTTCAAGTCTATAGTGTCTTCAACCCAAGATTTGAAAGATTCTGCTAATCGACTACTGACAGACTTAATGATACCTAGGATACTGTCGCATCTGGTGCGGAAATCTGAAATAGTCTCCTCATAAAAAAGGTCGAGCCTTACACGTAGGATAAATTAGTTATAATGAAAGCTACCACACAAAGACTTTGGATTCGCGGTTAGCCACTTACCATTTATTCCAATCAATGGAAGTCTCGCTGCCTTCAAACTTCAAGGAAAGATAACCCGCGATTACGTTTGCTGTGCAACCTGGGGCTGACATCCATGCGATTCTGTATAAGTAATCATCCTCGCTAGAGCAAATGCTGAGGTTTGTCCGGTCGGGACATAGTGGGCGATGTATGTACCAAGTAACCACTTCACTTATCATTGGCGCTTTTATTGATTCGGCAAGCCCAGCGGTTATCTGTATGGCATTGCGTACCCACCGCTTTTAAATCGGAATCGTCTGGATGGACTTTGAGAGCCTTTCCAAGTATCATACCTACACCCTTGACCCCTCTATCTGGGGCTTCCTCGTTGATTCCCGATCTGTTGTAGTCACTGACTTCATGAAGTGCCAAGAGACTCAGCAAGTGCTGGCTTCGCACGAGGATAACGGCGGTATTGCGGTAGCGCTTGGTGATTTTGCCCTCTTCTGAGGCGTCCCGGGGGTTGAAATCTTTGCCATCGCTATTGTCAGCCTCGAGACCTTCCAGTTTGCCCTGATGAAAGCCCAGGAGCTCCCTCTTTGCATTGAGACTTTTCATGTTGCTTGCTGAGATCACCCATGATGTGGGTGGACGATCGTGGAGTAAAACAAATATCAAGCTCAGTCGATCGAGTCTATACAGCGGATGGTCTACATCTGACGTCGCGCAAAAGTTTTGCCTCAATGCAGAGATCGTTCAAAATTTGACATACTGCTCAGTCACGACCCTTCATTCCCTCAAGGGACAGGGGTCTTCCTCGGCTTCTGTCATCAAGTGTATATAGATATTTTTCGAACATATGATTGCTTCGTGGACATTCTTTTAAAATCTTTGCCACGCATTCAGACTCTTTGTTTTGTCTAGACGAGGGCGCCGAAACAGGTTCAGTTTGGTAAAGGTCGTATGAGATTATGAGACGATAGCCTGAGTCAAGCCTACTGACTTGGTGGTCGAAAGTCGATGTCCAGCCCATAATCGAAAGGTCTTGTGCTGATGAATGCGCAGTAGAAAGATGATGTACTTGTCCATCAGATGAGAGAGTGATGTCGGTACCCTGGTGCTCTGATGGGAGGCAGACCAACAATGTACCATATGTTCTCTTAACGGGATGTTCCTTCTCTTGCCTCGTTGGAGCCCCAGGGCCGCACAGAGTCAGTCTTGGGTGTGCTACTTCGGCATAACATAGCTCGAAATCTTTGACAATATCGAGACTAATCTTGTCAAAGAATGACGGCCACGCGGGGTTTGTCAGATGGAATTGCGTATGGTCAAGCTCCCACACATTTGGAGAAGAAGAATTCGAAGACGCAAGCTGCTTGATAGCTTGTGCATAATGTTCTGTAAGTGGTAAGGGTACGATTGGGTGATCCTTGATACTGATGCCTGGGTTGACGAACAACTGATGGCAATTGGTTGCTACCTGCCCTTGTGGTCGGATGGACTGCAGAGCGTCAAAAAGCGATTGTTTCCAGGGCTCCTGTTCCTGGCACAGTCTGTTGTCCGATGAACAGGAATATCCATAATCCATCTTGCTATTGTAGGCATCACTGCCCACAGACGCAGTCATGACCACTTGTTGCAAATTGATTTAAAGGGGGATTTAGATGCTCATTATGATCGTAACGGTCCGTTCGTAAAGTGGTTCGCGTAGGCGCGACGCGCCATGCCCCTGTAAAGTGTAAAAAGCAACGAGCAACAGCATGGGTCTTCGATGATCGTCAATACGATGAAGAAAGGATTTGAATATAGTAAAAGTGTTAAAACGATTTTCCGACAAAGAATATTTTCGTAGGTTTCAAGGAAGGAGCGTGCAGAATGCATCTGCATCGATCTTTCCTACCTACCTATTTACCTTTTCACCGACCCTTCCGTTATTCTGGGTGTTAGAGAGGGAAGGAGCTCCTCGTTGTAATTCCAATGTCAACAAAAAGATTATCCTTGATCAACATCAAAATGATGAAAATAGAGTCTTTGACCATGGCCTATGTCGAATTACCCATCAAGGTTGTTTCGTCACACCGTAATTCCCCATGTTTTAAGGTGATCAATAATGCTGTTGTCGAAAGATGCCTTTATTTTACACTTGCACTCATCCTATGCCTCACCTGTCGAATCCATTCATCTTCTCAACCTTTCAGCTTGTGGAATCTCAACCAAGAGCACGAAGATTTATTGTGAGCAAGTATCTGGCATTTCATTCAACCGAGCTGACTCATCAGGCCCCTCACCGCTCCGCTATTGAAAAGTTATCATCCTTGAAGTGAAGCCTTCGCCATGTTGATACACCTCCACTTCTCAGACGAAACCATGGGCACTCTATCACAACGAGCCACAGAGGCTGTGGGTGGGCTAGATTTGCCATGGAGGTTCGCGCCAAGGGGTGATTACGATCCTGACCATAATCCTTCGGGACTGGTATCTTTTGGCACAGCTGAAAACGTAGGATGCTCCTTGTTAGCAACTATAAATACTAACGTTTCATCAGGCCTTGGTGACGGACCAGCTCAAGGAATTTACGGACCAGAATGTATGTGTTCATGCGCCCGAGAATTTAGAGCTCCCTCAACTTACAAGTTCAGGTGACTATCTCACACGAGGACTTTCTGTACCGTGGTAGCCACGCAGGGGGCTCTCGATTCCCTTCGGCTCTGGCTGCCCACCTCAACGAGTACTTGACTCCTCACAGCCCCATTACCCCAGATATGATCCAGTGTGTCGGTGCCGCTACTGCAATGCATGACATCCTTGCGTGGGGAGTTGCGGACCCTGGCGATGGTGTATTGACCAGTAGGCCTGTTTACGGTCGGTTCGAGCTTGATTTCGGGAATAAATCCCAAGTGAGAGTTGTGTACTCCGACAACAAGACCAAGAATGCTTTCCAAGACAATATTGTCGACAAGTTTGAGGAGGCATTGATGAGATCCAAAAAGGCTGGTATACACGTCAAGATGGTGCTGATTGTCAATCCTCATAATCCTCTTGGTAAGAAATGCCTGTCCATTCTCTGTTTAGTGATTGACGATAGTCAGGGCGATGTTATCCTAGGTCGACCCTCATCAAAATCATGCAGTTTTGCCAGAAGCATAAGCTACATCTCTTAAGTGACGAGATTTATGCCTGTTCGGTCTTTGATACCGATGAGCCTGCAACTCCTTTCACTTCGATACTATCGATAGATTCTACAGGGGTCATTGACCCAGATCTCCTCCACGTCACCTACGGTCTCAGCAAGGATTTTGGCGCCGCGGGGCTTCGTCTAGGCGCTATAATTACTCGAAGTCGACCAGTCCTTCGTGCAATCCAGGCAGCGATGCGTTTTCACAACCCTTCCGGTGCTAGTCTAGCAATAGGAAGCGCTATGCTCGAGGATAGAGTGTGGTGTCGATCTTTTGTGGATTCATCGAGATCAAAGATTGCACAAGCTCATCGACATGTCACTTCGCAGCTCAAGGACATGGGCATCAAATACTTACCGGGGAGCAACGCGGGTTTCTTTGTCTGGATTGACTTATCTCCGTACCTTTCATCTGAGTTGGATGGAGAGTTAAATCAAGAATTTGCTCTCGCGAAAAGATTGCGCCAGGATGGTGTTTTTCTGCATCCCCGAGAGGAGCATTCGCAAGAACCAGGGTGGTTCCGAGTAGTGTACACGCAAGACCCAAGAACCGTGACCGAAGGGCTACAAAGGTACTTTCCCTTTTGCATATGTGGTGAAAATGCTAATGGTTCCCAGGATCAGGCGGGCAATTTTGTGAGGTGGGCGTTGGCGGTAGGGATATCTAAACCCACGATTGCCCAAGTCAAGCAGGGGTGAAGAATTTCAAAAATAGAGGAGAGGAGCAGAGTAATCAGCCATCACACGTAAAGCCGTATGCTGTTGCAACGTTGACATAAAGCTAGAAATCAATCTTCAGTTCAGATGACGATATTGATAGCTTATTCTTGACGCGCTTTTGTACCTGTCGCCTACTGGCTAAGGGCATCCTCGAACTTCTTACCGGTCAACATGAGAAAAGCCTCTCGGTAGCGGTCAGATGTAGCCTGGACGATATCCTGGGGAAGTTCAACACCCTCCTTGCCCTTGAGCCCTTCCTTGGTGAGCCAGTTTCGAATGAACTGTTTGTCGAAGCTGTCCTGGTCGCGACCGGGCATGTAACCGGCTGCTGGCCAGAATCGGGAAGAGTCAGGAGTCAGTACCTCGTCGACCAGGTAGATGTTACCCTCTCCATCCTTGGCGAATTCAAATTTGGTGTCGGCCAGAAGAATGCCTCGCTCTTCGGCGTACTTGGATGCCTCCTCATAAATCTTCAAGGACAGCTCCTTTACGCGATCTGCAGTCTCACGGTCACCAACCTCCTTCCAAGCATCGTCAGGGTGGATGTTCTCGTCATGCTCTCCGGCATCGGCCTTGGTGCTAGGTGTCCACAGGGGTTGCTTGAACTTTGATGCCTCCTCCATACCGGGCTCGACAGTGATACCATGAACAGTACCGTTCTTCTTGTACTCCTTGTAGGCAGAACCGGTCAGGTAGCCTCGTCTGTTAGTCTGTTAGTGTCTTGGTGCTCATACAGAGCACGAGCAATGTGCGCCATTTCACGTCCAGTGAATGACGTTGCGGGGTGCTTCCGACATGGGAGGGAGACCGTACACAATGGATTCGATCTTGATAACAGAGAGCTTCTTGACAACCATGGATCTGTTCTTGATGATCTGGACCTCCTCAGCAGAAACACCTTCAGGGACATCGAGGCTGATGAAATGGGTTCGCAGGCCAGGAATGCGCTCCGTCAAAACCTTGAACCAGTGGGCCGAAAGAATGGTCAGAATCTTGCCCTTGTCGGGAATTGCGTTCTTGAGAACAGCATCGTAAGCTGAGACGCGATCAGAGGCCACGAAAAGAAGGGTATCCTTGTCGGGCAGCTCAAAAAGATCGCGCACTTTGCCGGAAGCAATCTTTTGAAAGCTGGGCAGGGAGATTTCCGTCAAGGCAGACATCGTGGCGGTATTTGACAATTCCGAGCGAATCTGTATGATACCGTAGTAGAGATGAAGTCAATTCGTAACTATCACCAGAAGAAGTCTCGCGATGTGATGTTATTCGAGAAAGAGTTGAGGACGAAAGTGACGAAAGAGTGAGGAGAAAAATTTAGCCGATCACTCGATGCAGCGTGCAAAAGTTTCTCCACTGAGTCACGAATCCCATTGCGATTTCGGCATTTTGAGGTGGCTGGCCAAAGTTTATCAATAAGAAGCCACGTCTTTTCATATTTGAAGCCTTCTTCAACGTCAGGATACGAGTACACAAACTCGTCTCGCATAATGACAGGGGCTTCGGAGCGAGTCGTGCACAGTGCGCTACAGTTTGAACACACACTCACTGTACGGTATCACAAGCCTCCACTGCCACAACGCTTTCTTAAGATGGAGCTTCAAATGTTGGGCTGGACCTCTATGTTCTTATTTTCTCGGAGAGTTTAGTTATATAGGTAATTAAATGGGCATGAGAATTAAAGCGTTGTTTATATTATATTGCAACCCCAGATTAATTGGTGGTAACATACCGCCCCAAGGGTTACCGACGAGTGTTCATAAGTAACTACCAACTTAACAAGTCATAGTCACAGACGGAGTCTGAGCACAGGCACAAAGATTAAGTAGCTACCTATGAATAACACATTAAAACTACAATAGATGCATGCCCTTTCTATAACTGCATGGAAGCTTATGCGGATGGAACTCCAGAGTTGGGCAATGACCCTCATAGTTCAGTGGGCACGGAGGCTTTAGTTGAGGAATGACATACTAATACGTCTTACAGTACTCAGAAAGCCAGGCTATTTCTTCTCATATTGTGTGTCACGATCAAGCAGTCTTGACCGCTAATCGAGTCGAGTGCAGAGTGTCGCAGGAAGGCAGATTTATGTTAAGCCATCGTCGCGGTATAGTGAGCGAGCCATGTTCATCAAGCTAGGCTCATAAATAGCGAAAGATACACGGTAAGAACGGTTAAATATGCCCTACGGTAGGAGCTTGTCATTTTGAGAGATAATAGCATTGCTATTTCACTTCCATAGCCCTCAAAGGGTACCATTTATAGGATTGGAATCACAAACAAGCAGATTTCTAGCATTTGTCTTGGGTTTCAATGCGTATAAGCTTGTAGAGATCCTTTGCTCAAATCTTTCTCGACTAGTATGTACATCATTTTGTAGAATTATGATGGCAACCTCAATTATCTTACATCATTAGAACCATGATCGGGCAAGGAGGCGCCGTCAACAGAACAACAAATGCACTAAACAAACTGTTGATTTTTCATCGTTGCGCAGAATTAATCAAATGAAGAGCCTGAATGATGCCATTTCGATTCGACAAAAAACACTGGAGTTTTCGGCGATGTTGAAGATACCCTGCTTGGCCTACGTAAGAGTTACATCAGATGTCTGTAAGAACGCACTGACATTATTCCGCGTAACGGTTATTGCAGACGTTCAAATAGCCTTTTTAGCCTAGTTTATCTAATGCAACACTGTTCGTTGATTAAGTCTTTCTAACGTCCGCTCTGCAACCGTTGTAAACAATAGCCGCGTTGTGGTCGAGGCTGGGGTATCAACATCCATCTTGAGTATCAAAGTCCTGATTGGTCAACATCCTGCACTTTTTACGGTACTGTATGAAAAGAGAACCAACAAATAAACCAAGTCACACAATTGATTGATGCAGTGATCTCAGCCTGTCATAGATGCGGCTCAATAACTCACTCACGTGAAACCAACAACATTCGTGCTACACGATACCCATACTGCAACTTCAACACCACTGACAACCGTCGATATGCACTTTCAGGCAGAGTCTGAGATACTGGACGAATTTATTACAACTCATCCTTTGATTATGTCTATGCTCCCTTCTGGGGTTAATCGACAACAAAACAAAAACTCCACAAGCCTCGATCATGGTCTCGCTAACGTTGTTGCTTCTATTTACGAGCATGCTGATTAAGCTTGAATTGTTTAGCCTGTCTCCTTAGGATTCAGACGTATCACAATCCGCATTCCATTGCACAGGCACCAGAGTCGACTCCACGGGAGGCGAAACCTCTAGTAATGTGGTTCTTTACACCTAGTACTTTGGTATTCAGATCGGCAAATTCTACCATGAAAGCATCACGTGAGATACGACGGATGCACGGTAGGGACGGCTAGTTTTCATGTCCGAGATTAGTTTTCCGTGTTCCGTGACAGCTTAACGATTTCCGACCCGGACTCCGTGCTTGTAAAAGCTTTCCAATCCGAAAATACCCATCCATGATAATGCGGATGATGTGTCCCCGGATTCAAGGTTAGGAAGTTGATCTATTTCCACCTATCATCGACTCGCAAAGGAAGGGCATATGTAATTGTTCGGAAATTCTTTCCCGAATTCCTTAGGATAATCCTTGCTCGTTGTTATCGAGTCTGGGCCCTTTCTGGCTTGTATGTATCTTTCCTGAGCTAAACAAGCAGGCCTCGACAGTGAGTTTAGATGTTAATGCATTGATATTCACTGACACAGCTTGCCCTGCCCAACCGTATGCTGTCGAATCAGATGTGCTACAACGCACTCAGTGCCTACATGTCTCTCCCAGTCTAAGAATCAAGCCCTTGTTGTGGATCGAAGGCAAGGTTACCCCGGTTGCACATCAAGCACCTCAAGGAAAATGGACATGACGATCGGGCATCTTAGATCCATGCCTATTCAAACTGCTTTGTTGATACGACGCTGTATGACAAAGATTTCTCTTCAATGTAACCTGAATTACCTATCCCACCTAGACATAAATAGAACGGTCCTTCATTTCCCTGGCCTAGACTTCTTGCTCCAGTGCTTGACTTAGTCTGATTACTCATCTACTCGACTGGTATGCTACGTTGTGATCTCGTTCTGAGCCACCCTCGTTTCCTCCATGTTCGAATCAACTAATGTCCTGTTGTGTCTACGATCCTGCTACTAAGTAGTGATTCGAGGGACTAACCCGGCCATGTCAACTTTCCACCGTCACCCAGACCTTGTCAAGGAAGGCATCTGCGGCTCTTGCTCGGGATTTGATATCCATCCGGTCCCGGTAGTTGCTCTTCACACCCATCCATGATCATCCCCATACATACATGAGTAAAGCCAGGTAGTCGTAGCCCTACAGGCATAACATCATGACTCGCACGAGTCCACTGGACCCACAGCCAGTACCAAGAGATTGTGTACGCCATATCTGGCAAGGACGATCTTCGCACAACCGTCGTGGTTGGACACGTATACGGAGACTTGAGTCGCTTGAGTCGAAAACTGGTCTACGACACAAAAAGACTCGAGATATTGGATTCGATGGCTTGGGTAAAGAAAAGTCTGCATGATTTCGCGGTCACCAGATACTGGTAGCCCCAAAGTCTCAGCGAGTCAATACCAGCCCTAGCTTGAGACTAGATCGACAGCAGCCGTTCCATGTGGAACCCTAACAGAACGCCATTTTCCAAGGTATCGATAAATTTCAGTTTGCGATTCAGTTCGGATCTCGCGCTTCGCATTTGTAAAGTTTCTTCCGAGTTCCTGTCGGTGAGTTCTGTAGAGTAGACCGCGGTGGATCAGCTGTGACCAAGAGGTGGATATAATGTTGCACTGCAAGTGCAGTATTATCGTCAAAGTGGGAACATGGATTCGACCGCGCAATCTCGAGTTGGATTCCAGGATCTGTTCTTTCAGCCTTGGCAGGAAAGCGTTGAGATTAGCCATGTTGATCTGTATGGCAGGAGGGACGTGCAAGTCACGTAGGTAGTCTGGGCATGCTAGCAAAGAAACGACCCGTCAGATTGCAAGCGTCGGTTCGAAGGCACCTAACCCGGTAGTGTACAGCTGATGTCTCAACAAGGCTAAGAAAGTCAGCTATTGGGTTTGATATATATTGCATTGTTTGTTCACGAGCAGAGCCCATGGATACATCCTTGGTACAAGAGAAACAAATGCAATTAGCCTTCCATCTGGACCACTAGACTAAGTAACAATAGTGGTAATGTATTCGTAAGGTAGTATTTGTATTGAGAACGCACAAGCCATCGTCATGAAAGAAGTAAAACCGGCCCCTCCCGTTATCCCTGTCCCTTGCATTTCATGGCCACTAGGTCGCGGTCTCGTTCTTTGTCCAATCATGATCTGATGGCTCAACGTGCAATTGCCATTTACATGTCTTAGGCCTTGCTGCAGGAGCCCTCAAGTGTGTCTTGTCTCCCTCCATTGGTTTCGCCTTCCGATATGCTGAAGAGAATATGTGGAAGCAGCTACCACGCACTTGAGTTTAGGCAGTGCCTGCCTTACCACTGTATATGCCCCTACTAGTACAAGGCAGGAGCGCATATCATCACCTAAACTTCCGCTCCCGTCTCCCAACTTTTTCTTAATCATCATTTTGGGTTTGCGCCGTCTTTCTCTCTCCATATCTGCAACCTGGTCGCCTACCTCCTCGCCAGGGTTTTCTATGGCCAAGACCGTGCCAACGCCAGTGGCTTCACTTGCATCGCGGCTAGCAGCATAGACGCTCTGTGCTCTGTTCCTGGGGACAACTTACCAATATCCATCCATCTTCATCAAACATCGCTGTGATGCCCACTCATCGTCGCTGTCTCGACCCGTCTCCGCTTATCTCCTGCCACTCTTCCTGGCGTCCCACCCCGACTCTGCACTGAACAAAAGCGCCAGTCCCCTCTCCATTGTCCAAACAGCACCAGCAAATTCAACAAGGACCAAGGACCTGGAAGCACATTACGTACTGACAAGTACCCTGCTTGAAGCTAACACCAGAGTACTGGGCTGGAGAGCTTAAACCTGTGCTATCAAAAGACTCGCTGAAAGCTGCACGCTATCACTACTTACCTTAACGTCATACAGATATTTCGCTCTGTACTTTATGAGCCTCGTCTTATGAGCCAATCGCCTTTAGCCTAGCTGCTCTAAAGAGTTGGTTGTTCTGCCTTCCCTTCTCCTGCATACAAACGCCGGCGCAATAGGACCCTGTTGATACTTGCCCAAAAAGGCGGAAGGGCCCCGTACTGTCGAGCCGGCCTGGACCGTGTACAACACGTCCGCCTGTCACCCGGCAGTTAATCTGCTGCTCCGCTCCCGCTCCCACACCATCTACCGCTCATTTTACATATATCGTACAGCTCGAGGCTAAATCAAATCTGGTCTTCATCGCGGTACAAGGCCCCAGTTCCACGACTATTGGGATACGCCTATTACAGGTCGTAACCCCGTCACGTACTTTCACAATACGTGTACTTTGACCTTCGGCAGCTTTTAAGGTCCCCGTTGCAGCCCCTTGCAAGAACGCCAAATCCCAACCGAGTCGCAAATCTATACCGGAACTATTGACTGCCAGCTGCGTAGCACGGCGGCTGGGCATATGGCTGAATCCGAGTCTTCTAACCCGGCCGTTAAACGACGAGCCCCGATTGCCTGTCGACGGTACATTATTTCATTCATTCCTTAGAGCCGTTGTTGGTGTCTAACAAAATTTCGTAGATGTCGGCGTATGAGAAGCAAATGTGTCCACGATCGTGCTCAACCTCCGTGTAAAGCCTGTGCTGAGGCCGGGTATGGTGCTGATGAATGGTAAAGCTGCGAAAGTGCTCTTTTGGCATCCGAGCTAACACTTATTCAACAGCACATTTTTGGAAAGAGGTCAACCAGATCATGATCGTGACTTTCGTCACCCTCGTGTCCGAGCAGATAAGTCAGGTCGACGAGAGCCAGTCAAAGCACGGCGTGACGTTCTTGACGCCCCGGTAAAACCTTCAAACAAATCAGCCAGCGAATGGGATCTTTTGCCTCCATTGCCAGAAATTATCGACGGCGTGAATCGATTTACGCGACATTACTTTCAACTTGGTTTCATCCCCAAGGAGCAATTCTCGAGACGCCTTCTTCAAGATCACCAATCTGTTAGCGTCTTTCTAGTTGTCAGCATCCTCAGCATTTCGGCACGACTCAGTCCTCCTCTTTCGACCCGATATGGATCCGGCATGAAAGCAGCTGAGTTCTTTATGGAACGTGCGGCAGCCATCGCACCCAGTGAGATCTTTGTGTCCAAGTACACGTTAGAGAGCTGTCAAGCATTTTACCTACTCAGTATTGCGCAGCAAGGCAGTGGTATCAGGAACGAAAGTCATGTATGTGCAAAGTCCAAGATAAGGGGGTATGTGTGTTGCTGACCAACAGATGAATATGGGCATTGCTCTCCGGATGGCATCCGCGCTACGCCTACACTTGGAAGAAACGTACGACATCGCCAACCCGACACCCGATACTATAATTCGTGGGGAGTCTGCACGTCGAACTCTAGTAAGTTATTCGGGTCACATTGCGGATCAGTAAATTTGCTGAAAACCATTGCCAGTGGATGTTACATAGTCAGGACCAATTACACTCGGGCCCCCACTCACCTATATCTCTTTCTGCATCGGACATTACCGCTCTTCTCCCATGTAATGAGGATGATTTCGCCTTGGGGCGAGAACCCCCTTCGCGGGCTGCTCTTGAAGGCTCCCCACCATCCATCAGTAACCCAGCACTCATCTGTGACCCCAGTCGGTCTCTCTTTGCATCCCTTATTCAAGCTCATGGTTTCTGGGGCATTATCACTCGACGTGCTGTTAGCTTTACCCGCAGTTCTTATCCGTGGGAGCCAGAGAGCAAGTTTGCAACTGTCTCAAGGAAACTCGACGTTTGGGAAAATAGCCTACCCCCGAACCACCGATGGAGCGAAGTCACGTTTGGTGAACACAAAGCGGAAGCACAAGACTTAGTAAGTGCATTTTCCCATTGTAAACTAAAATATTGACTTTCCAGGCATATCTAGGAGTGACTATGATACCGCGCCTTTGCAATATCGTTCTTAGGCGCCCCTACTTAGTGGAGTGAGTTCAGGATCCCCTCTACGCTACCATGACTGACCCTTGCAGCATCTTAACGTTTTCTCCTGAATACAAACAACGACCGGCAGCTTTCACGAAGATTGCGTACGAACTTTTCTCCAACGTCCGTGCTCTCTACACACAAATCGACGCCCAGTTCACGGGCCGTGCTTCAGATGAAAGCGTGGGTGCTCAAATGGCAGCGTTCTGTGTCTACACATGCGGCCTTCTTTCCACATACTTGTGCCATTATCCAAGCAGTAAGCGCTCTTGCCTCTGCTTATTGGGACATCGAACAATTAATTCCTTTCAGTCTGCCCAGATCCTAACATCAGCCGCGACGGACATATGATGTACCAGAGAACCCTATCCATCCTGTTGGAATGCAAAGAAGTCTGGCCCCTCGCATCCCGTTGGGCAGATGCCCTCGAGCGATTTGCTCAAGATCCCACTGGCGCTCTTACATCGGAAACCGGCATGGCGGACGGGAGAGATCCTGTTCCTCATCCAGTAATTGACATTCCTGCTGTGGCTCCCGCGTCCCCTGGCACATCGCCTGCTTCGTCCATCTACAGCCGACAAGCTAGTTCCATAGAGCCGGGCCCTTCTTCTCTACAATCCCCATCTCCGCATGGTATATCTGCTACTTTATCGGCAACGCATATACTGCCATCCCATTTCCCCCCGCCTCAAATCCAACAACAGCCCCAAATGCAGCAGCACCAGCTTCAGGTCCACCAACACCACCAGCACCGCCAGCACCGCCAGCACCGCCAGCATCATCAACCGCCAGCGCCGATAATTACGCAACATCAGTCGTTTGTTCCTCATCAGCTCCAGCCACAGCTGTACATGAGTCCCAATGAGATTGCTAACCTCGACATTGTTATGGGAACATTTGATCAGAGCGCTATGCAAGGTTACCAAATGGCGCCACAGTGCAATCCTCCATTGACTTCCACTACCCCAACAGTTGCGGCTATCCCACCTGTACCGCACAGCGCTCCTGCAGACGGCTATGAGAACGAACTGAACTTTTACTCTTATGGATCTCACGACTGGGTGCCTTCAGGTAACGTCTTTGACGGCTATAACTAAGTTCCCTCTCGAACATCAAGACGCCTATCAACAAACAATATATCACTATACCCGCAGAAAATTTGTAGTCCATCTACATCGAACCATGAATCTGCACCATTACAGAGAGTATCTTAAGCGCATATCATTCATTTATTATTGTACTTCGAACTAGAATCGGGCTGGTGTAGAATATTGTCCACTCAGATGGATAGATTTTGCATTAGTTGTGGCAGACGGGAAGAAGATATCCCAATAGAATAGAGCCGACATCGCACGCTTTGTACGCGATGTCTAGTTATAGCACAACTGCACGAAGCTCACGAATGATTAATAAACTAAAACCACCGCCGGGCGTTTGAATGAGTATCTCATCGAGTAGACCCCAACATCCGATCAAAAAGATGAGTCTCCGTTTAGAGATACTTATAACATCACGGTAAGATTCAACTGATTCGCAATGCAATAAATATGAGCCGACGATTGTTTTAACTATCGACAGCTACAGACGAGCTCACTTGATGCTCTAGTCCGGAAAGTTTCGTTTCAACATGTCTTTTCGCTCATCTCTAAAGTCCCCTACACACTCCTAGTTTTGAAGCCACTCCTCAAGAATTCCACCGAGTTCCACAAGAGTGGCCTGTCCGAGTACGCCGTCTTCAACCTTCCCTAACACTTGAAAGGGAATCCAAGACAGACTCCATGGGCCGAAACAACCAATGTCGCAAAAGCAGAAAAAATAGAGTGATAAACCGGCCGCCTTGACTCCCCTATCCTCTACATGAGTTTTGAATCGCCGCCGCTTTCCATCCGTGCAGGGCATACATGACTTCTCTATTCCTTCATTGCATCTTAATAAATAGACAAAAGGGTGCATTTTGCAATGTGTAGTGATGTGTAGTGTAGTGATGTGACGTGATAAGGGGATTGTGAATACATCGTGTGGCGATAATATGGTAGGTGAAGCGTCGTGATGGGGTATTTGAATTACTGTAGTGTCATATGGGGTCTATATACATGCAAGGGTCATGGGGATCGTGCTATGATTGGGGGAGGGGGAAGGGGATATCGTTGTTTCAGGCGGCAATTGCTCGCCGTGAGATTGGGAATCTCGTGTGCCAGACTAGTTAGCCATAACAGTCTGGGAACCACCCAGCTGGCGCTTGACCTGCTCGCGGGCCCAGCGGGCGGTTTCAATAGTCCTAGGCTGGAACTCTCGGTTGGTCTTAGTCTCCTTGATCATAGCAGTGACCCATTCCTGACGGAAAGCTTCAACCAGTTCGCCGTTGGGGTAAGCATCAGCAAGGTCGCTGTTTATGTTAGTCTAGTTCATGAAATAGAGTTATGGATGACTTACCCAATAACACCCATAGAGGCTCGCATCAATGACTCGCTTCGGTTGGTGTCATTGGCAATGAGGTTCAGGACATTGAACATGGCGGGCACATATTGCTGCAGGGCTTGGGCTGGGAGTAGTTAGTAATGGCTACAGAGTTTCGGACTCTAATTAACTTACTCTTCTCGCTAACCTTCATGGCACCAATAATGCCACCCCAGGCATCCATAATACCTTCGCGGAGAGAGACGACATAATCGTACATCTCGTAGGGGCCATCGGGAGAAGCGGTAACAGTCGAGGCCTGCTCCAGAACCTGGGCGACCACGGACAAGTAAGTCTCGAAGTGACCACCGATAGCGCCAGCAATATCACCGAAGCATTGCAGGATGGCAGGCTTGAACTGGTTGGCAAGGGCGGTACTCTGTAATTGGTTAGATGCCTGAAGCTCAGGAGCGGGGGTAGGGGGTGGGCATACTCGGAGGTTGTTAAGAAGGTAGTTCATGAAGTTATCGCAGTAAGGTTGGCTTTGCTCGCCAAGGGATCGAGTAATATCGCTGACCAGGCCAATAGCCATGGAGCAGAGACTGGGCTCCTCCTGGTTTCCAAGGGCGTTGTACAAGAAGGGAGCAAAGGCGTCCATGTACTTGAGGAAATCCTCCTCCATCGCAGTCGAAAGGGTGCTGATGGTAGCAAAGACAGCGTCAGGAACACTGGACTTTCCACCAACACTGTTGAGAATGGCGAGGAGGATCTGCATGATGCGGTCACCCTGGGGAATGATCTCCTTGTCAAGTCGAGAGATGATAGCCTGGAGGACAGTGCACAGACTGTTCTGCATCTCCTCAAGAGTCATCTTATCCTCAACGCTAACAACCTGGCTCTGCAGAGGCACGGTCTCTTCAAGACGCTTGATGATAACGTCAGAGAGAGAGGCGATAGGCTGCAAGCTCTCGGACGCGGCGTTCTGGACAAAAACGTTGAGCACCTCATAGGCAGCAGTTCGCACCGATGTCTCGGCGTCTGTGCGGGCAGTCACGTCAAGCAGAGAGCTGACAGCGTTGTTGAAGTGAGGGGTGATGGCGTTGGAAGAAGCGCCAAAATCGCCAGCGAAACGCTCAGCCAAGTTCATCAGGGCCCAGCAGCATGATGGTGCCATCTTGGCACTGCTGAGTAGACCCTTGAAGAGAGACTCGATCAACGTGGGCAGTTGTGTCTGGGGGTCAATAGCCTCGGAGCAGGCCTCTGTGATTCTGCCAAGAGCGTAGGCGGTCGAATCCTTGACGTGCAGAGACTGATCGTCCATCATAGTGATCAAAATGGGCAGAGCCTGCTTCACGATAGGGTCTAGGACCTTCTCATCGGGACCTTCCATAATAGCACCGAAAGCGGAAACAGCGGCATCTCGGTTGTGCCAGTCTTCGTGGCGCAGGTTGCTCTCAACAAATTGCAGCACAGGGCTGATGATAGTAGCACCAACGGCTTGGGCGTACAGCTGCAGACACTGGTAAGCGGCGCGCGACAGGTTGTACTCGTCGTCGGTGGCGTCCTCGTCCTGCTTGGTGAGAAGCATCAGAAGGACTGGAACGACCTCGTTGGCAGCGACGCGAGCGAAGTTGTAGAAAGGGCGCATTTGATCGGAGCTCTCGACCTGAGCATTGTCGTCCTCAATAGAGATCTCCTCTTCACAGACAGTACTCCAGAACTCGACAGCCAATTTAGCAACATCCTCGTCCTCAGACTTCATGCCAAGAATAGTAAGGCCGAACAGAGCCTTCTCCATGTAGAATCGCATATTCTCGTAGTAGAGGGCCATAATTCGGTTCAGGCAGCCAAAGGCACCCTGCTGTATCCTGGAATCGTCGGCCTGTGTAGCCTCGCAGACGACCTGCATGATGTAGTTTCGCTCGCCCTCGTGCTTGAAGTTGTTGCCGACGAATTCGAGTGAGTCACCCAGAGCGGTAATGGCCGCAAGTCGAACTTCAATGTTAGTTTCCTCCTTTCGGGCACCCTGCACAACAGCGGTCAGGATAGCATTTGAGTGTGTTACAAGAGCCATGCGCAGTTCTGGGTCTTGGCTTTCGCAGATGTAGCCAATAGTGGTCAAAGAAGACTGCTTCTGGTGGTCGGCACCCTCGCTAACATTCTTGACGAGATAAGGTAGCAGGTCGTTCCACTGGCCACGGGGCAACTCGATGGCGGCGATAGAAGAGATAACCTGGGCAGCAGCAGTGCCGGCCTGGGTGTTGGAGGAGTTCAGAGTCTGGAGGGTGAGCTCCTTGACTCGGTTCTTGGTCTCATCATCTGTTTGCTGCAACCACTTTGCTTGCAATTCTTGGTGACGAGCAAAATCTCGGGTTGTGAAGGCGTTCTTGAGGGCGATACCGGCGGCGGCTCGGATAGAGCCATCGGCGGAGTCGTTTGCTAGCTCTTGTACGAGGGTTGCGAGGTATAGGGGCTAATAAATCGTCAGCCAGTGATCGAAAAAGGAAGGGAGGATCAGGGGTGGCATACAAAGTTGCTCTCGGCAGCTTGGGTGAGTTGCTGCTCAGCAGCATTTCGCAGGTTCGCATCTGTTGCAGATTAGCATATTTGATTCGTGGCGAGTGTCCGAGAGGTTCGATCGGTGAGAAAGGGCGAGGAAAACTCACCAGGCGAAAGCGAATTTGCGAGCACTTGATTTATCTCTGAGCTCGACATTTTGGCTGCTTAGGAACGTCTCGTCATGCGGTTTTGGCGAGTGTCAATAGTGATTATCAAGGCGCGAATAGGCGTAAAGTTGGGAGAATGAAGAATAAGAAAGGAAAAGAATAGAGCCTTGAGGTCGTTAGGCGAACGTGTCGATAAGTTTAGATGGAAGAGAGAACTGTTTAGATGAGGCGGAGAGGCGGGGGTTTTTTCCACGACGGGGGCTCAGTCCAGGAGAGGAAAAGAACGGGTATGAGGGTCGAACGAGCTTGGCGGGCCAAACGATGGACGGGACGGGGCGCCTTGTTTGGTCTGATTTGATGCCTGCCTTTGGGGCGAGACTTTTGACGGGCAGGTACCAGAGAAAAGCAGTTAATCGAGAGTTTGAAAGGGGAAAATTGCTTGATTTGCTGCAAGAAAAGAAGTTATTTTTCTTTGATTTAATGTTGCAAAAAAAGAAGGACAGAGCAAAGAAGTAACCTCTTTGGATTGAAGGCTGAATCAAGGCAGTCGGGCAATTGCAGCACCTAGGTACGTTTGCACCTGTGAAGTCCGCTACCGCCACTTGGAGAGAGATGCACTGTAAAGCACTGTGCAGTGTTGATCATACAAGCCAAAGGGTCGTCTTTGCCTGGTGTTGAACTTAACAGTACAGTCTGCCTGGATTCAAGATTAAGAAGTGCTTCATTGGCTTCATTTCTCTACTGAGGGTCTATTTGTTTACTTCGGAAGCAGAGTCTTCCACTGCCCAGAGGTCTCCCATCATTGCAGTAATGATTCACTGTTAAGCTTCAGAGAGCCCCTCCACACCGACGGCCATACCATTTCGCTGCAGAATACCAACTACGTCAAGGAAGTCTTCAAGCTCGTTTGCCTAAGAAAGAACATTGTCTGCTTGACTCATAAACTTAAGCTGCACCCTATGAAAAGTCTTTATTCTCAGACCCGTCAAGTCTGTTGGCCACTCGTCTATCTTGATTCCAAGAATGCCCTGTTAGCTCCAGGCACCTGATCTGCTATGAACCTCCGCTATGAACGCATAATCTCTCTGCTAGGTGGAAGAATCTCGCTTAATTTGCAACCGCACTGTATCCTTCACAGTGCCCCGCGACGCTGGGAAATTGACACAGGTCTGGCCCTTTCACTGCACAGTGCAGAGTCAGTGCCTGACTTCGGCAAGTATCTCCCCTCCAACGTCAAGTACCGCCAGGCAATCTCACATGAAAAGGCAGGGCAGAGCAGAGCAAAGGCCATCTAAGTTATGAGACGGACGATAGTGCCCTGGCTAACGACGGTTAGAGAATTTAATCCAGGTACAGCACGAACATGTCTTTTGGATGATGGGAGAAATGGTCTGAAACTAACGGCTCTCATTTCATGTTTGAAATTATCATTTTGTCTAGCTGATACACAACAACCCCTTTCTTCCACTCCAAACTCCCTTTGCCAATTTTTATTTTTTTTCTCTGTTTGTGTTGATTCTTTCGAAGTAAATAGGTCCACCCTTCCACAGCAACCAACGCCGCCGATGGATAACTCATTTATCAACGCATCTTGGGCCGCTATGGTGCAGCGTCAAACTGAAGCTGACTTGTCAAAATGAGGGCCCCTTGTTCGCTTCGTCTTGGTTTCTCGTCTTCCATGTGTTTCCAGGGGTCCAGTCTGGGGAAACGCCCTGTCCTGCGACTCACAGGCCATGTAATGCACATCATAACCGGTGCCGAATAACGATGTCTCTTTACAACCTTGAACGTTTTACTATCGGAAAGGTCGACAGGCTTCGTCGTGAGTTGTCTACATCTCCATGCTGGCTCTTTTCTCAGCTCCACAATGCTCATATTGTTTGGGTTCTCCTCTTGCCCTGGTTGACGCTTGTCGACCCCATAGACCCATTCATATTCTAGCCCTTGACGATGTCTGCGTCGAATAGATTCGTTACGAGAGGACCACTGAGGCAAACATATCTTTACCAACGGATTGGCTACATGCAGCTCTGCGGAGCAGCCAGAGAGGTTTCAGCTAAAATGGATCACGTAGTGTAGAGTCTGTTTATTAGGACGTTCGGCCATTCACTTTCGTCTCCCCAAAGGCTAGACAATAACTGTTCTGCTAACCAGTAACCGTGGATACTGGAGTCAATTTGGCAGCTGTCTTTCTCTTTCCTAAGCCTTCCTTTTGGGACTCTTTCAGCATCCCGCAGCTCGAGCTTCACTCAATATTAGACTAGCCAAAATTCCCCTTGTTTGGAGTTAAGAAATCACCTTGTGTAGTCGAACCATACTAGATAGTTGCGAAGGCAGATTTGCAAACATTCAATACGTAGGACTACATAAACTTCCATGCTGTCAAGGAGCGACTGCATTGCAACCATAATATCGAGTGCCTGGGGTTGAGCCAAAGCCCATGAGGTCACCAGTCTACCCCTCCCTTCTTCAGTCAACAATCACAGATTTTTATTGTCAAATGTTGTGGGATATGCAGATAACTTCATTAACAGTATCTATTTAACCCTCGTAGAACCTTTCCTAGACAGGCATATCTAAGTTTGCACAAAGCAACTAAACTATTCTGTCTCTCATACTCTCGGCAGTCAACCTTCCTGCTGACCTGATCGATAGTCCGACTTGAGGTGATAGGTTATGGCACCAGCATTCTCCATGCGTTCGAGCAGACTAGGTACGCGCTGTGGACTCTTAGTGTCACCCACCAGGAGGAAGGATGCACGCGGGCACTTGGACATGACAACAGTAGTCATAGCTTCGGTCATTAGATGGGCGTCATCTATAACGACAAAGTCCACTTGCAAGCCGGTATGGCTCACAATCTGTTCGAGAGTGATGGGGGTGCAGCAAACAATCTTGACCTTGTCTATCAAAATGTGAGATAGCAAGTCACGAGCAAACTGATTGTTCCGAACATGATTGAGATCGAACATTTCGGGATCATGGAGCTTCTGTCGGTAGGCGTGGAGATAGTCGGCCCATTCATCTGGGTTCGCCTGAGCAAGCTGCTTGGCATACTCCGAGATGGTAGTTGCGCCACGCGAGGCTGATCGCTTCTCGAATTGGGTGCGAGTTTGATGGTTGACATGCTCAGCCAGAAGCTTATCCTGATCCGTGGCAGAGGGTTCGCCATCGGTCGGTATGAGATCAGGCTGTTTGTCTGACGGGGAGAACATGTTGTCCATCTCGCACTTCCAAGTTCGCGCTCTGAGAGTGAAGACTTCAGGTGCCTTGGCAGACAGTCTGACTTTTGCGTTATCGCACAATCGGTCTTCAGCTGCAACCCATGCGACTTGTGCGGTACGCGCAACTGGCTCAACTGGTTCGTCTTCAAGTTGCGGAGCCGGCGGGATATGGTCATTCAGACCAACCGGAGTCTGCGTCTAGCTAGACTCCGATGATTTCTGATCAGCCATACCGAAGTCGTTATGAGGTCCGCCAAGTTGACCGATGCCATCAGTGTCTGGAGCGATACCTGGTGCAGTCTCAGCAGCGGGAGGCACATCTTGGTCAACGACAAACTCCTGGTTGACAGCTGACGCAGTCTCAGTAGCAGGAGGAGTAGTAGGCGCATAGCGATAGAGGGGATCTCGAGGGACCGATGACGCTTCAGAAAAGCTTTGCGAGTCAGGGAAAGGAACCGCATCTTGGTGAAAGACGGGAGCTTCAGCAACGCTTGACGCTTCAGAAGAATTTGGCGCGTTGGAGGAAGGAACCTAACAATAAGGTGTTAGTATACGAGGTTGAGGTTTGAAAATAGCCACGCGTAACTTACGAAATCGGTGTTCTCTTTTGCCCAACCCTTGATCCAGGCAGGGGCATTAGCAGGTACTACCGGACGACTAGCCATAATGACAGCTGGCGATAGGTAGTGTTCGAATGATAGATAGTGTTTATGCGAGTAACGGTCTGATGGGTTGTGATGGAGAAGGATAAAGATCAAGAGTGGAGGTGTAACTCGCGAGAAAAGATTTTCAGAAGGTAGGAGAAATTAGGCAGCAGTAGTGAAAGGAGGGTAGAAGTAAATAGAAGATTTCCTTTGTTTCAGGTGTTCAATGCTGGCGAAGAAGAAAAGTCCCAATGATCGACCTAGATTACCTAGGCAACAACTCGCTCGAAGGGGTGGGACGTGATTCAGTTGTTGCGCTCACAACTGCCCAATCTCCCAAGAAGCCACACTCGACTAACTAGGAGAGTACCGAAACGCTTTCTCGAAACGAGTGCGCGCGAATCAGCCTATGTTGTGTTTGACTATCGCAAAGACAGGAAACGGAAAGGGGAAAAGGGGAAAAGGTATTCAGCACGAGATGTTGTACGGCGTGAATCACAAACTCTCCAGGCAGCAGGCAAACGTTTTGGTTAGGTAGGTAAGAGGTAAGAGGGAGGTGTTGAAGCGCAGCTGCGCACAGCTGGCGAGGAGTGAAAAATAACGCCAACGACCAACCTAGAGATTATCCAGGCAACAACATGGTCAGAGGTCGGGGACGGTTTTCATCTGATGCGCCTACAGATGCCCCAATCCCCAAAAAGACACGACAGACTTTTTGGAGAGCACCAAAACGCGACGAGGGCGCGCGAGTTGGTCGATGTTGTGTTTGAGGAGAGAGAGTGTGGTAGGTAGAGAGGGAGGGAGAGAAGTAACGTTATATAGAGGATTCAATCATGTCGCCAGCAATTAATTTATGTGTAAGGATGTGAAGAGAAAAGAGAAAGGAAAAGGAAAAGAAAAAAGAGCAGGAGAGAATTTAAGGCATCGCAGGAGAACGGCTGGCTAAGTGACCACAGCTTGAACTTGTCTGGAGAATATTGCAGCTGGCTTGCACTGCACTGGCGCCTGCAGCACTTGGGGACTTTTTATTGGGCTGCCTCTTGAGCTGTTTGCAAACCTCTTGTTTACTACGAGCACCTTCCTATTGAGTGGGGGGAGTGAGCTATTCAGACGTACTGACCGGATTACCTATAAGCTGTTTATGTAGTAGACTGTCAAGCTTCTTATCTGTGCCTAGTTAAGCAACTGCCTAGACACACAGAAGCCTATTACCTAACTTAGATAACTTAGGTACTAAAGCTTGGAGTAGACTATCCTAATATTTAGGATATTCTTCACTAAATCTCGCTTGTTTTTTGACCTACTTGACATTGTCCTAGTAGGAGTAAATATTCCAACTCCCTTGCCTGCGCTGATTCCGCAGGGGGAACACAAACACTACTCACTTTCACCTAGACTCGCGAATAAATTAACAAACCAATCCCACATCTCTCTTTTCACTCGCCAAATCCCCATCATTGTATCATCCTGTAGTCGTATTGAAAGCTGAATGCATCATACACCGAGAGACGATGTTTTGCTGATCTGCGCTGCATGCTCTCCACAGCACCTACAGTGTCAGCATCAATGAATATGAGGGACTACTTCATCAGGATATTGCCGTCCCTGGCAGGCCCAGGTTATCTAAAACCTCATCTGCAGATTTATTCTACAGTCTTTTCAGGCTATCTACCAAAGTCCAATAGTTAAGTCGTGCTCAGAGGGTGGGAAGACAGTCAGAGGTTGGTGTAAGTCACCGGGTTAGTCAGCAAGTATGCATGTCATGTGTTGATATCAAGCTGGTGCCCCCCACTGGATCTAAAGTTTACCAGAATAGAGATGCTATCAGCATCTAGGGCGACAGCTGGTGCAATCTCAGGAGCGGCAGGCTCATCTTGGTTCAAGTCAGGAGCTTCAGCAACGCTTGGTGCTTCAAAAGCACTTGTCGCGCTGGAAGAAGGAACCTAGCAATAACGTATCAGTCAGTATACGAGGTTGAGGTTTGAAAATAGCCACAGGTAACTGAGAAACTTACGAATTCAACACTTCTTCTTCCCCACTTCTTGAACCAGTCAGGGGCCTGGTCAGGTACCTTCCGGCGGCCGGCCATGATGATAGTTGGCGACGGTCTTCGTGTGATGGACAGTGTGTTTAGTAATATACAGTATAATCTTTGAGTGAGTAATGGTGTGATGGTTTGTGATGGAGAAGAATAAAGATCGAGAGTGCAAAAGGTGTACCTCGCGAGAAACGAAATGTCGCGCAAGGCTTGGGGATAAGTATCTCGTTCCAGTTGAAACAATTGCGTCTTGGAGATGATGATGTCTTTGCTGGCGATGTCAACACGAAGTGTCCGAATCTTGGGAACTTCTTGGGCGATGTCCAAGGCAGGATGACCGTCGGATATGAACGATGGGAACGGGTCAGTGACTTTAGTTGAAGAGGCAAGCTCTGACACCTGCTCCATCTGCTTATGGTATAGAAGGGGAAACCTGTTGTCACCTCTCGTCAAACATTCGTGGCGCTAACCCTGGCTGACTTGCAATATTAGCCACACTCAAGAGGCGATTCAAAGAAGCCTGGGAACTCCATCAGGCGGCGACAACGATGCTGCGGAGGCCATGGCAATCGAGCGGGGGCTATGGCGATCGAATTGCTCTTCCGATTAGCCATGTGTAGAAGTCCTTATATATGATATCTGAGTCCCACGTTTCGACATGTGTGGTTGATTGGTGACCTCTTTGACGAGAATGGGCTGGTGCTCGCCATGCGCTGCGTCTTCGCCTTCCTCTTCATCTTCGTTCGCTACACCCCAACCACATCCTTCACTACAGGAAATCCGGTGGCGCGTGTTTCTTTCCATGATCCCAAAGGGCGAGGAGTCCCGGAACGAGCCATAGCTGCCAACGAAGGCAGTCATATCTGGGTTTCTATGCCCCCAAACCCTGGCGACCTATCGAGATATTGCCTGGACTATTATATTATCGGACTATTATGTTATACTTTGGCCTACCTGCAGAGGAAGTCAAACGTTTACGGCAAAAGCAGTCATATCTGAGCTTCTATGCCTCCAAACCCTAGCAACACATCGAGATGTTACCTGGACAATTATATCGCATTTGGCTCTACCTGCAGAGGAAGGTGTTGAACCAAAGTGCTGAGCTCAGGTCTGCAAGCAGTTGCAGAACTTCTCTAATAACTCATCTATAAGTTGCTCTCTAGAATCCGGCACTAAACCATATAAGTCCAAAGTGTAGTTACACTTTTTACCTTTTATATCCATCCCTTTTATTTATAGTATATACACTAGGTCAAGTTGAACTAATAAAACCTCTAGTCCTTGAAACAAATTATGCCACCCTGAGAGCCCCTGTAGAATGGGATAACATTATATACGAATACGGCATCGCTTGGCTTCCTTTATTTAAGCCTCTACGAGCTGGGAATTCAGCCAGCAAGCAAGCAGAGATGCAGGTTGATCAACAAGTTCCTTCCCAAGACCTGTGTGTTGATACAAATAAAACTTTCTAACGGGAAAGTAATCTATCAACCCAAAGCAATCTATGGTCTAGCTTATGCACCTAAGATTAAACGAGCTTCTCATAGGAAGGACAATCCTCCCAAGTTTACAGGAGGGTTCGATTATCCCGGGCCACGAAACGCTGGGGCCTCTACCGATGGCACTAAGCTACCCATCGCCCCAGAGATGAATATCTTTTATATATATATATATATATTATCAGCCAGCTTGGCGGACTTACGAAACGTTTGCTATCGTACGTCGCAAAGTTGCTACCAATCGGGTTATGCAAATTGCTTTGAAAGCGGCATACAAGATGTTGTCTCCCTAGAGTAACAGGTTACATACTCAAAGATCCTTGACATGGCAAACTGCGGACTCCAAACAAATTAGGAATCAATCAGGAGGTTTTCGATGTCCTAAAGGAAGCAGGTCTTGTAAGTAAACCGGGTACGAGCTAGCACCCTTGCTAACGATAGAACAGGACAAGGGCAACATGTAATGCCTGGAACTTCTCTCAGAGACATCAATCCGTATCTGTTTTTTTGTTTTTTTTCGAGACCAGCTTCCATGTAGCTTGGTGGCAGGTCTTGGAGTACATCCACATGTATGCTGATCCTTATGCGGACATGCTTGCTAGAACACGACGGCCAAGGACAAGACCAAGAAAGCTTGCCAAAAGGCATTAGGCCTCTTAACTTCCTAGTAAGAATTCTACCTTGTTTCTGAGCCTAAGGCTGCTGCGATGTATGCTCTGCATGGACTTGACCTGTATAGACTGAAAGTTAGGGAACAATCGTTGTGGTTGATGCTGGTGGTGGTACTGTCGACTTGATCTCCTACACTATTACCAGCCTTAAGCTTGCCAGAACGCGACGGCTTGCCAAAACACAACATAGTGGCTACGTTGGTCTCTCGTACAACAACTTCCAGATTGAAGGCGTGGAGTCTCCTGAGAATCCCGTCCCACCGACAGACACGTTTATCGACAGTGAATAACAGACGCTCTCCGTCATGTGACCGAGAGTCGCAATCCTTCGAGACGAACCTACATTACACAATGGCCTGTGTCCAGCTCCAACAAGGAGGCAGAATCTAGCGACAAGGTACCCTCATGTGTTATGAGACAAGGTCAAGATTATTTGCTGCACCGCAAGGACTGGAAGTCATTCTTTGGTCTACAGCGCGCAACTAGCCTATTCGAACGCATAGAAGATAGCATTCAATATCAGCTAAAGTCAGACTACCGATCAGGACATTAGAAACATAATATCAGTTAAACAATTGATCACAACACTATATCTTTTAAGGCATCATTCAATGATTGCAACCTTGTACAAGCCCTTTTGAACAAGGCACCCGCTAGCCGTCAAGATACGAAGCATCTAACTGAGCATATTAACCATTAAATACAGGCCCATTTTGACAAGGCGTTAGCATTGCGTATTCCAACTACTATCTCGGAATATGCCAGGTACTTGCTGAGCTGAGCCTAGATGAATTGGCTGACTGACTATCTCTACGCCTACCGACAGAAGCTCTATAATCCAACAATTAGTATGCTTGTGACTTACTATCTGACGTTTTGACAGATGAGGTCGATATCGCCGGGAGTATGAGAGACAGAATAGTTTAGTTGCTTTATGCAAGCTTGGATATACTTTCTGTAAAAGGTTCTACGAGGGTCAAATAGATACTGTTAATAAAGTTAACTGTAGATCCCACAACGGTTGACAATAAAAGTTTGATTGTTGAATGTCAGAAGAAACGACCGCTAAGAGCATAATAGCATAAGGGACGAAATAGTTTAATTGTTTTATGCCAGTTTAGACCTGCTCTTGGGTTATTTTATTCTGATAACCTAAGCCTTGGACCCGGGGAGGGATCTATCATCGGTACCGGTTTTCCCTCGAAGCTTCTGACTGAATTCTGGAATCCCATTTAGATCTATGTCCTCTTCTGTCCCCAGGTAAATATTGCAATAACATTTAAAGAACTTTTAACCGGACAGCAGAAAGGAAGAAAGGACCAAGGATAGGACAGGACAAGTCGTTCCTTAAACATATATCAGGAAGACAATAAACAAGAATTTGCTCTTATACCTTGCAGTGCGTAGTATTGCCATGGTCTTGGCGAGGACCTGTATTGATGTAGCATCTTTCCTTTCTGGCGGTGATCCATCAGGCTTTTGGACCCCTCGCAATCATGGACGGCTGAGCCGAGACCCATGAGGTCACCAGTCTGCCGTTGGTAAGTAAGTAGGCATGCAAACTCATAGCACCGTTTAAAGAGCAATGTTCATTGTTAAGAACGTATATTTGTTTATTTCTTGTCATAAATCGTAAATGTGCGTACCAACCAAGCATCTACATACATTTCATTTCATATCATTCCAATCCATCCCATTCCACTTCATCCGCTGTATATGATTTCGTAAATTCGTACAACCAAAGTTGTCCAGCATGAACTGAAAGCCCATCACTCGCGACACCAACATGTCTGTAGTTGCAAGAGGTATCCATTATCCAACACGCGGTTGTCCTTCTGAAAATGACTTTGAACAAGAACGCCAGCAAACAGAAACAATTTAACGCAGGTAGCCCCGGGGAGGGCGGCTATCGTAGAACGTCTCGCGTTCCGTCACGTCGTCCCAGCGAGGGTGGCTGTGGCTGTGTCGGGTACGGTCACGCTCATAATCAAATTGGAATTCTCTCTCATATTCGAGCTCTCGTGCGCGCTGCTTTCGAGATCGTCGGATCTCATCTGAAATATCAACTAGACGGAGAACATCGTCCTGGAATATGTTAATATCGTGATCAATGTGCATTTTGACTGGAAACTTACGTATTTGAGATAGTCCATGATATAGTAGAACTCCTTGGTCTCCTCATACTCATATCCTGAGCTCTCGATGGCCTCGCGGACAACGAGGTCCTTGGTAACCTCGGTCCACATGTCCTTGGGTGGTGGAGGAGCAGGTCGAGAACGCGATCGAGTCCTCTCAATGTCGATTTCTCTCTCGCGGTCGTAAATCGAAACGTTGACTCGTGTGTCACGGCTAGGGGGAGGAGAGGGCTCTCTAAGAGCAGGCTTGGGAGATGGCGCAGGGGCTGGAGCAGGCTGGCCATCTCTCTCAGGGATGAACTTGCTCTTTCTGCTGCCACTGTACCGCGTCCAGTTTGTCTCGGTGCTGCCGCCACCGATTCCATCCATTCGGATGCGCTCAGTACCTGGCGGAACGTCCACAAGAGTCCAGTCCTTGGTTGCGCCACCCCAGGCCTCACCCATTTTGCCTCGAGAGTCAATCTTGCCAGTGAGGTAGTCGCCTTCTTCATCGACAGCATTGGGTGTGGGCAGCGGAGCAGCGGAATGCGCTCGGCGACGGGAATCAGATTCTCGTCGAATCACGAGCTCGTCATCGCGGAAGTCGGATCGTCGTTCCTGGCTCTGCGATCGAGTACGAGATGTGCGAGAAATGTCCACCTCAGTCCTGTTTCTTGAGAGAGAAATATCAATATCAGTCTCCCGCTCGCGGACCCGGGACGGGGCACGAGGCGGAGGCTGAGGCTTGGGCTGGGGAGGAGGTGTAGGAGGTCTAGCTTTGATCATGCCTGCAACGGTTAACGTCTTGAACTGGCTTCCTATTAGGGTTTTAATGTACTTACCATGGTCGATATCACGGTAGTGCGTGATAACCTCTCGCTCAATTGTTGGTCCACGAATAGTCTGAGGCGGAGGGGGTGGAGGAGAAGGCTTAGGAGCAGGAGGAGGCGAAGGGGCTCTCTCACGCTCAATGATGCGAGTGCGAATGCGCTCCCGCTCTTCAACTGGTGGAGGAGGAGGGGGAGAAGGTGACTTTGGCCGCTCAACATATCGCACAACACGGGCTGGCGAGGGAGCTCGTTTGGGAGGTGGTTGAGAAGGCTCCCGAACTCGCTCTCGCTCGTAAACTCTAGTGCGAGAACGCTCGAGCTCGTGCTCATGGTCATGGTCGTGGGAAGAGTGGTGAGTACTGGGTGAGATGCTGCGGGGCCTTCGAATGATGCGCTCCTCTCGAACGCGAGCAACTGGGCTGGGACTTCTGGGACGGTGTCGGTCGATGGTCTCTACTTGACGCTGGCGCAGAACCATAGGGCCAGCTTCGGGTCGGCGACCATCATCTCGCAGAAATGCGGGTGTGCGAGACTCCTCTCGTGGAGGAGGGCTGATTGTAACGGTGCGACGACGATAGTCGACTTCGTCGAGTCCCTCAGGAGCAGATCGTCGAGGGGCGGGGTAGTAGTCCCTCTCCTCGAAATCGGTGGCCCTTACACGGGACATTTTGATTTGGTGTAATAAAAGGTTGTTTCCTGGTGGTTCGTACTGGCTTTGGTGCGATGTTGATGGCGCCAACTCAATTACTTTGACGGTTGCGTTGCGACAAAGAGCACGATATAGCTATTGCGTCACACTACAAGGTGGGGTTCTTCTGGCGATAAGCCTCGGACTCAAATGAGGTCTTGTCACGCAAACCAAAAGAATGCGATGCTTCTTATTGAAGGAGGGGAGAGGAGATGAAGGAGGAAGAAGAAACAACAGCCAAGAAGAATGGAAGAGAAAGAAAAAGAGTTTGAGAGTGTCAGGTGGGTTTAATGGCGCGCAAGCCAAAGCGCCGCAAGAATCAGGCCCCAGACGACCAAGGACGGAACATGGAAGCAAAGCAAAACGTCGTCATCCGACAGCAACGATGAGAGGGAACCCCCCGCCAAACAATAGGGTGTCAGCCGTGACCTTAATGGAGGGGCTGGGTTCTCGGCTGTCTGGGCTTGGGCTGGGCTGAATAAGGTACGGAGCGAGTTACTTGCTGGCTGCGCTGCTTCTAAGTAAAGTAAAGAGACCCGGTAAGGTGCCGTTGTAGTGGGCAAAAGCGGGGATAATGATATCTAGGCAGCCTGGTATGGGACAGAGTCGGTGCAAGATGGATGGATGGTGGCAGCGGTCCGCGACGGGAGAACTAAATATGGACGATGATCTTTCTTTCTTTTGAAGCTTCGTCGAATAGCATGTGGTGAGTTTGATTGAATGTGCGACTTGTGTAGAATCGTGAAATTGACTGCCTCAAAGACCTCTCCTTTGGCGAAGAGGTCAACCGAACAACTGACCGCAATAGACTGGATTGTATGCCTATCCAATGACCCATGAAGTACCAGAGGGAGTCAGCCTGCCTACTTTACGACCCCAAACGCAATGAGTTTCTCATGGCGGCCCAATAGGACGGAGCCTTCTCCCACGCGAAGCCCTCAGATGGAGGGTCAAGCGCGCAGCCAAAAGGACATGAGACCTGCCAACCTGACGAACTCTGATCCGTAATTGTCTCTGCCCAAAGCCCCATTCTTGATGATCCATCTCCCCATTATAGAGTTTATCCCCATCGCATCTTGTAATTCTGGCATCCGTTGGGCAAATTTTAGGTCGTTTCATCAGTTTGTGTATTTCTGTTCGCTTCTCTGTCGAAACCCTCCAAGGCTCGTTTCTCCTGCATCAAAGCAGGCTGTGATGTGGGGATCGACTGACGCAATAGTGCAGCAGCTCACACTACCTCACCCCAGCATCTTTGGGTCCTTGGTCCAGTGCATTGCGAGACGGAAGCCAGAACAAGGCTCTCAAGAAATGCCCCCTGCAGCGCCACGATGCCCGCTTGCAGCTAATCGCTCACAGACTCGGTGAAGTCGAATGAAAAGGACCGTAGCTATGTTAAACTGGTCGAAGAGAGGACGAATGTGATAAGCGTTGAGAATGTTACTGCAGGTCTATCTCTTTCGCATTGTGTTACATGCAAATCATTGCCCTTGTGATCGGCGATGGAGTCAGAGTCCAAAATGTCGTTCCGTCGGGTTGGGCATTCAGCTTCGAAACGAGCCGTCATTGACTAGGACTGGGTCTTCAAACAAAGAATCAGATCCCTGAACATCCGCATCGTATCGTACTGGATCCATCTGAAGTCAAAATTCCAAAGCCACGCTGCGAGCCTGATGAGGCGTCTAGGCTTGAACTTCATAAGCAGCCATTTTCAGCTGTCAGCGCCGGGGCCTGCCTGGAGCATCTGCCGTTATTCCAAGGTTCTATGACCGTCTGTTTGTCTGTCACTGTCGCTGTCACATGCTGCACAGACCAGACCAGACCAGACCCTGGTATGTTGGAGAACGTAAGACAGGGTTCATAACTGGGCGGTGTTGAATTGATCTAGATTGTTCTCCCGAAACTTGGTATCAGTGAAAGACTTAGAAAAGGGAAGGATCTGTTGTATGCTTCTTTGAACTGGATATTGACCTGCAAGAATTGATGTCAAGCATCAGGTCTAAGCTGGGGAAGGAGCTTTACACGGCGAGGCGCTCTTACTGTCTGGGTTTCCAGCACATAGTGATAGAGCTCGGAATTCTGTACCATCGAATTGGACGGCTTCCGTAGCTCAGTTGGTTAGAGCGTCGTACTAATACTTCATTCCGAGTATCCGGTAATGCGAAGGTCTCAGGTTCAAGCCCTGGCGGGAGCAATCCCAACGCCCTCCAATTCCTATTTTTGCTTTTTTTACACATTTAACCGCAGAGCAGGCGGGTTTCTTTTTTTACTATACTTTACTACAACCAGGGACACTCGCATCTTACCCAGGCAGTGAGGCTTTATAGCACATGCTATTAACATGGTACATTCCTCGCTTTTCTGCCTAGAACACAACTTGAAGTGCGGATACTTCATACTGCATCGATCAAGTGCAATGCCCGTTGTTGTCTGAACACTTTTTGCTAAGTTTGACGGTGCTATTCATAGAACAAGTAGAGAGTCTAATATGCAAGTGACGTTATATCGGGACAACACTGCCGAGACGGTATCTCTCCCGTAACATGCATGGTTTATATAGGTGAAAGTGGCCTCAGAACAATTAGTATACGGCTCTCCGTAAATTCTCCAATACTAGAAAGGCCACCAATTACCATAGACTGAGCATCTGAGGAAGGTCTAGAATATAGACGGCCCGGGGAATAAATACTATCCATTTAGGAGACTCGGGGTGGTTCTGTGCTCCTTTGCGTGCAGGAACAGATGGAAACATGTCTTAAACTGACAGCCATCAGCTTATACTCTTTGTATATACATGCTCAGATGTCTAGAGGCAATTTTTTATGAAAGGTCAGCTGTTTACAAATGGCTTGATGGAGACTTATGGCTTGTATGCAAACAGTTCGATGGCGAGCTTCACCACCGCAGGACACGTCGATACTCGCCTGCAGGTACCAATGCATAGATATCGGATTGTTTCTAATGACAGAGATAGACTATCACTTAAAATCTGCGTCAGTTCAAGATCGCAAGCTGGGTCTCACTGGCACCTCAGACTCGACGACTTGAAGATTCTACCCTAGAGCAAGCTATATCAACTTGAGGACAACATCCAGGTCCCATTCCAAATAAACACTCAAGAGACTGAAATCTACAACATAGATAGAAATGGCATTAGTATGTCTTCAGACCTAGATATGAGATGAATATTTGTGCGTTTAGGCTTGAGCGTATTGGGAGTCATGGCCGGGCTTACCGATCTCATCCTTGTTTTGATCAAAGTTAGATATGGACCAGAAACCCCAGGATATCATTGAGATATTTTGAGCAGGAATATCTCTGCAGCCCTCATATTATCCGAAGTTGTACTGATGAGTAGATGTCCCTTGCTAAGCTTTTTGCCAAAACAGAAAACACTGATTGAGGGTTGATTTTCAACTATCGTTGACACTCGACTCCCATCGTCACTTCAATATGTTTTCCCCAATTGCACATAGATGTTGTCATTGTTTCCCCTTATAACTCCTTCACCAAGCGGACATACAGAGAGAACATCACGATTGCCGTACAGATTGAAGACAAATATAAGAAAAATCGGTATTTGAACGCCTAAACTGATTTCATTCATACTGAGCTATCATTAAGAATAAAGAGGTGAGAAAATTGAAGCGGTGCAAACTTAGGAATGTCGTTATATCCAACCAGTAGCTTCCATTCCCTTACAGACCACGTTTTGTGTCCTTGGCGATCAACCCTGTCAAGCTCTTCTCAGGCTTGGGATAATCGGGACGGCCCGCCAACATATCTACGGTCTCGGACAGGCCCATCCAGTGGGCAGTCTTGGGTCGTCGGTTGGGCCAGTCTGTGCCGTTCAACTCGAGGTCTTCCACTCCGGAGAACACAACCTCGGAACCCTGAATACCAATGACGGAGGCACTCTTGGGGTCCTTCTTGACGTGGTTGTGAGCATTGCGTCCGTATCCTTCGAGGTGTTGGATACACTTGATGGCCAGACGAACAGCTCGGCAACGATCCATAGGGGAAGGAACACCACCCTGTTGGACGTGACCAGGAATGCTCTCTCGGCTCTCGAATCTATCGTGAGCTTCCTCTCGGATGATATCGGCAATCAGCTTTGCGCTGTAGACCTTGCTCGCCTTCTCGTTGACGAGAATAAGACGTCCAGCACGAGTCTGGCCCTTGTCCTTTCGGAATACTTCCTTGAGGTGGTTGACGTCGGAGTTGAGCATCTCCAGGGAGATACCTTCTTCGGGAATGTACACGGCCGAAGCGCCGACGTCGAGACCTGCCAAGGTAGCGATATAACCGGAACGGCCTCCCTGTGTCTCGATGACAAAGACACGACGACGGGTGGCAGATGCAGACTGCTTGATCTTGTCACAGTAGTTGACAAGCTCGTTCAAGCATGTATCAGATCCCAGAGAGTATTCTGTTCCGGGAACGTTGTTGGAGATGGTGGCAGGAAGAAGGACCATGGGGATGCACAGGGAAGGAAATTGCGTTCTAGCCTTGCGCATCTGTGTGACGGAATGGAATGCCTCGAAACCACCAACAATGAACAAAGCATCAAAGTTGTGCTCCTCGATCAAGTTGGCAATCAGCTCCATACCGGACTCGCCAGGGAGCTCTCGGTTTGTGCCAATCTCGGAACCACCCTTGCTGGCCCAGCCATCAACCTCGAGCCAGTCGAATGGACGGACGGCACCGAGAGGCTTATCGTCGTGGTGTCGAGCAAATCCAGCGAAACCGTTGTGGATGGCAAGAGGCTCGTGGCCCTTTGAAAGACAGTATGCGACAGCCGCACGTACTGCAGCGTTCATGCCACCAGCAGGGGCACCGACGTTGATGAAACCAATTCGCATGCGCTACGCATTCAAGTTAGCGGAGTAGAGAATGGGCTTGAATGTGAAACTTACCTCCTTCTCGGGCAACTTCTCCTCGTCGACCATAACGTTGGTGGTCAACATATAAGAGTTCCATTG